CTCATGTTCTTACTATAAAAAGTTTCATGAAGTACAATCACGTGACTGCATGAAGTTTTCTCATGAGTTTCTACTTGTATCTTCACTTCTATTTTCAAACACTAAACTTAGTTATGTATGAACATCGAATGCATATACATAATATATTTCGTTTTCTATGCATAATCATATTTCACGCAGTATATTTTGTTTTCTGAAGCCTGAAAACATTCGGTTCATCCTTCACGGCTCGATCAACATCAAATCTTATAGATATGATGGAAAAGAAGACAATATGTTAGCTGAACTCATGTTAGATGAAGATGGTGCTTCAACACTGTCCCAAAAATGGAAGCTGCTTGATGAACAATGTTGAGCCTGGCGAGGGTGAACCAATGCATTCAGCTCCTGAGTTGAACTCTGCAAGCACTCCATTGAAATCTCTCCTTCCTCATCAATATTGTTACATGATTCCACTTCAGTAGGAACCATGTTATTGTTTCCAATGGTTGGTCCTACGAGGGCAGGCAGAAAATGTGCATCCATATTATTGTTTGTAAATGGCGATGTAGAAGAGGGAAGGGCTTGAACTTGATGATGATGCTGCTGTTGATCCAAAATCCACGTTCCATTTCTCGAATTCAACACACCGATCAGAAAGTGCTCAGCTGCTTGTGCATTGATATTGTTTGCCTGAATGTCATCCGCTGAAGCAGCGTGGAACATGAATGGGAGGAAGGGAGAAGGGTATAGGGTTTGATCCCTAGGCTTTGTCATGAAATTTTGGTTCACAAAATCTTGATGGTTTGGGAAATTACAAACCATTTGGTAATTGTGCTGCTGGTGATGATCGATAGCAGAAGGAGTTGTGGTTGGTGGTGAAGAAGCCTTCTCTAGCTTCTTTTTAATCCATGAATTCCAGTAGTTCTTTATCTCGTTGTCAGTTCTTCCAGACAGGCATTTCGCTATACGCGCCCATCTACAATTTGCTCACCAAAACAAAAATCAAAATTAATGAATCTCCACCATTGTTTGTGACACTACTATAAATATCTAATTAATGTGGCAGTAATTACAAAGGCATTGTCTAAAAACGATTGACAAAACACTTTTAGAAAACTAATTTAAAATGTTGGAAAAGTCACTTGATTTCTAATTTTTTTTTGGGTAAAAAAAAAAGTTTAGGGGAAGAAAAAAACACAAACTGATTTTAGGCTACGAATTGATTATCAGAATTCATGGTTAGGGTGAACGCAAAAAGAAAAAAAACACAAATTAAAAATTAAAATGCAAAATTGAAATTGAACCTGTTTCCTACAACACCATGAAGTCTAATAATCAGTTTCTCCTCCTCTGGTGTAAACCCTCCTCTTTTGATATCAGGCCTCAAGTAATTGAGCCATCTCAAGCGACAGCTCTTGCCACACCTTTGAAGCCCTAAAAGCCACAGCAAAACAACCCTAGTTAAGTCATGCAAAGAATTGTGTGTTTCTTGGGTATTGTATGTGTGTGTGCGCGCGTGTGTGGAGAGAGAGTGAGATATATATATATATATATGACCAGCTTGCTCAGGGACTTTTCTCCAGCAGCCATGGCCATATGTAGTGATGTATCTGATGAGCTTTTCATCTTCCTCAGGGGACCAAAGGCCTTTCTTAACCTTTCGTTGTTTGCAGCAATAATGATGCCCCATTGTTAAAAATTGCTCCTCTACTCTATTTTTTGGGTTGCCTGATCAAACTAGAGTTTGCATGAGAAGTGAAATTCAGAAGGCTCTTGCAAGCGTTGGGTCCCTCTCTCACTGCCCTCTTAAAAGTAAGAGAAAGTACAAACTCCGGAGCTCCATCTACCCTAAATTGACCTCCCATCCACTTTGATAAATTTGATCTTAATTTGTATTTGTTCGTAACATCTAGTTTTTAATTTTTCTTTCTATTAGATTTCATCTTCTCATTGTCCTACTCTAATAACGCACGTAGAAGTTTGAAATTAGCTTTATTTTGGACTACTTGGAAACCAAAATTTCTGACTGTATTTGTGTAACAAATTAATTTCGTTTCAAATATTTATCTCTTTTATTTTACCAACGGGAGGGGGATTCAAACTTGATACAACTCCAACATTAATAAGAAAAATATATACCATTGAACTAAAAGCTAACTGGTTGTTTATTCTCTCTTCCGCTTTTGTTGGTAAGTTGTGAATTGATTTATACTATTATTTTTTTACCACAACTCTATAGAGATGAACCGACTATTATGTACATGTGTAAGTGACTTTACTTCTACCAGAGATGTATGTTCTAATGTTTGATATCAATTCTCCTACTCTCCCCCAATAGAAAACTTATTTTGTTCCTCATTAATAATAGTTTTGGATCGTACTCATCGAAGTTTACTTTATACTAATGCAAACAAAAAATTGTTTTGTTTCGGAATGGGAGAAAGCTTTGTAACAATCTTTGTTTGCATTAGTATAAAGGAAAAAAACTTCGATGAACCAAGTTTGTTTCTAGCTAGATTAAAAGGGTTGTTGAGATTTTTTGCTTAGACGTCCCATAGAAAAATTTATTACAATTTATACTTTGGAACAGATTTTGTATCACAATCTTCAGTTATTTTCTCATTTCCAAATTGTGAAAAAAAACTTAATTGGGAAGTTGCATTTTAGATGCACCATTGTAATTAGCTCTAATCCTGTGGTTAATTCCAATGGTTCCCTTTTTAAAATAGAGTATATTTTTTGTGAATCTCATCAAAAGTGGGTTTTTTTATATATATTATATTTTTTTATATAGCGATATTCTAGGCTACTCTAATCTAATATACGGGAAGAGGATCAAACTCAGATGTAAAGGGGCGGACACATTGCTTTGGCCAATTAGCCTAACCCGCGCCTGCTCATCAAAAGTGAGTTTTAAGTCTCTTTATGCAGGTAGCCAAAACCACATATATATTCATTGGACAAATATAGTAAGTTTTCTTTTTTGAAATACCTCCCAACATTATTGAGGATGCTCTTATATATTGAGGATTGCCTACAACAACAAAATCATTTGTTCTAAGTCCTCGAGATTAGTCCAAGTGGTGAGGGTGAATAAGGAAATGAATTGAGATTAGGCTAGGTGAATGGTTCAATTTCACTCCTATGCAAACTTTGGTTTAAACTATTCATGGCTTCTACGTCATTTCTAGCTGTATATACATTATGATCATCAAGTATATATTTCCACTAAAACCCATGAATGTTGGCATCACGTAACCCGGTGAATTCAAATCATGCAACATATTTGGGCTGATTGATTCCCATATCTTCTTCTGTTCCTTCTTCTTGTGTTTTTGTTAAATTTCCAACTAGCCATTTTTGTCCAAAATGTCTGAGTTCAAGTTATTCAAACTATTACTTGTCGACATGCGCTGAAAAGGAAGTGGAGATTCGTTACACTCAACCGGCCGGACTTAATGATTCTAACTAGCTATAGCATCTAGCTTACTTGCCTTAATCGTATCATTACTTGGAAAGCTCAATCGTGCATGGGTCAATAATCACCCTCACAAAATATGTCAATCTTCTTCTTTCTTTAATCTGATCGCATTTACATGGGATTAATCATCACGCACCGACAAATCTGATACCACAATCTTTTTCAACCCGGCTAGGTATATGTCCAAGTCCATTTTTCCAATTGTCAACTAAGATATCTAATTGTGATGAAAATAGCATGATTTTTTTTCCAACAAATATATATACTAAAGTGATTACATATTCTATTCAAATTGTTACATTCTAGATGGCCGGATCAATAAAATTTGAGGCATAATCTATATAGGTGGTGTTCAAACAAATTTATTTGAAGGATCCTTTAATTGAAGCACCAATTAAAATCAGCCACGCAATACAGTATGGCCAGCCATGCAAGCACGTTGCGCCAACAACATTTTGGCTGATCAGGAGGCTTGTTATACAATATACAAGAACAGTTGACGCTAGGTAGTTCCTTGCTTTGTATGGTGCTTCAATTTGACGCCTTATAGCTAGCAAGGTAAGATATAGATGCATAAGTATATACAGAGATCGATGGATATCAATCAAAGCTAGAGAGTGAAAGCGAAAAGGGTATGTTCTGTTCATTGATGCAAATTCACTACCCTATGGAAATTGAAATGTGAATTGTGTGGAGACAATAATATTGAGAGGGCTTTTGCTTGGACGGATCGCAACACAAAACTTTGAAACTAATATATAATCAATTGATCATCTTTGAAAAGCAAGTTTAAGAGGAATTGAAAGGGAAAAATATTATCATACTTGACTTTTAGACAGCAACGAACTATGATTGGGACCCACACTTACCATTTTTGCATTGAAAGAAATGGTTCGTCTCTCTTAGCTAGATCAACGTCGACTTAAAATGTTTGGGACTGGTTTTGTACCCAGCACCTCTGCTTATAAGAGTTTATGCTCGTAAGTACTTTTGTTATAGGCACATCAAACAATTTATAAAAATCTAAGTGCTTCCTAAGTGGTTCTTCATAAAGTGTTTATAACCCAGAAACACTTTCAAGTTTTTCGATCACACTCTGTTGACGCAGAAAAATGGTTCGGCACTTTCCCGCGCAACTTAGTGATTTAGTCTCTTCGGTATCTGATGTCCTCGGTAGGGTGTGCGATCTGTAAGATAGCAAACACACGGTAAGTCCTAGGGCACCGGTGTGGTACCGGCCGAAGGCTCTCCGATGCTTAAGTAAGTACGGGTTTAATAAGTTTGAACTGCAGATCAATAGGCAGTATGCCGTAAGTTCTGATTGATTACCTTCAAGCTGGGATGGTTGTCCTCTTTTATAGGCCTTGGGAGGTGTGCAATTTGTTTAGAGTTTCGATGTGGGACTCTGGGCGTCAGTTGTGAGACTGCCACGCGTCAAAGGGGGCGAGGTTGCCCTAATGTTGCGATCGGTAGGTTTGGTACCGAAGGTGGGTGCCGAAGGCACACCTGGCCCTGGTTTAGCCCACGTGTTTGATATTCATTGGCTGTTCATTTTGGTATAAACAGGAGTCCCCCAAGTCCCCTTGTGAGAGTTCTCGGAAGGGGATTTGAAGTTGTCTTCGGAAGGAATCGTGGCCCTACCGTTCGGCAGTCCAACTTGGTGAGCTGCCGAGAGGTAGGCTGACATGGAGGCATCCTTCGCTGCAAAGTCTGCCGTTATCTGATTTACTATGAGCTGGGAGTCACTGTGAATGCTGATCTGCCTCGCGCTCATGCTCTTGGCTAGCCGAAGGCCAGCCAGGAGGGCTTCATATTCTGCATCGTTATTGGAGGTCCGGAAGTTGAATCGGAGGGCATACTCGATTTTGCTACCGTCAGGAGTGGTTAACACCAACCCGGCGTCACAGCCTTGCTGGTTTGCCGAGCCATCCACGTGCAGGATCCAGAGAGGAACGGAAGTATTGAAACGTTCGGTATCCATTTTCTCTGGTTCAAGAGGGATGGCGCTCGGCGATGATGGCTCCGATAGCGCAGGAGGTGTGAGCTCGGAGATGAAGTCGGCAACGGCTTGGCCTTTTTCTGCAGGCCTGGGCTTGAACTGTATGTCAAACTCTCCCAGCTCGATTGCCCATTTGACCAATCGGCCAGATGTTTCCGGCTTTTGGAGTACCTGCCGAAGAGGCTGGTTCGTCAGAACTGTGATTTCGTGCGCCTGGAAGTAAGGGCGAAGTCTTCGCGTCGAGACGACCAGGGCCAGTGCTAGCTGCTCCAAGGGTGGGTAACGAAGCTCTGCGCTCTGGAGCGCCTTGCTGACATAAAAGATCGGTAGCTCCGCCTTCTCCGGCTTCCGTATTAACACTGAGCTAACGGCAGTGTTGGATACCGAAAGGTATAGGAGTAGTACCTCGCCTGGAAGTGGTTTTGATAAGAGTGGTGCCTGGCTCATGTAGTTCTTCAAGTTTTGAAATGCCTGGTCGCATTCGGGAGTCCATGCGATATGGTGTTTGCCCCCTTTCAAAGCTTTGAAGAATGGCACGCATTTGTCGGTAGCCTTGGAGATGAAGCGTGTTAGGGCAGCGACACGTCCGGTAAGGCTCTGAATGTCCTTCTGCGTCTTCGGCGTCTCCATGTCGATTATGGCTTTGATTTTCTCGGGATTGGCCTCGATTCCCCTTTGACTGATCATGAACCCGAGAAATTTACCGGAAGATACACCGAAGGCGCACTTCGCTGGATTCAGCCGCATTCGGTAGTCCTTTAGAATACCGAACATGAGGGCCAGGTTTTCCAGATGCTCCCCTGCCGTTCGGCTTTTTACCAACATGTCCTCGACATACACCTCCATGATGCCGCCGATGTATTTAGCAAAAATCCGGTTGACGAGCCGTTGGTAAGTTGCCCCCGCGTTCTTCAGGCCGAAGGGCATGACATTGTAACAGTACAAACCGCGATCCGTGATGAATGCCGTATGTTCTCTATCGGCAGGGTCCATGAAGATCTGGTTGTATCCTGAATACGCGTCCATGAAGCTGAGCAGCTCGTGCCCGGCGGTGGCATCGACGAGCTGGTCGATCCTCGGTAAGGGAAACTGTCCTTCGGACAAGCCTTATTCAGGTCGGTATAGTCCTGACACATCCGCCATCCTCCCCTGGCTTTCCGAACCATGACTGAGTTGGCAAGCCAAACAGGGTACGTAGCTTCCCTGATAAAGCCGATGGCTTTGAGCTTGTCAACCTCGGCACGCATTGCCTCGTACCGTTCGGCATCGTACGATCGGCGCTTTTGCCTGACCGGTTTGTGGGCGGTGGAGATGCTGAGCTTGTGGCTGATGACATCAGGTGATATGCCGGGCATATCGTCATAAGACCAGGCGAAGACTTCCGCCTGCTGCCGTAGGAAGTCGATGAACTGTCTTCGGAGGTCGGGATCCAGATTGGTGCCGATCTTTACCCACCGATCGGGGAACTCCTCGTTCAGGATTACGGTCTCGAGCTCCTCGGCGGGCTGCGCCATCGGCGTTGGGTTTTCCTCCCTGGGGTCGTCAATAAGGTCGCTACCGTTCGGTAGTCCCTACAAGGTCATGGCCTCCATGGGCGGTTTGCTAGCTACCGACTTAAGGGCCGTGGCATAGCACGTCCGTGCGCTGAGCTGATCACCCCGGATGATTCCGGTACCGTTGCGTGTCGGGAACTTCATCAGCAACATGTGGGGAGATAGGTGGGCTTTGACCCTGGTGAGTGCCGTTCGCCCTATGATGACGTTGTATGCCATTGGGCAGTCAACAATGAGGAATTGATCGTAGGTCATGGTTTTCCTGGGGGCGACGCCGAAGGCGATGGGCAGACTGATGTTACCGACCGGTTGGACCAGATCTCCAGAAAAACTGAGGAGAGGCGTGATTTGCCGATTGACCATGTTGTCGGCAATTCCCAGTCCCATGAACGCATCGGCAAAAATCACGTTCACCGAGCTTCCGGTGTCAATCAGTACCCGACCCACATCGTAATCGGTGATCTCGGCCCGAATGATCATTGGGTCGTCGTGGGGGTAGATGATCCCCTCCTCCTCTTCTTCACAAAATGTGATGGGCTCCCATCCCACCTTCGGCAACTTTCGGCAACGATCGTCCTCTATGCCAAAGACCTGAGGGCAGTGGGCGGCACGCACATACTGCTTCATCGAACGGTTAGAGGGTCCCGCCAGGGTGGGGCCGCCGCTGATCGTGTTGATCATGTTGATCTGCCGATTCGCGTTCGGTGCTGGGGGCCTGTGGTGGCCTGGCGAGGTACTGATCCAACTTTCCTTCCCGAATCAGACGCTCGACAATTTTCCTCAGACTGATGCAGTCTTCGGTATTGTGGCTGTTCTGCTGGTGATATCGGCAGAATTTGCCAGTGTCCAGATTATCCTGCCGATTGGGCTTTCGGTTGGTTGGCTTCGGGATCTGGTCATGTTTGTTCATTAGAACGGTTTCGTACGTCGTGTTCAGCAGGGTGAAGACTTCCTGAGCACGATCGTGATTCGGTAGGGGCGCCCGGTGGTCGTTACGACCGTACTTCCCACGTCCTTTCTTTGAGTTTCCCTGACGGCTATCACGGTCGTCCTTCCGTTTGTGTCCTGCCGACGAGTCGTCGGTTCGGCCTGGATAACTTTTGGTGGCCGACTCCTCCTTCCGAGCCGAAGGCCCGGTTTTGGAATTGAAGTATTCGGCTTTCGCATGGACTGCCGCCTGCTTCATTAACTCGTCATACGTGCGCCAGTTGCTACTGTGCACGAGGTACCGGAAGTGAGAGGACCGTAGGCCACTCTTGAAGGCGCCGTAGGCTGCCCTATCGTCCGTTTCGGGACACCTCGAGTACTCGTGACTGAAGCGCGCTGCGTATTCCCGTAAGGGTTCGTCCTCCCTCTGCCGAATCGTGTACAGATCGTCGGCAGAGTACAAACGGTCCGTCTGGATCATGAAGTGGTTGAGGAAAATTTGCTTCAGCTCGTCAAAGGAGTCTACCGTCCCTGGTTCGAGACGGTAGAACCAGTTCAGGGCAGCTCCGGTAAGGGATGATGGAAACAGCAGACATTGCCCCTCGTCGCCGAGGCCCTTACACCCAAACTGCCGATTAGAAGGAGTGAAGGTGCGTCAAAGGGTCCTCCACACCGGTATAGAAGGGTATGCGCAACGGCTGCACCTCCCTGTCCGGTCTAGACTTCTTGATGCGCTCGGTAAATGGTCCCGGCCGAAGTTTTCCCCAGTCCGGGACCTGGGACCGGGTTCGGTCCTCCTCCATCTTCTGGATTCTTTGGAAAAGTAGTCGGATGGCGGGGTCTCGGCTTGGGACACCCTCGGAACCGAAGTCTTCGGAAGTTTTCCTCGGACTTGGTGATCTCGCCTTCGAGTACTCCGGGGGAGCTTCCGAACGGTAGCTTGATTCGGTGCCCCTGGTGGGGATGTACTCATCATCGGACTCCAGCGCCGAATCCAAACCCTGAGCCCTCCGAAGGGGCGATTTATCCCCCAGGACCCTCATCCGGGAGTCCCTCAAGCGGGCGTTTACTCTGATTGGGGACCTATGCCGTTCGGCATCCTTCTTGTCGTTGATCCGATGACGACAATCGGTGTACACCTTCTTCGGTACGTGAGGTTGGTCCTGGGGGTGCTGGGACCACCAGCTGTTTGGAGGGCGCGGGCGTTGCCTTTGCCCCCTGCTTTCCCTTCCTCTGCCGACCGGGGGTCTGCTGACTCTGGGAAGATTCGGTGGTCTGAACGTTTTGTGTTTCCTGCTGATTAAGCAACCGTTGGGTTTCGTCTACTTTGGACGAAAGGAGATTGTTACGTTCTTGGAGTTTAGCCATCTCCCTTCGAAGGGAGGTCATCTGAGCCAGAAGCTCCGCTTTGACCGTGGTCTGAAGCGCAAGATGATTACCGAAGGGGGTGCTAGGGTGCAGCGCGGGGCTTGCTCCACTTGGCATACCGTACGGTAATCCATCCTCCGATAGGAACTGTGGTCCTGAAGTGGTTCCCATTTGTTTTGTTTAGGAATTGTAGGTTGATTTTATCGTTTCCCACAGACGGCGCCAAACTGTTGACGCAGAAAAATGGTTCGGCACTTTCCCGCGCAACTTAGTGATTTAGTCTCTTCAGTATCTGATGTCCTCGGTAGGGTGTGCGATCTGTAAGATAGCAAACACACGATAAGTCCTAGGGCACCGGTGTGGTACCGGCCGAAGGCTCTCCGATGCTTAAGTAAGTACGGGTTTAATAAGTTTGAACTGCAGATCAATAGGCAGTATGCCGTAAGTTCTGATTGATTACCTTCAAGCTGGGATGGTTGTCCTCTTTTATAGGCCTTGGGAGGTGTGCAATTTGTTTAGAGTTTCGATGTGGGACTCTGGGCGTCAGTTGTGAGACTGCCACGCGTCAAAGGGGGCGAGGTTGCCCTAATGTTGCGATCGGTAGGTTTGGTACCGAAGGTGGGTGCCGAAGGCACACCTGTCCCTGGTTTAGCCCACGTGTTTGATATTCATTGGCTGTTCATTTTGGTATAAACACACTCCAAAAACTGCTTTTAGTTTAAGTAGTACCAAACAAACTCTTAATTTGACAAATGTTATCTCTCTTATCTATCAAGGAGTCCGAATATGCTGTTCCCAAATTTGTATCCCCTCTATAAAATCTTGGCATGACTGATTGGATCCACAAAAGGCAATGATTAATTAAAAAATCAACTTGCCATTGTGATAGAAGAAGACAAAGATTCCCATGTCATGAGGGTTGGTGAGTTAATACTCATTAATTAATTACGATTGAAATTAATGAAACATTAATTTAAATCTAATTCAAACACTGTTTTCTCTACTTCAATTTTAATCTCTTCAGAATAATCGTTTCTAACCATTTCAAGCGCCAATTATTAAGATTTTTACGTTTGTAACAGATTATTGTACAAAGCAACAAACTATATATATATATATATATATATATCCCATTTATATTACTCAAGAATATTACTCAATTAGCTATCAGTGGGCCTGTTGAGCAGGATTATATGACTTGATATAATTTCATAATCCTAGTTAAATAATTTTAGATGGCTAACTATACAAATTAGTTACTATAACAAAACTAACCTCTAATTAATCAAAACCTCAGATTTCTCACCCAAAAAAAAACAAACAAACAAAACAAAAGACAATTAAAATATTTCTAGACGGCTTGCCGTTTTTCATGGTACACTGCATGTTGAAGTGAGCGACACATGATATGGGTGGTCACTAGTCTTATGATTAATTAATCCAAACATGCAATAATTTTTTTAGAAATTTAATTTATTAATGAAATATGGGTCAGGCAGTTTGTGGATCATCCTAATTATCAAGGTATAACTATTCAAGATTAAAAAATAAAAAAAAATTAACCAAGAAAAAGGAAATTTTATTAGAGACGAATGGAAACATTAGCGTCTTCTGCTAAACAATTAAAGAGCCATTAGGGACAGATAACATCCTAGGAATGAGTCCCCCCATACTTGAAACAAAAGAAGTTACTAAATGAGCACCTCAGTTACAACTACGTCTAGTGTGCTGAAACGATAAGCACCCAAGCGATTCTTCAACACATGGATATCATGGACGATGCCTTCAACCTCTGCAGCCACCGACGTCTTCTTTCGCAACATAGAAATTATCTCTTTAGAGTTTGATTCTATTAGTACCTACCGGAAATCACTTTGCCAACATGCTTGTAACGCCTCCTAGATGGCCATTGCCTCAATCATAAGAGCCGACTAGCCCAATACACTACCTTCGCCGCCAGCCTGCAAATACCAGCTTGTAGCAGTTCGTTAAACCCACCTAGTATCTCAGCGTAGCGTTTGTGCCTGCCAAGCGTCATCACAATTTACCTTGATCGTTCCCATTGGAGGCAAAACCCATTTACCATCATGAGGTGAAGTCAACTCTAGGGGTCACGGTTGCACATGAGGCGCTGACCTCTGCTGTTCTTGGACAGTGCATAACTCTGCCACTTGTGTTCTCACTAACTCCAGGGCCACCAGTGGGTTATGAGCACCCCCTCGAAGACCATTCCGGCATTTCTAGATCCCTCATAGACCAAAAGCCATCAACTGCATCAGCTTAGTACTATTTTCCTAGTCTTTGGTCCGCTCTAAGAAGGATTCCGAGCATATGCCTTCATATCGCCCTGTCCAAGCCTTGTGACATCAAGTTGCAGTGGACAAGAAAACCAAAAGGCTCGTGCAAACTCGAAGTCAAAGAAAATACGATGAGTCTCTTCTTCAGTCGCACATAATGGACACACGTTGGGGACATCCATTCTTCTATGCCGGAGATTATAGTTCACAGCCAGTGAATTCATAAAACCTCGCCAGAGAAAGAACTTGATTTTCGGAGGGAGTTGGAGCTTCCAAATCCACCCCAGCCTTTTGGATGTTGATTGCGGGTACTGCATTCACCTTTTCCTTTCTTACCCAACTCTCCATTCCGTTTTAGAGATAAAGCCACATGGTACCCAAATTTAACCATATATCGGCCCTGCTTATTCCAATGCCAAATCAACTTATTCGGGCAACCCCATCAACTTATGGGCAAACACGAGTCCTTGTACGAAGATGAATCGTCACCCGAAGCAGAGTCGTCATAATACTAAATTTCATCTTGAAATTCCTCCGCTTCCAAAGTATAGTCGGTGAAATACACGAGTTCAACTGGAGGCAAAACTAGCTCTTCAATCTTACGAATCCTATGAAGACACCAAAAGTGAAGATCACAAAAACGCCAATCCAGGAACAACATATTGTAAAATGGGCAAACCACAAGAGGCATCTTACATTCATTTACATAATGAAAAGTGAATTCATCACCACAAGGAAAATCCAAACGACAATTGCAACTGTATATATATATATATATATATATATAAAACAAATAATTGATGCAATTTGTTATGAGAAAGTCAAATCATCCGAAACAAAGAAAATTAAATAGCAGAAGGAGAACGAGGGTTTGGGGTTTGGTGTTGTTGTGTTGAGAATAGGGAAATGGGGATTCGGTATAAGTATTGCAATTTTGGTAAATAAAAAAAGTATTAAGTATTTCAATTATGTGTATACGCACTTATGTGCTTGCACAACTTGGAAGAATCGCAAAATAGGGTTTGATCCACCATAAAACGATGTCCGTAGCCGCATCATTGCTCTCAGTCATGTTCCATCTCCTTTGGAAGCTTATGTAATATTGATGGAGGAGGATACTCGTCAATCTGCTATGATTGGAGGCATTGCCGCCCTCAAGGTGGATTCTACCTGCTCACGATTGGTCGCTCGCCATAGGTCTCCCACATACTTACGAGTAAAGTCTCCCTTATCCTCACCAATGGAGTCCTCCTCTTCCTCACTAGTGGAGTCTTCCAAAGACACAGTCCTCGGGCTAGAAGAAGTCATTGCAAAAATAAAATTTTGGGACAAATTTATTGAGTACAAACTCTTGATAAGGATGTGGGGAAAAATTCTTTGAAAAAATGACCTAACAATTGATGCAAATAATAAAGTTCACTATTGACCGAACCCATTGAAATCGAGTTCTCCGAGTCCTTGTACGAAGATGAATCATCACCCATTATGTGACAACTCATTGTTTATCTAAGTCATATGCATCATATTTATGTTAATTATTTGGTGTATGTGTGCCAACTAAGTTGCAGGATGCTCTTTTTAAGCCCAAGTGGATGGATGTCATGAATGTTGAAATGGCAGGTTTGAACAAGAATGAAACTTGAGATTTAGTTCCTTTTCCACGAGGGAAGAAAGATGTTGGATTCAAATGGGTGTAGCATAAGGTTGATAGTTCCATTGACCGTTACAAGCCTAGATTGGTAGCAAAAGGTTATACTCAAACCTATGGAGTGGATTACTTAGATACCTTTGCTCCATTAGCAAAACTCAATATTGTGTGTACTCTTGTCCTTGGCTGCTAATCTTGACATGCCCTTGTTGCAATTTGATGTCAAAAATGTGTTTTTACATAGAGACCTCAATGAAGAAATATACATGGATCTTCCTCCTTGTATTCCTATGACCTCCAAAAAGGGTGTTGTGTGTAAGCTGTGGAAATCCTTATATGGATTAAAGTGCATCTATGAAGAAATTTGGGTATGTACAAAGTAACTCGGACCATACGTTTCTAAAGCGTCATAAATGTAAATTGACAGCTTTAGTTATTTATGTTGATGATATGATTGTGACTGGAGATGATCATGCAGAAATTCAAAATCTTCAAAAGTTTCTGGCTTTTGAATTTGAGATGAAGTCACTGGGTGATTTTAAGTACTTTCTTGGGATTGAAGTTGACAAATCTAAACATGATATCTTTTTGTCTCAAAAGAAATATGTTTTGGATTTACTTGTAGAGACTGGAATGTTGGATTGTAAATCAATTAATACTCCTAGTGAACATAATCATAAGTTGGGATTATATCCTGATCAAGTCCTTACTGATAAGGAGCATTATCAACGGCTTGTGCAGAAATTGATTTATTTAGCTCATACACATCATGATATAACATATGCAGTGAGTGTAGTGAGTCAGTTTATGCATTCTCCTAATGAAGATCATATGAGTGTTGTGATGCGTATTTTGAGGTATTTAAAAGTAACTCCTAATAAGGGGTTAATGTTTTCTAAGTATGGTCATATGGATGTGGAAGGGTATACGAATCTCGATTGGCTTAATTCAGTCACTGATAGACGTTCTACATCTCGGTCTAGTGCCAAAGCTGAGTATCGTGGGATGGCTCAAGGTGTGGGCGAGTTATTGTGGTTAAGGAAATTCTTGGGAGTTTTCGGGATTGACCTCCAGAAACCAATGGATTTGTATTATGACAATAAAGTTGCAAGTGTGATTGCTCATACAAAGCATGTGGAGGTTGATCAACATTTTATTAAAAAGAAGTTGGATGCTGAGATTATTACTGTCTCTCTCAACTCACTTAACAAGTTGGGCATGTGTACATCTTTTCTCCAACTTAAGAGGAAGTGTTGGCGAGATCCTAGTTTGATTAGGAGATTTATTTCCTATTCTATTAGGATTTTATTTCTTTTTCTCTTTTGTACAAATCTTGTGTAATTAGGTTTTTTGTTTATTTCCGTGTATGATAAATACCTCCTTTTGGAGAACAAAAATATATCAAAAAATATTCAACCATGTTGTTTGACTCAATATTTATCTGAAAATCTACAAATTTTCAAGGCAAGAGCAAATGAAATTATGTACCATAAAAAAAATCCATATATTTAGGCCCAAAAACCTAGTAAGCTAGCATGGCCCATCACTACAAAGTCATGACCCAAAAGCGAAATATGGATTTAAATTTGGTCGTGTAAAACTTAGTTAGAGAGGAAATGTTTTGGGTTTACCATATCAAACATATGGCATGCTAATTAGCAACTGAAGTGACCTTATGAATTGAAGTGAGGGTTCGAACCTCACGAGTTGACTCACACATTGATTCTAACACGGTTTTCTTTGGACACTTTTGCTTTACATTTGTTGTCATGAACCTCTATGAATCTTACCTAATTAAGGACATAAAGCCAAATTACAAATCATAAATAGACTTATGCTAAGTCTTTTTGTACTATAGTACTATAGTAGTGGTGTTTCTAACACGCATGTTTGCAACTAGCTGTTAGTCTAGTAGTATTTATTTTTCTAAGATTAGAAAACGTAACAAATTTCAAATTTTTATAATTGAATTTTTACTTTTAGTACTCTGTTGCTAATTGGCTAATTACTGAATTAGTATCTAATATTTTTTTTTGTTTATTTAACTCCACACCAACAATTGCCAAGTAGTCAATCACGTGGTGCTTGGCATGACTGATCGGATCCACAAAAGCGATGATTAATTAAAAAATCAACTTGACATTGTGATAGAAAAAGACAGATTCCCATGTCATGAGGGTTGGTGGTGACTCTCATTAATTAATTATGACTGAAATTAATGAAACATTATTTTTAAATCTATTTCATCAATTTTGATCTCTTCAAAATAACCGTTTCTAACCGTTTCGGTGTTTGTAACAGATTATTATGCAAAGCAATAAACTATCCCATTTATATTACTCAATTTGCTTTCGGCAAGAAAAAAAAATTACTTAATTAGCTATCAGTGGGTTTGTTGAGTGAGCGGGATTATATGGCTTGATATAATTTCTTAATTCTAATTAAATATTTGGTGGCGTGATAAAATAATTTTAGATGGCTAACTATACAAATTAGTTACTATAACAAAACTAACCTTTAATTAATCAAAACCTTATATTTAAACAAGACAATTAAAATATTTCTAGACGGCTTGCCGTTTTTCATGGTAAATTGCATGTTGAAGTGACACATGATATGATGTGGGTGGTCTTAGGATTAATTAATCCAACTATGTAATAATTTTTTAGATTTTTGTAGATTATGAAATATGGGTTAGGTAGTTTGTGGATCATCCTAATTATCAAGGTAAAACTATTTAAGATTCAATTGTTGACCATGCCAAGATAAGTTGCTGGTGTCTTAATCACCTCATATCTCTTTTTTTTTTTTAATGTTAATGTTAACGTAATTTCTTAATCACTTCCTTAATTTGGTCATCACTTTTTGTCTCATATTACGCCACAATTAACGATTCAATGCCATTGCCATCAAATATCATCATGATGAAGATAGGGCAACCCCCCTATCTATCCTAATAATCTTTTTATCCAAAAAATTTTGACCTCCATTAGGATGGCTCTCTCTCTCTCTCTCTCTCTCTCTCTCTCAAAACTACACGTGGTGCCTGCCCAATTGAATGCTCTCTTTGCTTGGCAAAACATGTTCACCTTTGGCAAATATTCCATCTAATCTTGGTCTTCTTCTCATTAAACAACTTCTTCTTCTTCTTCTTCTTTTCTTCTCCTTTTCTTCTCAATATTCGGTGGTCCTAATTTCAAGAAATTCAGCATATGATGTCTTTTGCGAAATTGAATAGGCAATATGTCTAGGAGCAGATAAAGTATACTATATAGATTGGAGTGTAATTTCTATTCATCACTTTTAAACCTAGTGCGTCATCAATACCTCACTAATTATGTGCCACACACTACATCCATTTAGTGATATTTTACTATATGTGACAGTTTAAGAAACCCATCTTCTAAGTTCATTTGGGTTTAAGTTTTGTTGAAAGTTGTTGCTCTTAAATAATAATAAAAAATTGAGCAAAAAATGACTCTTAGAATTGTATCTTGTCATCATATCAATGTAATCAGCGGCAGAGCCACGTACAGGCTTGTAGTTGTCGTGGCCCCCCCTGAGTTCATGAAAAAACCAATAACCCTTAAACATCTGCAGCAATATCAGTTGAAATAAAAAGCTATAAAACCTTATAATTACAGTACTAGTCCCCCCAAATACAAGGTACTAGCTCCGCTACATAATGTAATTGTATCAGGTGATCATGAACAATAACATAACTGACACACATACTCATTTTTAATATGAATACCAATAGTCAATAAATTATTTAAATAATTAAAAAGTGTAAATTAGTACAATATTTATCTGAAAACCTACAAATTTGAAGGCAAAAGCAAAATAAATTATGTACCATAAAAAAAAAATCCAGATATTTAGGCAAATAAAAAGGTGGGGAAAGCAAGGGAGGGAGCAAATGTGGATCGTGCAGAAGCGTTGTAGGGAATCGGACAAGGGCCAAAAGAGGAGGAGGAGGAGGACAAGACCCGGTCAAAGTGAGCTTTTACTTTTTCCTCCTTCTTTTTTGGCATTATCGGACCAGACCGATCGCTGTCTATCTGTCACGGAACAACGCGTACGTACATCATCGCCGTTTGCTGACTCACAGCACTCCTCTAGATGAATGGATCACCATCTAACGTTCTTGCCCTTAGTTTTAATGCAAATCTCTAAACTGCCATTATACATACATGCAATTTTTCCCATAGTCTAATGAATATATTTGAGTAATCAAATTAGATGCTAGACTTGATAGAGACAAGAGAAACCAAGAATTTTGGTTCTTTAATATATTTGTTTATTTATATTTTGAACAAATATTCAAAGAAAAAATCTTAGCTCCATCTCTCTCAAAAAACACTCTACAACTGTTTTCACTTTGAGGGAGGAGAAAGTCACTATTTTTCATCCCTTCTCCCCTCCTCTCTTTTTCCCCTCTCCCCTTCTCCTATTTTCTCTAATTTTTAGAAACAGAAGGCTTCACCTATTTGTCTTTGTTTTGTAATAATTTTTCTCCACTCATTACAAGTGAAAATGCCTCGACATTGAATCTTCACATGAGTCTCGGTGTCGGATCTCTACCACCATCTTTTTTGCAGTTTCTTTATATTTGAAATAAGTCACAAAGACTTTTTGGGTTTTCTATGTAGTTTTTACCTCTCCTTTTGTGAGAGTTTTATTTGTATTGTTATGGCTTGATTTTTTTCAAGCTTTATCTATTTTTGGTTATTTTGAATTTACAATCTTAGTTAAGATGCCTATGCCATAATTTCTTCGATCGTGCATGATTGTTAGTGGAGAAGTCCTATACTATCTTAATTTTGATGTTAGATCGCTCCATTATTGGAATGATCCTTTGTGAGTAGTGCCTGTTTTGGTGGAATTATGAATGCAATTCCAGAATTTCTCAAAAAAGAAAAAAAGAAAGAAAAATACTAGACTTGATATTTTCAACCCAAAAATCCTATATAAAAAGCTTGACATATACAAGCATATATAACATATGTCATCTAATTAAGTTGTTCTATTAATTTTAGCAATTCAACTTATAATACCATTACTTGGCGGTGGTGCCATACATGGAAAATAATGAAATAGTTGTAAGCACTTGGTCAAATCAAAGATCATAGATAGCTTATAACTAAATGAAATCATAGATAGTTGAGAAATGCACATTGGGAGATTACTCTATCCTCTTATTTGGTAGAGTAGCGTAGTAACCGAAATAGAAATTTTACATTTGTGCTTAAAACCAATTGATAATTGCTGAAAAAATTTAGGATCTTTTGAATGCATGTGGGATAATTCGTGCTACCAAATATGTTATCTTCCCCATTTTGCTAACACCATACCTTAGAAATTAATTATATAGGAAGGCGAACATTTTGTAAGAATATGTACACATGTATTATTACACATGCATCTGCCCCCCAATGGGCCATAGATACATATATGCTTCCTTGACAACAACACAATGTGTATGTAATCTTCTTCCAAAGACTTGACTAAATTTGAAATTAATACATCTGACTGTTTGAGAAGAGTAAAATTGAAAGACTTTGTGCGTAATCTATCAATATATTATACAAACAGGTATTTACAAAGAGATTCTTAGCATTTTAACACACTCGCATTCTTTCTTTGAAATTGGAAAAACTTGGGCTAAATTTTTTTGCCCTTTCTCTCTTTTTTTTTTTTTTTTTTTTTTTTTTTTTTTTTTTTTTTTTGTCATTGCCTCTTACAAATTCATCATCCATCGGCAGTACTATTATTCAGCATTTATTTCACAATGAGATATTTTTCAAGTAATTAAAATTATTGTATATTCAGCAACTTCAAAAAATAAGATAGCCGGTAAATAGATGCAGAGAAACACAACCCAAGTTGAAGTAATCAAAGCCAAACTCTATCTTCTCACATGCTAAAACTGCGCATTTTTCGATCAAGATTCATTTGTAAAAACTAAAAACTAGCTAATCAAATTTTGCTTCCATATTTTGAACAAGGGTAGTCTTGGAACAATATTCCTAGTCAGCGTCTACAAAAAGGAGCAGGAAACGGTCTCGCCCCCGACCAGGCCATAGATTTATTTCGCCCCATATATAACTGCCAAAACCACCCGACTCCCCTTGTCTTTCGAATTTTTACACCTCTCCCTTTCTCCTTTTTCTCTCCTCTGTCTCTCTGTTTCTCATTTCTCTCTTTTTCCTTTTCCAAATTTAGTTCCAGGAGAGAAAAAACGAAAACACACACCAGTAAACAAAAACAATCCCGAAAATGGGTGCCACAGATAACCAGGGTTCGTTTCTGAACCGAATCAGCATCCGAAGAAACCAGGTGGTTTCCATGGAAGGCAACCACGAGCAAGAGCTCGAAGACCTCGAACACTTCCAGAAGCACGTCGCCGATCGATTCTCCGACCTCTTATCTCCCTCGGAAGACTTTCCCTCCGACCCGATGCTATCAATTGCGTGGGTCCGGAAGCTGCTCGACGTTTTTCTCTGCTGCGAGGCCGAGTTCAAGGCTGTTCTGCTGATGGGTCGAGACCAATCTCAGATTTCCAAGCCCCCACTCGACCGTCTCGTCCCCGAGTTCTTGGACCGCGTTGTCAAAGCGTTGGACATTTGCAATGCGGTCTCGCACGGGGTCGATTCCGTCAGGCATTTCCAGAAGCTGGCTGAGATTGCGGTCTCTGCTCTGGAGCAGAGGCCGATTGGGGACGGCCAGGTTCGGAGAGCGAAGAAGGCGCTGAGCGCGCTGGTGACCGGGATGGCGGTGGAGGACAAAGAAGGGGGTGGAAACAAAGCCACCGAAAGAAACTGGTCTTTCGGTCGCAGGAGTGGCGTTTCTGCCCCTAATAAAGAGCGGGCTGTCGGGCATTTTCGGGCTTTGTCGTGGGGAATGTCAAAAGGCTGGTCCGCCGCCAAGCAAATTCAGGCGATGTCGAGCAATCTGGTGGCTCCGAAAGGCAATGAGGCCTCTGGGTTGGCCCAGCCGGTTTACATAATGAGCACAATTATGCTGTTTGTGATGTGGATGTTGGTGACGGCGATCCCCTGCCAGGAGAGAACCGGGCTGATGACGCATTTTCCGGTGCCAAGGAATTTGTCGTGGGCTCAGGCCATGATCGGCCTCCAGGAGAAAATCACCGAGGAGTGGAAGAAGAAGGAGAAGAAGGGCTCGGCTGGCTTGCTCGAGGAGATGCAGAAGATGGAGAAATTGGGGCAAAGTTTGATCGAGTTTTCGGACTCTTTCCAGTTCCCCGCGGAGGCGGAAAAGCTGGAGGAGGTTGCTGCGCAGGTGGCGGAGTTGGCGGAGACTTGCAGGAAAATGGAGGAGGGTTTGGTGCCTTTGCAACAGCAGATCAGAGAGTTGTTTCACAGGGTGGTGAGGAGCAGGTCTGAGGTGCTTGATGTTTTGGACCAAGGAGGCAAAGCCTCCGCGCCCGTCATGTAAAGATCAAAACTTGGGTCCTGACTAGTCAAAGACGAACAACAATCGAAAAGTTCAATTTATTCAAGGAGGTGAATTTTGCAATGTTGTTCGTAGTTTCAAATTTGCCATCAAGAGCACAAGAAGGTTTTTTTTTTTTTTTTTTTCTGATCTTGCATGTGAATTAGAGTATAGTTATTAGAAAGGGTTCATTTCGGTAGGAGTATACATAGCCCAATAGCCAAAGTGCTTCAGCCAGCCTATACAGAATGTGCTGAAGTATGCTTTGCTTATCTACTCTGTTTTTCTTTCCTTGTGTTCTTGGTTGGTTATTTGGGTACAGAAAATCTAACTGAAAAGAGAAAATGTACATACCCAATTGAAGTCGGTGTTTTCTCTTTTTCTATTTGGGTTCTTCAATTCTCTTTTTCTTTTCTCCTTTGTCAATATTTGTTCCTGATTGTGTTCTGCAGTTTCTGCTTTTGCTTTTTGCTTTTTGCTTTCACCAAACACTTATAAAATATTCAATTTTGGAGACGTCAAATCATAGTGAAAAAGTCTTGAAGACAAGATGGTGCCCTTTAACTACCAACCGAAAGTGAAAAGGCATAACCGCAATTGGGGCAAAGACAACTTGTATGATTGGCAGTCATCTGTGCCACTTGTTTCACAGGAACAACCCGCAGATTACAGTACTGGCCAAAATGCTAGGTCATCCTGTTTTTTTACCACAACTAACTTCTTCAGGGTCATTTGTGGCATTAGAAGTTTGGAACTATTTATGGTGACTTGGAGGAACCAACACACAGCGTATATAAAGTAAAGAAGACATATGGGCTAGGCAAGCCTGTCTGTGACTTGGGTTTTTGGGCATGTAAAAGAGCAAAGCCTGTAACTTTTGAGGCCCCTTACTGATTGCAGTTTCACATTCCCCATATGACCCACCAACTTCTTCAACTTCTGATTCATGAGTGGAAAGCTTAGCTGCAAACTTTTGATTCATGAGTGCGAACTTTTGTTCTTATCTGTTATTTCCTGGATTTTGGTTTCTGCCATTTTGGTCCATGCAGAGCTCAAGGATAGGTTAGATTGTTGTAGAAGAGTGGGGATTTAGTTCTTATTATGGCAGCCACCCCAACTGACAGATATTCCTACTGCAAAGTGAAGGCAAGAAAGATTTGAATGCAATAGCGATTCTTTTGTGCGACTGGTGTATACGGCATCACACTCACAAGGATGGTATCACGACTGGGTCATATGATACCACATTATAAGCACCTCTAGTCTTTATGAGAGTAGTGTTACGTGGTCTGAGTCATATATAAGAATTTCTCTCAATAAATAAGAGAATTAAATTTGTTGGTGTTAGGATTATATATTTGTCATAATGATCAGAGATTAATATGGCTTTTAGGGGAAATCAAACGTTTAATTCTATTTTTAAGGCTTAACTAAAGGACAAACGATGTGATTTGAGTGAGATATGGGGCATGCTAATCTTCTCTGTATCGTTCCAACTTTATCGGATGTCTCTAAAGGGATGCCGTGTCATAAACTTCTTTCTCAGTGAACTTCTTGGACCTCAGAGCATGACTAAATGGGTCGAGTCGAATCATTTGTGTAGATGGGCTTGCTTCCTCAAGATCCATTAAGAAATTGATTAAATAGACTGGACCAAACCCAATTCTAACTTTTAAATTTCACGAAGAGAGGCCCCACCCTTTTCTGTTTCACCAAGTTGGGCCCACTTTGGGGTCTAAAAAATCTAGGTCTAAACGACGACTTACTTGCAAATGAAAGCTTCACTTGGCTTCAGGAGAAACCAATTTGGTACATATAGCATTAGATTTTTGTATTTTATAAATCAAATAACAAATCAAACAACACTGTCGGCATGTAGAGACGTGGAACCTTCTCGAATAAATTACGTGGACAGAACCAAACGACGACGTGTCGACCAATTTACTGGTTTCCGACTTTCCAATACGTAACTTATGCAAAGCAAAACGGCGCCGTATCACTCCCCAGACATTTGGAAACGTCCTCCATGGCTGACGCAGCGCCTTCTGAAGCCAGCGATTCACCCGCCAGCATACAGTTCTCCCTCACTGACCTTTGGATCTTTTCAAGAGCCACCCACCAATAATTAATTAATTAATTTAATTACAGAAAAAAATCTGAAAACAAAGCCACTCTCAGTTCCCAATGTCTTCAGGTTCGAGCTCTACAAAATCAAACCCCACGCTCACTCTCATCTCCATTTTACCTTCTTCAATCTTGATCGTCGTTGTAGAATCCCTAATTTTCTTTAATTTCATTTCTCTTTCTTGCTTGGCAAGCTACAGTTCGCAGACGAATGATGGCGAACCTAGCCAACTCTGTGTGCTTGAAGCACTCCGTTTCTCTCTGGTTCCCTCATCAATCCCCAGCAGCTCACCGCTCTTCTTCAATCGGATTCAGAACCTTCCGCAGAAGCTACGTCGTTTCGTCTTCATCTTTCTCCAATGAGAACCGGGAGTGAGTCATTCGAAAATTCAGTCTTTTCAGCTTTAAATTTTCGCACCGGTTTTTAAAGTTTTTGTGGAACTCTTTGTCCTTGCAGGTTTGTGATTGTTGGTGGTGGCAATGCGGCTGGCTATGCGGCAAGGACTTTCGTCGAACACGGAATGGCTGATGGACGCCTTGCGATCGTATCCAAAGAGGTAGTGAAATCAAATTTTCCATCCTTTTTGAAAAAATTTATTTGGTTATTGTTATTGAAGTGAAGTTTTGGTGGGTTTTGTGAACAGGCCCATGCTCCTTATGAGCGTCCAGCCCTGACAAAAGGATATTTGTTCCCTTTAGATAAGAAGCCAGCACGATTACCTGTAAGCTGAAATCACACTTGAGTCTATGAATTTTGAGTATTTTCTGAAATATGACATAATGGTCTTTATGGTTATGTTTTGGAGTTTAGAGTTTGAAATATTATTGTTATAGGGGTTTCATACTTGTGTTGGATCTGGTGGGGAGAGGCAAACACCTGACTGGTATAAAGAAAATGGGATAGAGGTAAATTTTTATTTTTATTCCTTTTCTTAGCATTTTTCCCAATTTTTGGAACTGCTTTATAAGTTAGTTTTTTGCAATGGTGCAAATGAAATGCTACAACGTTGTTGCCTTTTTTCAACTTTCTATTTAGATGTTCTATGAAGATCCGGTTTCAAATATTGATATCGAAAAACAGACCCTGACTACAAATTCTGGCAAACTGCTTAAGTATGGATCACTGATAGTCGCCACAGGATGTACAGCCTCAAGGTGCGTTTAGATAATTTTTGACAGTTACTGATTAGTTTATATAAATTATAATTGCTGATAGATTGTCCATAGCTAAACTAAAGCAAAGCTGCTTCCTTGACAATGGTTTCAGGTTACCGGAGAAAATTGGAGGAAACCTACCTGGTGTTCATTATATCCGGGATATTGCAGATGCTGATGCACTAATATCTTCACTGGTAAGTTTGAGATTAATTTGTTTTTAGTTTCTTTCCATGTTGCAATTACTAAATGAAGTGCGTATGGAACAATGAAATAGATCTACCTCTTTAAACTTTTAATGCAACTGTCGGATATTGTCTGAGATTAATGGAGAAGTCCCACATCATTTACACAAGTGTGTACTGTTTGAAGGTTTAGCTGTATTGTCATGTTGAGTGTCATTTGGCACTTCAAGCAAACTTGATTGACATAACGCAAGTGTGCTTGCTTTCTACGCTGCAGTACACTATCATGTTCAGTCATAGTGTTTATTCTGCTTTTTCAATGTCTTATGAAGCTTGTGTATTACATGCATATTTTGACACTATATCTGCTTTAGGAGTGTAGTAGTTGTTGTTCCCTTCAATTCATTAATCATCAATTATTTACTTGTAGCATTCAGTTAAATGGTAAGTTATGCAGACCCTGGATAAATGAAGTACAAACCTAGTAAATTTATTTTAAGAGGTTAATTTGTTCAATAATTTTCCTTTAGTCAATACCTGGTTACATGCTCTCTTGTAGAACTATGTTTTATTGAGGTTTGGTTTGTTGTTTGGACAAGTAACATATTCCTTTCAGTAAAATTTCGCATATTCTTTTCCAGGAGAAAGCAAAAAAGGTGGTTGTTGTTGGTGGTGGTTATATTGGTATGGAGGTTGCTGCAGCTGCTATTGGTTGGAACCTTGATACAACTGTGCGTGTTATATTCAACTTGGTCCTTTTTATGTTTCTTGGGATGACATAACAAAATGTTCATGAAGTGAAAAAAGTTTTAAATATGGAAAATTTGGATCTACATTTTTCTTCTCTTAATTTTTTTTTTAAATTTCTTTTTGAAGATCGTATTTCCAGAAAATTATCTTTTGCCAAGGCTGTTTACTCCTTCACTTGCCCGGAGATATGAAGAATTCTATCAACAGAAATGGTGTTAAATTCTTGAAAGTCCTCTCTCTCTCCTCAACCAAAACAAACACCCCCCCCCCCCCCCCCCCCCCCCCCCCTTTTTTTTGTAAGCTTGACACTTATACTATGTGATAATTTCCATTCGACCTGGATTATTAAGCTCATTTAAGTGTCAACCAGGGTGCCTCAATTAAAAATTTAGAAGCTGGTGTTGATGGACGTGTAACATATGTTAAGCTTGACGATGGATCTACTTTAGAAGCAGACACAGTAAGTTTCTGTTCCTACACATCCTTTGCTGTCAGGGTTTTTTTCATCATTGTGTCACCTTCCCCATTCATCTCGGATAATAACTAAAGATTTTCGAGTTTTGTGTTCATGAAATTGGAATACTTTCTGTTCTGTTTCTTTCCTTTTTGCAGGTAATTATTGGTATTGGCGCAAAACCTGCTGTCAGTCCTTTTGAAAGGGTGGGCTTGGAGTCCAGTGTTGGTGGTATACAGGTGCATATCCAAATTATGCTGCCACAAGTTGTGACACAAATGACATTTTGCCTTTTTTTTTTTTTTTTTTTTTTTTTTTTTTTTTTTATATAATATCGACATATATACTGTATTATGTATTGTGCACACCTTTAGATAGATAGACCCAGATTTAAATGCTAGATTAACTTTATTCTGTGCATATTAAACATATCAGGATTTAGAATCCTGAATTTTGAAATTTAAGAACAACAATAATTTCAAAGTCTGATAGCCAGGATTACTTCAAGTAGAATGTCCATTTGCTTTTTATTGTTGTTTATATCTTTGTACTTTGAAAACCAAGGTTGATGGTTTGTTCCGGACGCGTGTACCTGGAATCTTTGCAGTGGGAGATGTTGCAGCATTCCCATTGAAGGTATAACTTTATTTAAATTAAGCAGAAAAGTATTTCTTAATCTGAATTCTGAAAGAAAATATGTGTTCCACTGAACAGATGTATGACCGTATAGCGCGAGTTGAACATGTAGATCATGCTCGTCGTTCTGCACAGCATTGCGTTAAAGCTTTACTGAGTGCACAAACTGACACGTATGTTTGCCTCTCTATATTTGTAGTCTAGTCTTTTAGAATACAAGATGAATTTCATTTTTCTTTGATTGCCTTGTGCTGAAACTTCCTTCTTGATGATTTGTGTCGCTGCACAAAAATCCAGATATGATTATCTCCCATCTTTCTACTCGAGGGTATTTGAGTATGAAGGAAGCCCCAGGAAAATATGGTGGCAATTTTTTGGGGACAACGGTAAGAATCTATGTTGCTTGCAATTTTATGGGCTCTAATTTATATGTTTTTTTCACGCTGTTATCATGTTATTGAACAGTTGGAGAGACGATTGAAGTTGGTAATTTTGATCCCAAGATTGCTACTTTCTGGATAGATTCTGGTAAACAATCTCTCTCTCTCTCTCTCTCTCTCTCTCTATATATATATATATTATATACACAAATTGTATTCGTCTATTTAATTACAGCTGAAATGAAAAGTTTATTCTTGCTGTGCTTCAGGTAAATTGAAGGGTGTTCTTCTTGAGAGCGGAAGTCCTGAGGTACATTTTGTTCTGTTTACTCTTTTTTTTGGCTAGACAAGGCACAGGGCTGGGGCTTGAACCCAGACCATGTCGTTGGGGGCCAAGCTTTTGGATAGCAGTAATGATAGAGGAGTCATAATGATAAGAAACAGATACATGAATTAGTTTTCAAAATGGATTGTGTGAGTTTTTTCTTCTTAAATTTTGTACAGTATCAGAAAAGACTGCCAAATAATACCCAAAAAGGAGAACGAGTACTAGTATTATAATTCAACTGACTATCACACTATCTGAAGTCACAATCATATCTTGTCCTGCATGGCCCTAACACCTAATGCTGTGTTGTCAAGGAATTTCAACTCCTTCCGAAACTTGCAAGGAGCCAGCCTATTGTTGATAAAGCCAAGCTTCAGAACGCATCTTCAGTTGAGGAAGCACTAGAGATTGCCGGGTCATCGAAAGCTGCAGTATAGCAAGGAAAAGAGCAGCTTGTTTATGTACTGTTTATCAAAACCCGAAAGAGTTTTACATCGACAGATGTTTAGGTAGAGGACAAAAGCTGTTTAGATGCCCTCATGCTTTAAGCCTTCCCCCACTTCGGTGAAATTTGAGGTAGTTGGTGTAGACAGAGTTGCATAATCGAGGAGTACGCAGAGAAAGAGAGAGGTTGTATAATTCCTTTGTTAGACAGGTTTTTTTACCTGGTTAGTGCTTTAGGAATAAGTCATGCGGCTATCTGTATACAGTCAATGTTCTTCACATAATAAATTGACTGTAATTTAGAGGCAGTAAAAGTAACTAGAGTTTACCCCTATGGATAAATTCTTCTGAATACTCATCAATAGGAATCAATTGCGACAAAATTTATCCGCTTGGTGTTACCATGATACAGAAAATTTTCTTATATAGAACCCATGAATTTAAATATAACCTTCAAATACTACGGTCTAAATCATTAGATTTTTATTCCGAGTAATTAAGAAAAAACAAAATAAATACTAAACTGTGCAACAACAATTTATTAATGATGTGATTTGATCATATTACTCATATTAATAGTTGGATCAAATTCAGTCAAAGCTGATCAAATACATCATTGATCTTACTCAGTTTTGAAGTTTCCAATTTTTTAAGATCATTTAAGCTCATAGTTGAAGTAAATCTACGTTGAGACCCAAAAAAATCCAAGGGGCTAAGCCCAGATTAATTCTTGGCCCAACTCGGATAATTGAACGCAAAAGAAGCTCAATCGGGATAAAAGAGAATTTGTATGACACACCAATACAAGCTACGGGCCACGTGTCATGCCAAGTAAGCACGCGCAAAAGGGCCAAGAGAATGCCAACTTTACAAAATCACGTTCACATATGCACGCGCAAAAGGGCCAAGAGCATGCCAACTTTACAAAATCACGCTCACATACCCGTTCGGTATTTCTTGGCTCGATTATAGCCTATTACGACATAATAAAACTCAATCACAAGCGTAGGTGTCATGCAAGAAGAGCTATTATTCTAACACCAAGCTATGCCACAAGCTTAAGTGGACTCAAGCCACAAAATTACCCGGGGCTTGTTGAGAAGGTTGTTGTGTGGATAGGAGCAAGTGCTCACAATGCCCATTTGAGGGATCAAGGAATGAGAATTTTGGGCTACTTGAGAGCACCAAAACTCAAGCCCATTTCTTGGGTTCAAACACATGGACTAGCATGAGAGAGAGAACATGACCCAATGCCTTAGGAAGAATACAGTAGTTTTGCTTAGAAAACCCTATGCTAATTAGAATGCCCAAATACTTTGTTAAAAACGCAATAGGCAAACTGCTTCCAGCAGCTTGATGAAGACAAGTTGACCAGTCGCTGTAGAGTAGAATATCACTAACCCAAAGCCTTGGGAAAAGCCCAGCCCAACACTCTATAAATATATGGCAAACACGTTCAGCCTTTGCCCAAAGGAGTCAATGGAAGCCAACACAAAAACCAGAGGAAATCCATGCGAGCAAGAGGTTTACTCGTTGGGTAAAACAGCATGCCCATTCCCCCTTTTTCTCTGTTAGCTCCCATAGGAAAAATCGATAAGAAAGTAAGTGGCACCTCACCCTCATGGGGAGGTCCAGCTGCGTTGAACCCTTGGAACCACAAAGGGTTCCTTACCCATGCACCTTGGATAGGAGAATTTCACCAAAATAGGATTAAGTGGGGATGAGCAAAGAAAAATGAAGAAGAAGACTAGATAAAATTAGGGTTCTTCGTGCCTATAAAAATAGCCTCTTCTATCCAACGAAATCATCATCCAGAGCCTGACCAAACTTTGTCAAGCATCTGAGAATTTACTCAAGCCACCTAATCTTCTTCTTCGTTTGTTTTTCTTCCTCCTTTAAGATAGAAATCGTTCTAATTTTCCTCTATCTTACTGCAAACTTTCGCTCTCTGTAAGAAACTCATGCTTATCTCTCTCTCTCTCTCTCTCAAATTGCTAAACTTGTGAAAGCTTAGCTCCCATGCCACAAACTCCTTAAGCTAAGCCATTAATCGATTTATCATGTTTATTTGGCTATTGGTGAAAAGAACCTAAGAGTGTTTTTCTAAAGTTTCATCAGACTTTTCAAAAACTCTTTTGGGGGTTTGGTTTTCGAACTCAGACACTTGGGAAATTTTGTTTTTTTTTCTACTTATGGCAGTCCAAGCCCATTCGTCAGGCTGTTGGAACAAAAAGACCCTTACAATCTACACACACAAAAATAATAATACAGCTCATAATTAAATTGGAACGAAATTATTTAAATTATAATACCAATTATTATTTGAAGAAAACGTTAACACACAGTGGACTGACACACGAGCTCGTGTGTATATTTATATACACAGAAATGAATGGATGCTATGTTTAAAATAAGGAAGATGACATCAGTGCTTATCATGGATGTGGAAACGTTGGTGGCGTTCGGTTTTTCTAACTAAATTATAATATTTGACCAGAAAAATAAAATAAAACTAAATTAAATAATTAAAAGCATATGTTTAAATAGTGAAAAATATAAAATTAAAAATAAATAAATTGTGGAGTAGATGACAGTAGCCATCGATATCCAAATTGCTGATCATCTCTATTTTAGGAGGCAATATTTAATGATCTGATCTGATGGGATATTATCAAGTTGGAAATTTTTCGTTTTATTTTAAATAGTTGTTGTTAGTGTCTGTCAGCCAGAGACTGGTTCCTCCCTCTCTTTTCCATTTCGTAGATTTTTTTTAACCCAACATAAATTCTTATGTTGATTTTTTTTTCTTCTTCTTCCTTGGAGCATAGGTCTTAAGATGATTTGATTGACTGAACACAGTCGTGCACTTGCATCTCATTACTGAATTGACTCAATTTTCTCATTCCTCGGTATAAGTTTCGAAAGAAAACGTTTATCATTTCTCAGTATAAGTTTCAAAGGAAAACGTGAAAATAAGAATCATTTGTAACAAACAAAACAAAAAAAGGTATAGAACCATTTAGTTTTTTTTGAAAGTACCGCTTGACTCATTATTTTTTCTTTGCTATTTATCAATAATAATTTGACATATGTATATAACTGAGACTCGGACAAATTTTATACACCCGTCAAACTATGATTTGTTTATAAAGGAAAGGGAATAATTGCATTGCATGTAAAGAACTTTCTACTTGGCATTATTGAGAGAAGGATTTAACTTAAGAAACGTGTGGTGTTTTCGCTATCATCATCAATTTCTTTTGTGACTTATATAAAGAAAAATTAGAATAGGCAACACACGATAGAGAAGAGGACCACCAAAATTTGGCCAACTCGTAGACACATCTATTCTTAATGGGGTTCAAAAATTGAAACAAATTTAATTTCTTGCTACAATAATGAGATGAGAGCAACTAATAATAGAAAGTAAAAAAAAACAAACATAGAGATATATATTTTCCACAGACCCAAAGTCACGCCGACAGGTCTCAATTTCTTGCACTACCTAAACGTCCCACAGCCTGAGTGGGTAGAAAAGTACAAGCAATTCAGGCAGAGGAACAAGGCCGCCAGCGAGGACAAAATCCACGATTGACTGATTCCTTGTCCAACAAGGCAAGCCCTTCCCCTCCATTTCCAACTTTAAGTACTTGACTTTTGGTTTGTTGGCTTTATATATTAAACCCGCGGCAGGCTTGGGCTCATTGGTCTGTCCGTCTTCCTCAGGACTTTTTCTCCTCTTGACTCCTCTCTGTTTCTTCTTCTTCCTCCTCCTCCTCATAACCCTTTGCCCAGTTGGCTCAGAACAATTTTTGATTAGTTTTTGTTACTATTTTATTGTTCTTGGTCAGAGCTCAGGACCCAAGTGAAATGAAGGTGTAGTTTCTCACTTTGCTTTCAAACCCAATCTTTTATGCTTTAGTTTCATTCCTTGTTGATGCAGCGTTTTCTGCAACTCTCTGTTTTTTATTCATTTATTTTCTTTCAAAGATTCATGGGTTGATGGCAATATCTTTATCTGATATGTCTGATATCATATAGGTAATTAATTTTTAAAGACCTCTGCCTTTTATCATTTCAGAAAAGAGAAACATCCTTTTCTCTACTTGTTTTTCTTTTTTCTGCTTTTGTAACTTGTTTGGACTTCAAACACTTTACCATCTCTATGAACATGCATGGTTTTGGTGACTGGTATCAGAAGAAAGCATTGATTTTTTGGTCCGAGAAGGATTGTTTTGTTCCTTCCATTTTCGTCTACTGATTGAAATTTCTTTTTCTTTTTGCAGAAGGTGGTATTGAAATTGGATTTACACGATGACAGGCAAAAGCAAAAGGCCTTGAAATCAGTCTCCAGCCTTACTGGTATGAACTAGTTAAGCAGATCAGTTTTTGTGTTTTTGGCTCCATCTGAACTTTTGATTCTTTGAATATAACGTGCGTCAAAAGCTTTCAATTATTTTAATTTTGAGTACATGATGGAGCATCCATGTAGCAGATTGTGACTGGACTCAAGAGAATTTTCAGTCATATATACTTTTTTCAAATTTAATATTTCATGCACTTATTGGACTCTGTTTTCCTCTGTTCTGTGACTTTTGCAGGCATTGACTCTATTGCTATGGACATGAAGGAGAGGAAACTAACCGTGATCGGCGACATAGACCCGGTCGATGTGGTAGCCAAATTGAGAAAATGTTGGCACACAGACATAATAACAGTTGGACCAGCAAAAGAAGAAAAGAAAGATGAGAAGAAAAAAGATGAAGGCAAGAAGGAGGGTGATAAGAAGAAAGACCCAGTTGCTGAGCTTGTCAAAGCCTACGAAGCCTACAATCCTTGCATGACCAAGTACTACTGTGTGCAAAGTGCAGAAGAAAACCCTAATGCATGTGTGATATGTTAAATTAATTTTGCCATTTAGGGCCAGTTAATTGAGGATGGTAAGCATAGCATGCAGTTTGATCATGTATTGGTAAGGCATCTGATCTGAATTATGTTTTTGAACCAATTGGAGGCCAACCAAAAGAACAGTCTGTGGTATGTACAGTAGTACAAGTAGCTTGAGAATAAGTGTTTGAAAATTTCAAGCATTTTGGTAGTGCTTGATATTCATTTTGGGGGTTTTTCAAGTTTGCTGCAAATTGATCAAGCTAACATAATTAATCATACTTAGAACACTGTTTATCCACAGTTAACCTACCTAACCTCTATCAGATTCATGTCTGTTTTGATCTCTCAACTTCTTGCTAGTGCAGTGCCAATTTAATCTGTTTAAATAAAAGGTGGGAAATCAACTTTTGTTTCTTTGACAAGTAGTTGAAGCTTTATTTTAAAATCCAAAAAGGACAATGATGCTACCAAGTACTTTTTTTTATATATTGGAATAATTAATTTGAAATCTGTGGGATCAAGAAACCCACTTGTGTTTTATCAGGAACAAGCAGTGGCAAACAACTCAGTTCCAAACCCAGAAAAAAAACCACCACCAAGGGCGGTGGCAAACAATAAATTTCACTTCTAGAAGAGACCAAAGCTTATGTTGAGTACTTTTCACAAGTATTTATACACGTAAATGCATGTCATACATATTCTCAGTACTTTCAGGTTAAATTCAATACATCAGAAGAAGAAGAAATAATTGCAGTTGGTCCACATCCATTTTGAACAACAACCAAATGAAAGCATGTCAATTTATTTTTTCTTCATATGACAAATATACTAGTAGCAATATGGCTGTTAACCATCAATTTCTTACTGTAATGTAGCTGGAGCAGTTTCTAAATGTTACCTTGTTACTCACAGTTTTTATTTATTTTGGGGGGGTGTTCAAAATTAGCAATCTGAGATTGAAAAAAGTTAAGAGATAGTCTTGTAAGTGGTAAACTTGAAAGGGCTACTTTTGGATGATGTGAAGTTTCCAATTGATAATGTCTCTGTCGCAGAATTATATGCGGCAAAAAGAAATGTTAATTAATTATTTAGTTAGTGCTCCTATTAGTGCAGAGGTTAAATGCAAATTTATAGATCGGGCACAAGTTTGGCTTTTAGATGAAGTGAGGAGACAACTTTAAGATGATTTTGGAAGAACGGGGTTTTCTCACACACACTGCCAATGTGCTATGGGAATTCGAATCTGAGACCACTAGTCTGCAAGTTAAGGCCTTTTTTCCACTAAGTTAAATCCCGTTGAGAAATGGAAGACCACTTTTATATGACTTATTTGAAAAAACACACATATGCCAAACTTTAATGTCATCATTAAAATGTTTATGTACGTGTAGCTGCTAGTGCAATGCCATGGTCCTTGGACTTAACAGTGTACAAGGTGAAGTCATCTTTTCATGCTTTTTTGTTTACCAATAATCTAACTAATCTTTGGTTTGTTTAAGCAAATCCATCCCAACTCCATCGTTCTTTATCCTTTGATGGGAACATAAGAGATAATAATGACTGATTAATTTAAATTAATGTGAAGCAGATGGTGACATTGTAACAAGCAGAATAAGGATGAGTAGTATTGAATTGATCACAGCTATCATGCTGATGAGCAGTATTTGCTTATACAAGCAAAAGATTTCTCAAAACATCCCCATTGCGGTGGGTAGTTTGCTCTTTTTGTCGCTTGGAAAAAACCGGATCAATGACATCACAGTTAACTTCCCTGTAGTGTCTTGGTGGCGGGTAACCTTAAGGTTTCTACGAATAAACATATCCCTAATGAGTGTTTGTGAAGAAAAGAGCCACATCAAAAGTAAGGCTTCCTTGTGTTGAGAGGAACAGACCGGCCCGACCCACTAACAACATGGGCCGGACTAATACATCGTAGTGATGGGTGTAAACGAGAGCTCAGTCAAGCCGAATATCATAGTGCTCAAGTTTAGCTTATTCATATTCTATGGAATTTTGGCTCAATTCCGATGAAAACAAACACAACACTTTAGAGTTTGTAATTTGGTACATGGTCGTAAAGACCTACTAATATATTTCTCTGCAGTTTCTTTCTCTGACTCTTTATGAAATGCATGAATCTATTAGGATTTCTTATATATGCAGTTGTTTTGATCTTAAAACATATTGATGTAAAACAATTAACATCGAATTAAATTCTTCAAATATATTTTGTGAGAAATCATTACAAACAAATACAATCTTTTTTTCACTGATCAAGTGAAAAGAAGGAAAAATGCACATCATTCTGTAGTTAATACTGAAGAGATGGCATGAAAATAATTTCACAAGAAAAGAATTTATAGATTCTGCCTACTTTTGGTAGTCACGTTTTTTAAGTCATGGCTCGAACCAGAGGCGATTGAGGCGACATCATGCACGGCGACATCATGATGTCATCCATTCGTCGTGATTGGAAGCTGAGCCTGAGGTTGCTTTGCCAGACCCTGTTGTTCTTCCTTGGCGCCACAGCCTCCTTATCTTGTAGCACGAAGGTTCGGATTCGAGTTAAAGCAATTTCCATGGTCTTGTCATCCATGTTGGCAAAGCAAACTCTGAACCAGCCTGGTTCAGGGCAATGGAAAGAAGAACCTGGTGACACATTGAGCTTAACTTCATGGATTATCGTGTGCCACAACGCCATCTCAGCTTCAAATGTCTGCTCCTTGAGGAGCTTGTGCAAGTCCATCCATACAAAGAGCCCACCATTGCTCTTCAAACAACTTGTGCCTACTTGAGCAAGTCCCATAGTGAAGCGCATGTGCCTTGCTTTCAGCCTTTTAGCACTCTGTGCAATAAATCTGTCCACAAAATCATTGTCTGAAAGCATGGATGCGATCAGATGTTGAGTTTGCGTAGAGACTAAGCCGAAGCTTGACATTTTTCTTGCGCAATTTACCACCGCGTCATTGTAAGAATACACAATGCCAACTCTGAAGCCAGGGAACCCCATGTCCTTTGAGAGGCTGTAGACAATGTGAACAAGGTTGCGGTCGCATTCGATATCTTCCTCTATGATTTCTGCAATGCTTATGAAGCTTGGCTGGCTGAAGACAGTGGCAGCATATATTTCATCACACACCAGGTGGATTTTCTTTTCATTGATGAAGGCCACTAGGCTTCTTAGAGTCTCTCTGTCTAGGACAGTGCCCAAGGGGTTTGAAGGATTGGTGATCAGCAAGCCCTTTACTCTGATGTTATCCTTTTGAGCTTTCTCATAGGCAGCCTCCAAGGCTGCTCTGGTGACTTTGAAACTGTTGGAGCTTTCACAAGCAACTGGAATAAGTTGCACCCCCGTTCGCCATCCAAGATCTCGATCGAAACTGCAAATAAATTCCAAAAAAAAAATTAGCAATTGCTGGAGAATGGATATAAGTTGTTCAAAGATTATTTCCCTTAATTTAAACTCTGCTGCCTTTAAACAGTTTCATTATAAAGTTTTTCACCAGGGAAAATTTGTCCCTGCTTCGACTGCTTTTGACATGAGGTGGAAATTACTGAGCCACCATGAAAGGGTAAGAATTGTACACAAGTTCAGTGCATCCAGCTTCTAAGATTTCAACTAATTGGCTAGAACTGAGAAAGGGATCGATTCTTTTATAGATAAAAGTGTCCAAAGTCTGCACAGTTGTAAACAGTCCTCTAAAGGGAAAGTGGACCTCATTTTCCCCAAGCATCTTTTTCCTTTTTGTCAAAATGTGATACGTATTGAATGGTTTCTAAGACAATCTGCTGACCCAGTTGTCATTGATTGTTTTCAGGTCCCCACCTAAGCTCAAGTTGGTCCAAGGTCATAGAGTTTTGATTTGAAATAAAAGTCAAGGTCCACTTATAAATTGCTAAACGTCTCATTATCATGCAAATGGCCTACATTTTCCCAAAAGAATATTAGAACATACCCTGGATAATAAGGAACCGGCACCAGAAATGCATCCCCAGGATCAGCCAAGCAGAAGGCTATCATCTCATGAGCTCCGGTTGCGCCTCCACTCATAACAATCCGGTCGGGGTCAAAGGTGACTCGATTTCCTCTCGCTTTTCCCATGAAATTTGCAACAGCCTGTGGATTTATCACCCCAATAATTATGTCAGTATATAGCCAAATGTTAATGAAATATTGCTAGATTAAGGTAACAAATCAGTGATGCTAATAAAAAGTGCAGCATATATATCTTGAGTGCATACATTTCTGAATTCTGGCAATCCATGATAGTCCTGAAAGATAGCTATGTCTTTGAACTCATTTACTCCTGCTACTGTGCAAATGGAGGCTTCTGGGTTCTTCAAAACCCACTCTTCAATCAAATCAAAGCATAGCTGCACACAGAAGGAGAGAAAACAAGAGTTAAGTAATTATGCTCTTCAAAAACCACCTAATTAACTTGGAAAAGAATGAAGAAAGGTTTCATTTTTGGAAATTCTTACTTGATTTTCTGCAAGACCCATCTGGATAACCCCATTAGGGTTCTTGGTGGGATGAAAGGGATTACTATCATAGGCCTTCCAGCCATCAAAGTATGGAGAGTTTTCACCATGCCCATTTCCAGTTGCCATTTTAGACAAGAGTTGCTGTTGGTTGCTCACAGTGAACGCCATTGTGTATATGCCTTAAAGATCCTTGCAATGCAGTGAGAAATATATCTATCAAAGTGTAAATTATTTATAAAAAGAAGAGAGAAGCAAGAGGGTCTAGTCTTTTGGGCAGTGCTAATAGTTTGCTTTAGACCGCTATGCAAATCCTAAAAGAGATATAAAGATATATGTAAGTTGGTTGAGGAATGCAACTTCCTTAAATGGTATTTATAAAGTAAGAAGCCTGGTCGGAGAGATGACTATGCAATATTAAGTTGGACTTTTGTTCTAAGGAAATGAGAATCTGATGAAGTTTCCTATGAAGGAGCACAATGGTCGCTTCTTTGAAAATCTTGGTTATAGTAGGTGGGTGTTTTGATTTTCATTTCCAAGTTATAAATTATACTTATGACTTTGAAGCTGAGCTGGGGAAAAGCACTTTCATGGTCATTTCCTTATGTAAAGGACAAAGCTTGTAAGTTAAAGTATCTCTACCGTCAGCCATGATCAATAAATTTCATGTTCCATATTCTGAATATGGGTCTATATTTAGTAATGTTGGTGTTGGTGGCTCAGTACAAGCCATGATGTGTAAGTCCACATTAGAAAATACAACAATAATAATCTATATTTGAACTGTAGAGGTCCATTGAACCTAATTTAACTCATAGAGGTCCATTCCTAATTGCACCGGGACCTTTTAAATTAAAACCCTACTCCTAGAGGTCCATTGAACCTAATTCAACTCATGTATTCCAGGTGATCAAAGTAAGGACAATATCGGTGCATGGTTTGAACACAGGTAGTGAACTCCTATTAAGTTAATTGGTACAACAAGTCAAATCAATGAGCAATTGACTCTTATTGGGTCCCGTTGATACAAGTCAAACCATCTTGTAGAGAAGATTGTAGCAAAACAAAATTCTATTAGTGAGTGGAATCATGCTAGCATGTTGATGTGGCACGACTAAACCACTTAAAATCGAATTTGTGATCTCTTTTAGAGCATCTCCAAGGGGGATGTCAAATACCAAACATCAAATTTAAATTTGATGGCTGATGTGACAATTTGACATTTATACAGTTTTATACTCCACCCGATATGTCAAATAAATAATTATTGTAACAGTCAAATCATTTAAGATAAAGAAGAAAAAAAATATAAAAAGGAAAATAATGAATGAAAGCAACAACCAACTATCTTTAAAAATAATAAAATATTCATTTGACATCTTACTTTTGGAATGTTAAAAATAACATCTCAACCTCCAGCCTTCATTCCACATCAGCTTTGACACATCGGTTGGAGTGATGTGATATGTTATTTCTAGCCATTAAATGTCTATGTGGCACTTTTAACACATCGGTTGGAGATGCTCTTAGATCCGCCAAATTAGTACAGTGTAATGACGCAGTATGATAATTCATCGGATTTTGTAGACATGTCACTAGGGAATTATGTGACGTTATAAATTGTGAAACATTGCCATCATTCATTAGCTGTCTGTTTGCCAACTTACTAACCTAATAAGTATCAGGAGGGCTCGTAATTCTCAATCAATTGCAGTCTTAAGTATGACTTCTACTGGTTAACATCTTGAAATCTTGATTGGCTCTGGAGTGAATTTAATTGTAGTGGTTAACATTTCCATTGGCAGCCCTATTTTTCCATAGATTACACAGAAAGACACTTATATTAATTCAAAGTTCCTTGTTTTATTCCTTAAGGCTCAAGAATTCAAAAGAGAGCTTTGAATTCACTGGTGGCCCTTCTAGAATGTTCAAATTTTGGCCCCATATATCAAAAGAACCTGAGAATCAGATTTTTATTCCACAAATTAATGGTTTAGTCTCCAAATCATGTGGAGGCAAAACAACGGTCTTTGACTGCAATTGTCTCCAGCACTTACAGAAGTTCTTGCTTGCTGAGGTGGGTGTTTGCCATAGATTATTTTATCATCAAACTAACATATTACGTTGTCAGACTGTCAATTTAAATTAACATTTAGACACAAACATTGAGATGCCGTGCAAAAGAGCAGGGACCAAAGCCACCCTTATGCTTTGGATTATATAGTTAAAACTTGAAAGTAGTAAAATTGAGATGTAGGGTTTTAGGTTCTTGTATTAAAAATATTTAACATATGGGTGGCTGTTATTGGAATTCTTATCAACCATGTGGGTGGCTATAACAAATGGGTCAGGGCGTGAGACTTTCTTGGTCAGCCGCAGTTGTTCATAAAGACTGCTTGCTTAGTGATGCAGAGTGTGTCGTTGAACCGGCTTTGCATTTGTTTGGTTATCTTCCATTCTTAGTGGAAATTATTTACCCCTTTTTTTGTCAAAGGTCACAGGTTAGAATGGTTCCTTCCTCCACGTGGGGAGTTGAAATTCCAATTCAAATCTTGCTTAAAATCTCACTAAACAATATAAAGAAGAAAAATTGCAGACCAATTTTTGCTTTGAAATGGTGGATTTAAGTCTTTGGCTCCGGCTTTCTGAGTTTGGAACAATTTGGTTAGGGAAATTCAAAGATTGTATGCCCTACCCTCTCTTCCAACTTGGGTTTTATTTGTTCTTTAAAGGGGAATATTTTAAGAGAATTTCTATTTAAACCTCACACTTCTCTTAGGGGAGTGTATCCAATTCAAACTTTTAATGACTTTTATAGAGTTTAAAAGTCTGCAGGTATTCAATTTAGACTTTTAAAGAGTATATAAAAGTCTAGTGGTATTCAATTGTGACTTTTAAAAAGTATTTAAAAGTTCGGTGGTATCCAAAAAGTTAATGACTTTTAAAAAGCTTATTAAATGAATGACTTTTCCATACTTTTAAGGCTAATTGTTAAGAGCAAAAGTCTTGCCAATTTACTAGTGACTTTTATCAACTCTATGAGAGTATTTAAGAATTTGTCATCTCTATGAAAGTCACTCACTTAAAAAAAAAGTCTTTATGAGTGACTTGAGGCTGCTGCACTTTGCACTAGGAGAAAGCCATATGATCAGCCATCAATCGAGAATACATTGAAGCTTTTATCAGAGTGGAAAAGCAACAAGAAAAATAACCCAACTATTGAAGCAGCAACAAGATTATGATTTTAGATGCATACTGGAATTCCAGAAGTGCCAATAATATTATTGTTCCCAACAACAACAAAAACACAAACAAACCCAAATCCGAAATTTAATATTTTCTATAGAAAGAGAATAGCTTTACTAAAACATCAGGTATATAAAATAAAAATAAATAAATAAATAAAGAGCAATCAACAGTCAAACAATTAACAAAGGGAAGAGAATAAGATCATTAAAGCCAAACAATCAACAAGTCTTTCCATCAACACCCACACAGATTTTAAATAGGCATGCTCGTCAATGTTCTACGTCTCTGACAATACGATGTAGAAGAGTTTGTATTTTTCTAAAACTTAATATGAAGAGTGGTGGAGTGTGTGTATAGATGTACTAGGGTTAAGTATTAAGTTGATGACCTTTTTTGTCTTTTTACACAATAATAAAATTTACAGCTTAATAATTTAAATATTAGGGTAAACAAAGAGATGTGTGGGATTTAAATAGAAAATCTTTATTTTAAATCTTCTGTTCTGCTCTATTCTGCGTACGTAAGTGATTGCGAGTTGTTGATGCATCATGCGTGTTAATTGTCAGCTGACGCATACTACCACCCCTCGTGCTTTGAAATTAAAATTGGTGGACAAGATTCTAGTTTTGTCTGACTATCTTGTACTACAACTCACATGAAAATTGAGATAAATTCAGGTTGCATGCTATAAAGATAAAGAGTAAAAGACTACAATGTCCCAATGGGATCGACGACTTGATGGGAATTCCACTGGCTTCCGCAATGTCCACAAGAGGAAATTTGAGAAAAATGACAGACACAATTTAAATTTGTTTTTCATTTTTATTTATAAACCTATCGTATGCCATTTTAGTCTCTCATTTTTCTTTTTCTTTTCCATTGTTTAGTTAAAACAAAATACAAAAACATTATAAAATGGAACTCAAAGTTTTCTTCGGTTAAGCCCAACGAATTGCTTTTTACATCTATGTGGCTACCTGGCCATGGCACCAATTAAAACGGAAAATTTTCATTTTTCAACTTTCTGAGGATGAACGTAAATAGTAAAACACCAATCAGCCTTAGCTGATTGGCCCATGCTTTTGGTGTACTCCCAAGTGATTTTGGATTCAAGCTATTATGATACCCGTGTATATAAGTTTCCCCCGTCTCCTTTCTAAACTTTGGCCACAAAAAAATAAAAAAAATAAAAGAAAGTAAAACCAAAACATTATGGCTAAGCTTAAAAGTTTTCAATGTTTCCAACTGCATTCCAAAGTCGACTACGAAGCCTGAAAAAAGCTTATTATGGTATAAATGCTTACCTTATGCCTTAGAAAACCAAGTGAATTCAAATTTGGCAAACTAATAGTCCTTTGCATATTGTCCATGTGTTTGATCAGAAATAGTCATGGTCAATCAACATGCCAATACGACCAACATGACTTTATTTATTTATTTATTTATTTTTATTTATTTTTATTTTTTTGGGTCGACTGCTTGCTTGAAACAACCTGCCTAACTTTCAGTCCCAAATTTATGGTAAACTTAAGGTTTCAAGTCCAGACCTCGGCCAAGGGCCAAACTTATCTGTTTCCGTGACATCATCGGTCCCGATTCTATCATGTAATGCTTACATGCTGTATAATCCAAGGGGCAGAGAAACAACTTTTCATATATGTGATTTCAAAGAAACCCAGGAGAAAGAGAAAACACTTTTCATATATGTGATTCCAACCAAATGCACAGTTGTGAGATGAGTAAGCAAATTCGTTACCTATAAGCTGTGTAAGCAGAACAGCAGCATACAACAGTCATGATAAACTACAATGATCACAATTTAAGAACTGCCATTAAAGGCCTTTTCTTACTTTCTCATAAGAAGAACCACAGTGTGAGCGGCAATACTTCGATTTTCTCCAAGGCTGTCCACCTTCTCATGAGTTTTAGCTTTGAGATTCACAACAGAGGGGTCTGCTCCAAGCAGCTTAGCCAAGTTGGCCCTCATAGTCTCCTTATGTGGGCTCAGTTTTGGTCTTTGAAGAATCAAAGTAGCATCTAAATTTCCAATCTCATACCCTGCCTCATGCATCAATCTCACCTGAAACAAGCAAAATAATAGAAATATAAGGTTGATTAAACAATCGTTTTCGCCAATCACCATGTATGATCAATCATTCAACAACACATGGCCTGCTTGACTCATGATCGGACAAAAAGGTTTCTGGAAACTTTGATACAATCTGAAAATCTAAGTTACATTCTAAGTATTGTTATTATCATCATTATTCATCTACCTACAACCTACAGTTTCCATATTAAACTCGAAAAAGTTTTTCAACTTAAAAAACCATGAAAATACATGTGGATAGTGGCCCATGACAAGTTTTGCAGCCAGGAATTAGGATTTGAGGCTTTAGACTCAGATTTTGAGTCCATGAGGTTGGAGGTGCTTGGGGCACGAGGTATCATGGCAGAGCAGAAAATCCATGAATTTAGCCCGAAGGGCACACATGCTCTCATAGTCACCCAATGCTTGAGAATCCGACCTGGGGTTTGGGCTCTCTGCCTGGGTTCCAGGGCATGAGGCTCATGGTCAACGTCCTGATATCTGGGGTCCAGGACTCATACAAGAAATTTGGCAGTGGGTCCATTACTTGAAATTGAACTTTGAGCCTATGATCCATGCCTCAAAGTTCAGGTCTAGGGGAACGTCAATGCCCTGGATTCATAATGTTTTTGAGTGGTTTCCAATCCAATCTTATTTGAAAGGGCGAACACAACCTTTTCAAGATTGTATCTAAAAAATAGTTTCTCACAGCAGTTTAATCAAATGTGTGTGTGTGTGTGTGTGATTCTTTTCTTCTTTTCTTCTGCATTTACTGTATTCCTCAAAAACCAAAAATTGTATCAAGATCATGATTCAAACGAGCCCTCAACTAAATTGCTTAGTCTCACTTTTTCAGCTTCAATTTATTTACTTCACACAAAGTAGAGGGAACAAAGAAAGAGCCATTATTGGTTAATATCGTACCCCGCAAACATTCAGATTTTCTATCCAAAAGTTACAATTGATTAAAAAAATCTTCACCAAGAAACCAAAAACACAAACTTTCTGGAAATGAATGCTAACCAAACCAAAACTCAAACAAACCAAAAAACCAGTAAGTACAAGGAGGAGGATAGCTTACAGCTTCTCTGATGAAAACAGAGGAATCTGCACCGCGCCACTTAGGATCCGAATCCGGAAATATCTGCCCGATATCCGGAAGGCCCAGAGCGCCCAATATCGCATCCACCACACAGTGAAGCAACACGTCCCCTATAAACAAAATTGAAAATAGAAAATCGAAATTAAAATAACAAAATAGAGAATTTGAAAAAACAAAATTAACAATTAGAATTGCAGAATTACCATCGGAATGAGCCTCGCAGCCTTTATCGTGAGGTATGTTAATGCCGCCGATGATCAAAGGGTAACCGGGCTCCAACCGGTGCAGGTCGAACCCGTGTCCGACCCGAAAAGGCAAGACCTTGGAGGCAGCGGCGGAAGCTGAGGCTTGGTCAACCTCGAAGGCCGTGCTGGCGGAGGCAAAAACGACGGGCCTGCGCTTCGTTTGGGCGGCTCGGAGAGATAGAGAAGATGGGGTTCGAAGACTGTAGGGGTTTGGAGCTGGCAGGTTCGAGCGAGGAAGAGAACAAGAGAGTGGTTTGGTTGTTGTGGCAGTGGGGGTGGCGATTGAAGAGGCGTAGACGGGTGTGGCTGCCATGGCCATTGCTGAAGGTTTGAAGCTCTGCCACACGAGCTGCTACGACGGCGTTTTGTGCTTTGCGGTTTCTATCGAGTGTTGTGCAACGCTGAGCTCTACTGTTCAAGTTCGCAACCAACTAGCGGGACCCACCTGGGTTACATTTGTCTCCAGCGAAATCCAAGTGTGCACTCGCATATTCCCCAATTTGCCAACTTTTTTTAATTTTTTTAATTTTAATTTATGGAATGGATTAACAAATCCAATGTATTTTGAGCTTAATTTCAACCATCCAATGAATTTTTAGCTTAATTTTAACCATAAACCCCATCTTTTCATCTTTGTTGGGAATTAATGAGTAATATAGAAATAATTGGATATAAAAGGAAATGCTCAAAATAAGAAATCCCACGAATTATGGTGGAATGAGATATGAAAGGAAATGTTTACAAGCAATCCCACCTATTATGAAATCGATAATGAAAGAGGAAGATTCAAACACAGGACGTCGAATGTTATTATAAAACTGATATAAATCCTCTAGTGAATCTCAATGATTAATTAGGCACATTTTAATTTGGATGCATGTTGCCGGCTTACCATTATTGAAAATTTATTTTATATTTAATACAACTGATAATAAAGGAGGGAGATTCTAACACAAAACCTTCATATGTTACCATGAATTGTTACTATGAATTGTCTAGTGAATCTCAACGTTTAGTTAGGTATTTTATTTGGATGCATGTTGCCAGGTTGCCATTTTTGAAATGTAAAATTGCCAGATACGATGTAGATCGCTATACGACCAAACGGTAACTTATCCATCCTACTCGTATGTTTATTTGATATCAAGAGGGGAGAGATGTTTAGGGCATTTCCAGCAGTCAAAATGTTGCCATGGCAAGGGGGGGGGCAAGGGGGGGGGGTACTATTCACGGGAATAGTGTCTGCCCTTGCAAAAAGTAAGTTGCACTTCCAGCAGTTGCCAGGGCAAGGGGGGGTACTATTCAATTTTTTGTTTTTTTCACAAATTTGTTTACCTAAACAATTAATTTTGACAATATATTTGGATGAGTTTGTTTGGTTTTTTTATGCTTTGGTTGTAGTTTGTTTGTTTTTATATATTTAATGCTTTGGTTGTGGTTAGTTTTTTTTTATGTATGGAATGTTTTGAATAAAAAGGAATTTTATTTAATAGTTTCTTTGATAGAGAAAAATTAAACTTGAAAGTGAAAAAAATTTAGAGTTGAAAGTGAAAAAAATTTAGAGTTGAAAGTGAAAAAATTATTGAGTAGAAAGTGAATAATTAAACTTGAAAGTGAAAAAAATTTAGAGTTGAAAGTGAAAAAATTATTGAGTAGAAAGTGAATAATTAAACTTGAAAGTGAAAAAAATTATTGAGTTGAAAGTGAAAAAATTATTGAGTAGAAAGTGAATAATTAAACTTGAAAGTGAAAAAAAATTAGAGTTGAAAGTGAAAAATTATTGAGTAGAAAGTGAATAATTAAACTTGAAAGTGAGAAAAATTTAGAGTTGAAAGTGAAAAAATTATTTAATAGAAAGTGAATTTGTTGTTAAAAGTGAAGAGTATGGATTGGTATTTTATAAAAAAAATTCAGTATTTTTTGGGGTCTTTTTAAAATTTTTTAAGATTTTTTTCATAATTTTTTGCCTTGAAAAATTCCAGGCCGTTGGATTGGATGAAAATTCGGAAATCGGAAGGACCAGGTCGCGCCACGTGGCAGCTGAAAGAAAAAAAAATTGCGCCTGCTGACGTCAACTGCCTTCGGGCTGCTGCTCGGGCAGCCCCTGCCTTCGGGCCAGCCCAGGCAAGTGGACCCCACACTGCCCGGGCCAGCCTTTGTTGCTGGAACTTGCATTTGGGCTCTCCCCCCCCCCTCCCCAGCCCGAGCCCGAGGGGGCTGCTGGAAATGGCCTTATATATGCATATGTGAATCAACAAATCACATGAAAATGTTAGTACACCTTTAAAACGTTTTAACAAGCCAAGATTAAAGACAGAATACTGTGTAGCAAATTGCTCTCTGGCATGCACCTTCTGAACCTGGAACCACCTTATACATGCATCTTCTGCGTGAAGAATGGTTCCTCAGTCGAATGGAGTTAGAACTTGGACATACAGAGAACGAGAACATAAAGCAAAGCATGCATCTAAACATTTAATTCCATTTAAGCTCTATAACTAGTTTATACACACATGGTTTACATGTCTGGTTAAGCACCTTTTACAACAATGCGCAAGCAAACCCCTTTTGTCCAAGACAGGGCACACACCGCGCATCTTTGACACTGACAAAACTATTCACATTGATCGGTATGTTCCAATTTCCATGCAGCAACAGTCGAGTCCTGTTGCCAGAAGCCGTTAAGCTTGTTTTGCATTATCTGAGACAGAGGCCCTAAGTTGCTTGGATCCATGCTCTGGTAAAAGATGTTCTGATGCAGCTCGCTTTTGTCTCAACTGCAATAAACAGTCCATGAAAAACTAGAAGAAAGCCTCTCTCTCTCTCTCTCTCTCAATGTATGTCCGCAGTTGTGTGCAATGGGGAAAAGGGGGCATAAAGTGCTCATGTTATACTTATACTTACCTTCTCTTCATCATTCTGATACATGTGCCTCAAAAGAATATTTTTGGTTTCGGTGGTTATCACTGCAAAGGGGTTCAGACAGGTTAATTTCACTTTGTGAAACAGCACGATTAGCAAATTGCTAATCAATCTCAAGGGTAAAAACTACACCCATAACAGTCAACCTTCACTTGTCAGGATTAATTTCAAAGCTGTACTGGAATGGCCTTTCTTAAAGAATCATGAGTTGTTGATACAGGAACTAAGCCAATGGGTAAGGATCCAGAATGAAACAATGAGGAGATACAAAGTTTTCATTATTACCTTGATCAGGTGGGGGAAGGGTCCGGCTGTGTGTTGGATGATAGGTAGCAGGTGTCATTTTCTACAGACAAATGGAAGCATAATTTTAAACAAAGAAAGAGAATGCGTTAATTCTGATCTATTTGCATCACAAACCTAACTCATGACATGTTCTTTTTGTTTTCTTTTTAAAATTTGTGGTTGTTGAAAGAACAGGCAAATAACAAATTTTGCATTAGTTAAATCTGTTCAAATTCTAAAGATGCGTCTGTGAGCGCCCGAGCAACATACAACAATCTACAAATAGTACATAAGCTATGAACTTTCCATCTTAATCTGGATTTGTGACCAGAAATTGGTCCAACAATAAAGCACCCAGAACTCTACAGCTGTAAATGATAACTTTATAAAATTATTAGCAGAATATAAGCTAAACTGCAGAATAGTCTGGTGGTTTTGGAACAGAGAAACATTTTCCATCAGATAGGCGTGTGTCACCACATCAACACTAATGAAGCTAAATGATGGTTCATACACACCAGAATGTATGTTTCAGAAACATCACTAAGCAACCTTCTACCAGGAATCCTGCTTCTCTCTACAAGTTGGCTAGACTTAAAAGTTTTGCTCTTTGGTTCATCTCATGGCACTGAGTCCTACTGTAACACAGAATCTTCACCTTAACTTTGAGAAATGCTATTATTCTCAAGTATAGGGAAGTAATGTATAAATAGAATTTATAAGTAGAAAACAATATTTTTCAGACTTCCTCACTATATTTCTATGTTGATAACATCAATGAATATGTCCTAGTGGCCCACAATGTCAGCCCAGTTGGTTTGAAACAAATCCAAGATTCAGTTACCAGGCTAGCATGCATCAACTATTTTTGGAAACACTTAGGGTTTTCTTAATGTATAAAGTCTAAGCCACTCTGCATATTTTCATTGGTTTTGGTTGGACTAACATGGCACCAAAGTGCACAGTTGGTCATGTGTCAGACCCGATTTGGTCGTATGTGCTTCACGACACCTAAGCTAATTAATGCATGTGTTATACTAAACGCGAAAGAGAATGTAGAGGATATAGAAACTTGAAACTTAATATATACGAATCCCAGGCCTCTCCACCCAATTACTAATTGTTGGATGCTTGAACTCAAGAGTTTCTAAACAACTTACAAACTAGAAGAAAAAGTAAACTCCTTATATCTGGCAGGTATTTATGGGGATTTTCTCTATAGCCCATATTTAGGATGATAAACATAATTTGGACGCTGTTTAAATACTAGAACTTCTACCTTAGCTTAGAAACGGACTAAATGAGCTTCATGCATATGGTAAATTAATCATGCAGTATCCATGATCCCATATCATTCCAATATATGATATTTCAATCCAACTGCTATAAAATCTGAAGTTAAAAATAATGCATCTGATTTCAAATTTCTTGTGAACTCTACAAGACTAGAGCACTATATGTCAGCTGCAGAACAAAGTATCAATCCTAATAAATATCAGACCAACGTAATAACAAAGCATGAAACTTTCGGAGATCCGGGAAGTGAAACAATGCGCGTAGTTTAAGCGAAAGACTACGAATCAGAGACATCAAAGCACAAACAACAGCAGCATATTGTTCACTGATCCAAATATCAAACGAATAGCATTTCTTATGAATTCATATGAGTTATGGAAGAAAACAAATGAAAATATACAAGAAGATGTTCCAATTCAAACCACACTCACTTGCACACGATTTATTACAACGAAAGATTTATCATTTCAATGACATTGCTGCAACATCATTTACCATAAAATAAAAATAAAATAAAAAGAAGCAAAATCTGCACTAAAATCTATATTTTTGGATGTACAAACAAAAATCATTTCAAACTTCCCATAAAATTCAAACCGGGTCTCGAATTTTTTTGATGAAAATAACAGGAAGCCCTTACCTTGAGCTGAACAGTATCATAAAAGGCAGAATCTTTTTTTCCCACAACAACTCAGTTCAGAACAATCAACAACTTCAGCAATTTCACCATAACAGATGTACAAAACCAAACAAAAAGAAAGCAAAGAACTTCACAGGTAAAGAAAAATCAAAGCTTTGCGTGTTTATATACAGCTTAAAAGAAAAAGAATGGCAAAATGGGTTTGATTGAGATGCTGAAAACTCACAGAAGGAGTTGAAGGATCGGAGGGCCGGAGCTGGCTGAAGTTGTGAGGGTCATATGACGGCCAGTCACCGAACAAAGAACCCATGGAATGCACCTAAAATCTAGAGACACCCCCCGATTCTAGAACCAGCCTCAAAGAAGACACAGACAGAGTTGCATATGTATGCCACATCTTATATAGGGGAGGACCCTAATTCTTCGTGCCACCCCATTGTCCTAACTTCTAATTAGTAAAGAAATAAAAAGTCTCGTACATGTGATTTTACTCGTTTTTTTTATTATTATTATTTTTAAGAATTACTATTTTGATTCAAACAATATTCTACTTTAATATAATTTATTATGAAAAGGGAATTCACACTCGGAGTGCAGAGTGAAGAGCACGTCCATTCTAACCAACTTGGTCCATGTATGCTAAGACTTGCTACTTTACTTTATTTTTTAGATCATATTGCCAACATAAGAATGAATATGACAATGTCGGTGTCAATATAAAAATATACCTAATATTGTGGTTGTTTACCCTTCTAGACTTCCATATGATGGCTTGATGATTTCCTTTTCCTTTTCGAACTCGATCTGCTTTTTTAGCATGGATCTTAAATCTTTCACTAATATTTTAACAAATTAGAAAATTAGGGTAGACGAAACTGGTCCAAGGCTCCAACCTATCAAGGTAAAATGTCATGTCTACTTTTGTTCATTTTTTGGGGTTATTAATTAGCTATTATTTTAATGATATATATAATGTTGAAATATGTCCAAGTTTGGATCCAACCGTTTTTTCTATACAAGCGATACTGAAGGAGTAGGGTTTATAACATAAAAGTCTTGAACAAAAATAACTACTCTTAAATCACTTGAATTATAACTTTTGCCGAAAAGAAAAATCCTTTGTTATTAGTGGGCTTAGTGCCATTCCAAGCTTCTACCTCTAGGTTTGATTGGGCCAAGGCACTTTGTGAGTCATAAGCCCAAAACTCCAGCAACAAAGAAAAGAAAAGAAAAGGAAGTGGGGGGTATTGACCCAAAAAAAAACAAAAGGGAAGTGGTTGGTTAGTGAGGGCAACGACGTCGTTTTTACAGCGGAACACCGAAAACTGTACGGTCCCTCAGTTCCTCTATTAGGTTGGAGCTTAGCAAGCCTCCTCCTCTTTACTCCTCCACATCGGGAAACAGAGAGACGCAGAGACGGCTGCAGATCGTGGCCGGTGGGTCGGAGTCAGATAAGCAAAAACCAAACATGGCCGCACCAGAACCCCCTCTTTGCTATGTGGGTGTGGCCAGAAAATCCGCTGCTTTCCGCCTCATGAAACAAATGGTGCTCCTCTCTCTCTCTCTCTCTCTCTCTTTCTCTTCATAAACCCTACATGTTTTGTTGTTTTTTCCCCCTACATTTAATTGGGAAATGATTTTTCAATTTATTTATTTTAATTGTGTTGTTATATAGGGGTGGGAAGAAGGAGAGGGGCTTGGGAAAGACAAGCAGGGGATCAAAGGCTATGTTAGAGTCAAAAACAAGCAGGACACTACTGGTTGGCTTCCTCCTTATGTTATTTTTTCCATTTGAGTTTTTGTTTATTCAGTGTTTTGCTTTGAGGTAGGAATTGGAAAGGCCAATAATTTTTTAAAGTTTTTTGGTGAATGGAAACAGCAAGCTTATATAGATCTCTGTGTATGATTTTATTGAATAGGTGTTGGTGTGGAGAAGCCCAACAATTGGGCATTTGATACAACCCAATTTGATAGTATCCTCAAAAGATTGAAAGTGGTAAACTTTATGAATTTTGTCTTCTTATTCAATCCATTTCAAACGTATTTCGAACTTTCGACGCATCATTCTTTATTATTTATGTGTTTTTTTTTGTTTTTGTATTGGCAGCAATCAGCGGAACCTAGCGATGAAGGTATATTTTGCTTAGATTAACTTGGTTATTGTATGTTATGAACTAGTAGTTTGAGGAGTATTGTCTTTGTTTTCTTATAGTTGCTGGGAAGAACACCACTCAAGTGGAAAGTGATACTGAATTGCCTACTGATGTTAAGGAACCAGTTGTGAAGTTTACTCGGCCACAGGGAAGGTTGGTTGAATTCTTTTAAGATTTTTTATTATTGATTACTAGCTGTTTCACTAATGCTAAATTGAGCCTGTCTTTTGTCTATGATAATCAGATATAAGAAAAGAGAAAGAGGAAAGCTTGTTAATGCTTATTCTGCTAAGGATATTGAAGGAATCCTTGTAAGTTTCAGATTATTTTTTGCAAAATGAGCATATACGTGGTTTCTGAAACCTGAATGCAAGGTCCAAGTTCATTATGGGCATGCATTATGTCATTGCTGACTGTGGTGATTCATGCACGATGCAGGTCAGAAGGGCGGAGTCTCCAGAGATAAATTTTGATCTGGGTGGAGAAGTGGAGTCAGAGAAGGCATCTGAGATTCAAGTTATATGTCCTCCTGAAGGTAATAATCTGGAATAGATATCTATAGGAGGAAGTTAACCATTTAGTATTTGAAATGATGAGTAGACTTTTATGATCAAGGGATCCAATACCTGATCTTCTTCTTCTTTTTTATTTCTTTTAACTTCACATTTAGGACTTTATTCTTGGTTATCCATATTTATGTTGTCTGAATTTGGTTGCACATTTCCTTCCTAGGTATTCATATCTATGTTGCCTAATTTATTTAAGTGAATAATACTATATTATCTAGTGCTTTCTTTCATTCCTTAAAGAATATTCCTAATGATTTAGCACCAAGGCTTTTGAAACACCACCGAATTTCTGATGCTTGATAGACTTACCGTGGTAACCTTTATTGAGAGTGCTCCTCAAGGTGAACCCATAATCCCATAATAAGTATTTCACTTGTGCAGAAAGCATCTAAAGTTTAGTATCAGATTTTACTGTTTTAACCATTAGTTGATTGGATATGTAACTCTTTTTTAAGAAGAAAAATGATTTTCTGTGCAAAAAGTTAATTATTTTTTTAGATAAGATTATGCTTGCTTTTTTTTTTTTTTTTTTTTTTTTTTTTTTTTTTTTTTTTTTTTTTTTCTTTGGTTCCTTGTTAGAACCCTTTTTTTTTTCTTGTCTAACAATCCTATCACATTGTTACAGGAAATGCATGTAAAGAGCTTCCTCCAAATTGGTGGGGCCATAAATATGGGTTCATCCCTGGGGGTTTGCTTGGAGCAGAGTTGAAAAGAAGAAAATCAGAAAAGTCTCAAAGTAATGAGAGGACTATGTTTTACGAGGACGATCAAGTAAATCTTTACAATCTTGTTCAGGTATGTACTTTCCTGGTTGGATCTCTTTTCTTTAACGTATATTGTCTTAAAGAGTTGTATAATTGTTTGTTGTGCAATCAGAATCCTAGTTGCTTAATGCTTGTAACATCTAAAAATGAAGTGACAGCAGTGGCTGGTGAAGCCACAAACAGTTTTTCCTTATTGCTAGATAGATGACTAGAGTGCTATGAAAAAGTTATTTAACTGAATTGGTAAAAGATTGGAATTGTGTTATTGGTTAGACCATTACCGTGTGTGCCTTATGTTTTCAGGATAAATCTACAACTGGAAAGCAAGGACTAGGCATTAAGGACCGTAAAAAGAAAATAGCTGGTTGCTACTTTGAGGGAAAAAAAACGTCATTTAACGATAGTGATGATGAAGATTCTGCTGATCTTGGATCTCCTGTGAAACAAAAAGGAGATGACTCTTTGAAAATGGGAAGTGCCAATGAACCAAAAGTAAAGCTGAAAAATCTTTGTAAACAGCTCCTTCGTCAGGTGAGTCGTCCTAAAATTGCACTTTTGATTTTCAGAATTTCCCCGGCACTAATTGTTGGCCTGTTCCCAGGCACCTGGAGAGTCATTGAAGCTTAAAACATTGAAAGCTTTGATTGACGAACATTCATCTTCTGTTTTCTCCAATTTTTCTTCAAAGAAAGATGCGCTTGCTTACTTGAGAGAAAAGGTATGCAACCAAGTTACTTTGAAGCAGTATTATTTTTTGTTTTTGGTAGACGGGCAGTAATCTTGTGTTTGCAAAATGGTTTGCCTTCAAAAAGAAAATATCATTTTGACCCCTGCTGCATCACGGAATTTTCACAATATGTTCCTTTTTCTTAAATGTATTTTTCGTATTTTCTTGTCTCTGCAAGCCATAACTTTGTTGGTTGTGACTGCAGCTGGAAGGCAACAACAAGTTCATGGTGGAAGGAAAAAAAGTGAGTCTCACATCGAGGAGGGGCTGAAGATTTTGTTAGAGATATTGAGAGGTCACATTCTTTTACTTCGACAATTTTGAGACTTCTGCATCGTGATATGTACATTGCAGCCGAGTCTAGTTTATAATTAAAATTCATATAGGTATGCCCTTTACTAGTTTTGTTGTAGTGATCAGTCGAAAGTAAATCAAAGCGCCATTTGCTTTGTATTATTTGTGTTAAATCGGAGCTGCTATAAGGATGAAACTCTTGTAAACAGTAATTCTAGAGTTTGCTTATTATTGTGATGTTTAAAATAAGATAAACAAATATTCAAATCAGTTCTGTCGGAGATTTGGTGTTGTCATTCTCTTCATTTCTTGTTTCTATCATAGGGGTGAGCATCCCTCTCAACAATACAATGTTTCTGGTACGCGACTATAATGAAATATGAGCTGCTGTTAGATGTAATTGGCTTGCACAATTTTCTTTGCAATGAACTTCCCCAAGTAATCATATCCATGAAAATACAGAGCTTCAATTTCTGCTCTCTGACCACTTTCAACCATTAATGTCAACTCTTCTCTGTAATTCTCCTGCAATACAGATTTTTTCAGGACCTAATTTTACAAATACCAAAAACCATGATTTTTTCAATAACGTCAAGTAAAATGCCATGAGATTTAGGGTAAATAGTTCACCTGCAAAATCCCCGAGGACATCAAGCTTTTAGCAATTTGGAGGTCCTTTGGTTTCAATGGAACTAAAGCTTGTTCGGGTATCAGCTCTAGGTCATCCCCACGTACTCCCAACCACTTCACATTGCAAGCTAGAACACGCCATAAACCAACCCACCTTTGTAAGTTTATTTATACATACGAAAAAATTGTATTTCAGCAACATATAAACAGAAGGTGCACAGAATAGCTAACCGTATCTGTAAGCCTCCAGGCCCATCCCTATACTTCCAAACTTGAAGGTGCACAAAATAGCTAACCCAGCTGGGTTCCTTCAAAAAATTTCTAGCAGTCAAAAAGATGAGGGCCTGCAACGTAAACAATCAGAAGTGACAAGGAGAGGGCATCCATACCAGTCAACTAGTGCTAAAATTGGCAAGTCAGGAAATGCCCGGCTCATCCGGTGAAGAAGAAGCCTATATTCAAACAATGGCTAAGGCATACATGATTGAGTCTATAGGGTATCAAATCTTCAATTAAATTGAGGAATTTGTTGTGGGATTCAAAGCAAAAAGCATCGAGAAGTTGAACTCAGCTCCAACTGACCTAATTACCTTGTAGCAATATCAGGGTACCCTTTGGCAGTGATAATAATGCTAGGAATTTGGTTGAACACACGGTCGTCCACCAACCGCTGGAATATTGCATGCTAATCATATCCAAGTAAATCAATATTATTGGAAAGTCAAGAAGCTGGCAAGCTATCATAATCTTCGTTAGACACACAGAAGTTCAATAAGCAAATACCTTCTCCACCACAATGATGTACCTTGCATCCGTCTTCATTATCAAATTATCAATGGAACTCAAGTCACCAGAGATACCATGCCCGGAAAATCCACAGGCAGCACAATCCACAACCCCTTGGTTTGGCTCCTATAACAAGACTAATCCAATTAAGCCTCTCTGTGCATATTAAATTATTGATAATCTGTTAATTAATTAAGTACCCAATTTCTCCGCAACCATTTAAACATTTACAGATTGCAACGATGGAGTACCTGCAACAGCAAACGGCCGGCTACAAGTCCTCTGCTAGATGCCATGATTCCGAGACTATAACGGCTGCAGCGAAGCAATGCCACTACATCTGCACCAATATAAGTAAAATTTTAGGCATTCCATTTGTTTGAAAAAAGTCCCAAAAGATTGAAACAAACCGAAGTTGGTACTGTTGAATTGTGATCACCTTGGACAGTTCGATTGACCTGCGATTGAGACGAGAAATAACCAGGTGAATCGCAGAGCAACTTGTAGAAAAGCTCCCTCTGTGTGACCTTCTTCTCTTGACCCAAAATCTGAGAGCACATTGCCATCACCTTCCACACTGTTACAGTGAATCACACATGAGATATCGAAACAGAAGCTGCTAAAATCCATACAATTAATTAATCAATTGAGTAAGTAAACCTCTGATGAAGGCTTTGGCAGCATTGGGTCGCTCGAGAGACCTGGTGGAGAAAGCGTTCGTTAGGAAAATCCATGAAGTTTGAGTCAACAGGCCTTGGCTGAGTCGGCTGTTGCTTGATTTTCTTGCTACCTGTGGATTTTTCAATTTCAAGTTATTTTGTGTTTGGTTGGCGAGAAAATGAGAAAGAAAGTTGTTGAAATGAGAATGAAATACTGAGTTAGTTAAAAATTACGAGAGGGAGGTCGGAGATTGCAGGAGCTGGAGAAGTCAAGATCCGGAGGAAGTTGAGGACGGCGACTTGGATTCTGGCGATGACCTCCAGAGGAGAGAGGACGTCGGCATAGCAGAGCTGTTGATCAGAGAAGAAGTTCAAAGAGGATTTGCAAGCTTCTTCCATTTATGGGGCTTTAGGAATTTGCTGCTCTTCGAGAAATTCAATTTTTCATTTTAAAGATTTCGACTTGGCGCGCTCGAGACATATTCCAACGACGTCGTCTGCTTGCCAAGCTTGAATACACCGTCAGATTGAATGTCACACGAAAATGTCACCGTCAGATTAAACGGTAACATGACTGAGTTTGTTTTTGGTTTTGGGCCAAAGTTAGGAGGTTTTCTCACACATTGCACGAGTCGTTCTATGATGAGGGTGTCATTTATGGACTATAGATGAGGACCTTCATATTAGTCACATGATTCATCTTAATAATAACTTCACCCAAATTTAATGAAATGATATTGTGACTAATATGAAGGTCCACATGAGGGATCCATATATGGCACCCTCACTATAAAATTTTGCCACAAAGTTAAGGGTCATCTTTAACCCAACAGACCAAACCCAAAAAATCATAAACTAAGCCCAATTCCTTTCCCAACCCAAGAAAAGTAATGGGCTAAAATTTGGGGCGGAAATACTAGTCCATTGACTAGATTGGAAATAATTTATTTTTTTTTTTTTTTTTTTTTTTTTTTTTTTTGTTTGAGTCTAGTGAGCCAGAAGCAACCCACGTGCAAGGAGGAAAAATAGGGCCCGCGGCTGCTGTGCTGCAGATGGGTGTTGCAGCTCTTTTTTATTTTTTATTTATTCCAACAGTAACCCAAATCAACTATCCAAATTAAATCCAAGCTATTTTAACAGTAAAAAAAAATTCAACGGCTAAAATTTAAATTCAACAGACAAAATAATATTTTAAATTAATCTAAATCAGATTCGACCCAAAAACTCACTCCAAACTCTATAAACACCCATCCATTTATCAAATAAAATTATATTTGTGGTATTTCAATTTTTTTTAGGTCAAATTGTTAAAAAAAATAAATTTTATGAATTTATTTAAAAAGATTGAATGATGAAAATTTATTCATGAAAATAAAAAATAGACTTAAACCATTTTTAAACAATTTAATAAAATTACGGACTTAAAATTTGAGTAGGATGGGTTGGGGGAAAAAACGGTTTGAGTCCAAGCAAAACCCAAATCGTTACTTTTTGGAGGCGGAAAATTGGTTTAGGACCAAATGAGTTGGAGAAAGTCTAAGGTGTCATGTAGTGCAAACCTGATATCACTAGTCTACAAGTTAATGTCTGACTAGACTTTATGTAAGATTTAATGACAAATCAAGGGAATATTGGAGGACAAGATGGAGTGATTTACTAAGCGCGGTTGTTTGATAACCATTTCATTTTTTGTTTTTAATTTTCAATTTTTTTTGTTTATAAAAAACTGAAAACCGAAAACATGTTTGGTAATAGATTTTGTTTTCAATTTAAAAAAAAAGTAAAATCTAGTTTTTAAAATCACCCTTTACAAAAATAAGGAGAGCAAAAGGATGAAAACTAGTTTTTTGTGCTCCTTTCTCATTCACCAATTTTACATCACTACAAATGCATTGCACTTCAGTTACTGAAACTCAGTGTTTAGGACCTCCTGATTTGGACTCGACTACTTGATTGTTGCGTTCAATCGTGGACCAAGTCCAAGCCTTGAGACCTCCATAACCAAAATTCAACCAAAATTTATCTTGACTCCAAAAAAATGCACTGAAAAAATACTACAAACTCTTTGTAGCATTCCCTTTCACTCTATAATCTCAAATTCACAATTTGACCCCAGAAAAATTCAAGTTCCAAGTTCCATATAAAAATGAAAAATGAAAAAAGTTATCAAACAACTTTTAAACAGTTTTCAATTTTCAGTTTTTTGAAAACTAAAATTGGTTACCAAACAAGTTTTCTGTTTTTAATTTCTTACAAATGAAAATTGAAAGCTAGAAACTAAAAAATGAAATTGTTATCAAACGAGCACTAAAAATGTGTTTTTTTTAATTTCTTCCCAAGTTTTTAAAAAAAATATATGTATTCAGTTATCGAATTACTTTAGATCCCTAGTGTTCTACAAACTAGAGTAGATAATGGGCTACTAGGCTTAATTTGAGTGGGCTACTAATCTTATGTTGGGTTAACTGCATTCAAAACGTAATATAAAACATTTCTAGTACTTTTATCTTTTCTGTCAAAAAAGCTACAAGGCTAAAGCCCATTGTTGCTATAAAGCTGCACATAAAGTGTCCCTAGTGTATTCCCAACAGAGTCATTCTATAGTGAGGGTCTTATTTAGTATCTAGAGCCCTTAGATGAGGTCTTATCTCTTAACCGTTAGATCATACTAATTAATTTGATCCAATAGCTAACTAATTTGATCAAATGGTTAAGAGATAGGGCCTCACCTAAGAGCCCTACATAATACCCTCACTATAGAATTCTTGATTCCCAGCACATTGATTTTGGGGGGCCAATAAGCATAGTTTTTCAAAGTTTTATAAAACTATTACGTATATCTTTTAAACAACGTGAAAGAGAAGTATAAGGAGGCTTGGAGGACCATGGCCATTTTAGCTTGTGCGGCTCCGCCCCGCCCTATTCCTAATAACAAGTTTATTCAATCAACAACAATGAAATGAGTCGCATAGTATAAATGAATGAACCACCAAAATAGGGTTGGTGTCAATAGCATCTAATCTCCACTTTGTTGAAAAAGATCCGGAATCATATGACAAATTGTTCGAATTCTCATCGTCCAGGCTTATTGGATCACTCGCTGTCATGAAAGGGTGGAAGTGGAAGAGCTAGCAGACTAGCTGCAAAATGAAGCGAGACACTTGCGTTTGCGTAAATGAGCAGCCACGCAAAATATGATCCATACAACAAAGGTTATATTGCTCAGCTGCCCTAGTTCTCTGCAAATACCCTAAAAAAATTCAATTACAGATCTTTTCACCCTGCTCCTAATTAATCGTGATTAATCGTCTTCGTTAATCACGTGCGCTCATCACTACACTAATCCAAAATGTCACATCTTAGATCTTACTAAAAAAAAAGGAAGATCCCACTTGATGATTTGAATCTTGAAAACATACACACAATTTTACTTTTTTTTCAATATGTTAGATCAGAACAAAGACTAATTCAATTAAATTGGATTTCACAAATCTTTGACAAACAAAAATACAGGTTTCTCAAATCCTGTGAGTCCTCACCTCAGTCCTTGCAATTCCGCGTGGTACACGCAAAGTCCCAAACCAAGACTGAAATACATTTCAAAACTATCCCTAGCTGTAGTTAGTTTGGTGGGAAAGCGATATCATCAATAATAAAAGCAAAAAGTAGAATCTTGTAACACAAGGACACCATGACGGTGGTCATGGTGGTGGTGGCGGTGGTGGACCAAGTACAATACATGTAGCCAATATTCTTGAGCTACAGAGAGCTAGCTTCCCTCCATCAAACGTCACATTAAGCCAGTAGCAGCCTAACTAGGTAGGCTTCTTTTTTTAATTTATCTTCCATCACTCTCTTGTCACTTTTTGGAGAATTTTAAATTTAATTTAGTGTGTAGAATTTGTCAATATCCAATGCCCACGCTTGGAAGGAGCTAGCCCAAGCGTACTGTTGTATCAGTAGTCATGCAAGTTGCAAGTAGTGGCTCTAATTTTTCTTGTTTGATGACTTTGGGACATCCGTGTTTGATGAATAGGTTAACCTGGTAACATATACCTTGGCAAAAATAAAAAAACCTAGTAGCATATAGGAAAATCTACTCTACTCAACATAAGAAAAACAAAATCAGCAGTTTATTATTGATTATCTACTGCAAGAGGAAGCAATCTTCGAGGAAGAACAAGAAGGTAAAAACTCACAAGACTATTGCTTATATTTTCTATTGAAAAATACATGGTAGAAAAACTTGATTATGCAAAGTTAATTGATACTTTGACATCGAAAAATGCAAGACGGGTGATGTTTTGATGTATTTTATAAAGTTGTTATGTGAATTACATTTTATTTGTTTCTTTTTAGGTTACAATTATGATTTTGAGTTCATATAACTATTTTTAACTTATCGAGAAAAAAAAACCGCATAAATATATATATATATATATACACACACACATAGTAGAAAACGACATTGTAGTAATTCACCTAGGATCTCCAAAACTTTAGGACAGCCCCTGATTTTGAGTCCACACATAAATTAACATAAATTCCAAACCCCGAAAATGACTTATCAAGAACTTCACTCAATTCTGAATTAAGAGATGCATTCGAAGCAACTTGCATGTAAAGAAAACTTTGGTTTTCGTATGTGTTGAAAATTTCTTAAAATTACTTGACCATGACAAATGATAAATATATAAATTTATGCCAATTTGTCAGCCATCCCGGCCGACATACGAAAGAGTGTAGAGATTAGAGATTTTGTCCAAATAACTCCAAATTATTGGTCCTCAGAAATATGAGATAACTACTACAAATGTAATCGCACGCGTACATACAATGATACTCGCACAGTTTGACATCTAATATTTCTTTGTTCTTTTTTGGCTGCTGGTGATGCCACAAGCCAAGTGTACAGTTGTCAATTGCTAAACAGCGAGTTCAAAAATAAAAACTTTTGACTTTTGTACAAAGTCAACCCAGTGAGAAAGCATTTTGGGGTTGAGACAATAATCTCAGCCCTCCTGCTCAATATATAAGCAAGCCTTGTTATAGATTTCCTCTCATCATCATATTTTCTTCACAATCCAAAGTCAGCTGCCTACTCTCTCTCTCTCTCTCTGGTTTTGTGTGCATGGAGAACTGGGATTTGCAAGCTGTGGTGAGAGGATGCAATACTACAGCCAATATTGATGAAGCCATGGAGAACTCTCAAATACCATATTGCTTTGCTCCGTTAAGCATTGAAGAAGAAGATGACTTTTTCCATGCTTTGCCTCAGCTGTTTGAAGCCACAGCAGCTTTAGATGAATTGGAGGAGCTTTACAAGCCATTCTATCCAGTTTGCAACCCTCAACCCCACCAATCATTCTTCCCTCCTCCATGTCTGTTCCCCAAGAGGCCATCACTGTAGAAGTACCAAAGAAGCTGAAGGAATCATCAACTATCCGTAAAAAAATTAGGTTTGTCAATTCTCTAACTTATTTTGTTAATAACGGCTTATAGATAATGGTAGAGTAACCAAATTTGTTCGTTAGATTAAACAATTTATAATTTTCCCAAATTTTTAATATATATTTTTTTCAAATGTTGATTTCAGCAGGAAGAATCAGAGCAAAAGGGTGGTGAAAGAGGTGAGAGCAGAAGAGCTTTTTTCAGATGTGTGGGCGTGGCGTAAATATGGGCAAAAACCCATCAAGGGATCGCCATATCCGAGGAGCTACTACAGGTGCAGCAGCTCAAAAGGATGCTCAGCAAGGAAACAAGTGGAAAGGAGCTGTTCAAATCCTGAAACCTTCATCATAACCTACACTGCAGAACACAACCATGTCCATCCAACTCGTCGAAACTCTCTTGCCGGAAGCACTAGATCCAAGTTCCCATCATCTAAAAACAAAGACAAGTGTAAAAGTTCTTTGAATTCTCCAGCTAAGACCAATTTGGCTGCTTCCATTGAAGAAGATCACGATGTGCAAAGCGCAAGTACTAATGCTGTAAAAGAGGAGGCACAATTGTTGTTGGAAGAGGATGAAATTAGTCATGAAAATGTCATGTTGGATGTGATGTTGAGTGATGAAATGATCCCAAGCTTAGAGAATTTGGATAGAGAGTTGGAACCAGTTATGGATGGTTGGTTTTTGGATCAATTTTCGGATAATTTTCCAAGTCCTTGGTTCAATATTGGTCACTCTAATACTGTAACCGGTGCTTGCTGATTCACCAAGAAGTCATACCAAAGAAGAGAAGCAACATTTGATTGTATATCAGCAATTTGTATCATCTGTTCTCTTCCTAGTCCGTGCAATTTTTCTTTTTCCTTTTTAGGTCTAGCTTCATAGATACCAAGATAATTTCAGAAATCAAACAGAAGATGCGAGGTGCAAGTCAGCAAAGTTGATGAGTTCAAATTAAGTTAGCCGATTTAAAATAATTTATAAAGATGAATTTGTAACTAATCTCAATAATTATGTGTATTATATACGTGGGCATGGATAGGATGACACCATCTCTAATTTTCAATAATATAATTGCTGTGAAGGATGTACCATAAACTTGGATTTTATTTCCTTTAGAGGAATTTCTGATATTCTGCTGGTGGGACAATAATTAATCCACAGAAAAATATATTTTATTAGACGGGATAAGCATCATTAGTTTGAAGCACAGATTGGGTTAGCAATATGGAATTAGAACTTAGAAGGCAATTTAATAGGAATTGTCGAGCAGTCGAAAGGAATTTGGTATTTTCATATATATCTTCTGCAAGTATAGTCAATGGTGAAGAAAGCATCACAACTAGTAACACTTGAATGCTAAGCAATTCTAACATCTTTTGAAAATGAAAAGTTACCTTCTGATTTACATGAGAATTGCACATCATCCAAAAAACACTCCTACCACCGTTTTCGCTTTGAAGGAGGAAGAAGCCATTGTTCTCTCCCCCCTCTCCTCTTCTCTCTTCCTCCCTTCTCCTCTCTTCCCCCATTTTTAGTGACAGAAGGTTTCCCCCTTTTGTCTGCACTTTGTTATGATTTTCTTCCATCATCTCGTAGGTGGCTGCATCTCGGCGAATGATATAAAATGGATTATGGATTGTATTGGCCCTTTAGTGTGTTTTTTTTGTTTGGGATTTTTTCTTAGTTTATATAAATTATAAAATACAATTTCCAAAAAAAAAAAAAATAAAAAAAAAAAAAAAAAAAAAAAAAAGAATGTTATATATATCCATAATATTTTGGGGTTTGTCCCTCTCTTCTAAAAATCTGCCATTTCCCTCCCTTCATTCATTGTTCTTGTTAAAATAATTGTTAAACCACAAAATAACAACTTACAAGCTTTTGGAATAAGGGTTACAAATGATATCAGAGCAAGAAGAAGATGATGAATCAGTTTAATTTTTGGAAATAGTGATAAACAACTCATATCTTGCACTTCTCAATAAACTATCAATAATATTGAAATTCTAATTATTGATAAGCTAACAATAATATTTTGAATTAGTCCGGTCCTTATAGTTATTAGTCCGCGTGGTTAAGTCCTCCAAACCAAAACCAATAGCTTTCAGGGTTCTTAAAACTGGGCCTACCTAAGCTATATATAGCAATTAGCAGCCTATCCCTATGCTTAGTATAGGATAATAAAAGCCGAGCAAAGAAGATGTCATATATCTCCATGGAGGTGGCCACGGTGGACCCTAAAACCCTAGCTCTTGTCCTTTCCCTCCAATTAACGTAACCAAATGTCTTCGTTAATATATATAAATGTTCCATCACTGTCTGTTCTGTTCACTTGTGGAGCTCGTGGGGCACTCTGTATAGGGGGGAGCATGCCACACATGCAAGTTGGAAGCCGCGATTGACTTTTTTTGCATTCTTTGACTTTTCTGCGTGTTCTATTCTTCCTCATATTATAAAGACCTGGATTTGAACAATTAACAATGGAAAATGAAATTTGATTATGACTATGATGCAAAAATATTTTTCAACTCTTACTTTTGGGGTCTAACTTGTAACTCTATATACATATAATATAGGAAAATATTATCTTATTCGCCGGTTAAATTAGTGTTATACTGTTGATCTAAACTATTAATTATGTTGATTGGTACGCACCTAAATGTGTTCTCAAGATTCGCAATATAGTATCATAACCATTCGTGTCATAATATTACACCTATATATATATTGAGATTACACTGAAGGATACACTGATCAGGGTATATGATGAATGGATTATGTGGCACAAATTCGAAATGCATTATGTTGTACAAACTTCCACCAGTAAATAGAAGTTTCGAACTGAAATAAATTAGTGAGAACTTCCATAACAGGCAAAAACATCAAACACAAGACAAGACACAGTCAATAATTCTTCTGAGGAACATTCTGGCCCCATGGTATGCTTTAGCGAGGAGCTTATAAAGTGTCCAATTTGTCCGTGAATCAGCAGACAAATAAATGAAAAAGTGAGGCTGAATATTTTATGCAAAAAAAATTCCCCAATTATTGGTTCGAATTAAGTATCAGATGACTATATGTACCAAACGTCTTGTAGATCGATGTATTATGCTGCCAGAACGGCTGACTTTTTCTTTTTCTTTTTGTAGGTGGAAATTTAAAAGCCAAGGTGGACATTGTGGTTGGACAGTGTTAATTAAATTATGCTGCTCTTTTTAGGAACTGGAAACGGTACTTATTGTAATATTAGAGACTGTTATATATCAGGTCTTCTATTGATAATATGTCACTGAATATAAAAATCAGCGCCTAAGTTTTGCAATGGGTCCCACATTTTTGTAATACCCAATACACGTTCATGTATTCAATTAAAGAACTACATACGTGCCTAATGCATTCCCTAGGAACTGAAGGTATATTAATACACATTTATCTCTATTCAGATGCCTTTCAGTTAATGTATTGCCCATAGTATCATACGCATTACAATACTTGGACCCACTAAAGGAAACAAAGAAGTTGTAAATAAAAATAGGCCATCTTGCTATTGAGGCAATTTAACGAGAATCATCATTTAGAAGCAACTCCCTTTTTGCTTCTAAACAACTTGTTAATTTGTTGTGGGTTTTGCTTGAAAGGATCTATTTTGAGCCTGTTAGACAGCCCACATAACTTTGGGCCATACCATAACTTTGGGCTTTTACCATATTTGTTTACCCCCTTTATTTCTCTATCGTTCTTCTCCTTAATTTACATGGCCCATTTTCAAAGTATAAGCATAAATGTTAAACGAAGGGTACTAATATTAGGTTATTAAAATTAGGGTGGTGATTTTTCTATTTCCTTTTTGTCCACTTACGCTCTCTTTTGTTTTTTAATAGTTATTACTATAACAAAAAAGGAAGTGTAATTAGCTCCCTAAAATTATTGAAAAAGCTTATAAAACTTGAGGTTCCGTTTTTGTCGTATTAACTTACTAACTACGCTACTATATGCTGAAAAATGAGAATAATATTTACTGAATTGTGTATTTACGTTGATACAATATACACCAGAATAATTGCAACTTCATTAAATAGACATATCATCACTTGGATGAGTGTGTGGAATTTTATTTATACTACATTCAGTTTTTACATTAATAATTGGGAAGAAGTTGCAATTCACAAGCTGTGGCATTGCCTTGACCAACTAAAGCAGCCACCGCACCCACAAAAGCAGCATTCATATAAGTTGTAGGTTCAGAGTGAGAATAGTCTGATCTTGCATCACTGAACTGGTCATTTACATCTGGACCCCCAACAACTGCACCCACATGAGTGTTAGGGTTTGGATTGGGAGATGAGTAATAGCTTGAGTAGCCACCATTGCAATCCACCTTGGTTGGGTGGACTTTCATTGAAGGGATGGATGAACCTCTATGGTGCAATTGTGTAGGGTATTTGGCACCAAACCCCACCATGTATGACATGTTCTTGGGATTTTTTCCTAGAATGTAGTCCACCTGAATATAAATGAATGACAAAGGTTGTCACAATTGTCACTTATCATAAGGTAATCATCGGGATCGATTTGCCCCAAAGTTTAGGTTAAGTGTGATAGAAGCGGCATCCAGTCTCCACTTTGGTGAAGGTCCTGGATTCAAATCTCAATTATGACAATTTTTAATGAAAAAATTATGATGGAATGTTAATTACCTGAGTTTTTGCGAAGGCTCTGATTTGGGACGCAGAGAAAAAGGCAGAGCCACATTGGACTCCACCAATGTGAGCTGCAGTTAAGGTTTTGGAGTAGATGAAGAGCACCAGGGTAGAGCTTGTAACATACTGCAAATTACTACTATCTCTAGTAAACAGAAGTCCACCTGCAAATTTTAAGTTGATATACTTAGACAGAGTTCCTCACAAACAAAGTAAATAATTATCCAAATCAACCATTAATTAATTAATTAAAAATTTATTGATTCATTTGATCACTGGGAAATTAGATGTGCATGCATGCCTGGGGTTCTTCTAATCTGTGCAGAGCTGCTCCCTGGCATCAGTGCACATACAAATGACTCGGCATCGGTCTTGAACTTAGCCAAATTCGTCTTTCCACGATGAAATTCCTGTGACGAATCGAATTAGTTTACTTATTAGATAAGTTTCAAGAACTAAAATTAAAGGGGAATAATTGTTGTTGTTGATGGTGATATACCTTGGCCAGTAATGTCTGAGCTCCAGGAAATTTGTTGTCCCAACTGAACTCATTCACTGCTTGGCTCCACCCTTGGTTTGTCAACACATAATTCAAGTACTTGATGTCTCCACTTGCCTTGTATAGCCAAGCCGCCGCCCATAACAACTCATCCTTATATAAAGTAATTCAGAAACCACATAACACATCTTTAACATCATTGATAGATATGAGACTCACTTGTATACGTGCGTCCATGTAGCATATTACTCTAGTGAACTATAATTGAAACTTGTAAAAAAACTTATGTAGTTTCATTGCTAAGTTTTTACCTGATAGCCGGAGTAAGAGCAGTAAAAGGGGCAATAGCCTTGATAAGAAGCTCTGTGTTGGTCTGCCAAGTCAAACAGCTGCATATAATAAACAGTTATTTCAGTAAGGTAAAATTGTACTATTTAATATATATAGTCCACTTCTATTGAGAGATTTTTCAAATAATTTTATTTGAGGGACATCGTTTAGGGTCCTCTACAACAACAAAAATTCAACGATCTAAACCGTCAATTTTTCAAGCCTTCATTCATAGATCATCCTTGCAAAACATTAGGCAAATTGAAAATCATTAAGGCATCTAATTGGGACCAACAATAAACGAACTATCCAATTGAGTAGTCAAATAATTTCGGATTTAAATGATTTTTTGCAGAGAAGATCTTTGAGGGAATATCTAAAAACTAGACGGTTCGGATCGTTGAAATACTTGGTGGACTCTACAAGGGTGTCGCTCAAGTAAGTTATTTGAGGATCCCTCAACTGAAGCTATATATAGCCTGGTTGGGAAAAGAGATGAAGTCAAATTACTGATTTGGAATGGCACAAGAGGGTTGCAGAATATTTGGAATTTGCCACTTTGAATACAATGGAAGCAGAAGCAAGGGCAGCAGCAGCCTCAGCTGCTGGCTCAGAGCCTGGAGAAGAAGAAGTGATCTTGTAAAGTGTTCGTGGTGTATCCATGTCTTCTGGGCGCTCCCAGCACTGGTGATCCGCATTTCCATCTCCTACCTATATACATTTATTCAAACCAATAATTTATGTTCATGAACTAGAAATTACCAAAAATATTTCAAAGTAATATTTACCAACAATATTAATATTATATCATTAAGGAACCTGGGTATAGAATGTGGTGGGTGAAGTGTGAGCTTTCAGTATGAAGTCTGTGCCCCAGCGGATTGCTTTTCGCAGATAGGCAAGCTGGTTCGTAGAAGATATCTGCTGCCGGTACTCCACAGCAGCCCAACTCAACAAGCTGACACTAAAGGCCATTGGCCATCCAAATTTGACGTTGTCGCCTGCGTCATAGTATCCTCCCACCAAGTTCACCTGCATGTCATAACCACACCATAACGTATATACCATCTTATGAGTAATGTTCTCTTATAAGACTATGTTGCATCATGTTCGTTTAATTATGTTGTCACAGTCGAACGATTAGAGAAAATTAAAAATGATAGTGAATAATAGTGCGTATAAAAGACGATCTCTTCAAGCTAAGTAGTAATTAGAAACATAAATATCATACGTTCTCAGGAGTGCCGTCAGAGCATGCAGAGTCTCCTCTCCAGGTCACTCGCTGGCTGGCGGGCAACTTCCCCGAACATTGGCCTTCAAAGAATAATATGGCTTTGCCAAGGGCATCTCCGTAGTTATAATTAGCAGCTAGGGAGGAGGACAACCCTTCAATCTCATCCCCCATTTCTAGGGCTAGCCCATCCATGTTAACCAACACACACCACAAGACCAAAACCCACACAAATACTAGACCGTGCTTCATTTTGGAACTTGCTTGTGACAATGCACTCGAGCTTCTTGGAATTTTTGCTTCCATGCGTATGTTTCTTGGAATTTATATAGAAGCCAGGGGTTGTGATTGAATGTCATTAATAATCAAGTAAAGTAACTGTCAACTCATTATCAAATCGGTTACAAATTCTACATTATTTTATGCACATGGCATTATGGGGAATAAGAAAAATATGGCATGAAGGCGACGCTATAACTTAGGAAATAAAGAGCATGCGAATTATCTATGTCACCAAGGCATGCTACCCACTCCTCAACGTCATTAGCTTCAGACATTGCTCAAATATTCTTATCTTGTTTTGATTTTCCATCATTAAGCTTAGTTCCTCCCAAATTCTGATCACCCCACGAAAGTAAATTTTTCCTAGCAAAAAAACAAAAAAATAATAATAATAAATTTGAAAGATTAGGAAATGTGACAGGAGAGTATATACATATAATCAAGTCAGTGTGTTCCTTTTACGTGTAACCTTCTCTCTCTTCACCCATACCTACTTGGAGTGGCAAAGCCAATTAGGTAACTTAGGTAAAGCCTAAGAAAGAGTAGGAATGGCACGCGTAAAATTTTGATATAAAAGCATCACATGAACGGAGGGCTTTTGAGGGGAGGGAATTCTTACTTTTTTGGTTGGTAGGCAAGCAAGGCAAGTATGTTGTATATAATGACAAATTATGATATTTCCTTTTGAATACAAACAATGTCCTTGTACACGCATCCATTTTTGCCACCAATCCAAGATGGGGGCTCCAGACAAAGATAAACCCTACAAAGATAAGCAAGAATTCATTTATATATATATATATATATATATAGTAACAAATATGTAACTTGTAGTATATTTGGAAGCGAAAGCTCATGTGATCTTGGATTGTGTATTAATAAACCATATAGTTGACAGTATCCTAAGTTCCTAAACTACTTATCAATTCAGTACCACTGTTTATATATTAATTTCACAAGTTTTCAATGATATAGTGATCATGTGAACACTAATTGGCTTGTTTATTTTTCTTCTAACAAACTGATATTCTAAACTATTTCTAACTTACAGGAAGGGATTCTAACTTAGGTGCAAGGTAACGAACCTATCATGACCAACTGACCACTAATCCACTAGTTTGGCCTTTGTGTGATTCCTTTTTTTTTTTTTTTTTTTTTTTTTTTTTTTTTTTGGCTTGTTTAGAGGGAATCGAGCAGGGTATGGTAATTGTGAACACTTTGAGTAGGATAATGCTCCTTTTCTAGGAGACACTCCTCTTTTTGGCAAATCACGATGTGACACATGTACAAAAATAATTCATCAAAAACACATAAAGAAAAACTTCTATACATGTCATACTGCCATTGACAGGAATGTTGGAGTTCCTACTTACACGGGAATGATGGAATACTAACTTATATATATTCCATGGATGACAATTTGTTGAATATGAAAAGATTAAATTAAAAAAACTTATACGTAACCCTTTGAAAACCAAATATAAAACAGCCATGAATCCATGATGATATAGGAAAATGAGGAATTTATCTGTCTCATATACTTTAATTGGCGACTATCACATGCATGGTATTGGAAGATCAAATATGAATGATGGTTGCTCAAGTAAGAAAAACATTCTTGGGCATATGCAAAATGTACAGATCAAAAAGATTTATTATAAATGTATTAGGCTAGGTCTTACTTGGGAAGAATGATTGGGACGGTTCTGTGGATAAATGGTAGTCGTGGTAATAGACTTGGACCATTGGCATTTTTGCACCTCTTATTCACCATCATCATGTATGGATTGGTAGCTAAAACATGAACCATACGGTAACCATATGGGCTAAGAGGAAAAAGAGATCACAAGTGTAAAATAGCCTTTGTAATAAATCTGGAATCTGTTTCATTTCAGTACTCTGTACATGAAAGATCTCCTAAATCTAACCTACCCGAAAGAAATGATCGAGATATACCGCTTCCCCTCGCGTTTCTAACCCTACAAACATATAAATAAATTAATACAACATCAACATGGCCTAAACAAATCTAAGCTTCTGGCGAACTTTATAGCAAGTGTGGAATATTATATATGTCCATTCTGCAAGTACACTCTTCTTATTTTAGATGCAGCGCCAAGAATAAGATACCTTCTCATCAGCATAGTTAAACTGCACCGCTGTGAGAACTTTGAAGTAATTGTGAGAAGAATGACGTCAAGGCAGATCAATATTTGCATTGGTCAGATTTAAACACTTGATGTTCATTGAGACAACTGACGTTGAAAATATGCCGCGATCAAAAGACGCCAAACTTGAGCTTTCATGGAAAAATTCCCTCAATCTTGTCCACATTCCATCAAACTTGAGCTCACAAGGGGAAAGTTCCCAACTCATGGCCATGCCTCGTAAGAAGTACTTTCCGTTCACCAACCCATTCTAGCCGATAGGAGAGGTCAAGATTATGAATCAACAGTTTCAAATTGTCTGCCTGACTCAAACCCTTTGTGCCTTCCTACCACCCAAAAGAGAAAGGAAGGATAAACAAGCAGTTGTGGAGAAGGAATATTTGGAGTGTTCCACATGGTCAAACAGAACTAGATAGATGCCTCTAGAGAGATAGAGACCATATAAATGAGAGAAGGAACATCGAGTTTAACAAAAAAAATGAAACACAATTCAGAAACATAATTTACAAACATCTGCCTGAAAGAGATACCTGAATATTGATTTGCCTATCGTGTCCCATAATGCTTGCCATTATGCTTGACCTAGAAGAATTAGGAGAGAATCCCTCCCAAGGAGGAACAAAGATCAATTTTGTGCACTGGACAGGAACTAAGTTTCGACTCAGTTTCTCCCAAAATACAGATCCCAGTGACCACCATCTGATCATCAATCCATGCTCAGAGAAAGCAACCAGCCCCTGCAAGTAGATATGTTATGATAGTAGACAGCACACTTGAACAATTTCATTCCTTGTGTATTGATATTCCAAACGGTATTAAATGGTTCCCACCAATGCAATACATTAACATTCGCAAAAGCTTCTGACTTGACTTGAGACCTGTTTGGCACAGCTTTTGGAAGGGCCAAAAGCATTTTTGACACTGTTTGGCAGAAAAATTTAAAATTTAATGGATTATAAAAGCACTTGGATCTTTCCTTTTTTATTTTTTAAATTAAGTGGAATCATGTCCGAATGTGTAGTCTTGGTTGACAGTCTGGCGACAAAGCATTACTTTGTCAGTTAATGAAATGTACCTCTCCATCAGGGGAAAAGCTCAAAGCTGAAATTGCAGTAACTAGCATCATTTCTGAACCGGCTGCAAGTAAATTTGGAAGTCCGGGAGGTCCACTTGCATCCAAAACTTTTATCTTCATAACACTACATTGAAAAAACAATGCACAAAAGTGGAGTAAGCCAGCACAGAGTCAAGAAGCAAAGATATCAAGAGATAAGTACAAATCTCTGAATAAGTTCAATTTTTTGTTAAATATAGCTATTACTCTACCAGATATCCCAAACAACCAACCCCAACTGCCAAAACTAACAAAGAACAAGGGAATGTCACCCTTTCTTTTAGGTTTTCTCTTAACTGTATTATTCTATCTTTGAGTACCTTTGCATGTCATAGACCCGAATGGTAGCATTGTTTCTCTCTCCAATGACATCCCCAACAGCCAATCTGGTCCATGTATCATTCAGGGCTACCATGGGGAATGCACGTACAACTTCCTTTAATGCAGTCATTGAACTTTGAAAGCAAGTTTTACGCATGACTGAGTTGCTGGGATCCACAGTTTGTAAAATGAAGTCAATTACCTGCAAATCTGTCCAACTGTCATATAAAAATGACAAAATGAAGCATAAAAGCCTGAGAATTAAACTAACTAAAATAGAAAGACAGAGCCACCTTATCCCAATATCTGCAACTAATACAGATCCCTTCACCCCCTCTTCCCATTTCTTTCAAGTTATATAATTACCAATTACATAAAAAAGAAATCAAGCATCCAAAAGAAGGTTTCATAAGACAATTAAACACCATTTTTATATGCATGATGAAATATGAGACCTGTTACTGCCAATGACTAAATATTGTAAAGTTAGTTATTCGAAGGCCATAAAAAGCAGAATATGAACTTCTTTATTCAACACATTTGATTACATTTATAACTAAAGTTAACCTAAATAAGTGGGAATAAACAGGAATTGGACCATGACGGGTTTAAGCATCTAGAAAAGGGAAAAGGATGAGCCGCACTTATAAAACATGATAATTTTTAAATTTAAAAAAAAACATAAAAATCCAATTATCGACGACTCAGCATACATGGATGGTGTGATCCAAGTGTCCTTAGTGCTCAATTAGGAATTTTCTATTATTTTCCTGCAGTTAAGACTCTTTTAGAATTGCTCTTGAAATTGGAGATGGACTGTCTCGCCCGTTAATAATTAGCAGTACAAACCTTATCAAGGTATTGAGCCAAGTATCTTGGAGAACTGCGCACAACCCTGATCAGAGTCATAAGAGATACTAGATGAACAGGTGAATCAGATGCAGTAGACCAGATTTGGCTTTCCATAACAGTTAAAAACCCTGGGACATCAGCCACAGCTAAACTTGGAAGAAGAACATCAACCAATATATCCCGAAGGCCAACCGGTACAGCTAAACTTTGTGCAGCCGAGTTGACAGATGGACCACTTACACACTCTATCTGGAAAAATATATCCCCAATCAGACGAGGTATTTCAGAACTGATGCATTGTTTCCACGTACTCTCCATACCTTCAGCAAGGAGCTCTGCTGCAGTTGAACTATATTTCTCATTCATGGCCATAACCAGCTTCATTAATGGATGAACAACAAGCATGGCAAGACATGGCTTTACAAGACTTGGGTACCAAATAGCCAAAGCTGCTGCAACAATAATATGAGATGTCATCGCATCTTGGCTTGTCCCCCCAACACAAGAAATCCAGTCTTGCATCTCAAATGATTGCAGCCATGCAAGAATATTAAATTCTTCAACCTTAGAAATCCTTTGTGTTTCGGCCAGCTGGTCAGAATGCAAAATGTTAGCAGATGTTTCTTCTATGTTTGAATTTACAGGTTCATTTTCTCCAAGTCCGCTTAGGGAGCTCAGATTTGTGCGACCACTTGCTTTTTGATTACATAGTGGAAGTGGAATTGCCCGTGAAGCAGCACAGTGGAATAGAGAGCGTGCAGCCATACGTACATGTTCGCTTTCATCTTGCCAGAAACTCACCAGAAGCTATAAAATAGAGTTTGCATATAAGGTTAACCAAAAACATGATAGGTTTAAATTGTCAATCCCATATCCTACAATTCAAGTCCTGAAGTGAATATTGACGTTATCACCAAGTTGCTGAATAATGAAACAAGAAAGTTTATCAAACAGATGCAGAATGTTCATAAACCATACTTACAAGTTACAACCATTAAGAATGTTGCTGCTCTTTTAAAGAAAAATCAAAAGGTGATGAACTTTACAGCAGAATTTTTTGTAAATATCTGGGGCTGGAACTGATAATTCCAAATTTTGAAAAAATTTCCCATCTTCTCACCAACTAAACAGATATCATGTGTACACTTGGTGCTTTAATCTCTCCACTTCCTTATTAATGTTTTCATCTAAAACTTAAATGTCAATAGTTTGAAAGTAACTGACTGCTCTCTACCCTTTTGTAAAACAACCAGGTGGGAAAAGAATTCTAAGCACAAAAACTAGCCCAACATTTAATATTAGAAATAGACATCAGTAACCAGCAGCTTATCGACTATTTATAACTGTTATACCCTTATGTGGTGAGTCTTGTCAACAACATGATTTACACTGACCCATTTTTCAGACATAATACAGCGTAGGTAATATTTATGAATTATGGGGATCAATTATCAAGTAAAAAGGGTACTTTACTCCTAAGATCTCTCTAAACTGATATTTCTTTCTTGGAAAAGGAAAGGAGAGAGGGGTTGACTTCAAGCAAAAGTAGTTCAAATAAGTTTAGAAGCAATCTCCTTTGCCCTAACAATGGGAAAGGAAAATAAAATATAAGCATTTAAGAGCAATCAAAATCATCAGCACAAGATTCAACCTGAAGTAAGGGTGGTTTTATATCTGGAATTTTGTCTGCAAAGTTCCTAGTATAAAATGCTGCTAAAGCACTGCCAAAGAAAACATCAGACAAGAAAAATGCAATGACTTTGAGTGAACATTAGAAACAAGAAAAAAAGAAAAAAAGAAAAGGACCATTACACTTCATATGCAGAAAATATAGTTTTGAGATCACCTGCTGGCATTGGAACTGGTGTGTGATAGGCTAATCATGCGTTGGGCAAGAGACACCATTGTGAGTGACCTCATTGCGCAAAACTCTGATGACATTCTCCAAAGCTGAAATGTTGTTTTCAATTTCTCAGGAAAATTTAAAAGAAGCCAAACAAGAAGACATGTCTCAACAATTAGTGCCATTCTTCAAACGTACCTCAAGAGTTGCACTCAAATTAGGAAATGTCAACGTCAAAGATCCTTTGTCGCCTTGAAAACCAGAAGCTACAATAAAGCTTTCGGGTCTCTTCAACTTCATGTCAGTTATAAGCAAGTTATCAAGCTCGGGATCGACATTCCACAAGTGTAAAGATGCCAAGCTAAATCGAAGTAAACATTCTTCAAGCGTCTTAATCCATTCAATCTCTTCAACAATCGCATTTGAGGTCCTATGCACACCAGGTCCATTACCTAAAGGCTTGTGGTGGGGACTTGATGTCTCAGATCCCTGTCCCTTCACATAGTTATCCTGTTTATTATCACTGCCACTTGCTATCAGGTCATGCTTCTGATAAGGAAACACTAATGATGCAAGGTCAAAACTCAGAGCAGCAATTCCAGGGAAAGGGCAATAGGACTTGATTGGATGCTTGTTGCTTTGAAGGGTCGCCGCAGGGGCTGGAAATAGTTTTTCAGAATCACCTTTACTAATTCTGGAAGTATTGGACTCAACCATAGTACCAGGCACCAAATTTGTTGAAGTGCCCAATTTTTCTGAATTATTCGGATGAGAGTGAGTAGAGATCCCATCTTCAATTACTGGAAGAAGTAATGAGGAAACTGAGGTATTCCCATTCAATACACTTCCAGAAATGGAATTCATGCTGATGCCTTTACAGAAATGGTCAAACATTGAATGAGATGGTGTTCCTCGAAGGACTCGCTCTCGAGCACCTGTCTTTACATCCCAAATGTACAGAATATCAACAGCATCAGATGTTCCTGAATGGTTTCGGCACAAGCACGCAATATAACCTCTTCCACCATCCCATACAACTTTTGCAGGATAGCTGGGATGCCCAGGAAAAATTCTCTCTACTCGCAAAGTCTCAAGAGAAGCTAGTGCAACACATGAGTCCTCCCCAACTGAGAGAAAACAATCACTCCAAGGACAGTAGGTATGAGCTGGGGGAAGAATTATTTGGCGCACTGGGCCCACATGTTGGTGCATTACAGTGATTAGATTTCCAGTGTCAAGATCCCATATGCGAACTGTGCAATCCATGCTTCCAGACACCAAAACCTGATTGAAATTCCACCCTTTGGTAATACCCACCATCCTATGTGCTGCCAAACAGAGAACAGCACCTGTGTGCCCTAAAAAGAACTGTCTAGATATTTGCGGCTTCACCTCATGATGTGAGCTCCCACCAAGAGAAGATAGGCCCTCAAACAAATCAAATCGAACAATCTCTATTTCTCCAGTAAAGAAGCCATACACAACAGCATAAGGAGCAAAGAATGTTTCAGAAATAACCATGGAAGAAGACACAACCCCTCTTTTATTAACTAAACCAAGATTGTCATTATCATAACCATTTACACTTCCTGAGCTTGAAACAAAAGATTTTGAAGATGTTAGTTTGGTCTCCATATCACCTGGGCACTCAGATTCATTACTTGAGGTAGAATTTGCAGTCCAGTCTACCAAAGAACAGCCTACGCCATGCAATTTAAACCATAGGCACAAATTCCCATGGTCATCATGTTTCCGACATGTAGACCAGATTGTAACATGGGGTTTCCACTGTAAAGGTTCTTCAGCATCAAAGCAAAGTGATTCAATGCGAAGAATATAATAGCCCATTTGAATGAAACTAATTGATAGTCTCACATCAAGTGGATGAGTGTCGGCAGGGATCTCACAGAGTGACTCACACTTAAACATACCTTTAGAATATGATATCGAGTAAACAACTGAAAGACCTTTGTTATTCCAAATAGCAAAGTTTCTTGAAAAATATTCATCAGATTCTTGGGAATTTGGTAAATTGCCAACATTTTCAATTTCAAAAAACAAACCACCTACCATATGTGATTGAGTAGAATTACTTTTTTCACAAAGGAGATCATCCACAGAAGAAATCTCTCCTATTGTATTGCCACTAGGCAATAGTCTAAATATGCAGCGACTTTTTAACACAAAAGCGACAACATTCCCACAAGTTGCAATTGACATTACATTTCCTCCCTCACTTAACCCCTCTGCACAAACAGTCATTTCCAACTGAGAACTTGGATGCAAACCAGTGCCACCCTCCTTATCTTGGTGTGGATTCTTTGGTATTGAAACCAGCTGTAGCCTACCAAATGAATCTGCCATAACTACAGCATGCTTCTCCTGATCCTCAGTTAATGAAACCACATCCATAAACTTCAATGAACCAATAGACAAGTTTCCATGAAAAACAGTTTGGACAATGCTAAGCGTATAGGAGTCAACAATAACCACAGTGCATTTGGGGGGTTTCTTATGCTGAGACTCTCTATCCCCCAACACCTCCCCCGCTTCACTTGATTCAACGGAATGATGGTCCAACAAATGCACACTATCAACAAAACAGCATGCAATACATACATACCGTGGATTCGAAGGCAATGTCCTAACCATGGACGGACTGCCAACCCAAGGCGGCAACTTCCTTCTGCGCCGGCAATGCCCGCTGCTTCTGCTCCACACGCACAACATGCCATCAGCACACGCACTGATTAACGCGCCATGACTATGGGGGCTAGAGCTCACCTCACCATCACCATCACCATCTCCTAAAGAGTCTCTTCCTTCACTCCCCGAAACCACAAGTGGATCACAAATGCCAAGGTCGGCTATGGGCGCAGCATGGCCACACAACATAGCCATTGGAACAATCTCCTGCTCCAAACAAGAATTGTCAACACAAAACCGTTCAACGATAAACACCATACTTGGAAACAATTATACAAATTACAGAATTCAACTAAGAAACTCTTGTTAAGCAAATTAAACTAAGCAAACAAGTAAGGGAGATCACATTCGCAATGAAATTCAAGAACAAATAACAAACAGGTGGTGAGCGAGTGAAAGTACCAAGTTGGAATCGGAAGAATGGAGGTTCCACCAGATGATGGAGCCATCGGATCCGCCGGTGTAGAGCGTCGGGGGGTGGCTGAGCGCTGCAGCGGCTGTGACTCGGTGAGAGGGAGGCGTGCCTGACCATATGCACGCGACGGATCGGCACTTCATGACTCAGTGAGTCGCAGCAAGTCAGATCACATTCGAAACGTTAAGACGTTTGCGAGAGTTGGGGCTGGGGGTGGCTCGTCGTGGCTGAGTAAGCCGAGCAGAGAGACGTCAGAAGTGTGGCTCACTAAACGGGCACTCCGCCTGCCCCTCTCCCAGGATCATCAGTAGAAAAAATAAACGACATGTCGTGCAGAATGATTAATCAAGTCAAGTGCTGCACTGCACCTGCACCTGCTTTTGTTGGGAGTTGGGATACATTCGTTCATGGTTTCAAATCTAGTTCATTTATTATAATGGAGAGTTGTTATTTTAAAAATGGAATGTGTCATCCAGCTTAACCAGTTTTGCTACGATCGGTCGTGCGTGCGTATGCACATCTATAGGCAGGGAAGCAGGGACGGAACTAGAATTGTAAAGTTCGAGGGGCCAAAGTAGAAATACAAGTATATAAAACACTTAAATATTCAATAATTACATGTTTAGAACTAAATATTTCTAATTGAGTCATGTCTAATTTATTTTAGAAGAAATTTTTACTTAAATTATAAGTTGTTTATTACAAATTCTATATGTTATATATAATATAATATATGAGAGATAAATATCTGGAGGGGCCAGGGCCACTCCAGGCCTGGAAGTGGCTCCGCCACTGCAAGGAAGTGCACCCGCATGCCCATGCGTGACTGACTTTAGCACTCTTTGAGTTCTTGAAAAGTTCAATAACCATTATAACAGGTTTAGATTTTTACTTGGAAGATAATTCACTCCGATTGTTCATTCTGGTAAAGAGCCAGTGTAAATTAACATCATAAACGTTGGCTATGTGAAGTTCAAAAAGACTAACATGGACAATTACACCAGAGGTACAATCTGCCAACTACAAAATCATTACCACTAATTCTGTCAAAACCTGCACACTATAATTTTACAAGCTGACCCCAAAATGGCTCAATTCTCTCTTCTTTTCTAGGGTCGAAACTCGCCAGATTCAGGAGCCCTGAATATCACGTAATAGACAAAAGCATACTCCTAAAATAACTTTACCAATTACCACTGAATACAAAATTGACCTACTATACTATGTACGGCAGCGTAAAAGAACTCCCCGGCAGAATGAAGACAATATCAACCTATTGAGGATGACTATTATGCGTTTGAGGAACCTGAGCGCTCATATTGCCAATCAATGTCTGTGGTTGGGACGGAACAACAGGTGGTGGAGATGTCAGATTTGGTGGAGGTCTCGCCGCTTGAGTGGGTTGGGTTGGCGCTATTATGAACTGGTTGAAAGCAGCACTGTAAGCCCGACCTGATAGACTTCCGCGCATACGACCTGTTGGTCGCCAGTTCTGCTCAGATGACAAATCCACCGATCCATCAGCCCCAGAAACTGCTTGCATCGTACCTCCTACGTTTACTGGCAAAGATGGCCTGGTTCTCTGAGTTTGATTTTGAACTGGCATGGATGGAGACTGCCTGGCCATCATCGCAGCTAGGTGAGCACCAGCCATGAACCTCTGTTGGTTGTTTAAAGAACTTGATGTTTGACCAGTCCCAACTTGTGCATTTCCTTGTTGGATATGTGCCCGTGAGAGATGTGAAGATGATCGAATGGAGCTTGAAGACTGACCCATAGTCTGGGGAGTCCTTGCATTATTAAAAGCTTGCTGTAAGTGTGCATTCTGGAAGTCCATGAGCCCAGGAGATGCTCTGTTAGCACTTTGCAGTTGACTCGGAACTGGAAGGCCAACAACCTGTTGGACAGATTGCCCGTGAATGAAGGACTGGTCTTGACGATCCCAGTTCTGTAAGATTAATGAAACGAAACTCGGTAACATTAAAGTGTAGAACAAGAAAAGATCCTCTAGATTGGAAATAGAAAATTTTCTCTAGAATGCTTTGACCAACAACCAATCAAACTGGAAAATACTGATTAAACCAAGTCAATTTCAGGTCCAGCGTCCAGGGTTTCCCATTTGCATTTATACAGATTGCGATCACCATAACAAAATGGACATCAAGGAAAGAGGGAGCACTAACCTGTGTAGTTTGTGAGGGATGTTGCAGTGAAGATGAAGCAATGTTTGACACTTGAAGCGGATTCATTCGGGGCCTAGAAAAGTGTTGCTGCCTTTCCAAATCACTACATACTGCATTGGCACAATTTGCTGAGGGTGTGTTAGATTGTCCAACCTGAGAACTAAGAGAGGCACTAGAGGGAGTTGAGGAATTCCAACTAGTTCTTGGTCTTTGTTGCAAACCTGGTCCCTGGGACTGTGCAGGGAGGGCCTGAACTGCCGTTGGAGTCCTGGGTAATACTCTCTGTGATGCAAATCTCCCATACTCATTGTTAGCAGCTGAACTTGCAAACTGTGACTGTTGCCACTGAAAATTATTGGGAGAAGAAAATTGATGCATTGCAGACGCCACAAGATCAGTGGTCAAATGACTCTCAGTTCCTCGATCGAGTGCAGGAGAAACAGCATCAGTCAACACAGGCGACTGTAAATTTGCAGGACCAGTGTGAGGAATAACACCACCCATTTGCGTGTCTGACCTTATACCAGAGGCCAACGAACCATTAGCAAAGTAAATTCCAGACCAAAAGTCATCCTCTAAATGAGCAGCAACAGTTTGATTAACCCTGTTTGTGTTGCTCAAAGGTTTCACGTCTTCGGTTTCGCAAGCACTCACAGTGTCCATCTCAGTATCGTCCTCAGTAAGATCCAGAACATTAGGAAGTGCAGTTGAGACACGGGTAGATTCTTCCTGCTGAGAGCTTTCTTTTGGAAGGCCCTTATCATATGCCCGGTCCACATCATCATCATTCTCCAGTACAGCTTTCCATGATCCATCCATGGAGATTATTACTTCAGCAACATTCTTTCCTACCTCTCTCAGGACCTAGGGGAGAAAACCAACTGGTTTATCAATACAAGAAAAACATAACGCAAATGAAAATGGAAAATGCAAATAAGTAGCTACTTGCCTTAATCATATTTTGATCAACACAAATGTCCAAAAAGCAGACATACTGATTACAGTGGGGGCAGCGCCATGAAGGTCGTCTTAAATTTATACCAACAAAGTTACTGAAGTCGAAACACTATCAAGTCACCAAAAAGAAAAAAATTGAAATTAGAAGACAGTATTGAACTATCAGAACAGGAAAAGCTAGATCGTTCCACGTCCAATTACAGAATAACTTAACTTTTCATCAACTATCCGAGCTAGACAGTATTTGAATCTCAAGTTCCCAAGCAATAAAATAACAATCAGTGAAATATTGTATGTTAGTTACCACTGTTAGGTTAAATAGGAAAATTTAGTATATAAAGGATAACAGAATCTAGTGTCTTCTATCTATTTCTCAACTCCCCCTTCAAATCTCAACTATTATCAAGAGAACAGTTGGTGGGGCATAGAAAAAACTTTTCCTTTAGCCTTTCCTGTTTTCTTTACAAACTCTATAGTGGAAATAAAGGTTTCTTTTAATTTCTTTTCTGTTCCCTGAGGATGAACAATCATAGTAATATTTTTCAAATATCAAAATTTGAACCTGAACTCATAAGAAATATCTTCAAAAGTAAAAATCTGAAACCATGTGACCTTGAAGCGGCACATGTAAAGCACTCACGCAGATAAGGGAAGTGGCATAAGTGCACAAGTCAAAAAGATCTGAGGTCCCATTAAAAACCAAAATGCAAGCAAGATGCATATAGATCGCAGAACAATTTTACATGGCTCAAAAGCTTGTTACATGTTGATTATACAGAAATTTGAAACCAAAGGCATCAATAGGAGAAAATGAACATATGTATAATATGTGTATAGCTGCATGGACCACTCACTTGAAGATGTTTGCACAATCGACCTTTGACAGGAGTTTTGATACGTGTATAGCTGTTTTGCACATGAAAGCAAATGTAACAATCAGCATCATATCAACGAAGTTTGATCAAATAGGTATTAGCAAAAATACTCATTTTGATGCATTTTAATGTAGAAAAAGAGGACAAGATATGCGACACAACTTCAGCACATTATCAGTGTTATTCACACAAAATAGGACATGGCCAAAATGTTATGTCAACCGTTGAAATCAACCAAGCTGATGAAAAACAATATAAACCCTTTAAACTATGCTATCTTCCAAAAAAAAACCAAATCAATCTTTCCCGATCAGAATTAATTAAAAAAAAAGCAGAAATCCCATAAGATTTCTAGCATTAGACATTTCTGCTGAAGGTAATAGTGCGGTTCAGGTCAAAATGTCCAAGGAATACCTATCTCAAAGGTAAAGGATAATAAATACACTAATAATATTCAAAACAAAATAAGCTAAGAAAAATATTACCCAAGCAACAAATATCAAGGCGTACCTTATGGGACAATTGAGAGATATTCTTGATGGCCCTTCGATTATATCAGAATCTAATGATTGAAATAAAACAGTTATCATTTAAACATACTATACTATGGTACAAAGCCTAATGGATTTCAAAAGTTTAGGTATGACGACATATCTACATAGTGTATAAGAATAAATTGAAAAGTAATCATGTGTAACACCTGAATCTGACAGAGGTACAATGGGCTGAGTATAATCTTTCAGTGTTGAAGTGTCAGGTGATGATGTGATGCGCATAAAGGCAACCACTATGATATAGTGACCTAAAAGTAGTTACATTGCAGTCAGAGCTGGAAGAATATTGTACAACAAAACTACAATACTTAGACCATGAAGACTTGCACCCAAGCTCACCATTGAACTGGCCCACAGCTTGAAGAAGGTTTGATCCAAATTTAAGCATTCCAGTCACAACTGATGGCATCTGCGGTCCAGTATCCTGACAAACAAAATGTAAGACACAGACTGTTACTAAATAAATACTATGGTACAACCCAAATTCAGTCATTTGCATCTAGCTATCGAGTGAGTGGAACCACACAAACCATTAAAATGTTTGTCCTTCTATCTACTCCCTTTCCATTTAGAAGAAAGCTACAGAAGTAAAAGAAATGTCATCAGAATAGATAGGAAACACCTCCAACGAAACTAAAAGATTAAGAGGAAAATGAGCTGTACTTCACTTGTGGCGGACTTATAATACACGCAGATGTCTCTATATTATCTGTTTGTGCGACAAATAACCGCTTCAGGAAAATAAAAAAGGGTGAGATCAAGAATTACTTTCATAAATCATATTTCCAATTCAATGCATGAAAGGAAAAGCAGTATAAAGTACAATTTAAAGCACAAAGCGAAAAAACACCACAATTGTAGAACCAAATTATAACTGTTTAACTAGTTGGAAAATGCATCAAATGAGACTGAAGTAAATAACAGTTCATAGAATAAAAATTACAGTGATTCTACCCCTAAATTATTGATTATTTGTAGGACTTACCAAAATTTATATAATTAACAGTTCATAGAATAAAAAGTATATGTAGCATGCCCAAAGTTTGAACTTTGAACAAATAAGTTATACTTAAAAGTACAGATTTAAAGGTTAACACAATCATGTTTTTTCACGAGGGTTAACAATAATTATGTTGCTATGATATATAAACTGCACTAGTGTTTTATAACTATAAAGAAAAAACTGTGTGAATGTTGTGCATTATGGCAAAAAGGGCTTGGCAAAAGAATGGGACGAGGTCAAGCAACCTTGTTTGTAATAATCTCACAAATTTGTAAACCAACACAAGTACACAAATATATACATAAGTACATATACGAAATATGGGGTATGGGGAATAAGGATTTAGAAGGAGACATAAGCCATCTGTTAGACCATTTATGGACGATTGATGGGCTTGCTGCATGCATGTATGTGCCTATGTGTATTATGCATGACCACGCGTGTGTGCTTGTGTGTGTGTGTGCATCCATGCATGTGTAAAAAAATTAACAAGAACTCAAGCACTTACAAAGACTACCAACATTGCAACTAATTCAAGAAGATGCTTACAATTTTTTCTTGAGGAGTATATACTGTACTCTTTGAAATATGGAAATCAAGCACGTACGTTCCATATCCAGGCTACAACACAATGACACATACTTCAAAACAAGCCCAAAAAAAAAGTTATGTTAAAAGAAAAAAAAATTGAAAAAAAGAATGAAGAGCCACCTTGACTTCGAGAGAGGCAAGTATCTGGCCCATATTCATCAGTGGATAATATCTGCAAACAAAACCCAAACACACGCACAAGGAGGCCTTTCAAAAATGTATTTGTATCATCAGCATGGTTATTAGAAGGAGCAAATAAAGGATACTTTAAATATTAGGAACTGAAGAGGTCAATTGTAAACATCAACCAGAAACACAGCACAAACTGAATACAGTGTGGAGAAAGTTAACATTTAATTGCTTCAATATATATATAATACACAATTCAAAGATGTCAGGCCACGTAACCTCATTATCCTTGCATTCATGAAAAATCCTTGCATTCATGAAAAAATTCTACCTATTCCTGGTAAAACTCTAATTTCTAGATTCTAACATGGCCGCTTGGTTCAGGATCATTAGGCTAAGATGATATGTCATGAAAGAAAGTAAAAAAGTGAAGCAGAAGTTCCACCTTTTCATTATTGTGTCCACAGTAGAGAGACAACAGCTAGGTCCAGTTTTAAAATCTCCTGGGAGCCAGAAGCTACTCCCTGTCTATAATTGCAAAGAGATGATCATCAGAAACATCTACATGAAAGAAATAACAGCAATAATAAACAAAGTAACAGCAAACCTCATTAGCTAGAGAAAATAGTTCTTCAGTCTCCTTTTCTGAAAACCATCCAGTCTTACAAGCATTCTACCAAGAAAAACACAACGTCAGCTGGAAAACTCATGCCTATATGTTCAAATTCTTTCAAACTTGATACAAAACAAAACCAAATATACCTTCTAGTAAAATGAGGGAAAAAGTGAAAACATGAACAAAGCGCAAGCCCCGTATAAGACTTGGGCAAATGGGTAACACCCATTTGGCATTCATTCAATAAAACTAAGGGCATTAAGGTAATACCTTAACAGAGATCATCAGCACCATGATAGCAGCTTCCAATACTTTGTCACTCCTACGCTGGCATATCTGCACAAAACATGCTCAAGTATAAATCTTTTTCACTGAGAAAAAAAAATTTGGGAAGACAACATAGAACAGGGCATTGATGAACTAGAAGAAGAAAACTCCAATACCTGCTTCAACAACGCAGGCAAATCGTGGGCTATCGTCGGAACCTCATTGTTTGCAACGGCATAATCAATGCCTCTACATTTGCCAAAACAATTTCAAAACAAAAAAAAAGGGGGAAAACAAAGAAATTGAAAATAGGGTTTGATAGAAAGAGGTAGAAGCTAGTACCTGGAAAGGGAAAGGCAGAGATTGAAGAACTCCATGGCCTCACCACGGTAGCCAGATTTGACGTGAGCAGCCAAGCGCTCAGCCACGGCGGCGACTCGGTAGGAGTTGACGAGCGAAGCCGAGAGTTGCTGCTGCCCAACGCCGCCTGCGTTCAGACTCACTAAATTGTTCACCACCGCCTGCGGTGTTAGCGTTGTTCCATTCATTAGCTCACACACCCACACACAGACACGGCCCACTTTCTCTCTCTTCGGGTTTTTCAAATGTTATTAAAAAAACTGAAGGAAAAGTGAATTGAAAAGGTTCCGGGAAAATATAAACCAAACAAAATATGCGGGACCCATGCCACCACATCTCTTATAATTTCCACCTGTATTTAGATAACTTCCCGGGGGAGTTTTTTTTTAATTATTTCTTTTTAATCTGCTAAGCTCATGTATAACCAAGGATTTAGGGTTTAAACTCTCGAATTTTAAACGAATTTATAAATTCTAAACAAACCACTTGTGTTAAGACGAATTATAAACAACAAAAGCATCTGGCACCTGAAGTCAAGCGGTTAAGAGCATTATCTTTTACATCCAAAATCCTATGTTTGATTCTTCCATTTTTCAATATTGATTATATTTTTAAAAAAAATTTGACAAGAAAATCAGCTAGCAATTGATAAATAGGAGGTGAAGTCCTAGAAAAATTTGCCTACAAACCGAACTTGAGAATAATTTTTATGTGCTACTATATAGAGAAAAAAAGTTTTAGAATTTGGTGAAATGAAGATTTCATGAGTAAATCATACATGTTTAAACTCTAAGATGTGCACCAATTTAATCTAACTTCGGATCAAACGATTGTGAATCAAACGGGAAACTAGTTGGCTTAAATCACACCATGACAAGAACAAAGAAATTGCCTTGAAATTAAGAGGTCGCTACATATTGCATAGTAAAATTGCATGATAAGAAATCAATTATTGTTGAACAATAAGTGAAATCTGTATAAAACTTGTGCAGAGATTTTTGAAGAAATTTATTTGAAATCAGTTATGGGATCTGTTTCATGAACGGGTGTAGAAATTCTGCCAGTCCCAGAAAATATAAACATGTTATAACTTAGGAATTAAAACGCTAATAAGTTTTATGGGCAATGCCAAATTAATAATTGCATAAGACCTTGGCAATTCACTGAACGAACTTCTCTCTCATTTTTCATCAAGTTTACCCTAAAAAACCACTAAACCAAAAGCCAAATTGCCCAAGGCTCAACAGCCACCAATATCCCATAGTGGCCCTGCCAAAGGAGAGCAACAGAAGCCGCCCTCTGCTGTAATTTCAGGCAATGGTGGAGTTTTTCGGGAGCATACGGGCAATTTTGTAAGCAACAGAAAATATAGGTTCTGCCATGAAACAAAAACTTCTACAATTCAACGTGATGGAGTCGGAATATTTCAATTATACAGTTAAATTTAGCTTTTCTCCCTTTTTTGGGAAGAAGATAAAAGTCGGAACTAATTCTGGTACTAATGGCTCTTTTGACGCTGTAGAAATAACTTTGCAGCTTCATACTTCTGTACGGCACAAAAGAAGGCCGAGGTGAATCATCAACCTTGCAACGGAGACACAGCCAAGCAGCACAAGATGATACAGAAGATGTATGTGTTCTCTGAAGTTGCAATCGATCAGCCCTTACCCTGCGTGAGAGAAAAGTACGCAGTTAAACATCATCCGGATCACAGAATGACAGTTGATGAGCTTAATGATATCCAAGGTCACTGAACAATAAATCAGCATAGAGATTTCTCCATAACATCAGCTGAATAAAAAAAAAATTACATTGCCAATTCCTTTAGCCAACAGCTTGCACCATCCATTCAGTACTAATTGACCTACTGTAATTATCCAAGGAAGCTACTCGGCTAAGACAATTCTTCTTACAATTCATTCGTCAAAGCTTCTAAACTATTACTGCCATGATAAAAGAAATACATCTCCAAGAAACATTCAAAACTAATTTTTTTCCATATTGTGCTATTTGGAAGAAATTTCTAATCTCTGTACCTTATGAGGTGGAGTTCCTGGTCTTAACATGTTGTTGCCTACTCCAACCTTTCCTTTCTTCTCAGATGCTTTCAAGATCTGGAAGGAACATGTCAATGTATCATCTACACTCATCATGGCACCAGCATTATCGAACTCCCCACAGTAATTTGGTGCTGAGAATATTGTCACCAGCTTCCGCTTTCCAAAAAACTCATACCCATCTTCCACAACCTGATAAAGGAAACCCAATAAATCAAATAAGAGGTGGACAAACATTAAGAACACTACTAAATAACATACAGTTTGCATCTCAGGCCAGGGAAAAGCATGTGCTCATAAACACTGACATACAGATTGTACTTCAGCATCAATTGAAAGACAGAATTGAGTATGTGACCAAACATGTGAGACACAAGAACTCTTAATGTCGTAGGAATTTTTTCTGGTGTAAAACTATTTGCTCAAAAAATTTATAACAGAGCCAAACACAAGATACCAACCTAATTGACAAGCCATGATCACAAAGTTGAGAGCCAATAGTGGAAGGAAAATCATGAGGAATAGAAATCTACCCAGAAAAACATATATATCATGCACATACACAAAGAAATTCAAATTATAACTCACTCCACTATTATTTTACATGTTCACCAACATATGAAGGATGAAATTTTGAATAAAGTTACTTAAAAACGTTCATAATATTACTGTCGTGACAAATGGAACTGTACAAGTTAAGATGATTATTTGAAGATGCATTACATCAGGTTGAGTTGTCAGTTCCCAGACTTAGTGCATACATGAGCACACAGGTCCAATTCAGTTCCAAACAAGAAACCCAAAAAGAAAAAAGAAAATTAAGTCATATTACCTGATGAGCACGGCAAATGAGATCAAGGTCATGTTTCTGGAGGAACTCAGCAACCTTGTCAGCACCAAAAGTATAGGACACGCCACGATCATTCTCTCCCCAACCTTCAACATCTTTATCAGGATCAGCCCATAATAGATCACAGAGAAGGCCCTGATCTGGCACGTCCACCGGCCGGGCAATATTCCTAATCTGATCCAAGTTTTTCAAATCAGGAGAAAGACCACCATGCATGCAAAGGATCTTTTCATCAATAAGAGCCGCAACAGGAAGACAGTTGAAGCAGTCAGTAAATGTCTTCCAAATGCGAACATTAAATCTTCTCTTGCACTCATCATAGAACCCATATATGCGGTTGATGGAAGCACATTCATGGTTGCCTCTGAGGAGAAAGAAGTTCTCCTTGTATTTGATCTTATAGGAAAGGAGAAGGCATATTGTCTCTATGCTCTGCTTACCACGATCGACATAGTCCCCTAGGAATAAATAATTGGCCTCAGGTGGGTACCCACCATACTCAAACAATCGCAAAAGATCGGAAAACTGACCATGAACATCTCCTGTGAAACAATGACGGAAAATGGATTGGTGTTATTGTAGTATTCAACAGAGCATATCTATTCGGTTCAGGAAATGAATATAGAAATTTCTTAATTAATCAATCGAACAAATATACACCTACAAGGTGTCCCTTACTATTTAATTAAATGAAATAAGATTTTTTTTTATAACCATTATGTGCTGAAACAGATTTCCCTTATATAAAGAAAACATTTCTAGAATGCAAACCAGACAAAGGTTGATGGTCATGAATATAAAATTACTTAAAGACCAAAATTCTTTTAGAACACCTGAATCGCCTTAACAAGGTAGGACATTGATGCCAGAAAGTGAACTGAACCTAAGTTAAACAAAAAGGTGAAGTTCGAAAGTTATATGTGCCCTTTGTATCAAATAATTAGAAGATATATGTGCAAATAGCTTGTACGCTATCACAAGTTGATTGACACTTACCTCTATGTGAGAGGTCAATCTACAAACACATGAAAAGTTGACTGACATTCGAGCAGTAGGTCCCAGTGCAATAAATGAGGATCGAATATATCGCCTAATGCATAGTAACATCAACCTTTTACATTCATCTGAGAGGGAAAAAATCAAACTTTGACTACTTGCATGAGCCAATTTCCACCAAAAACAAATACCTACTTTCATGCGTCACAATGGTGCAGTTCAATGGCTGTCCACCAAATCCAACTTCAGAGAATGCCTACCCAGGCAAAGCACACATGGCACGGACAACACTAAATTAATACCCATCTAATCTAAAAGAATAAGTGGCAACCAGAGTACAGCCATATCATAGACACTAGTATCAGGAGTACCTAGGGACTACTTTGCAGAGTAAGGAACCTAGCTAACCCACCAACAGGCAACCACCCCAGAAGAAACATGTCCAAGGCCAAAACAAGCCAAAGAATAACTTTTTTTTGGGCAGGAAAATAAGGCAATGAAAAACTGAAAGGCCTCATAAACAACCTTAGTCTGCCTAGAATCTTGCAAGCCTTTAGTAGTGCTCGGAAGGTTTGCCACATAACCTCGCCAATGTCACAAATTTTGGCAATGAAAACTACATTAAATCTCTTACCATCAAATTTTGGTTTATCAGACAAACACTGGTAACAATTTCTTATGTGCTAAAAATATACTTCGCACTCTACAATCGATAGGATCTACTCTGATGAGGCAAACTGATTAATGCATATGGAAACCCTTTCAAAGCTGTCCTGTTCTTTTCACTAGTAAATGCTCTTTCTGCTCTAATCAAATGCACCAGAAACTGACTCTACCCAAAAAAATCAATTTTTCTTAATACTTCTTAGAATCTAAAAAATTACATTATCTGCTCAAAGAAACTCCCAATTTCCAATGATGAAATCCTTTTCAAGTGCACTGACCAGAAAAAAATAAAATAAAATAATCATTTCCATGTGCAAACCCACCCAAATTACTCTTTCCCACAATTTAAGTCCAAATTCAACACATAAAACATGCAAACAAAGTCAAATAAACCAAAACTTATCCGAAGATAAAAACCAAAACTTTCAATCCAGAATCAATCATATCGAGTTCTTTACCGCAAATTTTTATCGGAGCTTCAAGCTCAAGAAGATTCGGCTGGCTGAGAAAGATCTCCTTGGAAGCGGAGCAAAGCTGCCTTATTTCGGCCTCCGTGAGCTGCACCTGTTTGGTGGTCCGGCCATTCTTCGCTGAGACAAGCCTCCGAATAAGATCGTCAACAACACTCTCGTCCATCACAGCAAAGCTTCTCAAAACAACCCAAAATCGCACCCAGAAAAACCAAGCAAACAAAACAAAAGCAGAATACAAAACCCTAACTCTACGTTTCGGCCTTGGGTGCGCTCAAAAGCGAGGATAAAGATCCGATTAACGCGTCTTTTGGCTAAAGCGATAAAAGCCTAAAAGAGAATCAGAATAACAATAATAGCTTCGAAATCACAAGCAGAGATTTTAGGAAATAATATCTTCGGCTTTATGGGTTGAAGAAGATGTGGTGGAGGTGTGCGTGGCGGCCATTTTCGGCTGGTAAATGAGAGAGAGAGAGAGAGAGAGAGAGAGAGAGTGTTGAAAATATAAGTCTTTTAAGTGTGTAACAGTTGGGTTGGGTTTTTGAGGGGACCCCTCTCTGCTTTGCGTTTAAGGGAGCCCTAAATAAAGTTTGAGCTAACCCTATCTGGAAACTTTGAGAGCATGCGCCTCGCACGTGCGTGGTCAACCTTGGTCAACTACAACTATAAATTAGAGCACAATTTTTGTTTTGGTTTTTTTGTAATGATGGGTTGATGATGATGGATCATGCATTTATCATGATGAGAATCATGACATTTTGGTGCCCTCCTAAACAATACACTTTTTTTTTTCTTTTTTTCTTTTTGAAATGGAGAATGAAAGATTATCAAATTGTGACACACTATTTTATCATGTTCTTCTCTTTTTGGAAATAGCTTTTGTATGCAAGTGTTGCTAAAGAGTTTGTGTTTGAATTTGAATCAAAACATGGTCACTTTAGGCTGCTTTAGCCAAGATAGGAAAAAGTAACGCATAAGACATCTAATTTTGAACGAATAAAAAGATGGTGGGTGGATAACTATATAAGTTATTTTTTTAGCATAAACAATTGGAGGAGTGGGGTTTACACAAACATTCATTAGGTGTATAGGAATTTCAAACTTCTGCCTATATGGATAGAGGTAGAAGAGCTCAACCAATTGAGCTATATCCTACTGACATTGTATAAGTTACTTTCATTCTCAAGTTAATTGTTTTCTTCTTTGGCATATCCTAAGTAAATTGTTTTAAATAAAGATGTTATACTTGTAATTTTGGGATAGCCGTAGTATCACAATCATACAAGTAGAACGAAGAGATTGAGTGGTTCACTCATAATCTTAGGCTACATCCACTGGTTGTTGTATTTGTATATATGTGTAGAGATTACATTGGGATAGGCTTGAGAGCCGTTACAAATGGGAGAAGAGAGAGATCTTGAGGAAAGGAGAGAAAGAGGCCGAGAGCCCTCTCTTCTCTTGGCTCTTTGTCTTTTTTTAGGGTCCCCTTTCAGCAAGAGGAGAGAGTCCCTTTTGTAAGAGAACAACAATTGACTTCTACCCTTGGACCTGCTAACGTGGCAGCCCATTAGAGGCCTACCCAAGTGAGGTTAAACCGTGCGTCAACAGAAGCCCCCAAGTTCACAGTCGAGAATAGCTTATTGGCTGGGGACTTTCAAGTAAGACCAGTGTTTGGCCGAGCCAAGCACATGTATGGAGATAATAAATTGCAATTTACCTACAAAAGGGTGGTACAATGGTGGAGAATGTGCCAAGCCGAACACACATATGGAGATAATAAGGCTGAGTCGAACACATATGTGTAGATATAATAAGGCCGAGCCGAATACATGTATGGAGTTAATAAGGTCGAGCCGAGTACATATATGAAGATATAACTTTCCCTCTCCTTAAGCATGGCGAGATATATTGGAGATAGTATGGCTGAGCCGAGCACATAGATGGAGATGATATTTTCCTTATCTCGCTTTGACTATGGTGGTACAAGGTGGATAGGGTGCTACTCGAGCTATCTCGGTCTCGATGTAGTTCGAGCCGGCTCGGTCTCAATGTCGTTCGAGCCGGCTCGGTCTCAATATCGTTCGAGCCGTCTCGGTCTCAATGTCTTTCAAGCCATCTTGGTCTCGATAGCATTTTGAACATGTAATAGTGATAGTGGAGAACCCAATTCATGGGCTAATATCTTTGGTTAGAGAGGTCCCCCTTTGTGGGCTTAGTTGTTCGGCAATGTAGTAGCACTCTGTAGACATCTTTGGATGGTCTTAAACAAGGCATGTGGAATTGCGCATGTTTAGACAATGGGGATGGCATTGTCGATTGGGTGTTTGTATTTGTAGATATGAGCCCCTGAGTCCAGCAGCGTTGCAAATTAAGCAGTCGTTGTAGATTACAGTGGTTTGCTCCTCTAGGAACAATGGGTTGACACTCCGTTATGTTGTGTTAGGCGACGTGGTGCCCGTCAACATGGTGTTCATTGACATGGTGCTAATCGACATGGTGATGGGACCTGGTCAAAATGGAACGAGGGAGTCACGGGTGAATCTAGGTAGTCGGTGGGGCTGAGCCCACTTGGTCGCTATATTGGGTGGTCGGGGGCTGAGTAGAGCATTTTCCTTTTTTTTCTCATTTTACTTGCCGCTCTTGGTTTCTATCTGAGCAAGGGAAGAGATTCTTTGTCTCTCTGAGAGAGAAGAGGGCATGGGTGCCCTGAGCAAATATTTGGTTAAGAAATGACCCAACCTGGCAAAGAGATGACCCCAACTTGGCTACCACGTTTTGATGAGGTTGTGGGTGAGTCGGCAGTAGTAGTAAGGTCTGGTCGGTAGCGATGAGATCAGGTTGACGACAGTGATAAGGTCTGGTCAGTAGCCATGGGACCTTGTCAGCAGCGTTGGTCACTCGCCGCTCTTTAAGTTGTGACTATTTTTTCTTCTTTGTTGGTTTCTAATGGGTCACTAATGAAACCAAGTTTGGTTCTCATCATTTCTATCACCCCTGGTTGCGGACTTGGATTGAGAAATAAAGGAGGACCAGAATCATGGTAGTAGGTGACCATGCAAAGTGGTCGACGTCATCCACGATGGTCGGGTCGGCCATGCAAGGTGGTCGACGCTCATCCACGGTGGTCGTAATTTGGTTCATGTATCCACACATAATAACAATATAATATTGTAAGATATTATGTTATGACAGCCCATTAAATATATTAAGTTGAGATATTATACCTAGATATTTATGCAAATAGATACTATGCAAACATATATTTTGTTGAGATGAAGATATCTTGTAATGGGCGATCTCATTCGAGAGGAGAATGGAGTGTGAGGAGGTGGCGGCTCTGGTTTCTAGAGAAACAGAGCATTGCAGAGAGTTGCATCCTTATCTTGTTTCATGTTTGTTTCCAAGGATGGGAGATCAGAGTGAGACTTCGATGGCGGAGCGGATGTCGAAGTGGGTGAAAGCTGCATGAACGTTCTTTTTTTTCTTCATGGCAGGGATGAGGAACCTGGAAGTGTTATGAATGTCTGCGAAGGCCTCGGTATTGAATTCGACGTGAGTTTGAAGCACGGTCAGGTTGGAGTCGAAGACCTTGACTCACTCCAAGCCTTGAGGTTGGGACTTGAGCTGTCAACAATTCTACCTTGGTCCACAGAAGTCAGCGTGAGATGATAAGAGGGAGAGAATAAGGCAAGGAGACACATGGGTGGTTGTTTTTTGTGGAGATGGACTTCCAATTGTCGGGAAAAATGAGAACGATGCCCTTCGTGCCGGTTCCCACAGACGGCGCCAAATGTTACACCCTTAATTTTGGGATAGCCGTAGTATCACAATCATACAAGTAGAATGAAGAGATTGAGTGGTTCACCCTTAGACTTAGGCTACATCCATTGGTTGTTGTATTTGTATATATGTGTGGAGATTACATTGGGATAGGCTTGAGAGCCTTTACAAATGGGAGATGAGAGAGATCTGGAGGAAAGGCGAGAGAGTGGCCGAGAGCCCTCTCTTCTCTTGGCTCTTTGTCTTTATTTTGGGTTCCCTTTTAGCAAGAGGAGAGAGTCCCTTTTGTAGGAGAACAACAAATGACTTCGGGCCTATTTGGGAGTGCTTTTGGAAGGAACAAAAGCGCTTTCTGATAACTAAAAGCGTTTCTGACATTGTTTGGCAGAAAAGTTTAGAAGCGTTTTTGGGTCATAGAAGCGCTTCTCGGAGAAGCACCTGCTATGTGCTTCTTCAGGAAGCACTCCCAAGTGCTTTTCCACGAAGCACTTTAATTTTTTATGAAAATTCTAAATTTTTATAATAAAAGCACTTTTGTTAGAAGCGCTTATGAGCAGAAGTACTTCCTAAAGAAGCAGTCCCAAACGAGTCCTTCTACCCTTGGGCCTTCTGATGTGGCAGCCCATTAGAGGCCCACCCAAGTGAGGTTAGACTGTGCATCAACAAAAGATATTGAGGAAATGCTAAACATAAAGTTTTGAAGTGCGAAATGTGAATGTCCACATATTTATATGTTTACATTGTAAGATAACCGAGATAAATCAATGAAATTATATTTTCATTGCTCTTATTTCCCTATACCAAATTTGAGATTATGAAAAAATATATATCATCTTTTAATATTTTCCATGTTACTTACATAGCATCGAATATGTTTTCATTGTGATCTCCTTCCTTGATCTTTATTTTATATCTCTAATTATATATATATTTCTTTATGTAAGCCTTCATGGAAGTGGATTCTCCTTTCACTCTCAAAAACTTCTAAAATGAGTGAGAAAATTTAAATAGCTAAATCAAATATACGTGAGGAACGCAAAAAAGAGAAATCAAAACAGTGACTCTGTTTGGAAGTTTTTTAGAGAAAATAGAATTGGTTATCATCAAGGTTCACGTAAAGAGAGAATTATCGAAATTACTAATCGTCAATGACTAGGAAGAATGAATCATTTGAAATTCATGTTGTTCTTACTATTTCTATGTCTTATTAACATTAATTTACTTATAAGCATTAACTAAAATGCCTAATTTTGAAATTCAAATTTTTATTTATGCCATGTTTGGTATCCTACTCAAAAAAGTAAATTAAAAAATTATGATTCTTCTAAAAACATGAGTTTTCAAATAGTGATTTTAAGATATGAAAACTTGTTTGGTATTGAACTTCAAACTATTTTTTAGATCTAAAAAATTGAAATTAAAAAAAAAATTAGAACCCCTAAATTCCCAAATTGAAATTAACAAAAGAAAAGGAGAGAGGGAGGAGAAAAACGGGAGAGGGAGGAGAGATATAGATGAGAGAGAGAGAGAGAGAGAGAGTTTTTTTTGAGTTTGAGGTTTTAAAAATAGGCTTACCAAACAGGTTTTTGTGACTTTGGACTTAAAATTTATTTTTGAGTTTATAAAATTGGATCCAAGTAGGATACCAAATAGGTCTTTAGTTTCCATGATAAAAAAAACTTGAAGAAATTAGTCATGATCTCATTATAATTTTTAATTTGGTTGAGTATGAAATCAAAACTAATCATGAATGAATTATAAATTTAGGACATGGATTTACTCAAGTTATACTCAAGTTATGGTCAAATTAAATATCGAATATTTATCAAACTATATATATTTAAAAAAAGGTTGGCTTCTTTATTTTTCTAGTAGGTAGGGTTCGAAAGAAGCTTTCCCATTTGTTACATGACAATGCCCATTCACCCACTTAAAAGAACTATGTGAACCGTTCTAAAAGATTAATGATATAATTAGATTATTATATGTTGTTGATGAGTACTTTCAATTAAAAAAGAGGTAAGTTATTTTTTATTTTTCGCCAATAGGGGTTTAGCCTAGTGGAAAATTCAAACCTTCATAATACCTTGTTAGTACTTTAAAGAGTTAATTTTCTCCATTTTCACTTCATATAACCAATACTTATTTTTAATATTGGCACATGTCTCTCTCTCATTGGTGGCCCTTAGATAAGCTACCACATGTAATCCATGTAATTCCTCCTTTTCTTATGTAATTGGTAATTGGATAATGCCACGTCAAGCAACCTAAGCCCAAGCCAACAAAAAACATGCGCTCTTGATCAACGTTGACGCTAACCTCACCGGAATATTCCAATCCAGCCACCCGTTACCAAACACAACTCACCCTTTCCCGAAAACTATAAATACTTCTTTTTCTTCCCCCATTGCTGCTCGTGCCCTAGAAACATTCATTTCGCCGCAACATGCTTTTCTCAGCCAAACTCCAAATTTTCTCAGCTTTTCCCTCACTTTTTCGCACCAAATCCATGCTCTCCCTCTCATTTTCCCTCCAAAATTCGCCCTAATGATCCTCCTCAGCTCTTCTTTAACTGATTTCGTGTGGTTATGGATCTCAAGGCGATGTTCGCCAACTACTGTTGTAAATTTATCGGTTGATTGTTGTATTTCGATTGAGTTTTGGTGATGGAAGCAGTGGACTTGACTTTTCCGGTGGACGTCGCCGGCGCGCAGAAGTTTATGGGGATGGAGGGTCTTGTGAGAGCTGGGGTTACAGTCAAGGAGCTTGAGCCTTGTGATTTGGACCGTGTTTCTGTTCGCGCAAGCCCTTTGACTGAGGCTTGCAGCTCATTTCTCAGCGATAAAGGTGGTTTCTTGGCGTTTGATTTTGTTTTGTTTTTCTTTTTAAATTATTTAATTACTTACCTTGTCTAGGACTGGCTTGCTTGTTAGTATTATTTGACTGGTAAATTGGGATTTGATCTTTTTCTCCAGGCGTAGATTTGTATTTCCCCAAATTTTGAGGTTGTGATATGTTTTTTTAGGAACTGAAAGCAAACGAGAGGAAAAGGAAAGAAATGTTTGCTTAATATGTTTTCCAATTGAAGCAATTTTCTCTGATTTCCCTCATTTATTAATTACTGGTTTAGGTAGTTCAATATTTATAATTTTAGTTACCCATATTTCTTAATTTGGATGTGTATCTGGGTACCCTCTTAACTTCATAGTTTATGATTCCTTGGTTGTAAGTGCATGCTCATTTTTGTTACTGAAATTTCTTAAATTTTTGCTCTGGGGAATTTGGTTATGTTCTCAGAGGTAACAAATGTGGTTAGTGCTTCAGAGTATGAACCATCTAAGCTTGGTGGTCAGCTGCTCAGTTATCAGGGTGAAGAATTGTCCAGGCACCAACATTGTAGGGGCAAAAATGGTTTTTTGTTGCATACTGGTGCTGAAAGTGTACAGCTAGAACGGAAATCAGGAAAGGTGTCAAAAATGGGTAGTTCGACTTCTAAGAGACCACGAATTGCTAGATTGGAAGATCCAACGAGTTTAGCTGGAGTTGATGGGATAAGGGATATGTCAGATAAGCTCGGATCATATCTTACAAAGTGCAGTTCTTCAGGTAATATATGTCATCTACTGGCACTTTGAATAGTTATTTGACGTAAATGCTTGTTTATCATCATCAGGATTACAACTTCGAGAAAATTGACCCGGGCAAGTCTAAAGATGCTAGATGCCATCTGTGGTCTCTTTGTATGTTAAATTTTGATTGGTCTGTATTTATTAGTCACTTAAATGTTATATCAGTAATTTGTCCTCTCTTGTGAGGACATGATTTTTTTTTCTTTTCTAGATTTGTTTAATGCATGAATGTAAAGTTTTTTTCAGTGGAAAGTCCCATTTTTTCTTTGACACATATCTTACTGTTGGGGAAAATCAAGATTTCCCTGACAGCTCTTACTGCTGTTGGGCACATGAACACGCATCTAGGTATTGCAGGTCTGTTGTTTAACATCAGAGTGTTATGGATTCAGTGCAGTTGATTGGAATTAAATACTTTCTTTAGTGAAGCATAAGTGATGTAGAATCTGGAATGATAATATTGCATGAAGCAAAATTAAATTAATTGGAAAGTAATTGTCTGTAATGTTCCACTACTAACAGGAAAATTTGACCTATTTATTAATTTGACTTATTTATCGAGGCTGTACAATCCCGAATAGGAAACCCTACAAACCCAGTATGGAAACTGAAAATTCTTAAGAGTCAACTATATATACTTAAAACCCAAAGCTAGGGAACTACACCTTTTTTCATTCTCCAATGTAAGTGTGTAAGTGTGTGATGCATCATTAAGTAATGCCGTATAATCTCTACTGACGTATAAGCGTTTGTTTTTGTTTTTCCTAAATGAAACTACTGTTAAACTTATTAAGTTATTTTAACACATATAAGATCTGAACTGGAACATTTTCAACTTACCGGACCTCCACAATGGAACTTTGGTAGGTAATCAAAGCAATAGAAATTACAATGTTTCCCTCTGATGAATGAGACAGACAATATTATGTGCAGCCTTTTCAAGCAATTTAGAATGCTGTGGAATTACATCTGCTGGCTCCATAATATTCTTTGTGCAAATTTTGTTATTCCTTGAAGTTCAATTTGCTCTACTAGTTCTCATTCTTTGAAACTGAAAATTTATGTACCAGTAGTTTCTTTATTCTTTTACAGTGCTAGTTTCTATGTGTGCATTGTATCTTGTAGGACTTTTCTTTTTTATAGTCAGTAAACTGTTAATTTGGTCTGGGTGGTTGGAAATTTGGAAACATTAGCTTGCAAGTGCAGTCTCCAAAATTTATGTTATGATTTGGTAAGGCCATCATGTGATACTTAACCAGATTACCTGTCTCTTTATGTTCTGGTTTGTGCTGAGAGTCGTTTTTTGCCTTTTTGTCTTATACATTCTAGATAAGAATCAATTGGCGAAACAAAAGAACAACTGTACAAGCAAGCGAGGTGATAAGAGAAATCTCAAACTTCATGCAAAGACTAAACATGATTCTTTCTCCGTAAAGGCGGGTTTGCCAAGCTTCGGTTCTGCTGCTGGAGGGAACAACTTTTTCGGTATGAGACTTCTCACAAAAGCTACATTCTGTCTCTCAATGAATCATTGATGTATTCATTCGGTTATTACCATACTTTCACTGTGCATATTGCATACTGTGCAAAATTTAAATCATGATTTAAATGAATGTCAGGAGTACATGGCCTTAAGTCAGATAATCATGATGTCACAAAGCTAGTAGATGATGTGCTACTGAATGAGCTCCTTGATGGGACATGCAAGTGTCCTAGTTTAGACAAGGGCAAAGGGAAGAAACCAGCAAATGTTAACGATAGTTTTCTGCATTCAGTTAGAAAGGCCAGTTTCGTCCTTCAGCTACCAAGGTCTGTCCAGCCCCAACATATTGCTGAAGTAGATAGCAATTCCGACAAGATAATGTCACCATGGCCGTTAAGCACAAGTTCTGTTGTAACTTCTGGCGTCAATGGTGATAAGGGAGAACCAGTCATCACAGATCTCTCTTCATGTAATGAGGTCGGTGATCAGTGGTAATCTAATATATTTGTTAGCCTTGGAGAAAACTTACAACATTTTATGTGACCTGTTTGATTAAAACTAGAAGTTTTTATGGCTTACATGGAAAATCATGGAAAAGCTGTGCTTCAGAATAGGCCTCTTTGAAATGGTTGTTTGGATAGATCTTCTGAATCCAGGATAGATATGCTGCTGGTGTGAACAGTTGCACATTTTAGTTGAGTATTAGGCTGAGCTGACGAGGATTTTAGTTCTATTGTATAACTTCTAGTGTTTCATTTAATTCAGATTATTAATATTTTGGATACCACTGATGATTGATGTCATCCTTTCTGTTTTTGTTCCTATAGGTACAGGATTCTCATAAAAAGCCTGAAACTCCTGCTAATCCCCTTGATTTGCCATTATGTGAACCTAAGTATATTTTGGAACGTTTGGCTCTTCCTCCACCCAAGGATTTGGAATCTTTGCTTTTGGATGCTGCAAAACCTGCTTTATCTTCAAAAAGTACTCCTGATCCATGCTCAGGCAAGCAAATATCTCGCCGGGCAAGCTTGCCTCCATTTCCATGGTCGCATACTTCTAATGGGCACTGTAGAACCAGTTCTGATGCAGCAAAACTGTCCACAAGCAAGGGCACATGCCAAGGTCGATGGCAAAGAATAGGGAAGAATATTGTTAGCTCATTGGGGGCTGTCACTAATAATTTTACAGACTTGGAGTCACTAACCTATGATCAGAGTCTAGTTCCTTCTGCAAGGCTAAAAATTGCTGGTTCAGAAAATCAAGTTTCCCCATCCATATCTGTTAGTCTTTCTTGGTTTCGGCGGGATTCATCATCTGGTGCAACATGTTCCAAACAATCCTTCGTTCCGCTAGGTATGTTTTCTAAGGGATGAGTTTGATTTATATACTAAAACTTGAATGTGTCACATTGGTTGCTGGAAATTATTACTATCACTGTCAGTCCTACTGCTTGGGACATTGCCTTTTATAATTTATAATTTTTTGGAAATGCAGAATCTGGAGGCAAGGTGAATCATTCAGGAAATGGTAATGGTACAGTTTCTACCTGTTAGCAGCCTCTCTTTATGCTTCTTGTTTGTATGTGTAAAATGCACGTGCTTTGGGATGCTTGGGGTGGGTAGGGTTATGCATAAAGTCAAGGAAGATGACAAAGAATGATGCTGCCGTGTTGGCATTGAAACTTAATCCAAAATCATTCAATGGAGGCCTACTTTGGGTTAATCCAAAATCATTCATTGATGCCCTCTTTGGCTGCTAGTTTCCCAATTAATATGATTATGGAATGTGCCAGATGATGCATGTTATATGCTTTAAATGAAATAGTAAATGAATCTGATAGGCTTTGTCTGATGGGCTATGTGCCTTGTTAGGAAATAGGAACTGGATGTCAGGCCCATCAGTTGCACAATTATGTTTTTGTTGTTCTTGTCTTGGCTTGGAAAGGATTTTGCAATATCTATACTCCACATCCACTCTGATTTCTATTTCTGCCTTTGCAGCTGTGTGACTTTGCCGTTATTAATGAAATGGTTTTTGCTTGTCCAGATGAGCATTGTCCACAAATATTAGCTGCTGCTCGAACACTGTGTGACATGGCAACTTGTTCCTCGAGGCAAAATCCAGATGGAATCATAAGATGGCCAAAGAAGCCTTTACAAAAGGCCATGAAAGCTCGCAAGTTAAAATCAATAGAGAAACCTGAAGAAGCATATGGAACATCGGTTGTTGTATCTGGGTCTGATAATCTCAGGAGAAGCGTCAACCGGATGATGCTACCCCCAAAGAAGCCCAGGCTCTCTATGGTTGATGATAGGAAGGATTTCAATAATTTCAGCTGCGTTACAAAAGGACCAATAAATTGGTCTACACCCAGGTCAAGTAGGTCATCACCTGGCAAATCACTTAAGGAGTCAATTGTGGATATAAGACATTCAACCACGGATGTAGCGAGGCAGTCGTATATGATGCCACCACCAGCAAGGGTTCCAGAAAAGGCGTCGAACAAGCGGGAGAAGATGGGAAAGTTATTGACAATGGAATGGAACAGAGGAAGGGACCGGCTGGACTGATGGACAATTGTGCAAAAGATTTTAGTCCGTACTGACGAGGTTTGTCATTTAATCTGATGTCTCTGTGGGGAGGGTTGGTTATTGGAAATAGCTGATTTGTATATATCATGCTGTAGCCTGTAGGTGAAAATGGAAAATGTTGTAAGGGGTTCATGATGTAGGCGCAAATGAAAAATGAAGTAGTTGTAAGGATTTAATTTAGGAGGGGTAGGAATTTTATGTTGTAACGAAGGATAGAGCACAGCAGCAATGAAATTCATTGCCTTGTGTAGAGCATCCAATCTCTCTCTCTCTCTCTCTCTCTCTCTCTCTCTCTCTCTCTCCATGTCTTGGTAAATAATGAAGTTTCACGATTTTATCAAAATTTTAATAAAATAAAAATATGAAAGAATTGCTCGTGTTTCAGATACTGTTCCAAAATATTGATTTCCGGCCATGGAATTTCTATTTTTAAAATTTATAAGTTGTTAACAAAATAGTTTTTTTATATAAGAAGTTAGGATGTTTACAAGATCCTTTGTACACGGGCCAACATACAATAAAACTAAACACACAGCTCAACAAGTGTAATCGTTTTTCCTTATTTTTTAAAGAAATAGTATAGCCGCGCGGCTTTACAGTTTTGCACATGGCGCATGCGAACAAGTCCTTTTTAATATATATAAATAGTATACCTGACGGCTATCCACGGTTACTTTATTTTTTTATAAAAATAGTATAGCCGCACGGGTTACTTTTTTGACACGTGGCACCTAGGCCCTTGGCGGTTCCCTTTTTTAATATATATATATAGTATCACCGGGCAGCTATACCCGGTTGTTAAATTTTTTTTAAATGGTATCGCCGCACGGCTATACTTGGTTTTATTAATGTTTCTAAAAAATAGTATAGCCGCGCGGTTATACTGATTTTGACACCATCGCTGCGGGTCGTGTTTTGTTTTATCGTATAGCCGCGCGGCTATACTCGATTGTTTAAGAATGTTAAAAATTAGTATAGCTGCTCGGCGTTACTAGGTTTTTTTTATTTTTATTTTTAATTATAATTTTTTTTTACTAAATACTATAGCCTGGCGGCTATACGCTTTATACATATAGTGGCATCCTTGTTTTCTTTGTAAAACAGAGAGCTCATTTAAATTTAATCAGCAAAGGAAGAAGATAGAAATAAGCGATATAATAAATAAGGCAAAATTGTAGCAATGGTCCCTCAACTAAGACCTGACTTTACTTTTAGTCCCTCATGTCACAAAATTGTTATGGTGGTGCTTCAACTATGCTTCGACTTTTAGAACTCATCCTCATCCTTTCCATCACATATGTCAATTTTTTCTGAAAAATAACATTTTCACCAAAAAGAAAAATGAAATTAACATGATACGGAGCATTCTTTTACATGTGATAGCAGCCTATATATAATAAGAGAATCAATTGTATTGAACCTGTAGCACTTATTAACAGATCCAATGGCGTCCGTTAATTATATCTCAATAACTTTCTTAAATATTGGGATATTGGAAGCAATTAAATATATTTGTGTCTGGGTAATTGTTATTAGGTTCATAAGCTTATGTTTTTAATTGTATAAGTCATTTTTTTAAAGCTTATATTTGTATTTGACATTGCAAGTATTTGTATTTCTATGCCTGGTTAACTTAATCAAGATTGCATTAGAATTTCTGGGCAGCTAATTAAATTGCATCAGATTTTTGGCTAACTAATATCTACCTTCATGTAAATTGTTACTAAGCTTTTGATAGGATCAGTAAAATATTTACTCTCAACTTTATTTTTTATTTTTTATACCACTATGGATCAGTTTGGTTGATCACACAGTCAGTTAATAGTTGAGAGGTGGCCAAGAGTAGTTCTATTGCTGGATTGGATGATTGGCACTAGTGGCGGAGCTAGGAATTCTATCAAGGAGAATCAACTTTAAATTACAATGAGCTTAGTTTTCACAGGGAAAATATATATAAGAATTCATTATAATGATTAAATTTCAACATCACAAATTTAATATCTTAGTAAGTACAACCCAAATTCTAGCAACCTAAAAATAATGAAAGAGTATCAAAAGTTGATTTTAGATAGAATGAGAAAATCAAATAAAATCCATGACACACACATATAAATGACATATGAAGACATGAAAACAAATATAAATCATATTCATGTTCATTGTAGACAATTTACATTTGTGAGAAGGGTTAATAGTAACTATAGCTTATTTTGGTTGTCCACAAATTCTACAGCTTAAACTGCTAAGACTCCTAGGGACCAAAAAAAGAAAACAAAGAAAAACTGTTAAGACTGAAAAATATGGGTTAGGCTAGCTAGCAATGAGAGTATTCTCCCTTCACTCGAGTTTGATTTCATTCTCCATCTACGTTCATATACAATTCGAATATCATCTACTAACATCACTGATTTGAAAGTTTAAAGTGACTTTGTGTTGATTGTTTTGTAAATGTAAGTTTTCTTCTTTTGCGTGTAACAAAGAAATGACCCAATCAATCAAATTGCAGGAGGCTTCATGAAGTGCTTCTTTAGAATTAAATTTCCATTTATCGCTATTTGAAATTAGGGTAGTTGTTTAGACTTGTTTATTTAAATTAAAAAAATTATTTTTGGTTCTTGTAGTTTGCCAGTTTTTCCATTTTGGTCCCTATAGTTTTAATATTTTCAGTTTAATCCATGTTGTTTAATTATATCGCAATTCAAGGACACATCCAAATTTCCATCCAAAATACCCCTCCACGTAAGACACATGGTGTTTATTCCGTCAAGAAATTGGACTGAAATTTGGATGTGTCTTTAAATTGCAATAAAATCAAACTACAAGAATCAAATTGCCAAAATTAAAACTATATAGATGAAAGTGAAAATTTCGTCAAACTAGAGGGACGAAAATTGAATTTTTGCATTATTTAAATTTGCAAAATCCTTATGTGTTTAATAGAAATACCTAAGAAAACTTCTTCACCATAAGCATTATTTTTTCCGCCTGGACTTGTATGGCATACTGTACATTCATACCAAGAAACATAAATCATAATGAATTAATAGAAATACCTAAGAAAACAACTGATCTAATACTAATACAAGAGCCATTGCAAATCCAGCATCAAAGCCAGGATGCACAATCAAATGAAAAACCTCTACCCCATAAGAAACCCCTCCAATATTTGCCTCCTTCCTCTTGATCTCAGCTACCGCATTCCTATACTCATCCAATACCTTGCAAGATCGATGCGTGTAAGAACCTTCAATCAAATATGCATATCTTTTATGACCCCATGCCTCTCGATATACATAAGCAAGTGTGTTGGGATTGGCGTTTAACATGTTCATGTTCTTCCTCACGCAAAACGTTGGGCTGCTTTTTGATGTTCTTGTTCCACAATAATCACCCACTTCTCCTTCGTGCACAAACCAACTGTCAACTAGACTAAGCTTCTGCCAAGGAAACCGTTGAACAGTCAACATGAAATCCAGTTTTTTATTTCTCTCTTTTATACATGAAATTATGAATATAAACAAGTACAAAAAATGTTATGTTGTTAGATTGTCAATTTAGAGTGACAAATCAGGTTATACAAATATATATATATACCTTGCGACGACGCATTGTGAGGACGGATTTTCCAGAGGCATCCATGAGAACGACTTCCTCAGGATGCCCGACGTAGTTGTCGACCCGATAAAAAAGATCTCCGTTCGAATCGATCACCGTGAACCCTTTGCAGCTAATCAGGAGTGATTTTCTCCACACTGTTAATGTTGTGCAAGCCCCAACAGTATTGAGTTCCTGCTCATCTTGCTGATCATGTTGTTCTTGATTATGAACAGACCTTGACAAAGATTTCAAGAAAGGAACAATTTTCATCTCTCTCTCTCTCTCTCTCTCTCTCTCTCTCTCTCTCTCTAAATTGTTAAACCGTAAGCAGAGGTTATGAGAGCAGATACTTATCGCCGGAGAATGTTTGAGTTTGAGATATTGGTCTTACTAATATTAGGAAAATTCTCTGTTTTGTACAAAAGAGTTGTATATATATACAATCCTTCTTATAGTTAATGACGTGACGATATATTATTATACTACATATATATATAGCTGTGTATGTGTATAATTGTATTGTATATATCTATTGCATGAAAATTAATATTTTGTCGTATAACATTGGTCGCCAGAAGCATGACACGAGTAGCTCTCAATGAGTGAATCTGGGTTGTTTTTTTCATTATTTAAATATATTGTGAAAGAGACAACTAGCCAGAAAAGTCATTGCTGGTTTCCTATGGGGGACACTTTGATGGGATTAATTCTATACTAATTAGTAATTAGCATAGATGACGTATCTTTATTAATTAATTTTGATTAATTCACAAGTAATACTGGTATTAAAAAGGCGACACGTGTATGTTTCCCTAAATGGTCTCTGAGGTTCCAATTTTCTCTTCTTTTGATTGAATGGTGAGTTAGGTTTGTGTTTGTTTAATCGGAGATTCATAAGCACGAGACAAAAGGGGGAGCCATAAAAAAATAGGGAGGGTGCATAGCCTGCAGGGAGGGGTGAAACCCAAGAAATTTGCTCGAGTTATTTCCGCAACCATTCATTCAAACTCTGTTTTACTGATCTCATGAACGAACTATGGTCGAAATAATATATTTTACTAATTGGCTATGACTATGAGAAATGCTTTGTTATATTTGTAGTTATTGACTTGCGTTGACCAACTATTTACATCATGTGTCACATTGAAATTAAGTCACAACATTAGAGCATCCACAGTGGAGGGATGTAAATTCGGGGGTGTAAAGCCACTTTTACATCCCCTTTACCCATTCGGGGGGTGTAAATATGTTTTTTGCTCCAATTGGGGGTGTAAATTCAGGGGTGTAGCCGTGGGTTCCAGCCTTTTATGTTGACTTTTCTTCATTTTTCTTCTCTTTTCTCGGGTGGGTCCCGCCTGCAAGGGATGTAAAATATATGTAAATATGTATTTTATTTTACATCTCATGGTGATGATGTATATTTACATTCATTTACATCTCCCTATTGAAGACGATTCCGGTGACTCGGGATGTATATTTAACATACACCCCCATATACACCCCATCTCACTGTGAATGCTCTTAGGTTTGTTTAGATTTTATACCAGCGATATTAGAACGGGGGAAATTGAACTTAAAACCTCGGGTGCAGAATAAATACTCTTGAAAACTTGAGCTACAAATCTCTTGCAATATTAAGATGGTTGGTTCAAAATTCAAAGTTGTGAGGTAAAAAGTGGCTCAATTATTCACCACCCCCATCTCATGAAAACAAATCAGAGAAGCAGCAATAATAAGAGTAGCAAATCTGCAAATATTTTTATTTTAGAGTTTGAATCGATTTTGGAGATCATCACGCATATAGAGAGACTTTTAATTACTCTTGCATTGGATTTTATATTTATATATAACGCTTCATGACAACAAGGGTGGGGACGAGATGTAGAACCTTTTATTAATTGTCCATTTCCAAATATCCATACTTGCACATCTTAGGGCTCTTCCCAAAGCTCCCGTATTTTGTTCCAATCGATGCCTTTGAAATTTTAGTCGCTATACTTAGAGCATTCACAATGAATTCCGTAAACCACCTTCTAAGATAAAATTTAAGAAGGAAGTAAGAAAATCCACCTCCAACTATACTCCATATCCAACTTTTAAAATATGGAGATCTTTAAGAGCTCCTAAATCTAAGGTAAGAGCAACCACAATCACGCTCTCTATTTTTTAGTTAAATTTTAGCTAAAAACATTTAAAGTTATTTTAGGAGCTCTTTATAAATTTAAACTCCAATCATGTTCTCTAGTTTAGCGAGTCATAAATACTATCACTCTTTTTTAATTGGTCAATCTCTATTAAAAAAATAATATAAAAAATAATTAATATTAATTAAAAGTTTGAAATAATCATTAAATAAATCAGCATTAAATTATAGGGAGCAACTATGAGTCCTTTCTCTCTCTTCAGATTTAGGAGCTCCTAGAGATCTCCCTATTTTAAGAGGTGGATAGGGAGCATGGTTGGAGATGTATTTTTCTAAATCCTTCCTAAAATTTGTCTAAGGAGATTATTTAGGGAGCCAATTGTGGATACTCTAAGAAATGACTCATTGTGGCTTCATATAATTAAATGATGCTTTACTTTAATGCTATTTTAAGTATTTATTTATTGCTAACTATTTGTTATTATTATTTTATATAAAGAGGGACCATTTATGCTAAACTAAAAATATATATATATATATTATTTATGATTCCTTAAACTAGGGAGCATAGTTGAAGTTGAAAATTTTATAAAGAGCTCCTAAAATAGCTTTCTAGTGTTTTTAGCTAAATTTTAACTAAAAAATAAGGAACATGATTGTGGATGCTCTTACAAATCAAAGAAAATATGCATGGGAACAACTCTAATTAATATTGGATCACATTTATTGATATCATTTCTCTAGTTGAGTAGATGCGAGATTCATCTCAGTCAATGGGGTCATACCATAGTGGAAAAGTATATTTGGCTTAAGATTAGTGGTCTCAGAGTTCAAAAGCCCCAGGCATTAGTGTGTGTGTAAATCTCTCTCTCTCTTCCCACCTTTGACAAAGAGAGAAACAAAGATGATCGATCGGCAAATGTGATATTTATATATTGTAGAAATAACATTATTCGCAAGTATTCTCATAGGTACATATGTTGGCACGTATTCTCTATTTATTGGCTAATGGCTAAAAGAAGATCCTCTTGCAGTTTCGTTGCTATTAGCAGCCGATTGACTGTAATTATGATTTGAATTATCGCCATCTTTCTAATTGATCACTTGATTTTCTTTCTACCTTTTCCATGTTCTCCATTCATCTTTTTCAAGCTTTCGGTTCTTCCTTTTCAATGTGTCTATGTATATAGAACGTAGCTAGCTACACAAGTTAACTGAACATGCCCAGACAAATATGGGTGGGTCTGCAAACCCAACCAAATTCTCACACGCCCAAAACTCCCATTGGCCTCAACTCTCAAGTCATGACCACCCTACACTGTTTTGAGTTAGACGTGTACGTCACTGATTATGCATGAAAGCAATTTTGCAAATGGTAACAAACATAATTAGAACTTTAATTAAGCAGCACATCGTTCTAGATTTTCATTAATAAAAACCAAAACCAAACTTCCTATACATCATTATCATATACATAGAAGACAATGAGTTAGAGGAACTTTCCTCCATTTCTTTTTTCTTTATTATTTTGTGTGTGGAAGGGGGTGGAGGATGTGGAGGGAGGCCAGCCAATTTTGATGACTCAGATCATGAGATTCATGCATGGAGATGGGACCGGATCGCAAAACAGTGTTTAGGATTAGACTAATCAGGCTGAGGGCCCCACTTAGATATTAGTCACTGCTAAATTTAGTAAGAAAAGGCAGTGCTTGAGCTGGGAGCCTACCACGTGTGTATATTTACTGGTTGAACTTCAGTGACTTGGCATCCTTTTAGGTATATGCCTTATAATGATCTTGGACTGAATCTTGATTCGTAAACCAGGCAAATCTACATACACACTAAAATAATGATCCTTTTATAGGAGGAGTTGCTTAATAAAATGATTCGAACACTTTGTGTCTTTGTTTTGTTAGAAAGGTAGAAATATATATTATTCAACTGAAGCAAAGTGATGTAATCTACAGAGAGAATCTGAAGAGTTAATTTTGATATTTGGCGTCTAAGAAAAAATAGACAGATGATCCAATGTGATTGGGCCATGCCAAGCGATAGGATAGTGGTAGATGCGTTATAGAAAATACAGAGACTAAATTAGCCGAATGGATAAAATACTTGTCCCTCGGACTTTAGGTTAAGTTTTTAGACTGACGTATACGGCATCACACTCAATAAGGGGTTGGAGCATGGTAAGAACAAAATTCATGGGCTTAAGGTCTTCACATCCTCAACCTCTATGGTCCCTTGCACTGTTTGAGGCAATACTTTGTTGGCGTGCATTGATTCTAACACCGCCCTCTACCTCTATCATCTATCCCTATTCGTAGCTCCCTCCATCAACATTGCTTAGTTGGATTTTCATACAGCGTTAAGTAAACTGATTTCATACAATATACGTATTTCGTTTGATTTCGGGACTCTTCCTTGACCATAATATATTTGTATTCCTCATGGACATTAATAAGTAGGTCTGTTCACTCAAACTTAATTGGCAATAAAAATTAATTATATATAAGTAGGTCTGTTCCTCATGGAAATTACCATAGGCCACAAGCCGATCCTCAGACCGAGTCATACTATAGTGATGGCTTTATATATGATCCTTAAGGGAGATCCTATATTTTAATTGTTAGATCAAATTGTTTAGTCATTGGATCAAATTGGTTAGCATGATTCAACGGTTAAGAGATATGGCTCGCTTAAGGGCCATATATAAGGCCCTCACTATAGAATTCTTGCCCTCAGACCATCTCGTGCAGAATAATGGGCCAATACAATGACTAGGTTCAGCCCAAATACAAGGCCCATGTCTAAATCTTTTTTCAGGCTTGAGGCTGATTCGTACATTATACAAGTCCACGTCTTGCTACGAAAAAGCTCTTATGCATTTTTTTCCCCTGCGTTTAGATTGAGCTAACTTGTGTTTAGGTTCAGCCCAAATACAAGGCCCATGTTTAGCACTTTTAAGAGTATTGCCAAATACTCTGCGTTTGGATTTAGATTATGATGCATGACCCAGCTAAGGAAAATGACTAAAACCGTTTCAAAAATATATGGCATAAATTCTTAAAAGTGCTTATGAGTTAGGCAAGTGATTTTTGGTGCTTTTTCAGGATGCATTTCCAAAGTGCTCTTGTAAATTTTAATAAATTTTTTAAAATGCTTCTAAATTCTAATAAAACTGTTAGCGAACCTGTGTTGGGCTCCAGTTTATTTTAGCTTTTTAGATTACTTTGGCCACAAGATTTGTAATCAAAGTAAATTTCCAAATACTTGTCACATTAGGATTCGCTATATCACTATATATTGTATATGTTATGTTATCGATGAATGGAAATCAGCAAAACACATTTCTATAAAAATCAATCTAGAAAAAGTGCTTCCTACAAAAACAATCTCAATCGAGCCTCAAAATTTACAAAAACAAAACTAATGAATCTTATCGATAGCCTTGTGCAACATTCGGACAATGAAGAGTGTCGTTTGTTTTGTTTTCTTGTGGTGTTGTTTTGTTGTTAGCACACATGGCGCGTGGTGCAAACAACAGCGACGTGCACTGGTGGACTTGACACAGATTGTTTTTACAAAGTCTAAACCTACTCGTTTCATCAGGACATCAGGCATCTCATTGAATCACCAGTACAAACTAGAAAGACAGAAATCAGTAAAGGCTTTCCCTTTCAGTTTGCACAGATGAGGTAATGGGGGGGAAGGAAGAGGTCTTTTTTACGTATGGCATTAAGCCAAGTAAATATATATATTAATTGTGGTCAAGATGAGCATCTTGTAACCCTACCAACCCCCCAAGGGAAAAAGGACACACCGTAACGGGTGAGACAACGACCCGATGGGTTCACTCGTTGACCGCCAGTCACTGATTTGCCTTGTAATGGACGAGTCATTGATAGTACTACTTGCTCTATATTTCTCAATTAAGAAAAAGTTACAGTCAATTAACTTCTAATTACTTTCACTGTCACTTCTTCATGTTTTCTATATCAAAATTAAGTCTACAATCATCAAGAGCTGCAAACTGTTTGACTAAATAGACAGTTATGAGAACTAATTAATCAAATGATATATCGGTATCGCAAAATTTTTAATCAGCGATAATTTTTAATTTCGTGCATGACAATCATAACATGTCGTAAATGAGAAATTATTTAGTGTGACAGTAATATTATATTGCAAATGAGAGAATTATTTGGGCGAGAGCAATCAAAGAACCAAGCTCGTTAATATTTTGTGGTCACTAATTAAATGAAAAAAAAATCTGATATAATTCAGAGTTGTTGAGCAATTGACTATAATGTAGTACTCTCTAATGGTGGACCCTTCAGGCCTCTGCGGGATTTGTACGTAAACATGTTCTAGAAGCCCACCTACTCACCACGACCAAATTCTTGGCAAGTAGTTCTAGGTTCTTTGTCTTTGAGAAACACGAACTTGTTTGGGATGAACTCTCAGAATACATGCATTCTTTTACTTGTTGCTTTTCACGTTTTGTCGCCAAGACTTAAACCCCCACTAATTCAACATCAACTTTAACTTAATAGCATAAGAAAAAAGTGGTCTCAAGACCTTAACCATTGACTTAGAAAAAAGTGGTCTCTTAATATAATATAATATATGAAAAAACTTCTGTGTATGTGTGTGTGTGTCTTTCTGCGCATGCACTTGGTGAATTTAAGGTCCCATTCCCACCACAAAATTTGTGTGGGAACATATTGTACAGTCAACATCCTAAATTCCTCAACAACGACAATCAAATTTAAGACTTGTTTGGGACTACTTCTTTATGAAGTATTTCTGCTCCTAAGCGTTTTCAACAAAAGCGCTTTTATTATAAAAATCTTGAATTTTCATAAAAATCAAAGTGCTTCCTAGAAAAGCACTTGAGAGTGTTTCATGAAGAAGCACATAGCACGTGCTTCTCCAAAAAGCGCTTTTATGACCTAGAAGTACATAGCAGTGCTTATCTAGAAAGCGCTTCTATGACCTAGAAGCATTTCTAAACTTTTCTGCCAAACGCCGTCATAAGCGCTTTTAATTATCAGAAAGTGCTTTTGACCCTTCCAGATTCCAGAAACACTCCCAAACAGGCTCTTAGTCACATACAATTTATATGCCTTGGATATCCACTGTGGCCCGTTTTGCCTGGCCTTTTGTCACATTAAAACTGAATAGAATTGTCTTCAGGTTCAAGATGGACTACAAGTTTAAAGAAGTTTGTTAATGAAGATATTGAAAAAAGATCGCACCATTTTGATGTTCTAGATCTTTTGTAATATATAATTGGACTTGTACCCACACAGTATTATTTGATCATAGTCCCATTACCGATCGAAAATTACTAGCTAGGTTTCAAAAAATTAAATTGTTAGAGAATGAAAACATAGTCTAGTACACATCCATATATAAGAAGCTGTATATTGTCGTACAATATATATTCGCAGGTGTGTACGCACCTATCTACGCGTTTTTGAAGTAACTAACATTTTGACTTAAGTGTAAAAAGTTGGAAAATGGCTACGTACTGCACGTAATGTGTGGCTATATGAACCGATATCTTTATTTCTCTCTTGTTTATCTTTCAGTTTGCAAAGCAATGTTGATTGATGCTTGTCAAGTCGTTATAGTTTTTCGAAGACTAGTATGAATGTTGGTTTATGGCCTCCGAGAAGTCTTAGAGGACAAGTTACTTGCTGTGGTTGGGAGGAACTTCGTCTATAAAATTAAATTCTAAGGAAAAAAGAAAAGAAAAAGAAAAAAGAAGAAGCTATCAACTTCAAAAGCGAACGTCATCTTTGACCCTAAACACAATTGTTCTAGACCTTAATTAACCATGGTTTTTAATAATTAAGTTACGTTAATTATAATTTTCTTGTGCTAGTCGCGATGTTTTTTTTCCCGTTAATTACCACGAGATTATTATAAAATTCAAAAGTATTCAAATAATCGCATCTTTAGTTCACAAACCGAATATTAGGTTTTTGCAAAGATCACGAAAAGCCGTGGCATGCGTTGTACATGAATAGATTAGGTTATGAAGAAGAACTGTCGGTCACTGCCTCACGACACTATTATTTCTATCTTTGGCATGACTAAGATCATGGCTTTAGGCACAGGATGAACATGTGATAAAGTATGAGAGGAGTGTCAAAGCCCTAAGTCTCCCTATAAACGTAATTTTCCTACTTATTTTAGTTTAAAATTGAATAGCACACTGCCACACTTTTCGTTTTGGTAAATAAGGAATTATACAGTAGCCAACCATGGAAGAAAAATTGAATCCACCAATTTCGTTACACATATAGCAATTTAATTATGCATATCATGGGTTTTTAAAGCAATTTTTACTCGAAGCCTGTCATACAGTAATTTTTGTGGATAATAATGTATTTATATTATTGGATATATATATGCGTCAACAGAATCTAGCCTAGTGAAAAATAGTCTTGACTTGTAGACCAATGGTCTCAGATTCGAATCCTCATGACACGTTGGTAGTGTGTGAATGAGAAACCCCCTAGTAGTGACTATCGCTTCTATTAAAACAAAACAAAAACTATTGGACATATAACTCATCACCCTACATATATATATATATATATATATATATATATAAAGGAATGTTTTCCCAGGTGAGTTCAGGTTAAAAAATGGGAAGATTCCAGCCAATTGATTAAGGAAAAACGGTGGTAGGGTTGGCCCAAAGTCATCATCCTTAAGATCCAATGTGTAACCAAGAAAAATTATAGTCTAAGTTACCATATATTGAGGCAATTATATCCATCACAAGACATTAAATACTTTTCGTTGATGGAATCTTAACTTGTCAAAATTGTTTTTTTATCTTTCGTTTTATTTGTTTGTTATTTATCGACACAAAAGAATAATTAAGGATATTATTGTTTTTGTAATTGTATATATAAACCATATCACTTTTTATTTTTCTTCCTTCCAATCTGACGTAAGGCATTTGGGTGTAATCATTTTGAAGAAGAAAAAAAAAATTGCTTCTATTTTGTACAGCACGGTAACAAAATGTAGGGTTGAATTTGTAAGTAATTTCTGGATCTAGTAGAATTGGAAGCTATAATCTAGCTCAGAGCAGTAGGAGTCTAGTATTCAAATCCACCTACCTCATCCTCATCAAGCCTTAGAAACCTTTCTTGTTTTAGTTTCTCAACTCCACTTCACCAATCAAAATACGAAACAATTCAACCAAAAAAAAACAAAAAGCAAAAAAACAAGAATATCTGATTTTCCATCGTTTTCTTTCCTGTCTATTTGGGAATCATTTTCTTTGTGCCTCAGATATTCAAACGGTTTACATTTAAGTCTCTTCATTTAAAGTTCGTACTTATAAAAAGTAGATAAAATAGGCGAATACATTATTTCGAGAAAATACTAACATGACAATAATTTTATTGAGCGATTAAATAGTTTCGTATTAGACTGATTTTTCAGATACGATCTTTAGAAGAATGCTAAAAACATTGACGATTTATATTATTAAAATACAAGACATAGAAGAACTTTACCATAACATCTCTGAAATAACATATTCGAGGAGCTTCCATCTTACACGTATAAATACATGTATTATATATATTGGGTGGGTGTATATCGTTTTGCATGGTCCCGGGGATTATTGGGTTCCCTTTTCAGCTCTCTCTCTTCCTCTGCTACAAAGCTTGGAGCTTTGTCTGTTTCTCTCTTTTTCCTCTCTGTCTAGTTGCTGCGCTCCGCGTTACATGTCTTTTCCCTGAGATTCCGAACAAACCGCGTTCCACGACCACTTCACTTGTTTTCCCTTTTCTTTTTTAAACAAACTTATAAAATAAAAATAAAAACTCTCTCTCTCTCACTCATCACTCTCTCCTCCGCATTTCCACATACATCTTATAAACACCTCCAACCTCCCCCACATTTTTATATTATATCACTCCTTATCACCACCACCTATCAATACATATAATTTATAAGTCACTGTCTGTTTCCAATTTGAGTTTCTTTCTCATCAATGAGGTCTCATCCGAGGCACGAGCGCCGATGGGCCTCGGACTCGGTTCCCGAGAAGTCGCTAGTCAGCGCCGGCACGTCGCCGGCCATGACCGAAGATTCGAGCTCGGGAGCCGATCAGGAATTCGTAGAAGTAACTCTCGATTTACAGGACGACAACACCATCGTCCTCCGCAGCGTCGAGCCTGCCTCCGTCATTCACATCGACGACCTCGCCGGCGTCGGCGCGTCACCTGGAAGTGAAACTCCGGCTTCTGCCTCGGCCTCTGCTTCCCGGTCGCCGTCGACGATACGCCGAAGTTCCTCCAACAATCGGATACGCCAGTTCTCTCAGGAGCTGAAAGCCGAGGCGGTGGCGAAGGCGAAGCAGTTCTCTCAGGAGCTTAAAGCCGAGCTGCGGAGGTTCTCGTGGAGCCACGGCCACGCCTCGCGCGTTTTGTCTGCTTCGGCTTCTCAGAATGCCGGTGCCGGAACCTCCACCGGCACGTTCGACTCGGCGCTGGAGGCTCGGGCTCTGAGACGGCAGCGAGCTCAGCTGGACCGCACTCGGTCTGGCGCTCATAAGGCGCTTCGCGGGCTGAGGTTCATCAGCAACTGCAAGAGCACGAAGACCAATGGCGTCGACGCTTGGAACGACGTCGAGGCCAGCTTCAATAAGCTCGCCAAAGACGGCCAGCTCCTCCGCGCTGATTTTGCTCAATGCATCGGTACTAACTACGTCAATTCATCGCCGCATTTTGAATTTCGGTTACGATTTTTAGAAAATGACCGTACAGTTTGTTATTTTTGTACATTAAAATCTTTGGTTTTTTTTGTTGTTGTTGAAGGAATGAGAGATTCGAAGGAGTTTGCTCTGGAGCTGTTCGATGCGTTGGGCCGGAGACGGAGAATGAAGGTTGACAAAATCAGCAAGGACGAGCTTTACGAGTTCTGGTCCCAAATTTCCGATCAAAGCTTCGATTCGCGGCTTCAGATCTTCTTCGACATGTACGCGATTAATTAAAGTCATTAATCATTTGTTCAACCTTAATATTATATTCATTGAAGGCAACACTTGGACGAACAGGGCAAACCCGTCATTTCACTTAATTCTTGTTTTTTCTATGCATTTTGATTCTCACAGGGTGGACAAGAATGAAGATGGTAGAATTACTGAAGAGGAAGTAAAAGAGGTACCCCATTTTTTTAATCACCTTTGAACGTGCTTAAGCAGCCACATTAAATTAATAATATAAATTATGGCTCATGATCCATTAGCCCAAATCTTCTCCGCCGACCCAACTGGGCTGTCCCAAATTATACGAGAGTCTTGCATAAGCTTCTTGGTGGTTTCATTTCATGGTCTACAGGGTGTCATTTGGGATAAAATAATCCCAGGTTAGGCGGGATTGGGTGACCATAAATACATGAAAATTTCAAAACTAACTACCACACTTCAATTAACAATAATAAATCCATTTTACAGGAATTAAAATGTTTTCAATTTTCTCTGCTTATGATGTTTACCATTTTCCAAGGCATCTTTTTATATTATTAGTTGGGTTATTATTATATTATTATTATTTTTGGATGGTTGATATTGGACACATGGCATGTTCAATTTCCTCCTTTTTTGATCAAATTTTTGGGAATGGTCTTATCGTTTTCAGTGGGGTTGGTGGGGGCTTTTTAGTCTATTTCTGGTACTAATTCGGTCGTCGTTTTTAATATGAAGTCAGTGTTTGATGGGAAAAAAATAAAATTATTAACTACAAATTTTTTATTATATTTGGTTTTTAATTTCTTTATTTTAAAATTTTGAATGGTTAGATTATCATGTTGAGTGCCTCTGCAAACAAGCTATCGAGATTGAAGGAACAAGCAGAGGAATATGCAGCTCTCATCATGGAAGAGTTGGATCCCGAAAGACTTGGCTACATTGAGGTGGGTCCCTTGCTACAAATTTTTGTTGGATTTTTTTTATTATTTATGTAGAGATTATTAAACTTTAAAAACTAGAGTCTTGTCTTTGTTTATTATAGTACGACTTTCAATTATGTGTAAATTAGTGTTGTCACATAATTAATTGGGTTGGTTTATTGTATGTCAAGTAGGAGAAATTAGAGAATACTGTAGTTGTATGACCACGTGGTATATCTTGTACACTTGTTATAATATGAGTGGTCAATATGATTTATTTTCTCCATTTTAGGGTAGTATCAATAAGTATCCACTTATATTATAACACATGTACAAGATGTATCACGTTGTTGCCGTACTGCTGTAATATGCTAATCACTCGTCAAATAGGGTATTGACCGGTTAGACTTGACTTTTTCCTTTAAATTTTCATTAGATTTTTTCATATAGTTCAACCGTACACGAATGGAGAAGCACCTAACTCTCTATTCAACAACTTAACTGTGTTGGAAATTTGGTACCAAAAGCTAATCTCTTATAGGTTTTTTTTTTCTTCTTCCAAACTTTCATGGAGAAACATCAATGACAGTTGAACCATTTTCGTTATTGTTGACTTACAAGGCCTCTTATTTTGTCATTCCTTGGCCACCTTACTTCTGTATTTGCCTGAATTTTTTGATTGCTGCTGCTAAGTGTTGATCGAGACTTGTTATTTTGTCTATGCAAAGTTTGCTTCAATAAGGCTAAGAAGTAGTTGGAGCAATTCCGAAGACTTTAACCTAGTGAGAGATTTAATGTCCTAATTAAGCTGGCAAATAGGTGATCCACCCATGCATCTTTCCCATTCTAAAAAAGCCTTCACGACTGTTTCAAACACTCTTCTTTTTATTTTCGTCCAAATATATCATAGCGGATATGTTGGAATAATCTAGAGATTTGACTACACCTTGTACATTTCAAAAGGGTATTATCGCAATTTCAATCGAGACTAAAATTCATCCTCTCACCTACTGCACTTTGCTAGTGACATTTCTGACATTCACATATAGTCGTGTTCCCATGTGGCCTTTCTGTTTGCAATCTTAATTCTCACTCAAAAACGTCGGCACACGTGTGCCATTTCCCCACCAGTTGTAGTGTTCTGAGTTGACATCATGCACATTTTCTGATATCTTTAAATTTATCTTTAATATTTTGATTTATACAAGCAATAGTCTTATTCTAATCTACGGATGACTCGAATTAGTGCAAAGTGACGGAAGCATTGTCACGAGTAACTGGTCTAATTTACGTCTACTTTGATCTCGTGTATTTGCGCTGTAATATCGTCAACCTCTAATGATGGAAATGCTGATGCAGCTGTGGCAATTGGAAACCCTTCTACTACAGAAGGACACGTACCTAAACTACAGCCAAGCACTGAGCTACACGAGCCAAGCTCTAAGCCAAAACCTCCAAGGGCTGAGAAGGAGAAGTCCAATACGCAGAATGAGCACAAAACTGCTCTATTATTTGCAGGAAAACTGGAGGAGAATCTGGGTTTTGACATTGTGGGTTGCCATTATGATCGGGCTCTTCACGTGGAAGTTCTACCAGTACAAGCAGAAAAAAGCTTTTCATGTAATGGGTTATTGCCTTCTCACGGCTAAGGGCGCTGCCGAGACTTTGAAATTCAACATGGCTCTGGTGCTCTTGCCTGTTTGTCGAAACACCATCACTTGGCTCAGGAACACCAGGCTAGGGTTCTTTGTGCCTTTTGACGACAACATCAACTTCCACAAGGTACACAATTACCACAAACCTTGAAAATTCTATCTTTGCTTATTTTATACGTTGGTCTTTTGACTTGGGGCCCATTTAGGGGAGACTTAATAATATTTAAGGTGAACGCCATGAGCCATTATAATGAGAGTTTTCTTGCTTAGAAGAAAATAGTGAATTGGTTATGAGCATCACACGTCCAAGAAAAATGTGGACGAAATAAATAGCATTATAATTTATACACCTGCGTTTATAGGGTAAAAGGAAAAGGATACTGCATGCCTTCTCTTTGCGAATCACGGGTTAATACATATGCAAAAATGATTCATAAAAAATACATAATTTTTTTTTATTTTTTGCACACATGTTACACTGCTATTAACAGAAATATAGAAACTCGTACATTCATGATAAGGAGGGAAATATTTTTCAAAAAGCAAAGACAATCAAGTAGTGGAAACCATTGACTTCAACTCATTCTCATGAAAACTAAAGCAATGCCCTGCATGCGCGTGTTGACTAAGGTTCTAACTTTTGTCCCAGACAAATAATAACACCACATGTTCTTCATGAATAGGAATTAATCAAAAAGAAAAAACAGATTCATACTGTTAACAATATATAGATGTGATTAATGATTAATTCATAACTTAATACACAGACTATAATTAAAACATGGTACTTTAATTTGATCAAATTTGTTCTGATGATATCTTAATTGTTCATGATTCGATGGCTAATATTCCACTTACTAAATGGAACCAAAAACAAAAGAAAAGAGACATAAACGATAGTGATGTCTGCACAATCGGTGGTTGAAATAAATTTAAATATATATATATTTTTTTTTCTCGATATATAAAGTGTCGTAGGTCTATAGATCAGATCCATCCAGTCTTTCAGTATGCAAAGAGACAAGTGTCACCCATGCAAGATGCCACGCTTTTAGTAAATTTTTTAGAAAGGGCTTTCTAGGTTTGACACTGAAATCTAATTTTAGTAAAATTTAAGAATGGAATGGTCACGGACTCACTGATCACTGAAATCTAATTTTGTTGCTGTTGCTATCCTAGGTTTGACAAATAATGAAACAGCACATGCGTTCTTAAGATTAAAGGTTAAACTATGTATACACTTGAATCTGAGTGAACTATTCAATTTAGTTTCTATTTATTTATATGCTAATTTGATTTTAAGTTTCAACCATTGAATCAAATAATCAATGGAATAATTTGGTCAATTTTGGACTTATACATAGCCATGAGTGCTGATTTTTTTCTTTTTTGGGCAATAATTTTAACTTGGGTACTTTTAAAAAAGTTAAAAAAATAAAATCATCCTTGCATTGTGGCTCGCTGCTATGTCTGGTGTCTTGATTTTAAATGTGACATAGAAATGTCTTTATGTATAAAGGTTTTGGCTAAAAGACTCTTCAAGTACCATCACATGAGTTCATGACACATCAAAGTGAGACTGTTTAGCAGCACAATGACAGAGTACTTGATTTTGTAGAGGTCCTGAATTGAATCAATTCTGTCAATCACCATCTAATTAAGCTCATTTCTAACTCGATCGAACGCCTGAACATATGTGTCATCCCTCTAAATTGTGCTTTACTTTGATAAATCTTTGCAGACCATTGCTGCAGCCATTGTAGTTGGTGTCATTCTCCATGCTGGGAACCATCTTGCCTGTGATTTTCCAAGGCTTATAGAGGTCTCCAAAGCTGACTACGACAAGTATTTGGTTCAAGACTTTGGAAAACATAAACCCAAATATATAGATTTGATCAAAGGAGCTGAGGGCGTGACTGGAATTATAATGCTGACATGCATGGTAATTGCTTTCACACTCGCTACACGATGGTTCAGGCGCAGCATTATTAAGCTTCCCAAGCCCTTTAATAGGCTCACTGGCTTCAATGCATTCTGGTATTCCCATCACTTATTTGTCATTGTCTACGCCTTGCTCATTATCCACGGCGTTTTCCTCTATATGGTGCACACATGGTACCTTAAGACGGTATAATTTGAGATCCTCTGTCTTCAAATATTGCAGTCATTATGTTTAAATTGATTAACTAAGAGAGTTATCTTCATGTTTCAGACTTGGATGTATATTTCTGTTCCTATTTTACTATATGCTGGAGAAAGGACCCTGAGAATCTTCCGGTCTGGCTTCTATACTGTTCGACTTCTGAAGGTGAGCATAAGTGCAATTTTGTTAGTTAAAAAACTAGCATATACTGCTACTCCTTTGCTAGTAAATTACATTTTTTCTTCTGAATTATATGATCATATATTCATTATGAACCTGCTCTGTATAGGTTGCTATTTATCCTGGAAATGTTCTCACGTTGCAAATGTCTAAGCCTCCCCAGTTCAAATACAAAAGTGGACAGTACATGTTTGTCCAGTGCCCAGCTGTTTCTCCCTTTGAGTGGTAGGTCACCATTTATTGTATAATACTACTCTTCTTATGAGGCATTCAATTCCAATAAAATTGTGTCAATTCTATATCGACATCGTGCCTGGTTTTCACAATTCAGTATGTTGATGTGTTATTTTTATGTATGTCAGGCATCCATTTTCGATTACATCAGCTCCCGGTGATGACTACCTTAGCGTTCACATCCGCCAGCTTGGTGACTGGACACAAGAGCTTAAAAGGGTTTTCTCAGAAGCCTGTGAGCCTCCCTTAGCTGGGAAGAGCGGCCTGCTAAGGGCTGATGAAACAACCAAGACAAGGTGTTTATCATCATGCTAATTAGTATTTCCATCGTTTCAGATTTCGTCCTTCTTATTTTGGTCACATTTGTAGTATAATATCTAAATATAAGTTCTTTGTACAACAGTTTGCCCAAGCTTTTAATAGATGGACCTTATGGTGCCCCAGCACAAGATTACCGGAAATATGATGTCCTGCTACTTGTTGGTCTTGGAATCGGCGCAACGCCTTTCATCAGTATTCTAAAAGATTTGCTCAACAATATTGTCAAAATGGAAGAGCAGGCAGTAAGTATACATAGCTTGTTCAATATCCAATCTTTTATTATAGTCACCAAGTCCTTTGAATGACTGGAATTTGCAAACTCACAATTCTGCTTTCTTTCCTCTTCAGGACTCTATTTCAGATATGAGTAGAGCATCAGACCTAAGTGCTGGGAGTACAGATTCTCCGAATCCAAACAAGGTTTATCCGAGACGGAAAAAGACTCTGAAGACCACCAATGCCTACTTTTATTGGGTGACGAGGGAGCAAGGCTCATTTGATTGGTTCAAAGGAGTGATGAATGAAGTTGCAGAACAGGATCAAAGGGTAACTGGACATGTTCTGTGGAAGCACATACGTTTATGGTTGAACATGAGTTTGATTAATGCTAACTTTGTCATGACTTTTGATTTAACTTCAGGGTGTCATTGAGATGCACAACTACTTGACTAGCGTGTACGAGGAAGGCGACGCTCGATCAACTCTCATCACCATGGTCCAAGCTCTCAACCATGCTAAGAATGGGGTCGACATTGTGTCTGGCACAAGGGTAAGAGTTTTGATCTCTGGCATAATTTTGTAGCACTGAAACTGCAGAAAAAAGTCACAAAAACTGAGTGGAAAAATGGTCCATTGTACTTTTACTGATTATATATTCCTGATTCTTATAAATAGGTAAGAACCCATTTTGCAAGGCCTAATTGGAAGAAAGTTTTCTCAAAAACTTGCTCAAAGCACTGTAATGCAAGGATTGGTAAGTCAATGTGCTAGAGCTATATCGACACACACACACATATATATAATTATGCAGAGTTTGCTTTCTGTGAATACTGATACTTGTGTTAAAATATTGGAACAGGTGTTTTCTATTGTGGAGCACCAGTTTTGGCCAAAGAACTTAGCCAGCTCTGCTATGAGTTCAATCAAAAAGGTTCAACCAAGTTTGAATTCCACAAGGAGCACTTTTAAAGCACTCTGGGAATACATATATATATAGCTACCACTTTATATAGCTTCTCCATTCAAATCCATCCCTAGCTAACACACCTTCCTTCGCCTGCAAAGTAAGAAATTTTTGAAATTATCTTAGATTGATAAATAAGAAAAGGGTTTCTGTACAGTCTTGGGTAGAAAAAGAAAGGAAAAAAAAATCAAGTATATAAATATGTATTTATACAGAATATTATGTATTTAGTACTTAGCCATATAAATTATTATAAAGTAAGGAAGCACTAGCAGAAGAAATATTCTGGTTAGTGAGAAGACGATAGGAATCTGAATGCTGCATTGGGCCTGCATTGTACACGTGGCCAGAGATGATAGGTGGGAAGGTGACAAAAAAAATGTCATTGTTGGGGAGCTAGTAGGCAGCTAGAGTGCGGTACAGCCAGAAGTTGACCTAATTGCTAATGGAAGAAGACATTTTCATAGGTGGGGGGTAGAAGAAGACAGTTTGGGAAAGGGGAAGAAGCCAAGGAAGGAAGAAGGTTCTTTGGACTTATGGAGGTGGTGGGGGTGAGATGGCTTTTGTCTGTTGGAGTGACTCATCTCCACCTTTTGTGAAGTGGGCTCAGAGAATCCTTCTAGAATGTGTATGATTATGATGATCTGCAGAGGATCCCATGCAGTGCAATTATTTTATTATACCTTACTTTTACAATAATAGAATTTTGCCTGTAAATGAGGATCATACTTTAATTATTTTTATTTTTCATTGTGGTAATCAGATCCATATGAATGAAAGATAAGATTGAAGTATCTTCGGAAGATTTTGGCATCCAGTGTAAAGTAAAGAATTGGGTCCATTGTTTTAAACTTTTAAAACGATTCTGTTAAAGATATTTTAGGCTAGCCCCACCAGTAACTTTGATTTGAAACAAACAACTTGTAATGTAAAAGTTGAATTGTTAGAATACTCAGACTATGATCTGATTTATTTGGATTATTGGTAGAAGGAGCTCAAGTAAGAAGAGAAAACACAGAGAGAGCTTGGAGAGGAAGATGAGAAAATTGGGTCTATTTACATCATTCTCTTAGTCACGCACAAGCTGTGCAGTACAATAACCGTTTGGGAATAGTATATTTTCTGTTTACATCATTCAAATCTAACCATCAATTTAACTATCCTATGAGATAGCAACACCTGGCATAATTTGATACAACTAAGAATACATCTTAGCTGTCCATTGGACTGTGATATAATGGTTCTCAATTAATTCAATACAAATACTCAGCTAATGCACTTATACTTCAACACTCCCTTCTAAGTGTTTAGCTGAAATGACTCCAAGCTTGCTCCTTACATATTCAAACCAATCTCTTGCCAGCGCCTTAGTAAAGATATCTGCATTCTGCTCTCTAGTTCTGTAGTATAACAAATCAATCTCACCATTTTGCAAAGCTTCCCGGATGAAATGAAATCTTCTGTTTATATGCCTTGTCTTGTGATGATGTACATGATTCTTTGTTATTGCTATTGCTGAAGTGTCATCACAAAAAATTTGGGTAGCTTCAACTTGTTCCTCACCAAAATCAGATAGAACAAACCTCAGCCAGACTGCTTGTGCTGTAGCTTCAGCTGCACTAATATATTCTGCCTCTGCTGTGGATAGACCTACACAGCTTTGCTTGACTGATGCCCAAGAGAAAACACCTGATCCAAGATGAAAAGCATAGCCAGAAGTACTCCTCATATCATCTTCACATCCTGACCAATCACTATCACAATATCCAACAAGCATTGCTTCTTTTCCCTTCTCATATGCTATGCCATAGTCAAGAGTACCTTGAATGTATCTAACACTACTACATTTTACACTTTGCGCGACGAAGAGAATTTCGTCGCGCAAAATACATTTTAGTCGCACAAATTTTAGCGCGACAGAAACTTCGTCGCACAAAGATCGTGAAGAAAGACTTTGCGCGACGAATCTTTTTCATTCGTCGCGCAAAGAGACTTTGTGCGACAAAAAACATTGGTCGCGCAAAGTAACTTTGCGCGACGAAAATATTGGTCGCCCAAAGCGATTTTGCGCGACGAAAAAATATTTGTCACGCAAAGTTTTGAGCAACGAAAGACATTGGCCGCGCAAAGTTTTGCGCGATGAAACAATTTTAAAAAAATATAAAAAAAAATATTTTGGTTTTTGACTTTTGGTTTTATATTAATTTAATTATATTAATTATTTCGAATTTTTGCGCGACGAAATATTAATTTAATTATATTAATTATTTGCGCCATGAAATATTTTGGTTTTTGACTGTTTGTTTTATTATTTCTTTAATATTAATTTAATTATATTAATTATTTCGAATTTTTACTTTTTAAATTTAATTTAATTGTATGATTTTTTTCGTTACTTTAATTTAAATTGATATTTATTTAATTATATTAATTTATTCAAATTTTTACTTTTTAAATTTAATTTAATTACTTTAATTTAAATTGACATATTCAAAATAAAATTACATATGAAAAATAGTGATCAAATTATCCAATAAATATATATATATATAATATTCAAAATGTACACATAAATTAACAAAGTATAATAAATAAATAAAGGTATAATCTCCCCTAAAATTGTTTTACAAAAAATCCAACCCAAACGTCAATCCCTCCCCTTTACTCAACCCCAAACCCCACACAAACTCAAAACTAACTCCAAAAACACATATTAATGAAAAAAAATTTAAAATTTGGAGAGAATCTACCTTTTGGCAAGATTGAGAGTGAGTGAGAATGAGAGAGAGAAGTGAGTGTGAGAGAATTAGAGAAGATAGTGATAGAGAGATGAGAGAGTGAGTGAGAGTGAGAGATAGTGAAAAGAGAGATGAGAGAGTGAGTGAGAGTGAGAGATAGTGAAGAGAGAGATGATGAGAGATTAAGTGAGAGGAGTGAGTGTGAGAGAAATGGTGGGATTTGGGGAGAGGGAAAGAGAGAGGAGAGGTAAGAGTAGAGAAAGACATTGAAAAATAGTGGAGTTATTTTCATTTTAAAAACGGTATCACTTTGCGCGACGAACGATGTTGTTGGTCGCGCAAAGTTTTGCGCGACGAATACTGGAATATTGGTCACGCAAAGTTTAGCATGACGAATATTAGTATATTGGTCGCGTAAAGTAAAAAAAAAAAAATCCCGCGTCCCATTTTTGGTACCTGCCCAAATTTTGAAATTTTTGCGCAACGAAAAATACATATTGGTCGCGCAAAGTCTAAAAAAATTATATAAAAAAATTCCCGCGTCCCAATTTTGGTACCCGCCAAATTTTTGCACGATGAAAAATATATATTGGTCGCGCAAAGTTTTGAGCGACACAAAATATTGGTCGCGCAAAGTCTAAAATATAAATTTTTTTAAAATCCCGCGTCCCATTTTTGGTACCCGCCCAAATTTTTAGAGTTTTGCGCGACGAATTGTTGGTCGTGCAAACTTTTGAGAGATGAAAAGGTGGTCCGTAGCACAAAAATATTTATAAAAATAATTGTTATAAATAATTTTTTTTTTTTTTTTTTTTTTCGATTTAAAATATAAATAAGGTTAAAGCTACTTAATAAATGTATATACCAATTTCTTAAGTGTTATACGTACAAAATAAATAAATTTAAAGCTACTTAATAAGTAAATAAATAAATATATATATACACACACCATTCAACGATCCAACTGTCAGACTTGTTTGTATATAATTCAATATCGTATACCCCAAAAATCGCAAAAAACAAACATTCGGAGACCCATTAACGGGACAAAAAATTTCAACGGTTCTAAATGAAAAATCACGATTTAACGGTTATTTTAACTCCGATTTTGATGATTTTTTTACAGCTACACTCCTTGACCTTATATGAATGCAATGAACTAATTCGATAGTCAATTTAAAATATTTACACTAGTGGATACCACAAAATCTTATGTTATATTTAACAAAAGTATAAATAAACTCTTAATTGTTAGTGAATATATTGTTTTGATGGCATACGCATTCTATGAAACTAGTTTGAACGATCCAACCGTCAAACGTGTTTGTTTATACTTTCAGATCATATACGCCAAAAATCGGAAAAAATAAACATTCAGAGATCAAGTAACGGGACAAAACTTTTTAACGGTTATAAATGAAAAATCATGATTTAACGGTTATTTTAACTCCGATTTTGATGATTTTTTATAGCTACACTATTTGACCCTATATGAATACAATGAACTAATTCGATCGTCAATTTAAAAAATATATTTTCTAACAAATACCCAATCCAAACAACAATAATATATTTTTCTAACAAAGATTTTAAAAAATAATTTTTTTTAATTTATTTATTTTATAAGGACTTTGCGCGACGAAGTTTTGTTGTTTCGTCGCTCAAAGTAGCTTTGCGCGACGAATTGATTTTCGTCGCGCAAAGTAGCTTTGAGCGACGAATTGATTTTCGTCGTGCAAAGTAGCTTTGAGCGACGAATTGATTTTCGTCGCGCAAAGTAGCTTTGAGCGACTAATTGTTTTTCGTCGCGCAAAGGGTCTTTGCGAGACGAATTTTTTTTTGTCGCACAAAATTTGGTCGCACAAGACTTTGCGCGACGACGTATTGTTGTCGTGCAAAAGTTGGTTGCGTAAAGTCACTTTGAGTGACGAATTATTTTTCGTCGCGCAAAAGTTGGTCACGCAAGGTTTTTAGCGACGAAGTTTTTAGTTTCGTCGCGCAAAGTGACTTTGAGCGACGAATAATTTTTTGTCGGAAAAATTTGGTCGCGCAAGGGTTATTTTATAGTAGTGTAAGTACTCTCTTGGCAGTCCCCATATGCTTCCTTGTAGGTCCATACATATATCTAGCTAAGAGACTTGCAACAAACATGATATCTGGCCTTGTTGCTGTCAGATATAATAAGCTTCCAACTATCTGTCTGTACACCCTTTCATCAGCCTGTTCACTTCCATCCTCCTTTGATAATTTCTCATTCATAGCAAGTGGAGATGTAACCGCTTTACAATCTTTGAAACCAAACTTGTCCAATAATGTTCTTGCATTTTTTTTCTGATGCAAGATGATGTAGGACTCAGCTTGTGTCACACCTAAACCCAAAAAATGGTGCAATAATCCGAGATCAGTCATTTCATATTTCTTCATCATTTCAGTTTTAAAACTCATCACCAATTCTTCTGAACTTCCTGTGTAGATAATATCATCTACATATAGAGAAACTATGAGAATTCCACTTTCAGCAGTTTTCACATATAATGTAGCCTCAATAGGACTTCTATGAAATCCTGCAGTTGTGAAATATGAGTTGATTTCTTCATACCAAGCTCTTGGAGCTTGTTATTAAGACCATACAAGTCCTTCTTGAGTCTATAAACTCTATCTTTCTTGTCTTTAATCTCAAATCCTGTAGGTTGATCCACATACACTTCCTCATGTAGCACTCCATTTAAGAATGCTGACTTCACATATAACTGGAACAGCTTCCACCTTCTCTGAGCAGCTAAAACAATTAATGTTCTAACTGTATCAAGTCGAGCAAATGGTGCAAATGTCTCGTTGAAGTCTATTCCAGGCTTTTGAATGTAGCCTTTAGCTACTAGTCTTGCTTTGTTTTTCTGAACTGACCCATCAAGATTTAGCTTGACTTTATAGATCCATTTGACTCCAACTACAGGCTTTTCAAACTGCCTTTTTACCAATTCCCAAGTATCATTCTTCTCAATCATCTCAAGCTCAGTTTCCATGGCCTTTTTCCATGATGCATCTTTGATAGCTTCTTCAAAAGTTTCTGGTTCAATGATACATATATTGCATCTCTCATATACCTCTGTAAGACTTTTGTATTTCAATGGAGTATGATCAATATCATGCGACCCTGTGTCAACTGTAGATTCTTCTTCACTATCTTCTAATAACACATCATTTTCAACTGAGTTTTATGCTTGCATCACAGTTGTGTCATTGATCCCTTTCTCCTTTTCAGACACCATTTTGGTAAGTGGAATGGACACACTGCATTCTTGCTGTGCATTCCAATCCTAGCTAGCATCTTCATTGAATACCACATCTCTTGAGATAATCACCTTTCCAGTGGTAATATTATATAGTCTATACCCCTTCTCACAACTGCCATATCCTAGAAACACATACCTTTTGCTTGCCAAGTCTAGTTTTTGCCTATGTTGGTTTGGAACATGTGCATAGCATAGAGAACCAAACACTCTTAAGTGTTTAAGTCCTGGCTTTCTTCCACTATAGGCTTCAAATGGCGTTTTCTTGTCCAAAGCTTTAGTTGGACATCGATTTAGAATATACACTACAGTATTAACAGCTTCTGCCCAAAACTCAAGTGGCATGCTTTTCTCAAACATCATACACTTAGCCATCTCCACTATGGTTCTGTTCTTTCTCTCAGCCACACCGTTCTGCTGTGGTGAATATGCCATTGTAAGCTGCCTCTCCATTCCCATTTCATCACAAAATCTATTAAACTCATTAGAGGTATACTCTCCTCCTTTGTCACGTCTCAATTTCTTAAGCTTATAACCACTTTGCAATTCAACAGTAGCCTTAAACTTCTTAAACACAATTAATACCTAAGATTTTTATCTCAAGAAATAAATCCAGCACATTCGAGTACAATCATATATAAAGGTAAGAAAATACCTGTTTCTTGCTTTTGTAACAGTTTGCATTGGTCCACACACATCAGTGTGTACCAATTCTAGTGGAGTTGTGACCTTGCTGGTTGTTTCTTTTGGAAAAGACTTCCTGCAATGTTTTCCAAAAGTACATCCCTCACACACTTCACTTGTATTTTTAATTTCTGGCAGACCGAGTACCGTATCTTCATTTTGCAGTAGTTTCAAGCTTTGGAAGTTTAAGTGTCCCATTCTCCTATGCCAAATCAATGTTGATTGACTTATGCTTGCTTTTAAGTCTGTTTGAAGTTTCAAAGGAAAACTTCTATTTCCCTTCATTTGCACCCTGGCCACCAGATTAGAGAGTGAGCAATCATCATAAATTTCTACCTTGTTATCTCCAAAAATCAGGAAATATCCATGCTCCATCATCTATCCAACACTGAGTAGGTTTTCCTTGAGACCAGATACTAACAGAACCTCCTTAATATATCTTTTTCCCATCTTAGTTTCAACCATCAAGCTTCCTTTTCCAATAACATCGACCAACTGTCCTGTCCCCATTGCAACTTTTGCCGTTATACTCCTATCAATATCAGTCAAAACATCTTCTCTGCCAGTCATATGGTTACTACACCTACTGTCCAAATACCATACATCTTCCATGGACCTTTTGTCAGCTGCATTATTGACATAGAACATAGTTGGTGTAGAGGTTACCTGAGCAGCATACTGAAGTTGTTGAACTGGTTTCTTACTATAGCAGTCTTTTGCTATTTGGCCAAACTTGTCACAGTTATAGCATTTTGGCTTGCCCTTGAATCGACACTCTCCAAAATGCAATTTCCCACAATGCTTGCAAGAATTTTTAGTTCCATCAGCAGGTTTGTTATCCCACTTTTTGCCCTTATCCTTCCAATTCTTCTGATGCTTGCTATTATGATTTTCAGTGACCTTAGTTGATTTGGAATCTACACTCAGACTAGCAAAAGCCTTCTCAATCTTGTTCTCATGATGTCTTTCCAACCTTTGTGCAAAGCTCTTTAATGAGGCAACCACCTCTTGAACCTCAATTGCATCTAGATCCCTCGAATGCTCAATTACAAACAAATAGGATCATACACAGGCAACAGACTAATTAACATTTTCTACACAATTCTTTCTCTAGACAACTCTTCTCCATAGCCTCTCATTTGATTTATCAGATCAAACAATTTTGTATGATAAGCATATAATGATTCATCCTATCTCATTCTAGTATATTCAAATTCTCTACGAAGACTTTGTAACTTGACACTCCTTACCTACTTATCACCATGAAATTCCTGCTTCAGAATATTCCAAGCCCCTTGAGACGATTCTTCATGAGAAATCCTAGGGAAGATCTCATCAGAAACCGCTCCCTGAATCAGCCCCAAAGCCTTAGCATCTTTCATCAGGATCTCAATGAGAATCATCTTCCTAGCACCACTAGATTCCTCTTTTTCTTTCTTCTTCGCATCAGATTCATCGGCTCCCTTAGAATCTGAGCTCTCTATCCCTTTCTCAACAAGTTCCCATAACCCATGAGATTTGAAAATAGTTTTCATTCTTATGCTCCAGAACTCATAGTTCTCACCATTGAAGATCAGAGCTCGTAGCTTACCACCTCCAAACACAGATCTCCAAGAAAGCAAGGTCGTCAAAAAATGCATCTCACTTTCTTCACAAATTCAAATGCCCAGCTTAAACAATCGAACCTGGCTATGAGGCCATGTTAGAATACTCAGACTATGATATGATTTATTTGGATTATTGGTAGAAGGAGCTCAGGTGAGAAGAGAAAACATAGAGAGCTTGGAGAGGAAGATGAGAAAATTGGGTCTATTCTCTCTCTTAGTCACGCACAAGCTGTGCAATACAATAACCGTTTGGGAATAGTATATTCCCTGTTTACATCATTCAAATCTAACCATCAATTTAACTATCCTATGAGATAGCAACACCTGGCATAATTTGATACAACTAAGAATACATCTTAGCTGTCCATTGGACTGTGATCCAATGGTTCTCACTTAATTCAATACAAATACTCAGCTAATACGCTTATACTTTAACATGAATCCGTTTTATTTTAAAAATGTAATTCCATAAATCATTCACAAAGTAATTGTTATAGAACTATAGAATTGTTTTAGTCCTGCACCCGAGGTCCTAGGTTTGATTCCTCTCCTCCCCCAATATTGCTTGTATTTTCTGTTTCTTGTGTTGGTTATAGAGGGCCTCAATGCTAAGGTTAATCTCTATTTTTTCAGTGGGCTAAGGTTTTTCAACACTCTCCTTTTTGGGGGTGGATTTTTGGGCCCAAAGCTTAAAAACAGAATTAGCCTGGGCTTCGCTACCCTAACTAGATCAATGATCATCTAGCAAACACAAAACAAGTAGTTAATGATCTGCCAGTCCCTTTCTCTATGAATATGCTTGAGAAACGAATTCAAATACATTCATGTCATACATTGGTCGTGAAAACTATTGTCATGCTCATGCTACTTTCATCAAAAGTCATGCTTTTAGTTCAATCACATTATTCGAGCACTCAACAATCTATAATTGAAACTATAGCCTAGCATGTACTGAAGGCAACCAATTAGACATATGTGTTTGTAAACAGAGGCTACATTATATATGGGGATCCTCAATTGAGGAGATAAAAGTGATGAAACTTGATAGGTTTTACGTATTTTTTGTGTGTGGCTAATATAAGATGTTGGAGTAATTAAATAAATTGGGAAGGTGAATATGGTATGAAAACCTATAATGAGAAGAACAATATATGCTAGGCGATGATATATATTCTGCTTCTTAATAAATAAATTCTTTATTAAAAGCAGGTTATTACATGCAGAAGCTTGTACAAAGCATGTGTTATTACTCTATCAAGTATGAGACATTTTCAACATCCTTTTTTCCGACGATGATACCCTACAATTTCCACAATCGAGCATGTGTTAGCGGTGTCGTCAGTCTCGACCTCTACAACCATGAATTGAAGTAAGAATCACCAGAGTAGGACCAAATAAGAACTAAACATCTTGTTGAATACTTAATATTTTCATCAATTCGACCCAAAAAATAATAATTTCATCAATAGGTTTATTTCTATTGGATGTGAACACACTAATTGAATGTAATTAGTCCATGTAAAGATATCAATGGTCCTAGTCTTGCCACATGTCATAAGATTAAAGAGTCAAGTGGTTAAGATGTTGTTAGTCTTGTTAGGTAGTTAGTAAGAATTGTTATAATTGATCAGCGAATATTAGAGAGGAAAGAGAGGTTAGAAAACGCTGATATAAAGTCTGTAATTGTGCTAAGCTTCATGTTAATGAGAATACAATAATTCTTCTCTTCATTACTATGAAACTCTCTCTGCTTCTCTTCGTTTCTCTTTGCATTTTCTGTTTATTCTTGCTATCTTAACATGGTATCATTCGCCATGGATCGATCTTGATTTGTGATCTTCTGCTTCCGCACTCTCTTCCTCTTTGTTTTCTCTCTCTGGCTTCGTTCTCTACTGAAACATTGCAGTCAATTTCGTGTTCTTTGCTCTGCCTATTACCTGTTTGATCTTTTGTCTCACTGAAAGTTCTTCTTCAATCTTCATTTCTCTGCAAGTTTCTTCTTTCTCAACCTTCGATTCTCCTATTTTGTTTCTTGAATTCTCAACATGGTGACTACTACTCAGCTTCAAATTGTTCAATCTCCTATTACCACCTTGCTTCCTACGGTTTCTACTGCTGTGACAGTCAAGCTTGATGATACAAATTATCTCACATGGAACTTTCAAATGCAAATTCTTCTTGAGAGTCATGGCATTTTGGGGTTTATTGATGGATCACGGAAGTGTCCTACTCGATTTGATGAGGACTCTGATGTTAAAGGTGTTGAAACTGATGCTTATCTAGTTTAGAAAATGCATGATCGTGCATTGATGCAGTTGCTTATTGCAACTCTTTCTTCTACTGCGATTTCTTATGTCATTGGATGTACCAGTTCTCATGATATGTGGGTTCAACTGAAAGATAGATTTTCTACTATAACCAAAGCTCGAATCTTTCAGATGAAAAGTGAACTTCAGACTATCAAGAAGGGTTCAGAACCTGTCTCCCAATATCTGCAAAGGATAAAGGATGCTCGAGATCATCTTTTTGCAGCTGAGGTTTCTTTTGAGGATGATGATATTGTGATCTTGGCTCTCAATGGTCTTCCTTCTGACTATAATACATTTCGGTGCATGGTTCGAGGCAGGGAAAATGTGTTATCTCTTAAAGATTTTCGATCTCAATTGATTGCTGAAGAAGCCACTCTTGAACAAACTAACTCTGCATCTCCTTTTGTCTCTGCAATGATGGCTCAAAATCAGACATTTCAAGGCAAGGCTCTTGTTCTTGATGAAGGTATCTCCAATTCTCAGCCTCAAGGTTATCCTTCTGGCTCTAAGTCTGCTCCATCTTCTCATTTTCCCTCTGGTTTCAATGGGGGTTTTAATGGTAACCATGCTGGTTTCAATGGTTCCAATAGTGGTTGCAATGGTCACAACACTGGTGGTTACTCTATCAATCGTGGGTCTCATTTTAAGGTTCGAGGCAGATGTCGCAGTCATTATCAATCTGGTCCACGCCCTTATCAAGTTCAGCCTACTTCTAGCCCTGTTATTCTTGGTCCTGGCACTGACATTCCTACCTGTCAAATTTGTAGCAAGAAAGGCCATGTAGCTGCTGATTGTTATCAAAGGCACAATCAACCCTCTACTCCTACCTCCTCAGTCCAATGTCAAATTTGTTGGAAATTTGGGCATTCTGCCATTCAGTGTTATCACAGAGGCAACTTCTCTTACCCAGGCAAACCTCCTTCCACCAATCTTAGTGCCATGCATGCCAACTTCCCATCTTCTTCACCTCATGAGCAATTTTGGGTAGCTGATACTGGAGCAACAACTCATATGACTTCTGACTTGTCTCAACTCAGTTTGGCTACTCCTTTCTCAGGGTCTGATACTATCACTACTGCAGGGGGTTCAGGTTTGAGCATTTCTAATATTGGTTCTTCCATTTTGGATGTTCCACCATGTTCTTTACAATTAAAGCAGGTTTTGCATGTGCCAAAGCTTTCTCAGCATTTGCTATCAATTCATAGGTTATGTAAAGATAACAATTGCAGATTTATATGTGATGCCTTTGGTTTTTGGATTCAGGACAAGATCACGGGGAGTGTTCTTCTCAAGGGACTGTGTAGAGCTGGCTTGTATCCTATTCCTTTCTCCCTTCCGCAATCCAATATTCAACAAGCATCCTTTTTTCACAAGAATCATTTTTGTTATCTTGGCCAACGGGTCAATACAAGTCTCTGGCATAAACGTTTAGGTCATCCCTCCAACACAATCACTTCAGCTCTCTTACGTCAGTCACAAATTTCATTTTCTTTAGACAACTCCAAATTAGTCTGTACTACTTGTTTAGAAGGCAAACTTGCCAAGCTCCCTTTTCCTTATCCAGCAGTTAAATCTATCAAACCTTTAGAAGTAATTCATAGTGATGTCTGGGGTCCTTCTGCCACATTATCTATTGAGGGTTTTAGATATTATGTTAGTTTCATAGATGAGTGTACTCGATTTACTTGGATTTTTCCAATGATAAATAAAGGAGAGGTTTATTCTATTTTTGTCTATTTTCATGCCTTCTTGGTTACTCAATTCTCTGCTACTCTTAGAGTTTTTCAGAGTGATGGGGGTGGTGAGTACCTTAGTAATAAATTCAAACATTATCTTCTTACCAAGGGTATTGTTCATCAAATATCTTGTCCCTATACCCCTGAACAAAATGGCCTCGCTGAGAGAAAACACAGACACATTTTAGAGACTGCAATCACTTTGTTACAAACTGCCCATTTACCTTCTAAATTTTGGTTTCATGCTTGTGCTACTTCCACCTACTTGATCAATCGCATGCCTTGTCAAATTCTTCAGCTCAAATCTCCTTATTTTTTATTGTATGGTTCTTCACCAGTCATTACTCATTTGAGAATTTTTGGTTGTGCTTGTTTTCCTCTGCTCAAGCCTTACAATACTCACAAACTTTAGCCAAAAACTTCCACCTGTATTTTTCTAGGCTATGCAGGTCAATATAAGGGGTATATCTGTTTCTCCCTCCACACGAATAGGTTCTTTGTGACTCTCCATGTAATTTTTGATGAAACAATGTTTCCTTACACCTCTGTGCATGCCGTATTTATTCCTCCATCTCAGTCTCCAACTACTTCTTCTCAACCATTAATTTCCTTGCATAACACTATTTTGTCACCTGTATCTTCTCTTCCTGTTTCCTCTTCTTCTTCATCCACCTCTAGAGCCACTGAATCTTTGAATACACTGCTTCCTAGTGCTTCAGAATGTTTGCTCTCAACCTCCCAGAATATGCCAGTTCTAGAATCTGCTACACAGTCTCCTCTCCCTGTGTTAAATGTGAAGTAGAGGAAGATAAACTCATAAACTTAACTGTTGCAACTACGTTATAATTTGCATCGTATAGAAAAATCATTTCTCAATAGCTTATGTCACTTATGTGCTCATTGAAGTAATAATGAATATATTTTCTTTAAACTCTACGTTGTGAGATGGATCTCCTCCCGAATTTTAAACAGCCAAGCCTTTTCCTTTCTTTATTTACATAGTTAGAATGATGTGTTGATGATTGTAGAGATGGAGAGACTATAGGGGATGTGACACACTAGACCAAAAAAAAAAAAAAAAAAAAAAAAAAAAAAAAAGGACCATGAGGTTGCTTGCTTGTGCTGTTTGTTGTTAGTAAGGCAACACAAATGCGATTGAACCCAATAATAACTTGACCCTACCATCTCCATACTGAGCTCAAATTAATGTTTGGCGGTCTACAAAGGCTGCTGCAGAAACAGCCCCATCCATTTTTGTCCATATGCCTTTTTCACGGACGTTTCCAACATGACAGCCTTTCTTGATAGTCCTTTGTTTATCTTATGATACAAGATATCTATAGTGTTAATTGTAGGCACGCCACACGCTAAGTCGTCAACTTGTAATATTCTCAAGGCGTCTTTCTCTTCCAGAAGATAAGAATTGGCATCTTTACGTGGAATACTACCTTATCCACAGTCCCACTTGACAATCCCCAATGTTTTTCTTTTCTTTTCTTTATAACCCACAAGTCAAAACTCTATTTAGTCGACATTTGATCTAATTCGAGTAGATAATCTTTGAAAAGTATTGTAAATTATTGGAATTTAGTATCAACCAATCAATCCCTTTCCAGACCATCTCCAACCCAATGCATGTATTGGAGCAGGCCAAAATTTAAGATATATTACAGTTCGGGCAAACTGCAAAATGATTCTGGTCCAACCCAAATGGTGGTTTTCACTTAATAGCAGACCAAATCTATGTGAAAGGGAGGGAGAAAATCAGACCATCACACATTAGCATCAACAACATTTTTGGTCCGCAACTAGCAAGGCATCTTTAACTTTGTTTTATGCTGAGATGATCTGACTGTTGTGATCGAATAACATAATTCAAAACATTTTTTGAAATGAAAACCTAACGGTTATTTCATGAAGGAAGTTGAGGTTCCACTCCAAAATCAATTGATTATGGGAGAAGTAGTCCAACTCCTTATAAGCATTTGCAATGTTTTATAACTTTCACTCCCATCTTTAGATTTAGTCTAAATAAGCCTAACAGTAAAAGAAGATCCAATGATCAAAGTGTTAATATTAATTAATCTAAATCATATCCACCCAAAAAATAAAAAAAAACTCTATAAATACCCACAATTCGTTCATATTTATGAAACAAAATTTTGTTTTCCGAATTTGTATATTTTAAAGTTAAAATGTTCATAAAACTAAATTAAGATAAGATAAACAAAAAGAATTGAGGTTAAAATAATTGTTAACCAAATAATACAACTGGAGACTCAAATTTGAAATTGTTGGGAGAAAACCTTATCTATTTTGAATTGTCTTTTCCGTACTCTGTTGGTCGTAAGCGTACTAGGAATTGAAAATCTAAGAAAGTACTAGCTAAAAAGATTATTAAACAAAAACCGTTTTCATGGTGGAGATATTTTATAGAAGTTTCTGTCATAGAACACTGTCAAAAGTCTTCCAAACACGCTTCGAAATGTCAACACGCGTCTCCATTTGCATTTCTCAAACTGTTTTGAAGTATCTGACACCACAAGAATTTCATAAATACACCACCTCCTCAAAGTCTTTGCAAGTCTTTGGCACCAAAAACCAAGAGCAAAGAGAAACAAAATTTATTCAAACGAAATGAGAGGAGAAGGGAAAAACAGGAAGTGCCTAGCATATGTTGCTATCTTCATTGTGTTTCAGGCCATAGTCATCGCAGTGTTTGCACTCACCGTGATGAAAATCAAGGGCCCAAAAGTCAGGTTTAGTAGCGCAGTAGCAGAGAATTTCAGCTCCACCGACTCCAACTCATCATCTCTGAGCTTCACCTTGCTCACCAGATTTGCTGTGAAGAACACCAACTTTGGTCACTTCAAGTATCAGGACAGCAACGTCACAATCTTGTATGCAGGGCAGGCAATCGGGACGGCTGATATCCCTAGGGGAAGAGCCAAAGCTCGATCGACACGGCGAACCGATGTTACCATAAGCATCAACACAGACAAGCTTACAGGAACCACAAACCTTGCAAGTGACATGAACTCAGGTCTAGTGCCTCTGACCAGTGAGGCCACATTGAAAGGGAAGGTTCACTTGATGAAGGTGATAAAGAAGAATAAGTCTGGCAAAATGAGCTGCACCATGTCAGTTAATTTGGCCAACCGTGCTGTCCAGGATTTGAAGTGCGAGTGATCAAAAATTTCTATGTCTGTGATATATATTTTTGTTTTTGTTAGTGTTTTTGTGTGTGTTGAACTTACGGGTATTTCACCTATTCTCTGTAGTTGGCATGTGGATTGTTGAGTTATATTGATTGTACATTTTTTTAAAAGATTATATTCATATGGATTTTGTTTTTTGGGTAGTGAAAGGCTTAAGTTGCATGAATCAATGTCCAGAATTATTTGACCAAAAAAATAAAATAAATCAATGTCCAGAATTATATGTTATTTGCTCCCCAAGAAAATTGAGTTAATTAATATAGGCCCCAATTTTCTCCATTAGAAAAAGAAAGTTGCTTGCATTATAAGTAAGTTTTTCTGTCCCTTTGGAGTTGTTTTCATAAAGTGATGGCTGTCAATGTTGGCTGCCTGCAACCTTAAATTAATTGGTCCATTAAGAGCATTTTCAGCCATTTGTCATGTCAAAAGGTAAGGGGAGGCAAGAGTTGTTATTATTCATATGAATAGTGTATGTCCTAGCAATTTTTTTTGTTGGTTTTCCACCTATTGCCATGACAACCCAAGGACAACCACTATTCACATGAGATATGAGAAGAGGAATTTGTATAGAGTTTTGGTATGGGAAGTGAAGAATATGGCTAGGTATTTATAATAAATGAAAATCTGAAAATTTTGGTATTTTGAGAATTATTTATTTTTTCAATTCTTTTGTTATTTAAATTGACTGTTCACGCCACAATGACGTCAACATTAGGTAATCTTGCCCAGGCAAGTCTTGCCCCAGTTGGTGGAGCCCAACTCTTGCCTTGGCAAGATTTGGACTCTGCAAACGGTATTGAGGGCCTAGGGGGCCTCTTGCTCAGGCTGAGGGGAATGGTGGAAATGCGCTAAAGGAATCAAATATTATATTTTTCCCAGAAACAGAAAAAAAAAGGAAAAAAAAGAAAAAGAATCAGCAATCCAAGATTAATAGATTAAAGTAGCATTCTTATACATCTGTTTTGTTAGGCAAGTGGTCTTTTTGTCTTGTTTCATTACTTTATGTGTGAAATGATAAAATATAAGCCCACACTACTTTTTCTTCTTCTTCTTCTTCTTATTATTTTACTGTGAATCCTAATATCTTAAGTATAAATAAACTTTTAAATCAATGTAGATTTCAAACTTTAAATGTGAAAAAGATTGAATAAAAGTTCTCATATTAGAAAACTGAAGAAAAGAAAGAAAAAGAAAACCTAATTTTTTTTGGCGTTTGCTGGATTTCAATTATTCAATTGGCCATATATTATTAGACAAGCAAAGCCCCACCTCTCTCCATTTTTGAATAAAAATGCAGAGGAGCTGAATCTGGATTGGACAATCATTCAGGGTCAACTAATTGTCTCCGAACTCATTTGGTTCTAGGTAGATAATCATCCAAGCTTTGTTCATTGTCCACCATGTTTATGTGCTACGTACTATGAATGTAAAACCTCAAGAGTACCCCACCCAAAAAGAAAGAAGGAATCTAAACCGGTCCAGTTGAGCTGGTTCAAGTCCAAAAATGTGGGACGATCAATATAATTTAGGGTTAACTACATAAAATTCTTCGATGATATATTCTCCAAAATTTGGGGTATATTTCAAATTGGTACATATTCTCCATTTTTCGTATTCAATCCTTGTTTTCGAACGAAAAAAAGATAAAAAAATAAAAAATTCTTGTAAGCATACAGATTGTGTACATATTTGGTTCTCATCAAACCTTTCTGAAAACCGATTCTTCAGGTTCTAAGGCAACGATTAATTTTCACGACCTCTTGTATTCGAGTTTATTTGGCCACATAAGTGACTGATTGTAAAAGGAGTGTTCTTTACAAATTTACAAGCCACCAGAGAAAGAAAAGGAAAGAAACGGTTTGGAACTTTGGACAATCTGATTGAATAGTGGTTTAGTTTGTGTCAATGCAACTGAAATTTCTTTCCTGGAAATGCCAAAATGTAACCAAACGCGCATGGTTTGAGATTCTGACTTGTAGCCTTCTAGAGACTAGAGAGGGTCAAATCATTCCCACGAGGAGCTCACAACAATAATACTCCGTGTGAGATGAAGTTTTTATGCCAATGCCATGACATAGTTTACAAAGGGAAAAGTCTTTACAACCCTCCAAGCTCCCTCTTATTCTGTAATTCTTTTTTTTTCTCTTCGTTATCGGTTTCACATTTTCAAAGGGTCAATATGCGCAGCAAATCTATAATAGTATAATAGCGTTTCAAGTCACGTTCTCAAATAATAGTAAGGCTTCTGGAAGTCAATAAATTACAACCCAATTAATTATTTGAGAGTTTTTGATTCCGATTTCCAGGAAGTTTACACCCTCCATATTATTCCTGCAACTAACTCATTAGCCAAATTGTCTATATATACCACACAGCACCCTCCAACATTCTCATCACTTCATATTTTACAGAGCAAAACAGAGAAAAAGCAGAGCATTTTCCTTTGAAGCTTTCCTTCCTTCCATTAAAAGAAATCAACATGGGTGATGCAGAATCTTTGCATTCCGCTGATGAGCTGAAACGCCAGAAGAAAATCAAATTGGCCATCTATATTACTATTTTCGTTGTGTTTCAGATCATTGTTATCACCGCAATGAGTCTCACTGTGATGAAAGTTAAGAACCCCAGGTTTAGGCTGGGCAACATCAACGTCCAAAGCTTTGAATCTGTCCCGGCAACGCCTTCATTCGACACGAAATTCACAACCCAAATCAAGATCAAGAACTCAGCCAACTGGGGTGCCTACAAGTTCAATGCTGCCAATGTCACGTTTCAATACCAAGGCGCAACTGTGGGAGTAATTAATATCGAAAAGGGCAAGGTTGGATGGCTTTCGACCATAAAAAGAAATGCGGAGGTGAGTTTGAATTCAAATGGAATAACTGGTTCAAATCTTGGCAGCGAATTGAGCAGCGGGGTCTTGACGCTCAACAGCGTAGGAAGATTGAATGGAAAAGTTGCAATTATGTTCATAATGAAGAAGAAGAAGGCTACCAACATGAACTGCACCATAGCTTTTGATGTGGCGGCCAAGACTCTCAGATCTTTAGAATGCAAGTGAGCGAAGTAGCTAAGCATCCAGGCTGTATCTTCCGCATTTGGATTGCGACTAGTTAGTTTTTGATTTGTGGCTTTTCATATTCTTTTCATTCGTTGTATTTGTGTGGCGATTGGATTTGTTGTAGAGTTATAATGGTATTTGTTTTCGTTATCAATTAATAATTTGCTTGATTTGATAGAATTTTGGATGCCATTTTCGTCAACAAACGCATTGAATTTGGATGTTCTACACTAGTAATCTACACTGGCATAATCTGACAAATCAAAATTATAAGATTCTTCATGAAACTTTACTCAAATTACTGGGAATAAAAGTGAAATTTAGTATAATTTTTACGGGAAAACTCAGTAGCCATTTCTATTTTTATTTTTAGTTTTTTAGTACAATCAATTGTAACCTAGTAGCCAATTAAGCAAGGAAGAAGGGGTTGCCTCAAATTCTCTCGTTAATCACCAGCCATAACCCTTAAAGGTGGAACCCCCTTCCATTGTTCAACCCGATACGACTGGCTTTTGGATAACAAGACGACTAGATGATTTGATTTGATCAAGGAAAAAGCCCAGTCAGCCACTACAGAATCGACCCCCCCTTGATTGTACAAGAATATGCAGTGCTCAACATGTCTGGAAGCACATGATAACGTTCTTTTGCTGATATTATTACGAGTATTCTATACTGGGTCATTCATAGCATTACTATACCTTCCTGGAATTCTTGTTTAGGCAGTTCATACCATCCATACATAATGTTTTGATCTAAGATTTCAATTCTTCCATGTTTCAGCAATAGTTAGTATATTGTTCCACGGAGCTAATGTCACATCCTAGGATCGGCTCCGTCGTAGCACGATATGGCCCACTTTGGGCCCCCCTCTCTGCCCTCACGGTTTTGTTTATGGGAACTTACGAGCAACTTCCCAGTGGGTCACCCATCATGGGATTGCTCTAATCCCAACTCGCTTAACTTCAGAGTTCCTATGACTCCGAAGTCAGTGAGCTCCCAAAAGGCCTCGTGTTAGATGAAGACGGGTATGTACATATAAGACACATCACCCTCTCTCCGTTGGTCAATGTGGGATGTTACAGTTGAGGTCCAAAATATGGAAGAAACAGGTGTTTCCATGACTCTACTGCCCAGTCAATTATGTTCCACTTAATCTCTGTTTCATGGCCACATATCTTTCCGGCTAAGGAATGGAACCCTTTCTCTTGTTACCTGAATTCAATTTTCATTTCATCTGGGGAAAAGCCATATTTTTTTTTTAACGTCTTTGTTATTTGATCCAATAACGTTCCATTAGATAGGAACAACTTTGATAAATATTGACAACTCTCAGATGGAGTAATAGAACGGAAAAATCCATTAGATAATGAACTATTGGTTCTAAGCCATCTCTGGTGATGAATCAACAATTTGAAGTATCTTTCTTGTGTATTCTTGATAAACCATCATTTATATATAGTTGTAGGAAGATATGTTTTTGAGGTAAGAAGCCCATTTGACAACTCTTCATCTGCAAAGAATTCTCAATGTGAAAACACAGTGATAAATGACTAATCTTTGAATAGGAAAAAGAGTGGATCCGCATAGTCCCCAATATGCAGCACCTCGACGTGACATGAGCTTGAAAGGGTTCAAGAATTAGTTTTCTTTTTATACGGGCAAAATTAATTTATTTTGGCTTTTTGACCCCATATTGTAGGGTGGATCTCGACTACGAGTGTAATATGAGCATCCATCAACAAAAGGATCACCCTAAGCCCAAAGTATGGAACCCTAAAAAGAGACTGGCCCAACTTAAATGGAATATGATAACTTCTTTATGGTCTAACATTCTTGCCAATCCATATGATGTCCTTTTCGGGAGCTAGAGGAAATGCAGACAAAGACTCCATTTTTTCCTCTTTTTGGATGGTAAATATTTCTCAAAATATAGAGTGTGAATAACCTTGAGGTCATGAGTTCAAATCCTGTCTCCGTAACCCTAATTGAAATCCATACATTTGTCTCATACATTATGGGGATGGTGAGAAAAGATATATTGTACATCCCAGAGGGACTATAATTGGGGAATAAATCAATCAATCAAATTCTGGGAGGTGTCATGAAGTGCTTTTCTTTAGGAGTTAAACTTCCATTTGTCCATACTTTGAGAAAAAGTATTTTCATTCCCATTCACATAAGAATGAATGCTATAATTCGCATTTGGAACATGCATGAATTCAACATCTATAGGATAACTTTCAACTCATTAGTACATAAACCAATTGTATACCACCACCGATAAACACTAGAATAAGCAATATTTACTGGGCTAAGTTTCTGGATATTCCTCAATGTCTTAGCTATTCACGGAACGTGAGAAACAGATGAATAAGCACCTGCTTTTGAATAAAAAATGCATGGATCCCACCTTAAAATCCATAATCACATTGCCTTAAAATCATGAATCAGATCAACTAGGGAGGGGTAGTTGATCTAATTCCCATTCCATTTTTCCCTTACTACCTTCCAAAAATACCGACACAGTGATAAGAAGCATAACAAGACAAGTAGAGGCTAGTAACCAAGGTGAAAAGGGAAAATTTTATTTTTTCCAACGGTGATTAATAAACAGCCATTGAATTTTCTTTTTTAAACAAAAAAAGGCTAAAAAGTTAGGTTTCTTCATAGTATCTTATATTATTCAATTTACTTTTTTACAAGTTATTTAGGTGAAAAATATATACTTATACGTGGAGGGCATTTTAGTAATGAAATTAGTTTAGGTTCTGATTCATGAGACTTGGTAAACAATAACAATGAGAATCAACTTCATTTCCATGTTGATTCCATATGGTTAGTAAATAGCTTAATGTGAATGATTCTTCTCATACCGATTCATTACTTTCCCAATTTTTAAATTATCCGATTCCTTACTTCCTCCATTCTTAGTAAGTAAACGCCTCGTAGTGTTTGGGACAATCGGATTGAAAAGTTGTTATAGTTTGTGTCAATGGCATTTAAGTTTCTTTCCTGGAAATGCCAAAATATAACCAGGCGCATGGTTAGAGGTTTTGAATTATAGTCTTCTAGAAAGGGTCAATAACTTTGAGGAACTTGGACTTTGTAATGAGACACATACAGATCTTTGTTTGTGTGGAAGGTTTAGTCTTTAAAGCCCTCGGAGCTTTCTTTTATTCTATACTTTGATTATCTTCGAAGGGTCAATATGCGCATGCAGCAGAATATATATAATAGTATAATAGGGTTTCAAGTCACGTTTTCAAACATCTAGAACGGCTGTAGAAGTCAATAAACTACAACCCAGTTATTCGCGTGTTTGTACTCTCGATGTTATTCCTCCTCATTAACCAAGTTGTCTATATATACCACACAGCACCCACCAACATTCTCACAAATCAATACACTTTCTTATCACTTCATATTTTACAGAGCATTTTCTTTTGAAGCTTTCCTTCCTTCCACTAAAAGAAATCAACATGGGTGATGCAGAATCTTTGCATTCCGCTGATGAGCTGAAACGCCAGAAGAAAATCAAAATGGCCATCTATATTACTATTTTCGTTGTGTTTCAGATCATAGTTATCACCACAATGAGTCTTACTGTCATGAAAGTCAAGACCCCCAGGTTCAGGCTAGGCAACATCAACGTCCAGAGCTTCGAATCTGTCCCAGCAAAGCCTTCATTTGACACGAAATTCACAACCCAAATCAAGATCAAGAACTCAGCCAACTGGGGTTCCTACAAGTTCAATGCTGCCAATGTCACATTTCAATACCAAGGAGCGACTGTGGGAGTAATTAATATTGCAAAGGGCAAGGCTGGATGGCTTTCGACCATAAAAAGAAATGTGGAGGTGAGTTTGAGTTCAAGTGGATTAACTGGTTCAAATCTGGGCAGCGAATTGAGCAGCGGGGTGTTGACTCTCAACAGCGTAGGCAGATTGAATGGAAAAGTTGCAATTATGTTCATAATGAAGAAGAAGAAGGCTACCAACATGAACTGCACCATAGCTTTTGATGTGGCTGCCAAGACCCTCAAATCTTTACAATGCAAATGAGCGGAGTAGCTAAGCATCCAGGCGTCATCTTCAGCATATGGATTGCGACTAGCTAATTCTTGATTTGTGACTTTTCTTATTCTTTTATTCTTTGTATCTGTGTGGCGATTGGATTTGTTATAGAGTTATAATGATATATTTGTTTTCGTTACCACTCCCCTGTAGTTATTTATTTCATGATTCTTGGTTTTTTTGGTCTATTCTTTGATATTTACTTATTTATAGTCCGCTTCTTTGGAGTGCCCGATTATTCTCTAATGGTGGGTGCAAGAAAATCCTCAAGTTATACGTATTTCTAAATGATGATTGTGCGCCTGATTGATGGGATATGTTCTTGACATGGAGACAGGATCATTGTAAACATGACAATTGCCCAAATGCTGCAGCTAGGCTACGATGCAAAACAAATAAATGCTCCAGGGGGCCTCACTTGACTATATATTGCAAAGAAATCTCCAGTTTTGATACCCAATTGATCATCACCCATGATGGAGCCTGACAAGTTCCCCATATTAGTACCTAAGAAAATGCACAACATGAAATGTTGTGCATATATTGCTGCGTTTGCTGTGTTCCAAACCTTAGTCATACTGGCTTTTGGATTATTCGCGTTGCCAACTGAAACTCCTACGGTCAGGGTGAGATCTGTGGCAATCCGAAGCCTAGACTACTGTGCTTCAGATGAACCCTTCTTCAACATTACCCTGATTGCTGAAGTTGCAGTGAGGAACAAGAATTTTGGGCATTTTAGGTTTGATCCCAGCACAGCTAATGTCACATATATGGGGGGTGTCACAGTGGGCAATGGAGACATAACCAAAGCAAGAGCCAGTGCTAGGAAGACAAGGATAATGAATGTGACCATTGAAGTGAGATCAGCTGGGGTACTATTAGATGGTGCTAGGGTTGGCAATGAGCTTAAGTTAAAATAACAACAATGGCCTTGTAACTAAAAACCAAAGTAATATTATAGTTCTACAACAAATCCAAGTTTCCCACAAAGAAGAAAAATATATACCAAAGAATAATGAAATAACAAAATGATCCAATTAGTCTTGATGACCCCCAAAGCCACATATTAAACTAAACATGTGGCTCATAGCTAAATTTCCAAATTTGCAGTCCTTATAAAGTGCCTGAATTGCGACCCTCCGGCACTCACTGATCACTTCCATTGTAAAGTTTGGACAACCTTTGTGAACAAATCAAATGCTATGGTGCAGTCCATTGTGGAAGACTTCCTCTTCTTCATGATAAACATCAATTCCGCCTCTACAGTCAATTCAGCTTGGCTGCTTAGCATCAAGACCCCATTCCTCAACTCACTGCCAGAATTGGAACTGTTCGGCAATGGGTTTGAATTCAAACTCACTGTGACATCAATCTTTTTGGTGGAACGCATTCCAGCCTTGCTATATGATTCAGGAATAACAACTTGCCCCACAGTCAGGACTTGGTACGTCGCAGTGCCTGCATTGACTCTTCTGGCGCTTTAGCTCATCAGTGGATTGCAAAGACTCTCCATCACTTTTTGGATCCATTTGCCGGTGCCAATGGGTTTTGTCAGCCAGCATTCTTTGATTTCCTGGAAAGCTTTGAACTAGAAAATGTTCTTTTGATGTTTGGGTGTCTATACTCTAGAGTGTAAAACGAATTGAGCAAGTATGATATACCTATATTTAGTTGTTTGCGCAATGTGTTGAGAGTGCCTGTCTCACATTGAAAAGTTAAAGAACTTGGTCTGGTTTACAAGGAGTCGGGCTACTCCCACCATTGCCAATTGGTTTTGGAGTGGAATCTCAACTTCCTTCAAAATGTTGGCTTCTACAGCGGGTTAATATAGTGTTTGCACAATCTGATTGAAGAGATGTTTAGTTTGTGTCAATGGCAATCAAGTTTCATTCCTGAAAATGCCAAAATGTAACCATACGCGCATCGTTAAGAGGCTTTGACTTGTAGTCTTCTAGAGAGGGTCGATTAAATCCCATGAGGCGCTTATAACAATAATAAATAATATATTCGAGCTTCTTTCTTGCAAGACGAAGTTATTATGCCCATGCCATTGCTTACAAAGAAAAGGATAAACTAATTCAAACAAAATAATAAATATATATATATATATATATATATATATATATATTATGTCCGAATGCTAGCTTGGACTTCATCAATTTCACGTTTTGAAAGGTGTCCATGGGCGCAGCCACGCAGCAAACATAATATATAACAAGTATAGTAGAATAATAGTAATGGTTCTAGAAGTCAATAAACTACATCCCAATTAATTATTTGCGCGTTTTGATTCCAATTTCCAGCAAGTTTACACCGTCGATATTATTCCTGCAATTAACTCATTGACCAAATTGTCTATAAATACCACACAGCACTCACCAATATTCTCACCATCAATACACTTACTCATCAGTTCATATTTTACAGACCGAAACAGAGAAAAACCAGAGCATTTTCTTTTGAAGCTTTCCTTCCTTCCACTAAAAGAAATCAACATGGCTTGGAAAACAAATGATGCAGAATCTTTGCAATCCTCTGATGAGCTGAAACGCCAGAAGAAAATCAAAATGGCCATATATATTACTATTTTCGTTGTGTTTCAGATCATAGTTATCACCACGATGAGTCTCACTGTGATGAAAGTCAAGACCCCCAAGTTCAGGCTAGGCAGCAACATCGACGTCCAAAGCTTTGAATCTGTCCCGGCAACGCCTTCATTCGACATGAAATTCACAACCCAAATCAGGATCAAGAACTCAGCCAATTGGGGTTCCTACAAGTTCAATGCTGCCAATGTCACGTTTCAATACCAAGGTGCGACTGTGGGAATAATTGATATCGCAAAGGGCAAGGTTGGATGGCTTTCGACCATAAAAAGAAATGTGGAGGTGAGTTTGAGTTCAAGTGCAATAACTGGTTCAAATCTTGGAAGTGAATTGAGCAGCGGGGTGTTGACGCTCAACAGCGTAGGAAGATTGAATGGAAAAGTTGCAATTATGTTCATAATGAAGAAGAAGAAGGCTACCAACATGAACTGCACCATAGCTTTTGATGTGGCAGCCAAGACTCTCAGATCTTTACAATGCAAATGAGCGGAGTAGCTAAGCATCCAGGATGCATCTACAGCATTTGGATTGCGAATAGCTAGTTCTTGATTTGTGACTCTTCTTATTCTTTTTATTCTTTGTATCTGTGTGGCGATTGGATTTGTTATAGAGTTATAATGGTATTTGTTTTCTTTACCACTCCCCTGTTCTTGTTGTGTTCTTATTTTTTAATTGAATATACAATGGTAATATTCCTTCTGTAAGTGGATTCCGTTATTATCTATTATTTTTGTTGAGAAAAGATAGTATTTCATTATATCGAAAGGAACATTACATAGTAAGAACTAGCATGTTAATGGCGGTCTCGTTAAAACCTTCATAGAGAAACAAAATCCGGGGTAGGAAAGAGTACTGCCCTTGCTATTGATGAAACAGAAGAGTCAAACAACTCATACGAAACAAACAAACCTAAACCCCAACCACAAAACCCTTAAAACAACATCCCATCACTACGTAGGTACTGTCAAATAAGTCATCCTATGATCTAGAAAAAGCATCATAGTTCTAAGAGTCAAAAACGTACTTTGGGTATCAGAATAAATTCAGCCAATCACCCAACTGCAAAACCATTGGAACACATCCCATCACTACTCAGATACTGTCAAAGAAAGCCTCATATGATCTAAAGAAAGCATCATAGTTCTTCGTACAGAGTCAAGAACGTATTTTGAGCATCATAACAAATCTAACCAAACACCAACTGCCATCTCCAATTTTCTTGATCTAGAACCCCAGCTGACAAGCAAGGGAGACCAAGATTGGCCTCTTAGCCTGAAGAAAATTTCGAAGAATTATTAGGAGAATTATTAGGGAGATCTTGGAGACCCCTCGAGGCTGGTCTTCTCGGCCTTGTCAACAGAATCCTCAATACAAAAACTATGCTTACGAGAAAAGCCTGTGCCACTAACAATTAGATGCCCAACACCAATTTTCGCACGCTTTTGATTCCTGCTTGGTGCCGCATACTTGTCATCCCCTTGAGCAGAAGAGGCGGTGGCCATCTCCATGGCGTTAAGATGAAGACCCCTCACCAGCGACTGGCTCCTTAGGAACCCAGAAAGGAAGCCAATGCATCCACCCCACAGAGAACAAAATAGCCAAACAAAGGTCATACCCAATTCACCAAGAAGAACCACAAGAGACAATAAGAGAAGACTAAGAGAGATGGCACAAAGAATGAGTAAAGAAAACAGGAAAAACCCTAACCCTAGACGTCAAGGCTCTCCTCGTGTGAACAAGAGAGCGACCCATTATTATGTATTATTTGCTGATGACTTTTATTTATTTTTAGTTAACCCTATTTTTATGTAGTTAATCCTATTTTTTATGTAGTTAACTCTATTTTTTAATTAATAAAACTGACAGGGTTAGACATTGGACTTGATTTGTTAACTAATGCAAATACAGTGACTAAATTGGGAAAATTGAATCACGGTGACCAAATTTGATTTTGAGCCAAACCCTAATGACCAAAAGTATAATTAACCATATTTAAAATAATAAGGTTAATTTTGTTTATGGAGCAAAGAATAAGGTTTTGCTGCTTGTTAAACGCAACGTTCCTTTTTTAAAGAGGGGCATGTGCCATGTTAAAACTAAAGCATAGATAATATCAAAACCAAGCGTTCAAAAACAATTGGACTTTATGAAAGAGGAAACGATGACGTTGCAGATGCGCCTCCTTCCTCGCGTGGTTTTCTTCTTGTTGTGCAAAACATTTTAAGACATTGTCGTTGATGGACTACGCAACTATCACACACAAGCCACGCAAAGATAAAGCACACACGAAACCACAAAGTACACACACACACACACTCACACACACAAAGAACACAAGAACATATAGAGGTTCAACATTGTGCCCATGTCCTCTTGGTGATCCCCGAGAAATTCACTAATATGAAAGAACCCCTTTGGTTACAATGAAGAACCCCCCTTGATCTCTAACAAACCCTACCTCTCTTTTCTCTCACCCTTGGCTAAAACCCAATTTGATGTCTTAACTTTCTCACGTTACAATAACCTAGCGCTAAAGTACCTATTTATATGTCATAGGGCTTTAGTACAATTATAGAAGGAATAGGAAACTTAAAGGACTCCAAAACTTGGAGAAAATATGTCCAGATTTGCCAGGTATACGCGCTGGATTTGCCTTTCCTTCTTGAGCACCACTCATGCCGCTCGAGCTCCTGTGTCTACTCGAGTCTGAGTTCTGCCACTTAAGTAGGCGCTCAAGCTCTTGGGTCTGGATGAGATGTACCGCTCTGCTGCTCAAGCGCCTATAGTTTCTACTTGAGCAGTAGAGCCCAGTCAAAACTACTGTAGCTCTTTTGACTGTATGTTTTCTTCACTCCTTTCTGCATCTTTAAATGAAACAACATCAACAATCTCCACCTTGGCGAGCCTTAAACACCTTGTGAAAATTATTGACCCCTAGAACTTCTTCAAACCTCTTGGAAACCGTTCTTGTAATTCCCAAGAGCTCCACCTCAATCTTTAGCATGTAACAAGATTGAGCAAGCTCAAATAATGTATGAACTTCTCAACTATGACTGGATCGGTCAAGCAATCCGAAGCTTTCTCATTCGTATGAACTGTCTCTATTTCAATGTCCCCATAGTTCACCTAATCCCTTATCAGGTGGTACTGTACATCAATATGCTTATACCTTTTGTGAAACACTTGATTCTTGACTGAGCATATAGCAGTTTGACTATTACTTTGTATCACCACCAAGTCTTGGGCTATCTCGAACTCTTTAGCCAATCTTGTTAGCCATTAATGCTTCCTCCATATACTCAGCTTCAGTAGTAGACAAAGCAGTAACTGATTGTAGCACCACTCTCCAACTAATCAGTCCTCCACCACAAGTGAAAACATACCCCGCGGTGGATCTCCTCTTGTATATGTCTCCTGCATAATCTGAATCCAAAAAACCCAACATACATGTCTTTCTTTGTTGTCTTTCAAACAAAATCCCAAGCTTCTTGGTGCCCTTCAAATATCGAAAAATCCACTTCACCGCATTCCATGTTTTTCGCCCAGATTGCCATGTATCTTGAAACTACACTCACAGCTTGAGCTAAGTCAGGGCATGTGCAAACCATTGTGTATATGAGAAACCCTACCGCGCTTGCATACTGAACCTTACTCATTTCAACATTCTCTTTGTCACTAGAAGGACTTTCTTAGGCACTTAGTCTAAAGTGCTCCGCCAAAGGAGTAAACATAGGCTTTCAATCCAACATGTTGAATCTTTCAAGTACCTTATAAATTCTATGATAGAAATCTTTAAAATCCATAATCCTCCGTTTGGATGAAGGAATTGAAAATTATATAGAATTCTAAAAAGACAAAATTTAGATTTCCATCATTTCAATTTCTGGCAACTGAAGATTTCAATATTTGGATTTATGTATGTAAAATTTTGTAAATGACAGAATTTTGTAAATGGCATTATGGAAATTGTGAAATGACACCTATTTTGGTGGAAATTAAACTCGGGAATTTGATGCCCCAATTTCCACTATTTTTTCCTAGCGTCATTTAATAAATTCCGTGCTTAAGTTGTCAAACAAGGAAGTTGTCTTTCAGTTAAATTATGAGTTATTTTCCCTCATCCAAATGGATAGTAAGTAAAAAGATCTTAATTATAGTAATCCATAAAAAAAATCCTATAATGTTATAAATCCATACGTTATGGGTTTATAGGTTATGGATGCCCACAATAACAGCCACTATTAACCTATCATAATACCCATCATTATATACTTGTAACCTACCAATTATGGTTGATAAATGATTTTGGCCTCTCTACCCCTATAAATAGTGGATCCAAATATGAATGGAATACAAGTTGATTTGAGCAAATTATACTGCCTCTTTCTTCCTCTTATCTCTCCTTACAAATTCCCTAGTTTCATAACACGTTATCAGCACGAAAGCTCTTGGTAATGTTCTTCTCTATAGCTTACATTCATCCATATATATATATATATATATATATATTTCTTTTATCTACAAAACTCGATGACGGCTGATTTTTTTAAAGTAGAAAACAATCATGGATGCTCTCGTTTTGGGAGAAATGACGAAGATATTTGTCTTGCAGATAGTGCAACTACGCACACAATTCTTAGAGATAAAAAATATTTTGATAATTTACATTTATCAAAAGCAAAGGTAACTACCATACTAGGTTTTGCAAACCTAATTGACGGCTTTGGAAGAGCTCAAATTTTGTTACCCAATGGGACTCAATTCTCCATTGATAATGCTTTGTACTCTTTGAGATCGAGAAGAAATTTACTTAGCTTTAAAGACATTCGAATGAAAGGATACCATATTGAAACCTGAAAGGATCACAATGTGGAGTATCTTTGCATTACCACAAATATCAACAGCCAAAGGCGTATATTGGAAACACTTCCTGTTTTCTCTTATGGGTTGTATTATACAACCATCAAAGCAGTTGAAGTCCATGCTATCATGAACCAGAAGTTCATTGACCCAACGACTTTCATGCTTTGGCATGATCGTCTTGGGCATCCTGGATCCATAATGATGTGTAGGATTATTTCAAATTCAAATGGACATCCTTTCAAGCCTTACCATAGTACTTTGTCCATTGACCAGTCTTGCAAAGCATGCTCCCAATGAAAATTGATCATCAAACCATCTCCGTCAAAACTTGGCTTTGAATGTCCATCTTTCTTACAGAGAATTCAAGGGGATATTTGTGGGCCAATTCACCCATCTTGTGGACCATTTCGTTATTTTATGGTTTTAATCAATGCATCTACAAAATGGTCACATGTTTGCCTATTGTCAACTCGCAATGTTGCTTTTGCTAGGATCCTTGCTCAGATAATTAAATTACAAGCACAATTCCCTGATTATCCAATAAAGTCAATTCGACTTGATAACGCTGGTGAGTTTACCTCCCAAACTTTTGATGCTTATTGCATGTCACTTGGGATTGATGTTGAGCACCCAGTTCCCCACGTTCATACTCAAAATGGATTAGCAGAAGCTTTTATTAAGCGTCTCCAGTTCATTGCTCGCACTTTGCTATTGAAGACAAAGTTGCCAACTTCTGCTTAGGGACATGCAATTTTACATGCAGCAAATTTAGTCTGCTTGAGGCCCGTTGCCCAACACCAATTCTCCCCTTTACAACTTGCCTTTGGGAGACAACCCAATATATCACATTTAAGGGTTTTTGGTTGTGTAGTTTATGTGCCAATTGCACCCCCACAACGCACTAAAATGGGTCCTCAACGTTGATTGGTAATATACATTGGTTTTGATTCACCAACTATCATTCGCTATCTCGAACCTATGACATGTGATACTTTTACAACACGCTTTGCGGACTGTCACTATGATGAGACATTCTTCCAGCCGTTAGGGGGAGAAAAGACCGTTCTTGAAGAACGGTGTGAATTAGGTTGGAACATATCCATTATGTCTCATCTTGACCCTCGTACAACTCAAAGTGAAAATGAAGTACGAAAGATTGTCCACCTTCAGCAAATTGCTAATCAAATGCCAGATGCATTCACTGATACAGGAAAAGTGACAAAATCACATATACCTGCAGCAAATACACCAGCAAGGATGATATCCCAATCGGATTAACCAATGTTGCAGCAAATGAATCATCTACTGCATGCCTGAAGTGAGGTAGGCCCATTGGTTCAAAGGACTCAGCTCCTAGAAAGAGAAAATCGAAAGCATATTCCAACCCTAATGAAAACGCTCATGAAGATATTATTGGGAAAGAGATTGACCTTGAACCTACAATTCATCCAGAGAGTGAACGTGTCATTGAAAATACACAAGACACTAAAGAGGAAAAGATACCTAATACAGAAATTTCTGTAAATTTTGCATGCAATGATGAACTGTGGGACCGTAGTGAAATGGTTATCGATGATATTTTTTCTTTCACAGTAGCTACTGAAATTATAAAAGGTCACGAAGATATTGAACCACGATGTGTTGATGAATGCAAAGAGAGGCCTGATTGGCCAAAGTGGAAAGACGCAATCAAAGTTGAGTTAAATTCCTTGGAAAAACGTGGTGTATTCGGACCTGTGGTTCAAACACCGCAAGGTGTAAAACCTGTGGGATATAAATGGGTGTTCACAAGAAAGCGTAATGAGAAAAATGAGATTGCAAGGTATAAGGCACGACTCGTTGCGCAAGGCTTTTCTCAAAGGCTTGGGATTGATTATGAAGAAACATATTCTCTTGTTATGGATGCAATTACGTTCCGTTATTTAATAAGTCTAGCAGTTTCAGAAAAATTTGACATGCGTCTTATGGACGTTGTTACTGCATACTTATACGGGGAGTTAGATGCCAATATTTATATGAAAGTCCCAGAAGGACTCAAGTTGGCAGAATCAAACACTAAATCACGAAACATGTACTTCATTAAGCTGAGACGTTCACTATATGGGTTGAAACAATCCGGACGAATGTGGTATAACCGTCTTAGTGAATATTTGATTAAGGAAGGCTACATCAATGATCCAATATGCCCTTGTGTTTTTATAAAGAAATCAAATTCTGGATTTGCAATTAAAACTGCTGAATGTTTAAAGTGTGAATTTGAGATGAAAGACCTTGGAAAAACTAAATATTGTTTGGGCTTGTAGATCGAGTATCATCCCAATGGTATTCTTGTCCATCAATCAGCTTACACTGAAAAAATTTTGAAGCGATTTTATATGGATAATTCCCACTCGTTGAGCACTCCAATGGTAGTTTGTCCATTAGACACAAATAAAGATCCATTCCGTCCTAAAGAGGATGAAGAAATGATACTTGGTCCAGAAGTACCATATCTTAGTGCGATAGGTGCTTTATTATATTTAGCCCAATTTACTAGGCCAGATATTGCATTTTTAGTAAATTTATTAGCCAAGATTTGGTATAAAACATATCTTGCGCTACCTTCACGGAACAACTAATATGGGCCTGTTTTAGTCGAACGAACCTTCTAACAGTCCAAATCTTGTTGGATACGCGGATTCTGGGTCTCTCTCTGATCCACATAAGGGTTGCTCCCAAACTAGTTATGTGTTTACTTGTGAAAACACAGCGATCTCATGGCGATCTACAAAACAAACTATGGTTGCTACCTCTTCTAATCATGCATAAATTCTTGCGTTCCATGAGGCTAGTAGAGAATGTGTTTGGTTAAGATTCCTAGTTCATCATATTCGGAAAACATGTGATCTTTCTTCAACAACAAAAGCTCCGACAATCATGTATGAAGACAATGCTGCTTGTATAGCTCAAATTAAAGAAGGGTTTATCAAGGGTGATAGAACCAAACATATACCACCAAAGTTCTTCTACCCACATGAGCTTCAAAAGAATCAAGAGATTGAAGTCAAGCAAATTCGTTCCCAAGATAACCTGGCAGAACTCTTCACCAAAGCTCTTCCAAAGTCTATATTTCAGAAGTTGGTATATGGTATAGGGATGCGACGACTTTACAAGCAATCAGACTGTTGAAGATCAGGGGGAGATATCAATCAAGGAAACTCCTCAGTTTTACTACATTGGATGTATGTGCAATGTACTTTTTTTTTCCTTCGATCATGTTTTTATCCCATGTGGTTTTTCCTGACAAGGTTTTTAACGAGGCAACATTTAGCACGTCCAACATGATGTCATTGTATGGTGGACATCCAAGGGGGAGTGTTATAAATCCATACGTTATGCGTTTATATGTTATGGATGCCCACAATAATAGCCACTATTAACCTATCATAATACCCATCATTATATACTTGTAACCTACCAATTATGATTGGTAAATGGTTTAGGCCTCTCTACCCCTATAAATAGTGGATCCAAATATGAATGGAATACAAGTTGATTTGAGCAAATTATACTGCCTCTTTCTTCCTCTTATCTCTCCTTACAAATTCCCTAGTTTCATAACATATAAGTCATTGCATTATGCTTAAATATGGAAGACTTTTTTAATCCTTAAATAGTATTTTAAAATCTTAATTGAATACACTCTTAATTTTGTTTTGACTGTGAGCCCCAAGGGAAAAAAAAATTCCAGGTATAAGTTATGCTGCTCGCTACATTTAGTGTTTGGACAGTCGGATTGAAGAGTTGTTTAGTTTGTGTCAATGGCATTTAAGTTTAGTTTCTTTCCTGGAAATGCCAAAATATAACCAGACGCGCATGGTTAGAGGTTTTGACTTATTGTCTTCTAGAGAGGGTCAATGACTCCGAGGAACCTGGACTTTGTAATGAGACTAATACAGATCTTTGTTTATGTGGAAGGTAAAGTCTTTAAAGCCCACGGAGCTTTCTCTTATTCTATACTTTGATTATCTTAAAAGGGTCAATATGCACAGCCAATAAATAATAGTAAAATGGGGTTTCAAGTCACGTTCTCAAACATCTAGAAGAAGGGCTCTAGAAGTCAATGAACTACAACCCAGTTATTCGCGCGTTTTGATTCCAATTTCCAGCAAGTTTATACTCTCGATATTATACCTCTTCATTAACCAAGTTGTCTATATATACAACACAGCACCCACCAACATTCTCACAATCAATACACTTTCTCATCACTTCATATTTTACAAAGCATTTTCATTTGAAGCTTTCCTTCCTTCCACTAAAAGAAATCAACATGGGTGATGCAGAATCTTTGCATTCCGCTGATGAGCTGAAACGCCAGAAGAAAATCAAAATGGCCATCTATATTAGTATTTTCGTTGTGTTTCAGATCATAGTTATCACCACAATGAGTCTTACTGTCATGAAAGTCAAGACCCCCAGGTTCAGGCTAGGCAACATCAACGTCCAGAGCTTCGAATCTGTCCCAGCAACGCCTTCATTCGACATGAAATTCACAACCCAAATCAAGATCAAGAACTCAGCCAACTGGGGTTCCTACAAGTTCAATGCTGCCAATGTCACATTTCAATACCAAGGAGCGACTGTGGGAGTAATTAATATCGCAAAGGGCAAGGCTGGATGGCTTTCGACCATAAAAAGAAATGTGGAGGTGAGTTTGAGTTCAAGTGGATTAACTGGTTCAAATCTGGGCAGCGAATTGAGCAGCGGGGTGTTGACTCTCAACAGCATAGGCAGATTGAATGGAAAAGTAGCAATTATGTTCATAATGAAGAAGAAGAAGGCTACCAACATGAACTGCACCGTAGCTTTTGATGTGGCTGCAAAGACCCTCAAATCTTTACAATGCAAATGAGTGGAGTAGCTAAGCATCATCTTCAGCATATGGATTGCGACTAGCTAGCTCGTGATTTGTGACTTTTCTTATTCTTTTATTCTTCGTATCTTTGTGGCCATTGGATTTGTTATAGAGTTATAATGATATATTGGTTTTCGTTACCACTCCCCTGTAATTATTTATTTCATGATGATCTATTCTTTGATATTTACTTATTTATAGTCTGCTTCTTTGAAGTGCCCGATTATTCTCTAATGGGGGGTGCAAGTAATCCTCAAGTTATACGTATTTCTAAATGATGACAATTGCCCAAATGCTGCAGCTAGGCTACGATGCAAAACAAAAAAAATGCTCCAGGGGGCCTCACTTGACTCTATATATTGCAAAGAAATCTCCAGTTTTGATACCCAATTGATCATCAGCCATGATGGAGCCTGACAAGTTCCCCATATTAGTACCTAAGAAATCAAATGCTATGGTGAACAAATCAAAGTTTGGACTGCTCACTTCCATTGTAAAGTTTGGACAACCTTTGTGAACGAATCAAATGCTATGGTGCAGTCCATTGTGGAAGACTTCCTCTTCTTCATGATAAACATCAATTCCGCCTCTACAGTAAATTTAGATTGGCTGCTTAGCATCAAGACCCCATTCCTCAACTCACTGCCAGAATTGGAACTGTTCGGCAAGGGGTTTGAATTCAAACTCACTGTGACATCAATCTTTTTGGTGGAACGCATTCCAGCCACCAATTGGCAATGAGGGGAGTAGCCGTTATAAGCCATTGCTAGGTTTAACAACTTTCCAATGTGGGACTTTTTACCTTCACATTTGCAATACCTATATTTAGTTGTTCGTGGAATGTGTTGAGAGTGTCTGTCTCACATTGAAAAGTTAAAAGGACCTGGTTTAGGTTTATAAGGAGTTGGGCTACTCCCCCAATTGCCAATTGGTTTTTGGGGTGGAACCTCAACTTCCTTCAAAATGTTAGCTTCTACAGCGTGTTAATCTAGTGTTTGCACAATCTGATTGATGAGATGTTTAGTTTGTGTCAATGGCAATCAAGTTTCATTCCTGAAAATGCCAAAATGTAACCAAACGCGCATCGTTAGAGGCTTTGATTTATAGTCTTTCTAGAGAGGGTCGATTAATTCCTATGAGGCGCTTATAACAATAATAAATAATATATTCGAGCTTCTTTCTTGCAAGACGAAGTTATTATGCCCATCCCATTGCTTACAAAGAAAAGGATCGACTAATTCAAACAAAATAAAATATATATATTATGTCCGAATGCTAGCTTGGACTTCATCAATTTCACATTTTGAAAGGTGTCCATAGGCGCAGCCGCGCATGAAACAAGTATAGTAGAATAATAGTAATGGTCCTAGAAGTCAATAAACTACAACCCAATTAATTATTTGCGCGTTTTGATTCCAATTTCCAGCAAGTTTACACCGTCGATATTATTCCTGCAATTAACTCATTGACCAAATTGTCTATAAATACCACACAGCACTCACCAATATTCTCACAATCAATGCACTTATCAGTTCATATTTTACAGACCGAAACAGAGAAAAACCAGAGCATTTTCTTTTGAAGCTTTCCTTCCTTCCACTAAAAGAAATCAACATGGCTTGGAAAACAAATGATGCAGAATCTTTGCAATCCTCTGATGAGCTGAAACGCCAGAAGAAAATCAAAATGGCCATATATATTACTATTTTCGTTGTGTTTCAGATCATAGTTATCACCACGATGAGTCTCACTGTGATGAAAGTCAAGACCCCCAAGTTCAGGCTAGGCAGCAACATCGACGTCCAAAGCTTTGAATCTGTCCCGGCAACGCCTTCATTCGACATGAAATTCACAACCCAAATCAGGATCAAGAACTCCGCCAACTGGGGTTCCTACAAGTTCAATGCTGCCAATGTCACATTTCAATACCAAGGTGCGACTGTGGGAGTAATTGATATCGCAAAGGGCAAGGCTGGATGGCTTTCGACCATAAAAAGAAATGTGGAGGTGAGTTTGAGTTCAAGTGCAATAACTGGTTCAAATCTTGGAAGCGAATTGAGCAGTGGGGTGTTGACGCTCAACAGCGTAGGCAGATTGAATGGAAAAGTTGCAATTATGTTCATAATGAAGAAGAAGAAGGCTACCAACATGAACTGCACCATAGCTTTTGATGTGGCAGCCAAGACGCTCAAATCTTTACAATGCAAATGAGCGGAGTAGCTAAGCATCAGGGATGCATCTTCAGCATTTGGATTGCCACTAGCTAGTTCTTGATTTGCGACTCTTCTTATTCTTTTTATTCTTTGTATCTGTCTGGCGATTGGATTTGTTATAGAGTTATAATGGTATTTGTTTTCTTTACCACTCCCCTTTTCTTATTTTCTTCTTATTTTTTCACTGAATATACAATGGTAATATTCCTTCTGTGAGTGGATTCTGTTATTATGTATTATTTACTGATGACTTTTATTTTTTTTTTAGTTGACCCTATTTTTATGTAGTTAATCCTATTTTTTATGTAGTCAACTCTATTTTTTAATTAATAAAACTGACAGAGTTTGACATTAATTGGACTTGATTTGTTAACTAATGCAAGTTAACTAATGCAAATACAGTGGCCAAATTGGGAAAATTGAATCACGGTGACCAAATTTAATTTTGAGCGAAACCTCAGTGACCAAAAATATAATTAACTCTATTTAAAATAATAAGGTTAATTTTTTATATGGAGCAAATAAAAAGGTTTTCCTGCTTGTTAAACGCAATGTTCCTTTTTTAAAGTGGACCATGGACTGCGTTAAAACTAAAGCATAGATAATATCAAAACCAAGTGTTCAAAAACAATTGGACTTTATGAAAGTGGAAATGATGATGTCGTAGATGTGCCTCCTTCCTCGCGTGGTCTTCTTCTTGTTGTGCGAAATATTCCAAGACCTTGTCGTTGATGGACTACGCAACTATCACACACAAACCACGCAAAGATAAAACACACACAAAACCACAAAGTACACACACACACACACAAAAATCACAAGAATTTATAGAGGTTCAGCATTGTGCCTACATCTTTTTGGTGATCTTCAAGAAATTCACTAGTATATATGAAAGAACCCCTTTGGTTACAATGAAGAACCCCCTTTTATCTCTAACAAACCCTAGCTCTCTTTTCTCTCACCTTTGGCTCAAACCCAATTTGATGCCTTGGCTTTCTCACGTTAGAATAACCTAGCGCTAAAGTACCTATTTATATGTCACAAGGCTTTAGTACAATTATACAAGGAATATGAAACTTAAAAGACTCCAAAACTAGGAGAAAATATGTCCATATTTGCCAGGTATACACCCTGGATTCGCGCCTCCTACTCAAGCACCACTCACGCCGCTCAAACACCTGTGTTTGCTCGAGTCTGAGTTCTGCCACTTGAGTAGGTGCTTAAGTGCTTGGGTCTGTGTGAGATGTATCGCTCTGCCGCTCAAGCGCCTGTAGTTTCCGCTTAAGCAGCAGAGCCGAGTCAAAACTACCGCAGTAGAGCCGAGTCAAAACTACCGCAGCTCTTTTGACTGTCTGTTTCCTTCACTCCTTCTGCTTCTTTAAATGAAACAACATCAACAATCTCCATCTTGGCGAGCCTTAAACACCTTGTGAAAATTATTGACCCCTAGAACTTCTTCAAACCTCTTGGAAACTGTTTTAGTAATTCCTAAGAGCTCCACCTCAATCTTTAGCATGTAACAAGATTAAGCAAGCTCAAATAATGTTTGAACTTCTCAGCTATGACTGGCTTGGTCAAGCAATCCAAAGCGTTCTCATCCGTATGAACCGTCTCTATTGTAATGTCCCCATCATTCACCTAATCCCTTATCCGGTGGTACCATACATCAATATGCTTAGACATTTCATGAAACACTTGATTCTCGACTAAGCATATAGCACTTTGACTGTTACTTTGTATCACCACCAAGTCTTGGGCTATCCTGAATTCTTTAGCCAATCTTGTTAGCCATAATGCTTCATTAGAAGCCTTAGTTGTATATATATATATATATATATATATATATATATATACAGCCCCCTTCAGTTGAGGGATCCCTCAAATAGTGTTATTTGAGGGATGAGGCGCTTAGTCGTTGGATCTCTTTTAATGAGATCTTGCGGCTATGGTTGTTTTAAATGTTTTAACCCATTTTAACACTCCTGACTTGAAGAAGAAAAAAACACGCGATGGCTGAAGAAACCTAAGGCACGCACGAAGAAGAGGAAGAGCCCACCCTTCCAAGACGAAGGAAGAGCTGCCATTGTGAGTTGAGCTTGCGAGAATTCTATGCCAATCAGGTAGGCGTATCCATAGCGGCATTTATGTTTTGTTCTAAATCTGGGTTGTGATTTTCAAATTGGGGATCTGCAATGGGTTTTTAATTTTGAAAATTTCTGGGCAAGGTTGAGATTACACCCGATTTCTTATGGGTTTGTTGATTTCGAGTGAATGACAATGGGTTAGTTCTAGGACTCGCTATTCAGAGAATGAGTTTGTAAAATTTTCATTGTTGACTTATTGTTGTTGCTATTGTTGTTATGATATTTGAATTGAGTTCTAATGGGCATGAAGAGAAAAAAAAATACAAGGACAATTTTATATTCTGATGTTAAATAGTGCATGGGTTGTATGCCTCATAGAATTATTTAGTTTTGTGTTCCTTAAGATGTGAAATTTGGTTTACAGATCTAAACCTGTCAGCCTTCAACTTTAAAGTCTTAACTTTCATGATAATGGAAAGCTTTCATTAGCTATGACATCCTTCTTCTACAGCTTTAGGCATAAATGCCTACTAATGTGTCGAGCTGGCATCCTTCCTTTCATGGCAAGTTCCATTACAAGGTTTAATCACTACTAAAGTTTGCTATTTGTTGATGCTTACATTTTCTATTTATTTGTTTTCATGTGTAGCTCTTGAGAATTTGCTGAAGGATTTTGTTAGTAGATATGCCACATGAGATGAAGTGTATATGGTCTCTCGTCTAAATGAGATGAAGTGTATATGGTCTCTCTTCTATTAGCAGTTGGTATTTAGCATTAAGTCTGGAATTTGTGCTAGAGATAATAGAAATCTGCTTCTGCTACTGCTGCATAAGGATGAGGCTTCTATAATGAAACTGTGAAATCAGTTGTTGAATTACCTGCTGATGTTGTTGCTGCCCTCATAAGGATGAAGCTTCCTTGGATTGCACTTGAGTCTCTACCAAGGGAAGCAGCAGAGATGGCGACACTATTACAGCATATGTACCAATTTTAGCCAGCAATATGGCATCTTTCATTATGATTTTTTTTTCTTCTCTGTAATAGGATGGGTTTTTTTGTTTTTTTTTGTTGTGGGTTGCTGCACATAATTGTTTTTCCCTTTTGTAATGAATACTCGATGTTATCAAGTTTATTTTATCTTAGTAATGAAAACTTATTTCAGTTCATAGTATGACAGTTTCCTTGTGTTTTCTCTCACAAATATGAATTACAATGTTTTGATTTGAAATGCACGTATGGTTGTGGCAAATTTATGTAGAAGAGCTTTGAAGGAGCAAACATGATTTAGTTGTTTTCATTAAAATGTTTGCAATACTTTTGGGGTTGTATGTAAACTTCTCTGTGATCAATAGTTGGGGGTTGTTAATCCAGAAGAAAATACTGCCCATATTCAGTGTGGAAATAATAATGATTAGAAATTTATGGTTGATGAGATGAGTTTGTTTGCAGAAAATATATGCGCACAATGATGATTTGTCATGTGACTTTCAAGTCAACTTAGGAACATTAGCATGTGTGGCTTTCGTGAATTATGCCGAAATTTGAAGTTGTAAGGCTAACAAATGAATAGCTCTAAACTGCCATGAAACTCTTTCAACTATCAAACGTTGATAATTACAGGTCTCAAGTGACATTACCTTATACAACAAACAAACGTTATACTTTCACTGGATAACATAATTTTTTTAACTAAAATCATCTTCTTTGCAAACTAAGTTATATCTGCTACCTCAAAACAATACGTAAATGACATGAATTTATACAAACTCATTCTCTATTTGTTGCAGATTAGTGAGTCCTAGAACTAATCCACAACAATTCATTTTTTTTCTTAGAAAACAACGCATGAAAACCCAATCGAAATCAACAGAAAGTAGAGGAAAGTGACATGAATGTGGAAAAAAATAAAAATTCACAAATCAAAGTGTGAATCCCATAGGAAGGATGTCAAATCAACACATTAGTAGGCATTTATGCCTAAAGCTTAAGAAATATGTCATACCTAATGAAAGGCTTTCCATTATAATGAAAGTTAAGACTTTAAAGTCAAAGGTTGACAGGTTTGGCTCTATAAACCAAATTTCACATCTTAAGGAACAAAAAACTAAAGAATTATGAGGCATACAACCCATGCACTATTTAATATCAGAATATGAAATTGTCCCTATATATTTTTTTTCTCTTCATGCCCATTAGAACTCAATTCAGATATCAAAACAGCAGCAACAACAATAAGTCAATAATGAAAATTTTACAAACTCATTCTTTGAATAGCGAGTCCTAGAACCAACCCATTGTCATTCACTCGAAATCAACGAGCATTTATCAAAAATAGCCAAAACTTGACCCCTAATTTCAAAAATGTCAGTTTTTGTAAAAATTTTCAAATATAGCAGAAAATTCACCTAAATAGACACAAATACCCTCAAATTTAAAACCCACATAAACCTAAAGAAGAAAACCCTATTAGATTGGGAATCTTTGTACGTAGAGTTTGTTCGCAGACGTATTGCTACCATAGTCAAATGGTGAGTGCAATTCTTCCTTGTTTCTTTGTTTCTTCGTTTATTCTTCATCTATATTTATAAAATTTCAATTATGGTTTTGCTTCCTTGGTTCTTCGTCAATTTCTTCTTTGTTTCATCGTTTATTCTTCATCTATATTTATAAAATTTCAATTATGGTTTGGCTGACTTAACTCTTGAGCCCTATCCAAGTGCTATGATTTAATATCGTCAATTCACTTTGAGCCTACATCAAAGGTTAGTGCATATAGGCTTGGAAAATGATTGAATTTGGTAATATGATGATTCAATTGTGATGAGGCACTACATCAAAGGGATTTGTGCTTAATCAGATACTTACCAATTGCGTTCCTGTTCACATAGCTATATAGAAAATTTGTCTTTTACCCTTTAAGAATCTGCATGTAAACGAATTTTGGTCTCTCGTGAGTTCATCTGTGTTATATGAGATGAATAATCTGGCAGGCCCTTCAAGAAAAAAATGTAAGCCGTAGTTATGGAAGTGAAAGAAATGCTGTAGTGATTTAGCCAAAGCATATGATTGTTGAGATGCTTTGGTCTTTTAGTCAATTATGTGTTAATCTGCCAAAAGGGATGCTTTGAGTAAATGATTGCATGTAAGTGGAAGAGAGGCTAGTATATCTAGTACGTAGCTTCGCCAAGAGTTGATTTGTAGTGGGGACTGACAGCTAACTATAAATTATTTTGGGACCATTGCATTTTGTTCAGTAATAACAGTTGATTAACTCAGAACCCCCCTTAAAAGGCAAGGGTGGTTAACAGAATTAATGGATCAATAATAGGAATAACCGACTTTCCTCCCACTTCAATTATGATTTAACATCTTTGGTTGGTGTTTGCCTTTTCTTTTTCTTGTTAAATCTTAATATTTGCAACAATTCAATTGTGAGTTTGGTAAGGCTAGATTTTGTATGCTGCAGATTGCATAAAGTTAATAGTTGATATTTAAAAGCTTTATTAATTTCTACTTTGTTTCATAGTTAATGTTTTTGGTTTCGTTGTGAATTTTTGGTCTGTAGGGTTTTTTTTTAATTAATATTTTTGGCTTACCTTTTCAGGCAAATGTCTAGTTTGCCAATTTTGATTAACTATGGTGGGAGGTGGGCTAACTCGATGTATAAAAATTGCGAAAGTAAAGGACTACTTGTTTCAGACAAAATTACATTTGAGGAACTCCGGAATAAACTGTATGACATTGCCAATGTGGACCAAAATGAGTATGAGGTAACTATGAAAGTGATATAAGATGCAATGAAAAGTGCATGGCCCACAAAGATAGTCGATGATGATAATGTAAGAGCTTTTATTTTTGAAAGCCTTTCAAGGTCTTACAAGATTCCATTGTGCATTACAGTGAAACGTAATGTATTTTCTTATGGAAGTGGAAGTAATCAAGAAACTCCATTGGTTGAGTTCGAACCAATGCCAATGAACCTCAACTTGGCTACTCAAGGTGATTTAGAAGATTATGAGCAAGATAAAGATTCAGAAGATGACTTGGGAACCGAAGAATTGGAGGACTCAGAATATGAAGTGGAAAAATAATACAACACATGTGGATGAGTTGCGTTATGAGAACATGCAATTTGAGGATACGCCACATGTAGAGGATGATAATATTTTTCAAGAAAATGTTGCCTTCGAAGAAAACATGAGATGTGACAAAGTGCCAGCTATCAACGTGCAATGTGATGAGCCTAACTCTAACAATCCAACTGCTCCAAACAAGGATGAAAACATTCTACATGGATCAGACATGACAGAGCTACACAATTCAAGTGGAGATATAATTGTAGGTCAGGTGTATGAGACTAAGGAGGATTTAAAAACAAAGTTGGGTATCGATGCTATGAAGAAAAATTTTGAGTTCAAAGTGAAGAGATCTAATAAAGAAAGATTTGAAGTTGGTTGTGTGGATGACGGATGCATGTGGAAATTGCGTGCATCAAAGGTACGAAAATCCTCATATTTCATGGTTAGAAAATATGTTACTAAACGCACTTGCTCATTGGATGTTATTCATCGCCATCATCGACAAGCAAGTAGTTATCTTATTGGCCAGTGCATTAAGTCTAAGTATGAGGGTGTATCACGAGTACATAGACCCCATGACATCATGGAGGATATATGGAAGGACATGGTTGTGAGTATAAGTTATGTGAAGGCTTGGAGAGCTAGGAACATGCATTGGAGTTGGTTAGGGGATCAGCAAAGGAATCTTACATGAGACTCCCATCATATTGTGCTATGCTAGAAGCCAAAAATCCTGGTACGATTACGCATATTGAAATTGACAATAATAATCATTTTATGTATTTTTTTAATGTCACTTGGACCTTGCATCAGAGGATTTCACAATGTTATCAGGCCAGTAATAGCACTTGATGGAACATTTTTAAAAGGTAAATATCTTGGAACGTTGTTTGTTGCCACATGCAAGGACGGGAATAATCAAATATACCATCTAGCATTCGGAGATGGAGATTCAAAGAATGATGCATCATGGAATTGGTTTTTGACAAAATTACGGGGAGCTATTGGGCATATTGATGATTTAGTTTTCATTTTTGATAGATATGAAAGCATTCGTAAGGCTATCTCCACTATATTTCCTAATGCTCATCATGGGGCATGCATATTCCATATAAGCCAAAATCTTAAGAACCACTTTAAGCATGAAAGAGCGTATTCGCTTTATTTTAGAGCTGCTAAGGCATATCGTATTCCCGAATTTGATCGTCATATGGTGCAAATATATAATGTTGACCCTCATTTGGGTAATTATCTTCATGCAGCTGGATATGAAAAGTGGGCTCATGCGTACTTTAATGGGAAGCGGTACAACCTAATGACAACAAATATTGCTGAATGTCTCAATTCAATCATCAGAGATGCTCGTAAGTTGCCTATCACCAATTTTATGGAGTATTTAAGAATGAATATACTTCAAAATTGGTTTCATAAGCGTCAAACTGAGGCAACCAAAATGGATTCACATTTGACGGAATGGGCTGACAAGTTGGTGCGAGAAAATAACCAAAAAGGATTATCATTGCAGGTATTTTGAATTCATTATCTTCTTTTTTTCCGTTGTTGCAAGTATTTAATTTTAAAGAAATGAACATACTGGGAACTTGTCCTTGGTATCCTTGGCTACAAACAAGGCTACCAAATGAGAAAGAAAAGTTAGTAATATTAATGGGCATATCATTCAATTTTAAAAAAATTTATTGAATTCGTTTGTTCTTTTGTTTAAGGAACAAATTTGTTGAAAAGATTTCCAATAAAATGGTTGGGGAGTATTTATAATGTATTTCATTTTTCTTGAATATACAGGTTTTTCCTATTGAGGCATACTCATTTCATGTATACGATGGAAGTTGTGTTGAAGTTGTAAATTTAGAGGGGAAGTGTTGCACATGTCAAGAATTTGATCTTGACCAACTACCATGTGCACATGCTTGTGCTGCATGTAGGCATCGACAAATTTCGTTCTACCCAATGTGTTCAAAATATTATACTACAAACTCATTGGTAATTGCGTATGCATAACCTATATGGCCAGTTGGGGATCAAACAGATTAGGTGGTGCTTGATGATATACGAGATAGAATTGTGCTACCACCAATTACACAAAAAAGGCACGGTAGGCGTAAGGAAAAGAGAATCCCATCACGAGGAGAAGAACCATCAACACGTAAGTGTTCACGATGTGGTTCAACTGGCCATTATCGACAAACTTGCAAGAATCTAATTGCACTTCATCCTACCTCATAGACAAAGCGGTATTATATTTTTCTTTTTAACTTTATGAATTGTAATGAATGAATATTTAAGTTTTTTTTTATTTTTATTTTTTTATTTTGTAATGTAGATCGTTGTATTGAATTTTTTTGTTCTACAGACTACCTCTAAATGTGTGACAATTTTTGAAGAATTAAAGTTATGTGAAATATATATATATATATATATATATTTTGAGTGAGAGGAGGAAATTATACTTGTGCACTGATTCAATCATTTTCTGAATTTTTGGTTCTAAATACTTTTTTTTTTGTTGCCAAATACATACATTTCATTTGGAGACAAATGGGAGAGAAGAAGATGAGAAGAAGAAGAAGAAGACAAGAGATATGCAGACGGGAGAAGAAGAAAAGGGAAAGAGAGATGGAGAGAAGAAGAAAGAAAAAAAGAAAAGGAAAAGAGAGGGGGTGATGCTGGAGACAAATGGAAGAAGAAAGAAAAAAGAAATGAAAAAGAAATGGAGAGGTGATTGGAAAAGTGTTTGAAGGAAATATTCCAAAGTTTTATTTAATAAGGTTTTATTTGATAGGTTTATGTGGGTTTTAAATTTGAGGGCGTTTGTGTCTATTTAGATGAGTTTTTCTGCTATATTTGAAATTTTTTACAAAAACTGACATTTTTGAAATTAAGGGTCAAATTTTGGCTATTTTTTATAAATATCAGGTGTAATCTCAACCTTGCCAGAAATTTTCAAAATTAAAAACCCATGCACAATTCGAAAATCACAGCCCAGATTTAGAACGAAACATAAACGTTGATGTGGATACGCCTACTTGATTGACATAGAATTCTTGCAAGCTCAACTCACCATGACAGCTCTTCCTTCGTCTTGGAAGGGTGGGCTTTTCCTCTTCTTCGTGCGTGCCTTAGGTTTCTTTAGCCATCGCGTGTTTTTTTTTGGGGTCAGGAGTGTTAAAACGGGTTAAAACATTTAAAACAACCACAGCCGCAAGATCTCATTAAAAGAGATCCAACGACCCCCATCCCTCAAATAACACCATTTGAGGAATTCCTCAACTGAAGGGGACTGTATATATATATATATATATATATATATATACTCCGCTTCGGTAGTAGATAAAGCAATAACTGATTGTAGCACTACTCTCTAACTAATCGGTCCTCCACCACAAGTGAAAACTTACAACCCAATTAATTATTTGCGCAGCCGCGCAGCAAACATATAATATATAACAAGAATAGTAGAATAATAGTAATGGTTCTAGAAGTCAATAAACTACAACCCAATTAATTATTTTGAAAGGTGTCCATAGGCGCAGCCGCGCCGCAAACATATAAATACAATAGATATAGTAGAATAATAGTAACGGTTCCAGAAGTCAATAAACTACAACCCAATTAATTATTTGCGCGTTTTGATTCCAATTTCCAGCAAGTTTACACCGTCGATATTATTCCTGCAATTAACTCATTGACCAAATTGTCTATAAATACCACACAGCTCTCTCCAATATTCTCACAATCAATACACTTACTCATCAGTTCATATTTTATAGACCAAAACTGAGAAAAAGCAGAGCATTTTCTTTTGAAGCTTTACTTCCTTCCACTAAAAGAAATCAACATGGCTTGGAAAACAAATGATGCAGAATCTTTGCAATCCTCTGATGAGCTGAAACGCCAGAAGAAAATCAAAATGGCCATATATATTACTATTTTCGTTGTGTTTCAGATCATAGTTATCACCACGATGAGTCTCACTGTGATGAAAGTCAAGACCCCCAAGTTCAGGCTAGGCAGCAACATCGACGTCCAAAGCTTTGAATCTGTCCCAGCAACGCCTTCATTCGACATGAAATTCACAACCCAAATCAGGATCAAGAACTCCGCCAACTGGGGTTCCTACAAGTTCAATGCTGCCAATGTCACGTTTCAATACCAAGGTGCGACTGTGGGAGTAATTGATATCGCTAAGGGCAAGGTTGGATGGCTTTCGACCATAAAAAGAAATGTGGAGGTGAGTTTGAGTTCAAGTGCAATAACTGGTTCAAATCTTGGAAGTGAATTGAGCAGTGGGGTGTTGACGCTCAACAGCGTAGGAAGATTGAATGGAAAAGTTGCAATTATGTTCATAATGAAGAAGAAGAAGGCTACCAACATGAACTGCACCATAGCTTTTGATGTGGCAGCCAAGACTCTCAAATCTTTACAATGCAAATGAGCGGAGTAGCTAAGCATCAGGGATGCATCTTCAGCATTTGGATTGCGACTAGCTAGTTCTTGATTTGTGACTCTTTTTATTCTTTTTATTCTTTGTATCTGTGTGGCGATTGGATTTGTTATAGAGTTTTAATGGTATTTGTTTTCTTTACCACTCCCCTGTTCTTCTTTTGTTCTTATTTTTTCATTGAATATACAATGGTAATATTCCTTCTGTGAGGTGGATTCCGTTATTATGTATTATTTACTGATGACCTTTCCCGCTATTCGCGGATCTATCATATGAAACGAAAAATATGATGTTTTCACTCACTTCAAAACCTTTACCGCTGTGATTCACAATTTTTTTCACGCTTCCGTCAAATTTCTCCAAACTGATAATGGTACTGAATACACCAATAACGCCTTCATTGATTTTTGTACCACCCATGGCATCCAAAAACCATGGCATCCAACAACGTTTTTCTTGTCCCCATACGCCCCAACAAAATGGTCTTATTGAATGCAAACACAATCACATTGTTACCATGAACCGCACCCTCTTAGTCACCTCCAATGTCATTGTTTTGGGCTAAGGGTGCACTCATTGCCGCTCACTTAATCAATTTACTCCCCACCCATGTCTTCAATTGGGTTACTCCATATTCTTTACTCTTTTCTTGTCCTCCTATCTATTCTCATCTCCGTGTCTTCGGTTGTTCCTGTCTTCCCCATCTTGGTCACTATGTCCCCAACAAACTTCAAAGTTGGTCCTTAGAATCTATTTTCCTAGGCTATAGCCTTCACCACATGGGCTACCGATTGTTAATGTTTAGCTATTCAAGCTGGGTTTGTGTATTGGTTAGAGAGAAAAGAAGAAATTCTGAGTGCTTTTGTATAACTGCTCTGCTTGCTCACAGAGTATGTGAGCAGTGTTTTTGTATATATTTATCTGTAAGAAAATGAGCTCAAACGGCATGTACAAGACCGTTAGCTTTGAGCTGGATTCACACACTCATCAATGAATATCAGCCATCCATCATGCTAAACTAATGGATCACACAATTACAATAAAGGGCCTACACTTGATTTAATTACCAAAGTGAATACACAATTAACTACAAGGCATATTTATGCTTATACACTAACACTCCCCTTTAAGCTTTGAGCTGATACAACTCCAAGCTTGTCTCTAAGATAGTTGAATCTTTCCTTTGGTAAAGACTTGGTAAAAATGTCTGCCACTTGATCTTTAGTAGGCAATAAATCAACCGTGTTGTAGAGCATCCTTAATGAAATGATACCTCCTGTCAATGTGCTTTGTCCTTTGATGAAAAACTGGATTCTTTGTGATTGAGATTGCAAATGTGTTGTCACATTTCATAGGATTCTTTGTGATTGAGATTGCAAATGTGTTGTCACATTTCATAGGAGTAGCTTCTGTTTGTAGTTCACCAAAATCCTCCAAGACAAACCTAAGCCATATAGCTTGAGTTATAGCTTCTGAAGCACTAACATATTCTGCTTCTGCAGTTGAGAGAGCAACACAACTTTGCTTGACAGAAGCCCATGAAAAGACTCCACTTCCAAACGAGAATGCATAGCCAAATGTACTTTTGCTATAGAGCCTCCCTAATCACTATCACAGTATCCAACCAACACTGCCTTCTTGCCTTTCTCATACATCAAACCATAGTCTAATGTTCCTTTAACATACCTTAGCACCCTCTTAGCTGTTCCGTAGTGCTTATTAGAAGGACCATGCATATATCTAGCTAGCAAACTTGCAGCATACATCACATCTGGTCTTGTAGCAGTAAGGTACAGTAAGCTTCCTACAAGCTTTCTATAATTCTCTTCATCAGCAGCACCACTTCCATCATCCTTGATCAAATTTTTTGTGGTTACAAGAGGAGTAGACACAGGCTTACAGTCAGTTAAGCCAAATTTATTCAACAAAGAAGATGCATACTTTCTTTGGTGAATAAAGATGCTTGAATTTGTCTGAATCACCCCCATTCGTAGAAAGTGATGGAGAAGTACCAAGTCTGTCATTTCATACTTCTCTTTCATGTCTTTCTTGAACTCATTCAACATTCCTTGATTGCTTCCTGTGTACACTATATCATCCACATAGATGGATACAATTTGTATATCATTTTCTCCCATTGTCTTGGTATAAAGAGTGGCTTCACTCAAGCTTTTCTCAAACCCACACTCAGCAAAGTAACTGTCAATTTCTCCATACTAGGCTCTAGGTGCCTGTTTTAACCCATAAAGAGCCTTGTGCAGTCTATAAACTCTATCTTCTTTGCCTTGAGCCACAAATCCCTCAGGTTGCTCAACATACACTTCTTCTTGCAGCTTTCCATTCAAGAATGCTAACTTGACATCTAGTTGATATAACTTCCAACCCTTTCATGCAGCAAGAGCAATTAAGGTCCTGATTGTGTCCAATCTAGCAACTGGAGAAAAAGTCTCATTATAGTCAATTCCTTATTTCTGCACATATCCTTTAGCAACCAATCTTGCCTTGTTCTTTTGCACTGAACCATCTAGATTCAGTTTGGTCTTGAACACCCATTTCACTCCAATAACTTGTTTGTCACTTGGTCTGTTCACAAGTTCCATTTTTCTCAATCATAGATAGTTCATCCTCCATTGCTTTTATCCATGACTGATCCTGTGCAACTTCTTCATACTTCTCTGGCTCCACAATGCAGAGATTGCATTGTGCTAGAATATCATTTAGGCTTCTCCACTTAACTGGTGTATGATCATAAGGTTTAGTGATCTCAGCAGTTTCATGGATATTTCTCTCTTGTTCTTCAGCTTGAGAAGAGCTGCAAGGACTAGCACAATTGTTGTCTACTTCTGTTACTTCATGTAGACTGGAATCAATCTCATTTTTAGATTGATCTGAGTATTTGTCACTGTAGTAGGTATTTCTGTCTGTGCTTTCCAGTTCCAAGTCATACTTTCATCAAACACAACATCTCTTGACAAAATCAACTTCTTAGTGAAAGGATCAAATACCCTGTACCCCTTTTCACAAACAGCATATCCAACAAAAACCCCCTTGACACTCTTAGCATCCAGTTTCTACCTTGTTTCTGTTGGTACATGTACATAACAAAGTGATCCAAACACTTTGAGATGACCAATACCTGGTTTTCTACCACTATATGCTTTTCATGAAATGGAGTGATATTCTTCTCATGAAGCATTGCCTTGGCCATTTCCACCACAGTTCTATTTTTCGTCTCCACCACTCCATTTGGTTGTGGAGTATAGGTTGTGGTTAGTTGTCTTTGAATGCCACCTTCTTCACATAATTTGCTGAATTCACTAGATGTGAATTCACCTCCTCTATCACTTCTCACACACTTCACTTTGAAACCACTTTGCAGTTCTACCATGTTTTTAAACTTTCTAAAACAGGTTATTGCATCTAATTTATACCTTAGAAAGTACACCCAAGTCATCCTTGTGCAATCATCAATGAGTAGCATAAAATATATGTTTCCAGCTATAGATTCAGTATGCATTGGACCACATAGATCTATGTGTATCAGTTTCAGAGGATTTCTTGCTCTCCAAGCCTGCCTTTTAGGAAACCAATCCCTATGTTGCTTGCTCAATTGACATCCCTCACATACACCATTAATTTCTTCCAAATATGGAAGATCATGAACCATACTTTGGTCTCTCAACTGTTTGAGACTTCTGAGGTTTAAGTGGCCTAACCTCTTATGCCAGATCCAAGTGCATTCAGTCACACTAGCCCTTGACGCAATCTGATAATTTTGCATTAAAGATAAAGGATAACACCTATTATTTTTCATCTTGACCTTGATAACCAACTTGTCAAGTGAGGGACCATCAAAGATGCGGCACATGCCTCCACCAAATAGCAAATGATACCCATGTTCATTCATTTGACCAACATTCAACAAATTCTCCTTTAAGCCAGGTAGAAACATGACTTCTCTAATGTATTTCTTACTAGCACTAGTTTCAATCACCAGTGAGCCTATGCCTACAACATCTACCAAATTTCCAATAGGCATCTGCACCTTTCCACAAACATTTGTCCTTAGATCAACAAGCAATTATGCACTTCCAGTCATGTGGTTGCTACAGCCACTGTCAATATACCAGTTTCCATTTATTTTCACATTAGAAATGACACTATTGGCAAAGAATAGGTTTCTAGTCATCTCAGTTTGATTGACACAATTGGCCTTTTGAGTAGCCTTACCTATGGTGCATTCCCTAGCCAAATGTCCAAACCTATCACAGTTAAAACATTTAGGCTTCCCCTTATATCTATACTCACCAAAGTGAAATTTGGAGCACACCTTGCACTGTTGTTTAGCAGCATCTTGAGTTGTCTGTTGTGGGGAACCAAAACGGTGATTTGGTGCATAATTGTTCTGCTGAGGCTTTCGTTTCGATTCCCATGGTTTTCCCTTAGGATTCCAATTCTTTTGAGACTTAGAATGATTCTTGCTTTGTTGCCCTTTTGAATTCACAGAAAGATAGGCAAATGCCCTTTCAGTGGTATCCACATTATGTAGATCAAATCTTTGTTCTTGACTTTTCAAAATAGCTACAACTTCCTGCAATTCCACAGTCTCCAAACTATTGGTATTTTCAATAACCAGACAAATAGGGTCATATGGCTTGCTAAGGCTAATCAACACTTTCTGAACAAGTCTCTCATTAGTCAGAATCTCACCAAATGTTTCATTTGGTTTATCAAATCATTTAGCCTAGTCAAATAGCCAGATAAGGTTTCATCATCTCTCATCCTAGCATACTCAAATTCACGCCTCAGATTTTGTAATTTTACAGACCCCACCATGGTACTCTCCATACAACAAATCCCAAGCCATTTTTGCTGTTTCAGCATTAGCTATTCGTGGGACAATCTGATCTGAAACCGCAGTCTGAATAATGCCTGGGGCCTTAGCATCTCGCATATAGACAGCTGTTGTTTTCTCATCAACTTCCTCTTCTGAGCCTCTTTCAACCTTCTTCTTTGAGTCTGAGATCGAAATCCCCTTTTCGACCAGTTTCCATAACCCGTGCGACTTGAAGATCGTCGTCATTCTGATTCTCCAGAATTCGTAATTCTCGTCGGAGAAGATCGGAGTTCTTACTTCAGAACTTCCAGATCCAGCCATCTTTTAGCTCAGATGAAATGAATCACAAGTAGAAAACTGATTTTGCGAACGTTCTGCAACTTCGCCTGAGCTCAACCAAACTTGAGTAGAGCTCAATCTCTTACGCCCAGATCTTAATCGATCCAACCTGGCTCTGAAGCCATGCTAATGTTTAGATATTCAAGCTGGGTTTGTGTATTAGTTAGAGAGAAAAGAAGAAATTCTGAGTGCTTTTGTATAACTGCTTTGCTTGCTCACAGAGTATGTGAGCAGTGTTTTTGTATATATTTATCTGTAAGCAAAATGAGCTCATACGGCGTGTACAAGACCATTAGCTCTGAGCTGGATTCACACACTCATCAGTGAATCTCAGCCATCCATCATGCTAAACTAATGGATCACACAAATTACAATAAAGACCCTACACTTGGTTTAATTACCAAAGTGAATACACAATTAACTACAAGGCATATTTATGCTAAGCTTTAATCAGCTCACAACTTATACACTAACATCGATGCCTTGACCCAAACACTAGTCGGGTATATGTCTCTAGTAATGTTTTATTTAATGAATTGTGTTTTCCTTTTAAGACTTCACAGGTATCTACTCCAGCTGCCATAGTTGAATTTGACATATTTCCACAAGGTGGTTTCACTAGTTTGTCTGCTCTACCAACCGCACCTAATCCCAGAGCCCAACCTCCACCTTTTGCACTTGCTCAACCTCACTTCAGGCCCGAACTCCCCATCAAGCGCGCGGTCTCCCTTTCCAGGCTTGCATCTCACTCCAGAACCATGCCTCCTTTTAGGCCCAAGCATCATTTTCGGTCCCAGCCCCACACCATGCCCCAATCGTCTTCCAGTCTCTCACCTTTCTCCTGTCCAGCTAGCTACCTCCGTCTAGAGTGCAAACCCATCTTCATCAACACTTGCACATGCCCTTCTTCCACCCTTTGCGGCATCCCAACCATCTCATCCAATGACTACAAGACTTCGTGCTGGAATTCTCTAACCCAAAACTCAAACCGACGGAACTGTTCGGTATCCCCTTCCTTATGGCTTAATTTCTGTTGTTGAATCTCATAAACCTACTTGTTTCTCTCAGGCTAACTAGCATCTTGAATGGCGTTCCGCCATGACTGATGAAATCAATGCTCCTCTTAAAGATAAAACATGGTCTTTGGTTCCTCCCTCTCCCTTACACACTCTAGTTGGTTGTAAATGGGTATTCCGCATCGAGGGCCACTCTGATGGTCTTCTAGAGCGTTACAAGTCTCGTTTGGTGGCCAAGGGTTTTAACCAACAACCAGGTATTGACTAAACAGAAACCTTTAGTCCGGTTGTCAATCCCGCCATTATCCGTACTGTCCTCAGTCTGGCCGTCTCTCACAGGTGGTATCTTCGACAACTTGATGTTAAAAATGCATTTCTCTATGGTTTTCTTAATGAGACATCAAAGACCTTGGGCATCCAATTAAATCCAAAATTTGGAAGAAGAAGATAAAAACAACATTCTAAATTTGCAGAAGATTTACCAAATTAAAGTCCAAAGGTTGGAGTTTTCCCAAGTAGGTGAATTTTACTTTGCCATAGGGACGAGAGAATTAGAGGTAGAGGTTTTGACTTATAGTCTTCTAGAGAGGGTCAATAACTTTGAGGAACTTGGACTTTGTAATGAGACTTATACAAATCTTTGTTTGTGTGGAAAGTAAAGTCTTTAAAGCCCTCGGAGCTTTCTCTTGTTCTATACTTTGATTATCTTCAAAGGGTCAATATGCGCAGCAGAATATATAATAGTATAATAGGGTTTCAAGTCACGTTCTCCAACATCTAGAAGGGCACTAGAAGTCAATAAACTACAACCCAGTTATTCGCGCGTTTTTATTCCATTTTCCAGGAAGTTTATACTCTCGATATTATTCCTCCTCATTAACCAAGTTGTCTATATATACCACGCAGCACCCACCAACATTCTCACAATCAATACACTTTCTCATCACTTCATATTTTACAAAGCATTTTCATTTGAAGCTTTCCTTCTTTCCACTAAAAGAAATCAACATGGGTGATTCAGAATCTTTGCATTCCGCTGATGAGCTGAAACGCCAGAAGAAAATCAAAATGGCCATATATATTACTATTTTCGTGGTGTTTCAGATCATAGTTATCACCACAATGAGTCTCACTGTGATGAAAGTTAAGACCCCCAGGTTCAGGCTAGGCAACATCAACGTCCAGAGCTTCGAATCTGTCCCGGCAACGCCTTCATTCGACACGAAATTCACAACCCAAATCAAGATCAAGAACTCAGCCAACTGGGGTTCCTACAAGTTCAATGCTGCCAATGTCACATTTCAATACCAAGGAGCGACTGTGGGAGTAATTAATATCGCAAAGGGCAAGGCTGGATGGCTTTCGACCATAAAAAGAAATGTGGAGGTGACTTTGAGTTCAAGTGGATTAACTGGTTCAAATCTGGGCAGCGAATTGAGCAGTGGGGTGTTGACGCTCAACAGCGTAGGCAGATTGAATGGAAAAGTAGCAATTATGTTCATAATGAAGAAGAAGAAGGCTAGCAACATGAACTGCACCATAGCTTTTGATGTGGCAGCCAAGACTCTCAAATCTTTACAGTGCAAATGAGCGGAGTAGCTAAGCATCCAGGATGAATCTTCAGCTGGATTGCGACTAGCTAGTTCTTGATTTGTGACTCTTTCTTATTCTTTTTATTCTTTGTATCTGTGTGGCGATTGGATTTGTTATAGAGTTATAATGGTATCTGTTTTCTTTACCACTCCCTTGTTCTTCTTTTGTTCTTATTTTTTCACTGTATATAGAAATACCTGGCATGACTGCAATTATTTGTATACCGGTCCAATCTTTACAAATGACTTCTTTTTCTTTCACTCTTACTTGGCTTCAATTATCATATATACCTCTCTTTTTTTTCTCTTTTTTTTGGTCGAATCACACTTTCATTGAAAGGGAAAAGTAACAAACCAAGCCAACAAACAGCCAAACAAACAGCCCAAAACTAACAACAGCAACACAGTCAAAACACACCAGGAGCAAAAACTACACATTCCCGAGCACTCTTCAAAGTACGAAGAGAAACCACCCAAACTAGACCAACCCAAAGATAACGCAAAAAAAAACTCCAGCTAGGACAATAACAAACTAGGACGCCACCCCAGAAGACGAGCGTCAGATCCTAACTAGACAAAAACCTTACACCTGTGGAGGACATGGGAGGCCATCGCTTTGGAGCACGAACACTAGGGAGGGAGGATAGGGGTCGGCTGATCCAGACCTCATCGCACATCTTCCTCTTCGCTTCAATAGCTGCAGCATCTGCTGCTTTGTTTGCTTTCCTTGGGATCCACTTCCAGGAGCAAGAGCCAAAAATTCTGCACTTCTCCTTCAAGGCAGCAAGAATTGAGTAGATTGTCCATCTACCTTTCTGAATCCTCCCCTTAACGCTTTGAATCAGCTCCTTTGAATCAGACTCACACTCTAGATGAACATTGCCCAAATCCGAGGCTACCACCAGACCATATAAGGCTGCATGGGCTTCAGCTTCAATAGGAGAAGAGGGAAGTCTAACCTTTACAGCTCCCCTTATGAAGTTACCATGCTCATCTCGAATGACAGCCCCTAAACCAGCCATTAACGTCTTGTCCCAGGTCGCATCCACATTTAGCTTACGAGTAGCTTATGGGGGAGGGAGCCATCTCTGGATTGAATCAACCACCCGCAAAGTAGGCTCCTCTGCACCATGACCATTAAGATCAGCAACCTCCATTAACTCTAAAGCTAGAAATTTACCCCAGTCAATCGTTTGTTTTGGGCAAACATTTTTTCCTTAAAAAACAAAAGGGCATTTGCTTCTCCATATACTCCAGCATTTAAAGCTGATATGAACCAACACCCAATTAGATTTTGTCTTGTCCAACTTACTAGTCGCACGGAGCAGCCACTCGTCAAAGGTGGTGATGCTTTGCATATCAACTCAGTAACATAGCAAGCTTCCAAACCAGACACTGGGAGTCCAAATACAATATAGCAATAAGTGCTCAATTGTTTCCGGCTCATTTTCACAGACCGGGCACAAAGGGGATGATCCCAAATGCCTATGGAAGAGAAGAGCCTTTGTGGGGAGGCAACCTTTAACCGCACGCCACATAAAGTTTTTTATTTTTGGAATTAGCGGGGAACACCAAATTAGCTTCCACACCTTCTTAGAAACACAGTGAGACCCCGAGGCACGCATGTGCCTATGATTTGGATGGTAGCAAGGATGAATCGAGTAATACCCGATTTTGACAGAGTAGTAGCCAGACACACTGAAGGGCCAAACCAACTGATCAGATTCGCAACCTCCTCCCACAGGCATGGCTTTTATCCTTCGAGCATCCTGGTCCGAGATTCTACCATTGAGATTTGATAAGTCCCAACTCTTTGTGATGGGGTTAATAATTTCAGACACAAAAACATTCTCGTCCACTAACTCATCATTAATAGGATGGAGCAGACCGTCTGGCAACACTGGAAACCATTTATTAGTCCATAGCCTAACTTTGGTTCCATTTAAAATTTGCCATACCCCTAATGATCACTTCTCTGCCCTCTAGCATGCTTGCCCACGCCCAAGAAGCACGAGCCCCTTTGCTAGCTTTGAGGAAATTACAAGAAGGGAAGTATCTGCTCTTCATAATCAAAGCCCAAAAAGAATTTTGCTCTATAAGCAATCTCCAGCTTTGTTTAGCAAGTAAAGCAAGGTTGAAATCATGATGGTTCCGGAAACCCATGCCACCCTCTAGTTTGGGCATTCCTAGCTCCGCTCAGCTAATCTAGTGGATTTTTTCTTTTTCTTCATTCCCTCCCCACTAGAATTTAGCTAGGATCCCATCTAACTCTCTACAAAGACCTCCTGGGAAAAGGAACACATACATGGGGTAGGTGGGAATTGCTTGGGCCACAGCTTTAATGAGGATTTCACGGTCTGCCTGAGTGAGCAGTTTCTGCTTCCAACCCTCCACTTTGCCCATCATTGTTTCTTTCACATAGTTCATCGCCTCACGCTTTGATCTGCCCCACATCGTTGGAAGTCCCAAATACTTCCCTGGGTTTTCAATTATATTGACATGCATATGTTCCCTACAATATCCCTGAATTGCTTAGGAGTATTAAGGCTGAAATAAACACTTGATTTTTCAAAATTTACTACCTGCCCTGAGGCTTGACAATAAGAATTCAATATACCTGCAACAGCGTTGCAATTTCGTTAAGTAGCCTTTAGGAATAGAATAGAGTCATCTGCAAAGAATAAATGGGATAATGTAGGACCGTCACGACTGAATCTGATCCCTTGCACAATACCCCTCACTACTGCTTTGTTCAGCATAACTAATAGAACATCATTGACCAGGATGAAAATATATGGGGAGATTGGGTCTCCCTGTCTAATACCCCTGGACGGCTTGAAAGGGTTCCCGGACTTGCCATTTAAGAGCACTGTGAAGCGGACCGATGTGATACACCTCATAACCAGGGGCACCCACGTTTGATGAAACCCCATTTTTAGCAACAACTCTTTTAAAAAATCCCATTCAATTCTATCGTAGGCCTTATTCATGTCTAACTTGAGTCCCATCTCATAAACTTTTGTCTTTTTCTGGAGCTTCAAAGCATGAAAAGCCTCAGGAGCTAACAAAATATTGTCTTGTATTTGTCTTCCTGGGATGAAGGCACTCTACTGAGGGGATATGATCTCTGCAAGCATTGGCTTCAAGCGGTTAGCAAGAATCTTTGAGATGATCTTATATGTGAAGTTACATAAGGCTATAGGCCGGAATTGCGTGACAGCTTCTGGGTTTGGGACCTTGGGAATTAAAGCAATCTCTATCATGTTTAAGCAATGCACCAAAAATTCTCCTTGGAAAAAGGCTTTTGCCATCTTGCACAAATCCTCTCTGCTAATTTCCCAATAATTATTGTAGAATATTCCGGAAAAACCATCAAAACCCAGTGCCTTGCTTGCTCCCAATTGGAAAGCAGCCTCCTTAATCTCCTCATCTAACACTAGACTGCACATGCTATTATTCATTTGTTTAGTAATCACTGGTGTTATAAAAGCAAGAATGTCCCCCAAAACTCTTCTTCCCCAGCAAAAAAAAGGTCTTTGAAATAGTCTTCAAAAGCCTTTCGAACCTGACTATCATTTTCCCCCCATACCCCATCCACACCTTTAATCTTGCTCACTCTGTTTCTCCTTCTTCGTTGGAGAGTACTATGGTGAAAGAACACAGTATTGGAATCTCCTTCCTTCGACCATTGGATCCTCAATCTCTGTTTCCAAAAACTCTCTTCTTGCCCCCATGTCTCATTTAGCTCAATTTTTATCTGCTCAATTCTTCTCTCATTTTCTTCCTATTCATGTTGTAACAACTGGAGCTCAGCAGTTAACTTTTCAGTTTTCAACCTGGCATTTGAATATTTTCCTCTGCTTCACTTTCTTAGCTCGTATATGCACCTTCTTTGCTTTTTACTCCAGCATGTCACTATACACCTCCAATTATTTGTGTTCCAGATCCTGTGAATCACCTTTCCACATTTTGGGTCAAAAACCCAGTAAGCTTCGAATTTGAATGGACGAGAAACCTTTTCCTGTCTTCCTTCAGTTAAAATGAGAATGGGACAATGGTCAAAACCCACATCTAGGAAATGAATTGCAACAGAGCATGGCCAAACCTCCTGCCAACTAGAGTTTATCAGCCCTCTATCAAGGTGCTCTTGGATCAACACCCCTTCAGCTCTGCGCCCTTTCCAAGTATACGCATGCCCTTGGAACCCCATGTCCATTAACTGCTTTTGATTCATAAAATCCTGGAGATATCTTCTACTTTTGTGATTAAAGGTCCTGCCCCTTTTTTTTTCTTTTCAAATTCCCAGATAATTTCATTAAAATCCCCAGTGCACATCCACGGGATCACTCTAGGGCGAAGACAATTACCAATCCAACTCTATAAATTAGTTTTTTCTTCTCTATGGGGAGTGCCGTAAATCCAGGAAATGCGCCAACTTCTTGCCCTACCTTTCTCCTTTATCTCAGTGTCAATTAAATTTTTTGAAAATTCCAGAATCTAAACCTCCATGCTATTATCCCACCAAAGCCCTAAACCTCCAGCCTGTCCATGCGGATCCGCACAAAAACTTTTAGAAAAACCCATGTCTTGACTGCACTTTTTCAGCCTATTGTGTTTCACTTTTGTTTCCATGAGAAACACAATAGCAGGTCAGTTTCTTTTTATGATCTTCCTTAGAGATCGAATTGCCAGGTCCGACCCAAGTCCTTGACAATTCCAAGACAAATAACTCATGTCGTTCTTGCGGCTGTTTCTGGCCAGTTGCCACCGGCAATCCTTGATTCATTATTTTCATTCTCCCGTTGCAGAGACCTTCCCTCTCCAATTTCAACAGCCACCCCAACTTGAATGTCAATTAGGCCATCCTCAGAGAAATCATCAATAGAGAGCCTCCGTGATTCCACTGCACTCTTTGGTTTTTTTGGACTAGAGAGGTTCCTATGCAATCTGTGTTTCCCCTCATGAATTTTTCTTGACACTTGCCTCACACTTTGAGGCCTTGCCCTTTTAAGCTCATTTTTATTCTTCTGCCATCCTTGATTAGCATCTCTTTTAAGGCCCATCCTTACAAAGGCCTCATCAGCTTCTCTATGGTGGGTCAGATACGCAGAGGTAGGAATAGTGTCAAATGGGCTATTAAAAACTGGCTCAATGGATATCTCATTTGTGAGACCCATATTCTCCTCGTTCTACCTTCTCTCTAAAAGTATAGTTGTGGCCCAATCAGTGATGACAGGACCCGCCCCGGAATTTCTCCCCAAACCGGGGCGGACCCCGTATTGTTGCCGACATCTCACCGATGCCGGGCCCACTTACTAAAAACCTAAGACATCCTACCAAAATTTTGGCAGAGTCTCCCCTGTAAGATGCTCAAACCCAACAACATTCAACCTGCATAATTTACATAATATAAATCCCAACTGCCAGCATGCTTTCAACATACAACAATCCAAAGTAAAGTGGCCTCCGGCCTCCAGTAACAACCTAACATGGGCGATAACAGAGCATCTAACAGAATTTGTTTACAACAACAGTAGAGTAGAAGGAATTTACACGAGTCCTATCTACAGATGAAATGTTTGGAGCTCGCAAACTGCTCGAACGCTTCCAAAAGCCACTACTGTCTGGGGGGCGCAAAACAGAAATATGTGAGTGGACAAAAATAAAGTTTGCATTTAAAACAACATAGTAACCCCACCATGTAAAAATAATGCTCAAGCATGCAGTCTCCACATCCATAAATCAAATACTCAAACATAAAATCTCAAAGTCCAATAACTCTCAAAAATCTCAAACCACAACTCCATTCCCACAAGTATGCAACTCTCACCAACCCATACATATGTATACCTATATAAGTATATATTTATATATATATATATCTATAATATAATGTATACTTCTCTCCATACTAATGTACCGGGGAAGACAATCCAACCGGGGGATTGTTGGCTGGTACGCAGGATTTTCGAACCAGAACCCGCGTCCAGGGATGAGTAGTCCAACCGGGGGACGGAACTCCATAGCTCACACGCCGGCACTGCCAACGCCACGTGTAGCTCACAAATCTCATATCAAGTCCTACGCGCGCAGACGGTATCATCCCCACACCGGCACTGCCAACGCCATGTGTGATGATACTAAGCAATATACATACTCTTCCCATACACCGGCACTGCCAACGCCATGTATGGGACCAGCAATCTCATGACCTTCCCACCACACCGGCACTGCCAACGCCATGTGTGGGAAGCCTAGTAACCAGGGAATGGTACTCACCTAACATACTCATACATCTCACAACCATCCCTCAAACTCATATCTTTCCACAATCTCATAACAACAACTCCTCATACTCCATACATAGCACAATCTCACCACATCAACTCCTCATACTCTATATATAGGCAATATAGATAGACATCCCAAAATCCATATAAACATATCCATAATACTCAAACATAGCCATACTCAAAATATATTGCCAATACGTATATGAATATCCAAAGTCATCAACCAAATACTTAATAAATCACATTTCCATTTAAAACATATGCACAAATCTTTTATCAATAAAACCATGCAAATGCTTGAAAACAAAGTCCACTCACAGGTAATCCCACGCTGCCCGGCCCCGAGAGGGTCCTGCCTGCTGCGAACGATCGACCGAAGTACCTATTTCGAGATACGAACTCTTGATTAATATAATACCCTTCAAAACGGGAATTTCACAAAAGAGAATACTTAAATCCCCAAGATCCCGGTGCGTGTACGTCCAATAGGATATCCTAAAGTCCGGTTACAGGTTTGGGAATCGCTTCCCATTCTACGGTTATCGTTAATCCCACAAACTTCGAATTATTGAATCGGAACATCCGGGGCTCCGATTCACGATCCGCGAATTCCTATAGGTTTCTAAGAGTACCTAAATCAACATACTTCAATTTGGAAACGATCCAACGGTTAGAACTTATCGAACCCGAATAACGCACAATATGCGAAATCCGTTCGATAGTCAAACGACATCCAAATTGAGATCCGTAAAATCCTACGCACTCGTGACAACCTAAGGATCTCGTCAGGATGAAAAACAACTTCACCAGCCTTGCCCACGCGCCGCCACACGCGCCGGCAGCGCGTGGGTTTGTAGAGGAATTTCCGGCGACGGAAAATCTCCACACCAACGCTCACCCTTCCTACCCTAGCTTCTTCTCAAGGTCAGGATCACTTTATTCAACTACCACGAGGTCCAATTCGCACGGGAACTGGCCGGAATTTCAAATTGAAAACCGGCCAAAACCTAGGTTTCCAATTCGGTTCCAAAACTCAAAATCGATCCAAACCTACCCCACAATCAGCTAGAGCACGTAAAAAGAAGAAGAAAACTCACCAACTTTACTTGAAACAGACGGCGGAGGCGGCGGCGCAACGATCGGAAACTTCCGGTTTGAACCAGTCGATATCGTCGACGATTCTCCGGCTTTCCGGCAAGGAAATTAGGTGGGTCTTGGTCGGGATTTCACGACGAGTCGAACGGGACTGATCTCGAGGGCTGAGGTGGCCGGACGTGACGGCGGTGAGGGTTTTCCCGATTCGGTGAACAGTGAAACACGGGGGAGGGGGAAATCGCAGAGGGAGAAGACGCGGGAGAGAGAGAGAGAGAGAAAGTGAGGGGTAAATGTGAAAAATCTGATTTTACCCCAAACTTACTTTGAAATAATTACGGTTCCGCCATCGAGCTTATTTTGATCGCCAAAACTTCATTACAACTCCGATTCAAGCCTACCGCCTGTCTACGGTTTCGTCTCAGTACCACCTACACAACCAAACCACTCGTGGTCCCGAACTCCTTCTGGATAAGAAAATGACCAAAATTACCCTTAACCCAAGAGTAAATTAATAATTCTCTTAATTTAATTAAAATATGAATAAATTTGGAGTCGGGGTGTTACAAGTGACATAATGCTTTCCAAAGGCAATCTGAGTCTTGGCCCATTTTAGGGGTTCCTCAAATGAAATAGGTCCTACCTTCCCCATGGGCCATGGCCAATGGCTTGGGCAATTCTCCTCCACTAAAATAACCCGATCATGTCTTGCCCTTACCTCTGACCTGACACCCTCTAAGTTACAGTTGAAAATTTGCAATTCAGTATTTAAATTTGAGGAATAAGCAGCTTCTTTACCTTTTGCTTATGACATACGGCTTCTATGACTTGAGTTGGCTACGAAAGGATTAGTTGTGTCAGTAGTATGGCAAGGATGCAACTCCTCTTATTGCGTCAGCTCATTTTCCAAAGCTTCTTGATTTGTACTGGTTGGTGGTTGTGTGACATAGGGCATACCACTGCTTCCATCTCCGGATTGGCTTACACACGCCACCAGAACACCTGGGTTAACCACTCCTATTTCTCTTGCTTTCCTCTGAACTCCTTTCGGAGCTTGTGTGTTGATTGGAGCTCTACTATCATGATTTCTCTGGTTTTCATCCATTCACCATAGGCTGTAGGTTCAGAGTTGTCCAATTGGCTATTACTGGAGCTGCAATTCCTCAGAAGATGACCAAGCTTACCACAGTTTAAACAGAAATTTGATAGTCGCTCAAATTTGAATTCCACCCATGTACCCTGTCCTTCAGCTCGAGGCAGCCAGAATCGTTAAGGGAGGGGATTGTTGGAATCAATCATAACCCTCATGTGCAAGAAGCCTCTTGAACCTTTCTCCCAAGGGTTTTCAACTTCTTTAACCTTTCCCAGCTTTTCACCAATCTCTAGAGCATTCCTTGCAGTGAGTAAATTCAAAGGGATCCCATGGGCTTGGATCCAATAAGCCACCTTGTGGAGTGGCAGTTCCTCTATGGCCATGTTGCTTGGCCAACGTTGAACATTGAAACAGAAACCTATTACAAACCAGGGCCCTTCGTTTATAATCTGATCAGCCATATCTTCATCTGGGAAAGTAAAATTCTAATAACAGCTTGGTTTATGAGTGGGCTCCAGGGACAAAGAAAGTGTTCGTTGCCTTGATGGGAGAAGTGACCCACCGTTGATAACAGATGACTAGAAAAACTCCTTATAAAGTCAGCTTTAGAGAGCCAAGCCTCCCCATTACTCCTCTTGAAACCGGTGGTTGGACTACATTAACTCATCCCACCGACTCTTCCACCCCAAATCTACAATGTTAGAGATCTGCCTTCCAAGATTGGATTTCTTCCCATACAAGTTGATCTCCTTAATAACTCTAGCCCTTTTCTTATTTGACGATCTTGCTCGCATTCCCCACACCAGATTTTGATTTGAAATTTTTTCTCACACTGGGGTGAGGGTTCTCCCATTTTAGAGAGAGTGAAGAATATATACCTCTCATTTGCAACTTTTTTTTTGGCAATCAAAGGACTTCTTTTGATAGAATTTTGGATGTCACTTCCGTCAACCAAATTGATAGAATTTTGGATGTTCTACAGTTGTAATCTACAGTGGGATGATCGGCAAAATCAAAATTATAAGAACCTTGATGAACCTTTAGCAAAATTACTAGGACGAAAAGTGAAACTTAGCCTAATTTTGTGTGGCAGATTCGGTTTTCCCTATGTTGATTCTAGTAATTTCCTATCCATCGTTTAGTACATGGCCCAAAATTTTGTTGATGTTCAAGAAAAACCCAGTACCCAATTAAGCAAGGAAAAATCTGAGACATAAAAGTGTTGGAGCATGATTTCTTGTAATGCTTCTACACGTTCTTCACTAAAGACACTCAAAAATAATTAGGGTTTAAATTGATATGTTTATTCTTCTCTCAAGGAGGAATATATATACTACATACAGAGTAGGTACAAATAGGAAATATGTACAAAATCTCCTAATTCTACTCAAATTAGATAATTACAATAAAATATAAATTATATTCCTAATAGGAACAAATTCTATTCCTAATAGGAACGTTGACTCACACCAACACTCCCCCTCAAGTTGGTGCATAGATATCGGTAATGGCCAACTTGTCAAGTGAGTCTTCAAGTCGGCGCTTTGACACGGCATGGGTAAGCATATCTGCAAGCTGCTCTGAAGAAGGCACAAAAGGTATAGAAATTAACTTATGCTCCGGCTTCTCCTTAATGAAATGCTGATAAACTTTTACATGCTTAGTTCGATCATGTTGCATTGGATTGTTAGCAATTTCAAATGCAGACTTATTATCACAGTAGAGCTTTGTAGCAGCATCCGGTCTAAACCCAATTTCAGCAAGTAACCACCTCAACCACAGTATTTCACAAACCCCTTGGGCAATCTCTCTATACTCAGACTTTGCAGAGGACCGAGACACAATGTTTTGCTTCTTGCTACGCCACGTAACTAGGTTACCACCAAAAAAATGTGAAGTAACCTGATGTAGAATGTCTATTTGTAATATTCCCTGCATAATCCGCGTCAGTGTAGCCTTCTAAATCCAAGTTGTCATTTTTCTTAAATAATAAACCTTTCCCAAGAGCAGACTTTAAGTAACTCAGAATATGCATCACAACAGCCATATGATCCTCACTAGGGGAATGCATAAATTGGCTAGCAAAGCTTACCGCATAGGCAATATCAGGGCGTGTCAATGATAAATAAATCAATCTCCCAACCAACATTTCGTATCTTTCTTTGTTAGTTGGGACCTGAACCACATAAACACCAAGTTTATAATTCTCAACAATAGGTGTATCAGCTGGTTTACAGTCAAGCATTCCAGTATCTGCTAACAAGTCCATGACATACTTCCTTTGTGAAAGAAATAAGCCATGTTTAGATCGAGTGACTTCCACCCACAGAAAATATTTCAGACTGCCCAAATCTTTCATCTCAAATTCATATGCTAAATGCTTTTGGAGTTCCTCAATTTCTGCAATATCATCACCAGTCACAATCATATTATCAACATAAATAATCAACAAAGTCATCTTACCAGCCCTATGTTTAATGAATAGAGTATGATCAGTATTGGCCTGTTGGTAACCAAACTTCTTCATAGCTATAGTAAATATGCCAAACCATGCCCGAGGAGACTGCTTTAACCCGTACAATGCCTTTTTTTAATTTGCACACGTTCCCCGTGTTACCGTTAACGCTATACCCTGGTGGAAGACTCATGTACACTTCTTCTTCTAGTTCACCATGTAAGAATGCATTTTTTACATCAAATTGCCTTAAGGTCCAATACAAGTTTACTGCTAAGGACAACAAAACTCTGACAGTATTCATCTTAGCCACTAGTGCAAAAGTATCATGATAATCAACTCCATATGTCTGAGTGAACCTTTTAGCTACTAATCTTGCCTTGTACCTCTCCACAGTACCATCTGCATTATATTTAACTATAAACACCCATCTACATCCTACAGGCTTCATTCCCTTTGGTAGATAAACAATGTTCCATGTATTATTTTTCTACAGCGCCTCCATTTCAATTTCATGGCTTCAGCCCACTCTGGATCATTAAATGTCTCCTCAACACGGGTTGGAATTTTAATACTATCCATTCTGGCCACAAAAGCTTTGCACTCATGAGATAACCTGTAATCAGACACATAATGGGCAATAGCATATCTTGCTTTGCCTTCTGGTGAGTAACAATCAGGTGGAACCCCACAGTTTCGTCTAGGGGGTAAAACATAAGAATTATCGGCAGTATGAATAGAAGCACTTACCTTAGGATTATCCAAGGGAGCTTGATCGGGTACTATTAGAGAAGCTTCATGGGGGCAATCGGTTCAGTGACAACAGTGACATCAGTTAAAATAGCAGGTTCAAAGGGTGTAGCAGGTTCAGCTAGTGTAGCAGGTTCGGCCGGTGTATCAGGTTCAGCCGGTTCAGCAGGTTCAGTCGGTTCTTCCCTTTTCATCAAACTATCCAATACTACTCCCTCTTGTAAATCTAGCCAGTTATGTCCTTCACTACTAGTCTCCCCATGAAGGACATGCTCGGGTGTATCAGAGAAGAACATTTCATCCTCAATAAAGGTAACATCCATAGAGACATAGAGACGTCGGGTTGCAGGATGATAGCATCGGTAGCCTTTCTGATGAGGAGAGAAACCCAAAAAGACGCAGCGGAGAGCATAGGGGTCCGCTTACTCCTCTAATTCTGATGGCGGTGAACATAGAAGACACAGCCAAACACCTTTGGAGACAAAGTCAACATAGAATAGGCAGAGAGATGATGGGTCAGTACCTGCATAGGAGTTTGGAAATCCAAAACTCGTAAAGGTAGACGATTCAAGAGATAGACTACATTAGTAACAAAATCCATCCAAAACCGCTTTGGAATTGACACACCAAGCAATAGAGCACCGGCATCAGTAAGGATCTGCCCATTTTTACTTTCAGCAACCCCATTCTGTTGTGGTGTTTGAGGGCAAGTAGTCTCATGAAGTACACCCTTAGTGTGAAAAAAAATGGGATAACGCCGAATTAACAAATTCTCCACCATTATCATATTGAAAAACCTTGATATGAAGCATAAATTGAGTCTGAATCATCTGATAGAAACGCTGAAAAATTTCAACCACATCACTTTTAATTTTCATCCCATATAACCACATCATACGAGTGCAATCATCTACAAATAACACAAACTAGTGAACTCACAAGGCTGTGGAAACAGGAGAAGGTCCCCAAACATCAAAATGAACTAAATCAAATGGCATAAGCTGTTTATTACAACTTGGAAGGTAGGATACTCGATGACTCTTAACTAAAATACAAGTCTGACATTGGAAAACAGACTCGTTGACACCACTAAATATTGTAGGAAACAAATGTCGTAAATATCCAAAGGAGGTATGACCAAATCAGTAATGTAGCAACCAAATCCGGCGATGCTGAGAAGTTTCGGCGCTACCAGCACGAAGAACCCGACTAGTTGCCACATCATCCACATAATAAAGGCCCCCATTTTTAGTACCACGACCAAAGATCTCCCGAGTCTAAATATCTTGTTGTAAGACAAAAGACGGATACATAAGTACAATGTAGTTTAACTGCTCAGTAACTTGCAACACAGATAATAAATTACTAGACAAAGATGAAACTAGTAACACTTTGTCCAATGGTAAAGTAGATGTCAAGAGTATAGAACCAGCCCCCATGACAGGAGTAGCAACATTATTAGCAGTCAGAACATGATCATGATAAGGCGGAAGAGTAGTAGAGAATAAAGCATAATTATACATCATATGGTTAGTAGCTCCTGAATCAATAATCCAACCTGTATCGTGGGTATCATATGCATGGAAAGCCTTACCAAAGTTACCTGGAGGCTGAGGTGTTGGAGTGCTTGAGACTACAGTCAAAGTCGGAGGAGGAGTAGCAATAAAAGGGCCATGCTCAGTGGTGATGTCAGCCACAGAAGTGGGGGCAACAACCACATGAGCTTTGTTGTGGAGGTTTTCCCTTTTTAAACGACTCCGCTCCCTCTCCCAATATGGTACCCCATGCAATGCTCAACATGTGTTGATTGTATGTCTCTTTTCACCACAGTGATCACACTTTAGTTTGTTTTTTTTTCTGCAGAAGTCAGGCGACGAGGCGAAACAATAGAAGAGCCAGACTCTAGAGGCCGAGAAACCAAAGTAGTGTTTTTGGAAGCAAACGCAACAGTAGGTTCCCCAATCTTGGTGCCGAATCCAAGCATAGTAATCTGGTGTTGAGCCTCTCGACAAACCATAAAAAATACATTTTCAATACTTGAAACTTTATCACTCCATAGAATATCACTGCGGACCTTGTCATAACTATCGTCAAGGCCAACCAAAAAATCATACACATGATCTGCCATAATAGCATCCTGAAAAGTCTTCATATCATCAACACACTTCATCTAAAACGAACGTCTCTTGTCCAATTCAAGCCAGATTGCCTTAAGTTCGACAAAATAGGTAGAGACAGGACGACCCTCTTGCTTGAGCGGGTAACCTAGCACAGCAGTTCATAGAGTTAGGATATGTTAGATCCATCATAAAACATCTGATTAATAGCATCCCAAATTTCCTTAGCAGTAGGTAGAGTATGAAACATATTCAACAAACTGGGTTCCATAGTTCGCAACATCCAAGTTTTCATAACAGCATCAGCAATTTTCCACTTCCTAAATTTCGGGTCTTTGGAATCAGGGACATCAGTGTCGCCAGTCAGGTAACCCAATTTGCCTTATGTAGTAGTATGGAGTTCGATCATCGATGCCCATACCTCATAGTTGGATCCATTCAATTTGAATCCCATAGGTAGGTTGGTGGACGATTCGGTATGAATCGTAACAATAGGAGTAGAAGAAGAAGATTCAGTGATATCTGACATGGTGATAGATGGCAGCGGCAGCAAAAGATTAGGTGGTGACGACGATAGTAACAGATATAAGACTGCATAGGCTTAGGTTTATAGGCTAGGTGCAGCGGAAATAAGTATTTTTAGTATTAGGGTTTTGATGTTTTAGAGACGAATTGGAACCTGCTTTGATACCAACTCAAAAATAATTAGGGTTTAAATTAATATGTTTATTCTTCTCTTAAGGAGGAATATATATATATATATATATATATATATATTACATACAGAGTGGGTACAAATAGGAAATATGTACAAAATCTCCTAATTCTACTCAAATTAGATAATTACAATAAAATATAAATTCTATTCCTAATAGGAACAAATTCTATTCCTAATAGGAACGTTGACTCACGCCAACAAAGACCACACATTCCCAAAGGTTTGATGAAAAGGAACTTAGATGAATAGATGAACATTTGGCAGCGGAAATGATGGATAGTAGGGTTGATGCTAAACAATCTGTTGCAGTTGGCTTGACCAAAAAGGTTGGGTCGGATTCTATGGAAATCCAATTTGGATAAGGAATAGCGCGCAGGATTTCCTACTAGATTTAAGAAACAGTTTCCCTTATCAATATTGGTTTAGGAATTAGGATTAGGAAATAAGATATCTTTACTTATTCCAACAGGTTTTAAGAATCCTATTTTAACAAGACTTGTAACCCAAGTTCTATAAGCTATAAATAGAAGTTTTTGGGCTAGGTTAATTCATAAGACAAGAGAGAGTTTACAAGGGCATCAAATGGTTTGAGCAAGGTTGTGAGAGAAATAGAGAGCTAGGTTTTAAAGAAAAGAGAGCTAAGGTTTTATTTTTTATTTTTTTGGGTAAACCAAAGGGGGCGACAAGAAGGCTAAAGAGACGAAGTCGATGCAACCACATACGGCTAGCATGAAGATCGAGTTGAAGTTGTTCGCCAGCAAGGAGAACTTCATGCTATGGAAGGAAGGATGAAGTACGCCCTAGCCCAACTGGGTCTTAATTTTGTCTTGGCACGTAAGGAGAAAATGTCGAAAATCATGACAGCGGAGGAGTGGAACAACCTCGATGAGTGGGGACCATTGAGAACTTCATCTTAGATGAGGTGTTGTTCAACGTGATGGAAGACACCGCAAAGCAAACATTGGAAAAGCACGAACAAATGTTTGCAGGAAAATCACTATCAAACAAACTTTTCTTCATGGAGGAGCTTCTAAATCTTTGAATAGAGGAGCGCGCATCTTAGCACATTCAATAGGTGTATTGTGGACTTGCAGATGATGAAAGTTATATATGATACAGAGGGTAAGGCTCTTATGTTGTTGACATCCTTACCTCTATCATATAGGCACTTTCGAACAACACTTATGTTTAGCAAGAGCATTCTCAAGATTGAGGAGGTGGTACAAGACATTCTCACCCACCACCGAATGTCTAAACATAGTGGATAGGGCTCTCTAGGCGAAGGTTTAGTTGCAAAGACTAAAGAAAGGGGTCGTTCAAACAAGCGTGATGACAAGAAAGACAATGGTAGGAATTCTAAATCCAAGGACAATGATTGTTGCTTCGAGTGTGAATCTAAGAATCTTTGGAAAAATAATTGTCTGGAATGGAAAGAGAAGCGTAACAAGTTGAAGAATGCCGAAGTATGTAATTAAAAGATTTGGCTAAACAATCCAATTTTTAAATCTTTATTATATTTTCCACAATGGAATCAAAACATTGTAATTAAAAAAATATGATGTACTTTGTACTAAACAATTTGATACTTCCAAGTTCATTGGTTCTTTGTTCTTATTATTCTTATATTTGATTAGATTCTGTAGTTTTATATTACACAATCTAAGTGGAACTCGAAGTTCTTCAATTTTCATGTCTATTTTATTGTGATCTTTGATTTATCATTTAGTTTTGAACCTAGTGTTTTTAAAATAAAAAAATCAATACTTTTATATGATCTTTTTGAACCCAACGTTCAAGATCAAATTCAATAACTAGAAGTTCTATACTTTGAAACCTGAAGTTTGAGAATTTATTGTATTAGAAATTTGCAAATATTTTTAGACTAGATATTGTAGTTCTATAAATTAAATTTATCTTAGATATGACATTTTATATATTTAATTTATTTATAACTTTATGCTTTATGTTTAGATGCTTATCTTTTTCTTTTTCTTTTTTAATGAGAACTCGCAGTTGTTATTATTTTAAGTTTTAAGTCTACTTTATTTTCTTTATGAATTATTTATTGATTATCTTATGTGGACTAGAAGTTCCATGTTAAACAATTAGTTAAAACTAGAAGTTTCATGATACATATTTGAAATACAAAATTTAATTTAAAATGTTTGCATTGACATACTTAATTCAAAACCTGAGTACTGGTCCTTAGCCCGTGCATGTGCCAAAACCACATGGTTATCATACCTTTTGGTTAAACTTGGTGTCCAACTCCAATTCCAAGTCCATCTTTACTGTGACAATATCTGCGCAACTTACTTGGCGACCAATCCTGTTTTTCACGCACGCACCAGACATATCGAGCTCGATTATCACTTCGTCTGTGAAAAGGTGGCCTTGGGCAGCCACTGGGTTTGCCACATTCCATCCATTGATCAAGTGGCTGACCTTCTCACCAAATCCCTTACCAAACCGCACCACCACAATGTTCTCCCGTCCAAAGGGTTTTATAAGATTAAAAGGGTCCGTTAAGCGCCTCACGGCTATGTCATAATAGATCCGAACACTAAAAGGTGTTAGTGAAGCAATCATACCCGGTCAACTCTCCTTGAATCTCTCTAGAAAATATCCACCTTCATTGCCTTAGCTGTGATTGATTGTAATTCCTAATTACTTGTAATTGACTGTAATCTACGATTCTTTCCTTTTGTAACCCACACGGATTGTATATAATTTGTATCAATGATATTGAAATACTCACTGGGAAGTTTTTCCTTACATTATGTTTAGATGCATCTCTCTTTCTTTCTTTTTTTTCTTTTTTTTTAAAAAAAAAATGAGAATCGCAGTTGTTATTATTTTAAGTTTAAGTCTAATTTATTTTCTTTATGAATTATTTATTGATTATGTTATGTGGATCAAAAGTTCCATGTTAAGCAATTAGTTAAAATTAGAAGTTTCATGATACATATTTGAAATACAAAATTTAATTTAAAATGTTTGCTTTGACATACTTAATTCAAAACCTGAATGATGGGGAGATGGTATCTCAAACACGAACCTCCAACGAAACTACACCAACACTAGAAATATAGAACGAGCACTCACAATTTGCGGCTAAATTTAGCTGCGTTTTCTGAATAAATTCACTAATTCAATCTGACCAAATGGTCTACAAGAGAAAGGTTTAAATAACAACTAAATCCTAGGAATATAAGGAATTATAATTCTAGTACAATAAGGAAACCCAAAACAGAAGGAAAACATAAAAGGAAGTCAATCAGCAGTAGGAAAGGTCTCCTAATTTATTTTGGGATATAATCTTTAAGGTAATTAGGAGGTTTAACTGATCTCTTGGGCTTCCCTAGTTTGGCTTGGGATGCTCCTGCATCACTGAAGTTTTGATTACACCCTTTAATCAAAACTTGAAGTTTTGGATACGTAATTTGTAATCCAAATAAGAAGTTATGGATTATGTAATTTTAAGTCCACGAAGAAACTAAAACTCTCTTTTTCATAGATCCTAAAAGTGGATATTTATTTTAATGTATTTACCTTATATATACAATTAAGAACGAAAATAGGGATCCAGGTAGAATTGTAATGTGGAAGCTCATAAAGGGAAAATAATTCGTCCTTTCATGTTTGAAGTGCTTCGGTAGTAGTAATATGATAAATATGATGATGTGTTTCAATTGTTGGTAAATAAAAGATATACATTATGTCCGAATGCTAGCTTGGACTTTATCAGTTTCACATTTTGAAAGGTGTCCATGGGCGCAGCAAACATATAATACACTAAATTTACTTAAATAGTATGATAGGTTTCAAGTCTGGTTCTCAAATAATAGTAGAATAATAGTAAGGGTTCTAGAAGTCAAAAAACTACAACCCAATCATTCGCGCGTTTTGATTCGAATTTCCAGGAAATTTACACCGTCGATGTTATTCCTGCAGTCAACCCATTAACCAAATTGTCTATAAATACCACACAGCCCTCACCAACATTCTCATCACTTCATATTTTACAGAGCGAAACAGATAAAAAGCAGAGCATTTTCTTTTGAAGCTTTACTTCCTTCCACTAAAAGAAATCAACATGGGTGATGCAGAATCTTTGCATTCCGCTGATGAGCTGAAACGCCAGAAGAAAATCAAAATGGCCATATATATTGGTATTTTCGTTGTGTTTCAGATCATAGTTATCACCACAATGAGTCTTACTGTCATGAAAGTCAAGACCCCCAGGTTCAGGCTAGGCAACATCAACGTCCAGAGCTTCGAATCTGTCCCAGCAACGCCTTCATTCGACACGAAATTCACAACCCAAATCAAGATCAAGAACTCAGCCAACTGGGGCTCCTACAAGTTCAATGCTGCCAATGTCACATTTCAATACCAAGGAGCGACTGTGGGAGTAATTAATATCGCAAAGGGCAAGGCTGGATGGCTTTCGACCATAAAAAGAAATGTGGAGGTGACTTTGAGTTCAAGTGGATTAACTGGTTCAAATCTGGGCAGCGAATTGAGCAGCGGGGTGCTGACGCTCAACAGCGTAGGCAGATTGAATGGAAAAGTTGCAATTATGTTCATAATGAAGAAGAAGAAGGCTACCAACATGAACTGCACCATAGCTTTTGATGTGGCTGCCAAGACCCTCAAATCTTTACAATGCAAATGAGCGGAGTAGCTAAGCATCCAGGATGCATCTTCAGCATTTGGATTGCGACTAGCTAGTTCTTGATTTGTGACTCCTTATTCTTTTTATTCTTTGTATCTGTGTGGCGATTGGATTTGTTATAGAGTTATAATGGTATTTGTTTTCTTTACCACTCCCCTGTTCTTTTCTTCTTATTTTTTTCATTGAATATAGAAATAGATACTTAGCATGAATACCTGGGCATGATCATACAATTATTTGTATACCGGTCAAATATTTACAAATAACTTCTTTTTCCTTCATTACCTGGCTTCAATCATCATGTATATCTCTCATTTGCAATTTTTTTACCTCGCTTAATTTTGGATGCCACTTCCGTCAACCAAATTCAGCCTAATTTTGTGTGGCAGATTCAGTTTTCCCTATGTTGATTCTTGTAATTTCCTCTCCATCCTTCAGTACATAGGCTAAACTTTTGTTGATCGATGTTCAATAAAAATCCATTACTCAATTAAGCAAGGAAAAATTTGACACAGAAAAGTGTTGGAGCATGATTTCTTATAAGATGAAATGCTTCTGCACGTTCTTAACTAAAGACCACAGGTTCCCAAAGGCTTGATGAAAAGGAACTAAGAATGTCACTTCTCCAAAGATGAATAGATGAACATTTGGCAGCGGAAATGATGGATAGTAGGGTTGATGCTCAACAATCTACTAAAGAAAAATGGGATAGCCATAGAGTAACACAAACCACCATAAAAGTTTTCTATTGATTTGACAACTGTTCATGATATTTGAACTAATAACAAAATAGAGACTTTGCTTCTTACCATTCTATTTTTGTTGTTTTGTCTTCAATTAGGGTTTTCGTTTTGTATTTAGTAGTTCCTATCCACTGCCCAATAATAAAGAGAAGAAAAAAAGGAATAAGGGAGGAGTAAAATGCGGTCGGGTACTAGCTTGACTGTGGATTCTGTGGTTGGTGATCTGATCACTGAGGAAGGTTTTCTGATTGTTTGGAATGGGTTGCAGAGAAAGTATAGCATGAAGGAGAATGAACGGACAAACAAAACACAAGTTGAGATGAAAACATAGGACACAGAAGCTTAGCTAGTCACATGAGACATCTTTTGTTTTGTATAAGACCTCCATTGACCACAAATGAAAATTAAAGCTTAATTTGTATATACAAAGTATCTCCCATTATATAATTAAAATTTTGAAGGACAGTAAAAGGAAAAAGAGCAGCCTCTAATTGAAAAGAATAATAAAAAAATTATGGTACTACAACAAATCCAGGCATAAAAGGAAGGATAAAATAAATATTAAAAATGTCAAACAATTAGGACTTGGTAAGATCGCTCCCTTATTGTATTGGCCCCTTGTGGCTTTTTTGGCTGAATTATGAATGCAATCTTAAAATTTCTCGAAGAAAAAAAAAAGGGTACCTTGTTTGCGTTGCATGCCATCATAGATTTCTATTATTCTATACTGTTTGTTTCATCAGTTTAAAATATCAGCAAATATTAGCCTCTGCAACTCAGTCTTGAATTCAAGTAGATATATTGTTGCCTCAAGTTTCCAGCTAGAGTTTGAAAATTCTTGATTGTCTTATGCGACTACAGAATCAATTAAATTAACAAAAAACCAAAATTTGCCAATACTATTCACAATGTGATCAGTAAACAACGGATAGAATCATGAGATTTAGTGAAATACAACGGATAGAATCGAAGCTTCTCTTGATAATTAAAATGTACATCTCATAGAAAAAGCCTAAAAGGTCCTCAAAGAAAAAGTCATCCATCATCTAGAAGTCAATAATCCTCACCTCTGGACACGTTTGGTGTCTGCAATAAAAGTATTTCCCCAAACTCACATGTTCCAGGAATTTCATTCCACCACATAACTTATTGAAATTGGACAAACTCCAAACACTATATATAACACACCGCTCTTCCTTCATTTCCACAAACAATTCCCTCCGCTTAAAACTTTCATCCTACAAAACCAAAGCCACCAAACAAAAGCAGAGAGATTTGTTTCACTTTTACATCAGAAAAGAAAGGAAACATGGCTGAGAAGACCCAGCAGGCTTATCCTTCGGCACCAGCAAACCATGGTTACCAAAGAAGTGATGCAGAGTCTTTGGAATCCGCTGATGAGCTGAAACGCCAGAAGAAAATCAAAATGGCCATCTATATTAGTATTTTCGTTGTGTTTCAGATCATAGTTATCACCACAATGAGTCTCACTGTCATGAAAGTCAAGACCCCCAGGTTCAGGCTAGGCAACATCAACGTCCGGAGCTTCGAATCTGTCCCAGAAACGCCTTCATTCGACACGAAATTCACAACCCAAATCAAGATCAAGAACTCAGCCAACTGGGGTTCCTACAAGTTCAATGCTGCCAATGTCACATTTCAATACCAAGGCACGACTGTGGGAGTAATTAATATCGCAAAGGGCAAGGCTGGATGGCTTTCGACCATAAAAAGAAATGTGGAGGTGAGTTTGAATTCAAGTGGAATAACTGGTTCAAATCTTGGCAGCGAATTGAGCAGCGGGGTGTTGACGCTCAACAGCGTAGGCAGATTGAATGGAAAAGTTGCAATTATGTTCATAATGAAGAAGAAGAAGGCTACCAACATGAACTGCACCATAGCTTTTGATGTGGCAGCCAAGACGCTCAAATCTTTACAATGCAAATGAGCAGAGTAGCTAAGCATCCAGGAGGCATCTTCAGCATTTGGATTGTGACTAGCTAGTTCTTGATTTGTGACTCTTCTTATTCTTTTTATTCTTTGTATCTGTGTGGCAATTGGATTTGTCATAGAGTTTTAATGGTAATTGTTTTCATTACCACTCCCCTGTAGTTTTTCCATGATGATCTATTCTATGATACTTAATTATCATCAATTGCTCTTGTAAT